TAAAAGCTATTATTAATTATAAGCTATTTAGTTTTAATATTATTAAATATTATATATAAAACTATTATATAACTTAAATAAATATAAATTAATTAAAATAAGTAAAAATAAATTTACTATTCCTTTAAAAGTTCTAACTTTACTCTATAAGTAAATACTTATTAAATAAAACTACTTAAACATAGTCACTTTATCTATTATACTTCTATTAAACTAAAATATAACTAGATAAGTTAACTACACTCTATTATTTAAGTTTATAATTCTAATAGCTCTATTATAAATAAAAGAAGAAATAGATATTAATAATTAGATTTATAACTATATAAAGGTAGACCTTTACTTTAATTAAATTAAATTATAATATAATGAAATAATTAAATAAAATTTAATTAATTATTAGTTTATTAACCTTATATTAAAAGAGGATTAAAATAAATATATAAACTAATTATAAACTTTATTTTTAAAAATATTATATAAATTTTATATATTAACTATTCTTTAAATCTCTATTATATAATTATATAATATTTAAGTTTATAATAATTTTATAATATATATATTAAATAAATAGTAATATATTTTTAATTTTAATAAAAACTTTATATTGAAATTTCTTTCTTAACTTTAAATTAATCTTTTAAAATATAGATTTTAATATTAAATTATATTAAGTTAAATAAAGTATTTAAGTATATATATTTTTAATTATAATTATATTATAAATTAAACTAGAATTTCTTATAATAAATATTATTTATTAATTTAAACTTTAAAAAGAATTGTTTATATAATTTATTATAAATTTAACTTTTATATTATAAAATAGTTTAAAAATAGAAGTAATAGAATATTAGAATATTTATCTATATAAATTAATATATAACTTTAATAACTTTAAAAAAGGGTATTTATAGGTGTATTCTCCGTTTTAGCGGCAGTGAATCCTCGCTCTCAATTCTATTACATTGCATTTCTAATAAATCGTGTATTTTGCTTCTAAGTTTGTACAATTATTGTTGTCCATCAATAGCGTCCCTCCTTAAGCTATCCATGTACCCACGGACATCGAAGAGATTGCCCCAAGCGCGTGTGTTTTGAGCATCCTGATGGGGGAAATAATAGTCTCCACGGAAACCACCTTCTGCCAAGGCAGCTGCAAAGAACGCCCTTATATCACTTGGTGCAACAGGAATATTCTGGTCTGGATCCACATCGCAGATGAGCAGAAGAGCACCTAACACACTAGCCAAACCACTTGACTGAGCACGGTTTATTTGTCCCAGAGTGACCCCGGCTTGGTGAATAGTGTGCCACCTATCCGGGTAGAAGGTGGGATCGCCCGACAGATTTTGCAAACACCAGTAGTCTAAGTACTTCTCCACCGTTCGATAAGTTTCTCGGGCTTGACTCCCTGCGTGGTCGGAATTCACAATGAAAATAGTCCTCCGTCTCATGTTGATAAAGGTAAACAACCAGTGGTTACCTTCCAAAAGGATTGGGAGGAGAATAGAATGTGAATCCTTTACTGTGATGTTAATGTTCGTCGGGTCGCCCGGTTGACCGGTACTGGGGTCCAGAAAACCTGGCATATAAGCAGGGAGAGCATGCAGCGGAGGGCCCTCGCCTTCCGCGTGCTTGAATTTCCGACGGATGTGGTCCCAGGTCAAGGCAGGAAGGGCCACGGTCTGGAGTCTGTTAGCGTCCCCATAATCGTAGCGATTCTGCGGACCCCGAACTTCTGGAACACATGCAACAGCTGCAAAGAGGGCATCCATCATCCGGTACTCAATCACCGCTGTCGGCGACCGAATGAAATAGGCGATATCGGATTTAGTCAAAATCAAATTTGGTTTGGCCGTAACGATCAGGGGAACCATACTCCCAATTCGGTTATCCTTTGTGGCACTGCCGATAAGACGCACATCTTGTTGGAGAGAAGGGGTGAGGAATTTGTGACCCCGCCCTGGCAGTCGATTCATAGCGGAGAGGGTCCTGGCTCTCGGATTTCTCGGTGCCGCCCCGTTCCAATATACATTTCTCGCACGGATCCGGAGGTCGCGTATGAGACCGTCGGGGTCGTTCGCAGCCTCCACAGTCCAGGGTCCACCAGGAAGCTGGGTGGCATAACCATCTATTCTAGCGCGAATATCAGAATGATACCCAGGACGTGGCCCACGGGGGGCTGGAGGCGCGGCCAATCCCAAGTTATTGTCTGCCCCATCGCGATCGGGATTGAAATCGCTGTCGTCTGAAAGAACAAGAGTGCCGTCGGGATCAACTGTTACGTGCGCAGGTACGACAGGAGCATTGTACATAGGTCGCTGATCGGCCATCGTGGGAAGAATATAGATACTTAATTGTAACTTATTGTCGAATAGTTAAATTTATCAAATAAAATGTGTGAGTATAACAAATCGTGTCGACCACAGGCTGCTGCATAGATGACTTGCATTTTATACGTTTCTAGGAGACGCTTATTATATCAATACTCAGCCGAAGTCCAATGAATTCCCTGCTTTGACATACCGCATGCAGCAATTACTTTTCCGATTTAGAAGAACAACAAAGCACAGAATTCTACCTGGGTATGCTACTGAAAGAGTACTAAGTACTAGTAAACAAAGCAACAGATAGGTCCACATGACCACATGGCCGCAATGATTACTGACGATTCAGGTATATTATAAGGATGGTGCTAGATTGGAGGTGCAAGCTCTAGGGATTAGTATTGATGATGACAACGGATACTTATACTACCCGGCTGTCAGACCTGTCGGTCGCCCCTTGTGCCGAGAGGCGCAGGGGCGCCCAAACTACCACACAGCTCAAAACTGTTATCCCATATAAATGCCTAATTTCAATGCAGATAATCTGTTTTAAATAAAAGAATAGAAGAAGTTAAAAAGTAAATTTTAATTTATGATTAAATAAAGAATAAGTATAAAATACTTATTAAAATCGAGGGTTATAGCTTAATTACTTTTTCTTTTTTCTTTAAGGAATTGAAATATTAAATATACTTAGGTATTAAGCTTTGTCTTTATCCAGGTACTTTCAAGCGGAATTCGCTGCTGTGGTCATCCCAAACCTTATGTTCTTCATTAGGAAGCTGTCACGGGAGGCGTGACTGCTAGCCACATGCCTACACTATAAGCCACTATCCACTCACCTAGTAATTATATCCACTCACCTAATTCCCACCAACCACTTACCTAATACTAATTTTTTTAATAACTCCCTTATATTTATAAGTAATTTTTAAGTTAATATTAAGAGACTTTATAATATAATTTCTTTTTTTAATTTTTAATACTTTTAATATAAGCTCCTTTTAAACTTCTTTTAATACTTCTTTTAATACTTCTTTTAATACTTCTTTTAATACTTTTTTTAATACTTTTTACTTTTATTTTTTGATATTCTTTTTAAACCTTCTAACTTTTAAATATGAACTTTTTATTTAAATATTAATTAAATATTAAAAAATTAGAAGTTTAAAGAGTTAAAAGGTTAAAAAGAATATTAGAAAGTTAGAGAAAGTATAGTTTTTACCTTTACTTTTTTAACTTTTAACCTTTTAATAATTAATAATATTTAAATATTTAAATATTTAATTAATATTTAAATATTTAATTAATATTTAAATATTTAATTAATAATTAATAAAGTATATAAGTTAGAAGGTTTAAAAGGTATATTAAAAGTATATTAAAAGGTATATTAAAAGGTATATTAAAAGGGTATTAAAAGGAGTTTAAAAGAGTTTATACTTAAAATATTAAAAGTTTAAAGAGTTTTAATTAAATATATAATTTTATATAAATTATATATATAAATTCTTATATTAAGTAAATAATTAAAAAAGTTAAATAAATAAATATAATTATTAAATAAATAAATATTAGCTTCTTTACTATTTAATTAAAAGATTATAATAACTAATATATAAATTAATTATTTCTAGTAATATATAAGTATTTTATTATTACTACCCCTCTTTAAAGCCTTTTTAAACGTTTAAATACTTAAAAGTAAGTTATATTTTTAAATAACTTTTATTAAGTTAGTTTATATATTTATAAAAGGCTTAAAAATTTTAAATAATATAGTATAAGTAATAAGTTATAGATAATAGTTTCTTAAGTAGTTTAATTAAGTTACTTCCTTATAAACACTACTTTTTAATACTATAATTAAAGATAGAGGCCTAACTAATTAAATAACTAAGACTTTTAAACATAGGGGCTTAAACCCACACCCTTAGTTAGATTAATTATTATAATAGGAGGTGCGACTGCTAGCTATATACCTATATCGTCTGGCTAAAAGACTATAATAACTAATTTGCGGATTGGCTATTCCTAGTAGTATATAAGTACCGTACCGTCACTGAAGCCACATGTGCTTTTGATGAGACAGCCACTCGGGAGATCTCGGAGACCAGGTCTACTTGAAGTCCCGCCTTCTAAAGGGATGAACGGCTTTGGTGACAAAGACCCCTAAGAAGATGTTGTAAGTCGCTTATGGAATATCCACATGCCCTTGTTTGCCCAGGTGACTAGCGATCGATCTCTCTGTCCTCAAAATACAATAGCACGTGGGCTGGGGTGACGGCGAGTAGTTCTCGTTTTGGGGGCGCGATGGTGACTATTACCCCAGAGCTGGTTGATACATATGGTGCCCACGCTGGTTAGGCGGACTTGCAGTGTACTGTTTAGGTACATGGCGAAAGTTCAGTTTTCATAAACCTTCACGTAATTCTGCTCACTCAGCCCTGAAACCACGGAATCCTGCATCACCAGCGCAAGCCTTGCAAACAGCTACCAATGACGTGGGGCAGAATTGACCACGTTGCTAGACATGCAAATCATAGAGTTGTCCGCCAAATCATCGGACAATGTCTGTGACGCCGTGGACCATGGCAGGATATTTGGTGAGTTTACTAAATTGAAGAAAATCATTGACAAATCGATAAAACACCCCCCAATCGGCTATTATCTTTTATTAGAATGAGGACGGTTTGGTGGTTTTGCAAAATATCTCAACATCTGCGGGCATGCAACATGTTCCAATTTATATTCCATAAGATTCCAGAAATTCCAGTCTTTCCCACTCCGCGAAGTCTTGTCATAGTAATCCTCCCACGATTTGAGAACATAGTGTTGAAGCGAGAGCCTGTCCCTAGTGATAGGCTGTCGAAAGGTTGACCCGGGCATCGCGTCACCATGCTCGCCCACTGTGACGAAACCTGGCTGGAGGTTGAATGTATGTGGGTTTTCTATCGTGAGGGTCATCAGCGGTGTTTCATTTGGAGACGCAAACGAAAACAAGAGCAGCTGCATTCATAACCGTAGGGACTTACGGGGGCTGGCGTAGGCCTTTGGGCGGAGGATGCTTTTCACATGCTTGTTTCCGGACTCGCCCATGTTTCCTTCACCGTCGCTAATGCACTCTAGATATGTTTTACGAGACGATTCGACCCGGCTGATTTGACCGTTGGATGTATGCATCTGCCAATTCACGCCTATTGCTCCGACATCAGGACGTGTCTCCTCAAAGTCTCGCAGTACTTCCTCGAGCGTCTCCGGGCCTGGCGTGTCAATGAATTCGTCGGCGTCAATAACTGCAACCCATGAGTGATTTCCCACATGAGTTTGCATGCAGTAATCTATTATTGGTCTATGCTGAATCAGCTTTTGTGGCCATGACGCGTTGATGAGGGCAACGAAATACGCACATCTGTTTCGCAAAGGGTACATCTGTAGTCTTGGGGTGGTAGACGAAGTCGATAGCTTCATATGGGATGCCGTATTCATGCTGGAATGTAGACAGTGGAGGATCGGAGGCGTCATCCATGACCCAAAACCGACGAATTCCCATTTCATAGTAGTGATGCTGGAAGAATTCGACCATGTCTAACGCCTGGTCCTTAGCAAGAAGGCACACTGCTATGTACTCGTCATGGGGGACGTCTCTGATGATGGTGCTCTCCACGGGCTCCTCCTCGCTGACGGTCTCGGTGCCTTTATCGACTGAGGTTTCTATTGGTTGCTCCTGACTGAAAGTCTCGATGCCTTCATCGACAGCGGTTCCGTTGAGACTTGGTGCATCGATAATGACGGCTGAGAGAGTTTTCCAATGGTATAGGAAGATAGTTGACAACAAGAGAATGATTGGCAGACACGCAAACAGCCAAATGGGAGGCTGCTTCCGATGTGCCCCCAACATCATCGTGATGGGGACCCGGGACAAGCACCGCCAAGGCGCTCGCGGATTAGTCAAGTCAGAGAGCTCTCACCCTCAATGTTTATTGTGAGGAATCGTGTTTCAAATTTGCTTGCAAGGTTTATCACAGTAAGGACTGCATGAATTGGGCCGTAGTTTTGAGGTAAAAGAAGCGAGTGGATCGCCTAGGGATCTTCCAAAACGATGTAAGCGGCGGGTTGACAAATGGAGAGCAGGTCAGCCACGGTGCGCTTCAAACATTTACTGGGTCAGCAAATGATCAATGATGATAAGGAAAGTTTTCAGAACTGATATGGATATTGGAATATGGCAGTGATAATTGCAACTTCGGACCGCTGTCTCTTTAGCGGGCAAGGCTAAAGTCAGGGTGGCTCGGGGCAGATTTCTCTGGCATGTGTCGTAGGCTGAGACACGGCCCCAAAACCGTCATTCCAACCTCTTCTCCCTGATCCCTTGACCCTGATGTGGGTCAATTAAAACAAGCAGTGGAGTCGCACCATTAATATGATGAAATTTCTTTAAATATAATTATATGGACTACTCCGTAAACATCAAAATGCTTCAACAAGCACGCTACATCACTGCAAGTGTGAATGTTTTCATGCTCTAATTGACCTTGTATTATAAAGGATCAATTATTGAAACATTCCTCAAGGGAACAAGGTTGTCGTACAACACTGTGACAATACTGTGATAAAGTTGCAGATTAACAATTATGCATCGACCTTGAGCGTGCGCCACGGCGGCGCCACCAGGGCGAGATGGCATTTCCGCTCTGGACTTCTAAGGGGCGAGAAGAATGGAACAATACTGAAATAATATCTTGAGAACTATACCCTACACGCGATACGCGGTCTGGCCATCGAGTGGACTTGGAACCATATTCGTTTGAGCGCCTGAGATTTGATCCTTCGCCAAACCCTTGACTTCGAAGTCCCTAGCTCCTCCATTCTCACCCTGGTTACGAAGTGCGATGTACCCCATTATGTTGTTTTCAATCAACTCTGGGGCCCTCAAAGGAGAGGCTCAATTGCATTCAGGCTTTCTTCTGCTGTAAGTCAGTGCCGTTCTATTTCAAGGATGGATGACCAGGATTATTCGGCATTGACACTTTAACATATGCAGAGGCTGTATAATATGCTCCAGTCTTAGTCTCATTACCAATAAATGGATTATTTACACCGCGGGATTTGGTTAGTGTAACCGATCATGGTCCAGGTGATGAACAACCAGAGCTAATCAGTGACTAGGCTATCGTAAGTATCATTATTGCAGGTGCCCATCAAGATCTCACATGCTAACATCCACATAGCCATGACTATCACCGCAATACACTTCGCTGTCGCCACAATCTTGACGCAGACCCTCAAATATACTACCAATATGATCTCAAGTCTGAAAACACCCATTAGCTGGAGATTCTTATCCATGATCACTATGGCGCTTGGCTCGCTACATTCTTCGGCCCTGCTCAGCAGCAACTTCGGTACTCAATGTCCACAAATACCCCCGAGGAGGCCAACAAAGACTAACTAAAAGGTTTCGGCAGCATTGTTGACTTTATCAATCGCGTTCGTTTCAATGCTCAAGGCCCTGGCTCCCATCACGACCCTCATCCTTCTCTCGGCGGCAGGCCTCACGGAACTCAGCACGTATAAAATCATCAACATTGCCGTTATCGTTTTGGCTGTGGTTATGTCCTCAATAGGTGAATTCCAGTTCGCATTGATGGGTTTCATCTCTCAGACTCTTGGAACAGTCGCGGAAAGCGCTCATCTGGTCCTGATGCAGCGGTTCTTGGCAGCTTGTCCCCACAGCCCTGAACGTTCACAGCAGCCCAACGCCGGGGATGATGAGATGGCTCTTACCAGCAGCCGCAGCAGTAGCGATCATGAGTCAGATAACGAAAATTCAGGTGCGCCATCTAGTTATCACTCCGAGGATGATGACTGGAATGGTCGGCCGATCGATCGCCATGGCGCCTCGGAGACATCACAGGACGAGCTTGGAAATCGAGACTGCGGTGAGGCAAAACAAACAAGCTCATTGAGTTGCCTGTATTATTATGCCCCGGTATGGGCATTTTTGAATCTGCTGATGGCGCTCGTGTTTGAGCGGCCCGAGTTCGATTGGAAGGACTTGGAACGCGTGGGAGTGGGAATGTTGGCTCTCAGCGGAGCATTAGCATCTCTAGCAAGCGTTATGAGCTTTCTCCTGGTAGGTGTTCTTCCATTATCTCACTACCACCTTTCGAAATGTGGACTAACAACAGTCGCATGCAAGATCGGCAGAACCTCAGCCCTGACATTGAGCTTTGCCGACATCCTCAAGTCAATCCTGCTCGTGGGTGCGTCCGTAACCATTTGGGCCACGCCAATTACAGGTCTCCAAGCATTTGGATACTTTGTTTCCCTGGCGGGCATGTCCTACCTCGCGCTTTCCGCGAATTCCGACTCGCCCCGTGTTGTCTTGATGGAAGGCTTGCGCCGATATGCTGGTCGGTCGAAGGGGTGAGACCACCATGCCGTATTGACACATGCGAGAGATCTCCCTACTCAACGTGGAAAAGCTACTGTGCTATTTGAAGAAGTTGATAACTGGTTCGCTTCTATTCCGCATATGTCTGAGGACATATGTGTGTGGTTTCGCTTCTATTCCGTATACGTCCGAGGACATATATGGCGCCTTCATATGGTGGTAAACGCTCGAGAACTGAGGAAAGTTGTGAGGTCGTCATGAGCAAGGGAATCGAATGTTGGGAAGGCAGAGAATTACTGGACTACTAGTAGGTGACAAAGACGAATAATTGCCTATGCATATGGACGGAAAGGTTTTAGTTAATTGATGGTGAGCTTGGAGCCACAGGTGATCATGAGTGTCGCTTGGACAACAATCTAGTGCAAATTTCCGCTGTTCAACATTGGCATTCATCTAAACACATGGTCGCTCCTTCCGCTATTAAAGGGAAAGCTCTCTGATGAAGTCTGGTCAGATTCCTATTGCGACAATTTCCAATGCTATGGGACTTATGATGGAGTTGAGAACCCTTCTCGCCATCTCTGGGTCATGTATAAGTTACTAAGGATCGTGCCGGGCCCGACCTCGGAGCAAACCTAGCAGAGATTGTCGCTATTGATCATGCATCGCTGCAAGGGCCACGCGCCGCAGCTGAGGCACCCGTAAAGATCCCTGATTGGGAACGTCAGAAGGAGCCGCCAGCATTCAGCCGCACCCTTTTCGCGCGCTGAGACCGGGATCCCGCGACACAAGCTTCACACCGCACGTCAGCACTAATCACGCTCCGAGTCAAGACCAAATCTCAGGTGGCCAGTCATGACGTTCCTAGGCACCAGCCCTGGGTAAAATATTCTGTCCGGTCTCCACGGAGGATTCGTGGGGGGCCGTTTTAGGGTCGCAGTCAGTAAGGCACCGGAAATTCGCAGAGGAGGTGGCGGCGGCGGCGACGGGAAGTTTGAAGTAGTTATGGAGGTGCTCCCGCTCCCAACTCCTGGGCTGGCCTTTTGTGACGCCCCTCGTATTGTGCTTCGAAGCTCCATCTCATGGACGACCACATCCTCGGCCTGCTGGGTCCGGACAATTAAGCGATGGCCGAGTTGAAAATCTATTATTCCGGCTACGATTTCGGGGCCTGGGACACGATATCCACGATAAAGCATCTATTCTGGGGGGTCTTGGTCTTCGAGGTCGAATCGGCGGACCTGCTAGAAAGCATTCAAGATGGCGACTCGCGACTGTCGTTTAACCTGCCCAACTGCGGGCACACGGCGGCGGAATTCCTAAGCGGCACGCAAGGCAACTGCGCGGAGCTCTGCTCCGACCCGAGCACATCGATGTTGCCGTGGAATATGCGGACTTGCTACTCCCTGGGAGTAGCTGCGATGCTAGTTGAGAACGGGACTCTGGCAATCGACTACTCGGCCGAATATAGTGGCCAGGAAGAGCTTCAATACGGAAATCTGTCGGAGTGGGATGGCGCAAAGGTCATCTCGGATTTTGCCACCTGCATATCGTCATCTTGCACCACGGCGAATATTTCACACTGCGATGAGAAAACCTTGGCTTTGGAGACTATGGACATCACCACCGAGAACCTAGGCCTTATCCAGGATGGGATGTTCGAATTTTGTTCGTACGGGGTCGAAATCAACGCCGATATTGCCGGGCCAGGAGTCATGATCTCGTACCTCCTACAAATCTGCGCAGTCATCTTCCTCTGGGTCCTGTTCAACCTCCTCACAAAGTGGGCCTGGATAGTCGTGTCGCCGATATGGGTGCAGCTCAAGCAAGGAGAAGTGGAACGTGCTCGACTGGACCCGTTCCTCACGGATGGGCCGACGGAGAAGAGATCCGACCGCATTAAAGATGCCTGGGAGCGCGCCTCGGACATGCAGAAGCGCCTGTCCCAGTGGCGACTCTACCAGGCGACCTCCGCGATCCTCAGAGACTTCCAGGACGTCCAGATATTCTTTATCGGGGCCATCCAGATCGCCACCCTGTCAACCTTCCGGCCCAAGGCATCGGCCTCCTCGGATGCCAACTCCGTCAACAGCTTCGGGGCAGCCATTATGGACAGCGAGCTCGTGCAGATGCTGGCGGTCAACAGCATGATCCCACTGCTGCTGATGCAGAGCATGATCCAGCGCGGCGACAGGTACAAGCTGCGGGAGACCGCCCATACCAAACACAGGCGGTTGTCCCTCACCTGGTACACCTTCATCCTCGTCTGGATCACCTTCGTCCTCGCCATCGTCGTGCACGCGCGGAGGGACAGGCTGATTGCCAACTACGACATCCTCCTCGCCACGTTCCAGACGGAAAAGGCCGTGGAGGCATGTGGGTGGAACCCCAACCCCATGGTGTACTGCAACATCGACAACGGCCTCGACACCCAGTTCAACGCCGGCATCCCAGTCATCCCCGTCGCGGTGTCGCTCCTGACCATCGACTTCGTGGTCTTCCACGTCCCGGGCTGGCGGCGGTGGGACCCCTCGCGGCGGATGGAGGGCGCCATGAACCCGGCCCAGGCCCAGGTCTTCAAGTGGTTCCGGAAGTGCCACTGGCGGATCCTCACCAGGGTGATCTGGTTCTGCCTGGAATGTGCGCTCCTTGCGAGCTCGGCCCTGTACCTCGCCGACATCATCGCCGTCACGCGCGCCATGAGCGGTGGTTCGAATTCCTGGGGGGGCCAGAACTCGTCGGGCTCGTGGTCTTTCGGCCAGCTCATCGCCGTCATGGTGTGGGTGCCCACGCTGTTCAAGTTCCTTTTCTACCTGAAGTTGTAAGTGCTCATGGCCGTCGAATGAGATGATGTTACATGAACTAACCAAGACGACACGATAGCGGGGTGGAAGATAACGCCACGACGCGCGATGCGCACAGCGATGGAGGAGATCACGACGACCACACGTTTGTTGAAATGGACCCACTCCAAGGAGTGCTCGCGAGTGACGTGGGAGCTGGCAAGCCCAAGCACGAGTTCTGGGCAGGTAGTCGAAACAGTCTTGTCAATGGCATGGGAGACTCGCGTACCGGGACTTATGGGTTTGTTCGAAATGTGTACCTAGGTACCTAGGTAGGGTTCAGGCCATCAGAAATCAGCCATCACGCGCTCAAGCCGTTTGCTTTATCAGCAGCAATAACGTTGAGGTTCCTGCCCTGTGGGCCAGCCTCAGTTCCCACCCTTCAATAAGCAACTTTGGAACTTCACCTTCCAGATACCCGCCCAAAGTTAATCAAGCCAGGATGGGTATCATTAATATTCTCGGCCTCATTTCGAACGCCATCGGCTATTGGGGATTCGCCGATGACATGTTCCCTGCCCCCGAAGACGGCCACTCAACCTTCAAGGTATACGTCGCCATCGACGGCACCGGCCCGGACAGCCTCGAGGATGCTGGCGGCTCCATCCGAAATGGGAAGCTGTTCAACAGCTTTGGCGTTGACATCGGCCACGGCGGATCGTTCCCTCACATGAAGTCGGGCTCATCAGAGGTGAGTGAAGTCCCCTTTGGGCATGGCCAAGCCGCACGCTCATCATCTTTCGTCCGTGGGACCTTGAGAGAAAAGAAGGCTGATAGTCTGGACCGTCCCTACAGACCATCACCATATGGCAGAGCGTCCCACAGCAGGCCCCATGGGTCATGCTCTTCGCCAGCAAGGACGCCGTTTGCATCGCGGCGATCGGCGCCACGCTGATCGACGGCACGCATTGGGGCTGGGTCGGTGACTGGGGACAGCTCTGCGGTCTCCCGTGGTACTACAGTGGTGTCAAGGTTAGTCTCACTGCCAGACCTGCTACGGGCAAGGACATAACCGCTGACACAGTCGCCAGGGTTCACCTCAGTGGAACGAGTAAGACGGCGCCATCTGATGCTTTGCTAATATACCCCGCTGACAAACACAAGCACATCTCCACACTGCACCTGGATCGACGCAGACCACTCCAACGGACTCAGCGCGGGCGGCATCACGATCCACTGGCCAGGTTTCACGGACGCCGTCCTCCCCGTCGACAACGGCAAGGGCAAGTGCGGCACCGAATTCGACGCGTGGGACAAGGAGGGGGGGAAATCGGTGATCAAATCCAAGTTCGAGGACTGGGAAGGGCAAAATGCCAGTGGTATGCTCGAGCGACATGGTCACAACACGGACCGCCGCCTCGTCGTCAGCACGGCGGATGCCCACAGCGCCGAGGAGCTCTGCCGGGACCCCATGTCCCGCGGGCCCAACTTCGTCTCTATGAGCGAGCAGGCCCACTGCGACATGCAGACCAGGGAGGTACTGCCGCTGTGTCGGGACGGCCTGACGGCCGGCTGTTTCGATCTTGAGGCGGCGGCGGCCGAGATGCGGACCTCGACTTCTGATGGGGGAGGGGACGATACTGGCGACTTGGCCCACCACATCATCTACTGGTAGAGTGGAAAGCGAAACTCTTCCGTGGTTGCAGCCACGGATTGTTGATGGGCTTTCACAGTGAATGGCCCCGCAGACCTAGGGATACTCGTGACGCCTTGGCGGACTTTGGCCTCACTGTCGGTCCTGGGGATATGAAGCTAGGAGATAAGGCCAGACTCGGCGAGCCTGGCAATGAACTTTCGTCTCTCATAAGGGGCCTGAAGAGACAACGGGAAAGGCATTCTGTCATTTAATTGTGGGTGACGGGCCCTGTTCAAAATGGCCAATTATTGCACTACAGCTACAACGACTGATCCCAAATCATGCGAAATGAATGTATAGGTACGGGGCTGTGCGCGACTTTGCTCCAGTGCGAGATTGCAGAAGTCTTGCATTCAGGGACCTTTCTCTTCCAAAATCCACCATGTTTCCCCGCCATCTTTCAGGCGCAGAGTCCCCTACCCGGAACAACCCTGATAACACCATTGAGGGAGCGAAATTCGCCGCGTACGACGTGGTATGCGGACGCGGTCATTCCGCCGCCCTTCTTTTTGCATTCGCTTTTTACCTGATGCAGGAAATTAAATTAGCGCCCGCGCCCCAATTCATACTGGTATGAATTTGTGATCCTAAGACTCGCCTGGGGTAAGAGCATCTTGCAGACTGATTCGTAAATGTACCAGTTTGACGGGTCTGTGCTACTGTATTCCGAGTGGAAATCGTAATTAAGTTTTCTTGGCGCTTCCAGAATGGTAATGCTGGCGTCAATTCGGTAAGGTAGACCCTCGACATATTCCTGCCTACATTTCTCAACCTGAGGAGAATTCCGGTTAATTTTACTCGGATGCCTTCATTGCGGTCCTAAACATACAGTTTCATATGGGCGGTAATAGCCCTGCATAGAGAGGCATATGCTCCCAAAAACCTTGTCGATGAAGGAATCGTCTCCAATTTCATCCCAGGTAGCTCCATCGGTGTAACAGCTCGGGTCGGTGCCCAGGGTGAGGCCGTTGCAGGTTAGCAGAACCAGCAGCACCCCAAATTTGGCGAGGAGATGGAGATACATGCCGACTTTTGTTGATTTCGTGGGTCAGCGAGAAATTATGAGATGTAGCAGCAACTTTTGGTTGACGCAACAGCACGAAGTAATTGGTTTCGCTCATATTTCGTATGCATCCGAGGACATACATGGCGCCTTGATATAGTGGTAAACACTCAAGACCCAGCGCTTGAAAAAAGACACGCTGTTAATAAGTGGTTTCGCTTCTATTCCGTATACACCCAAGGATATACATGGCGCCTTCATACGGCGGTAAGCGCTCAAGATCTAGGGCTTGAAAAGAACACGATGTCGATGACTATGGTCATAATACGATAACGCTATTAATAAATAAGGTTAAAATACGATAGGTGCTTATAGCCTCAGCCTTACGACATATAAACAAGGCTAAGGGCACCATCTTGACGGCGGCGTTGATCATGGACACATGTAGCCCATGGGCTAGTCGCCGCGATGGAGTGACTAGGTCTTCCAAGATGGTCGCTGTGGTTAAAATATGATAGGTGCTTACATATGGCCTCAGCATTACGACGCACAGATAAGGCCAAGGGGCACTATCTTGACGGCGGCGTCGAGTACAGCGCCGCGAGTTCGAAGTAAATCGGTTGAGTATAGTGCTGTTGAAAGGAGGCGAAGAAGATGCTTTGTTGTTCTTGGAACCTTTTATGTTTATGTGGGAGGCACTGCCCAGGTGCGGCCGTCATCCCAAGTACCAAACAGATGTGCTTCCACGTGACCAATTCACGCAGTCAGTGACTGCTCTGAGAGTTCCAGCCGTCGTTGGATCTCCTGGTAGGCAGGCCAAAACATCTAGAACAGCATAATCATATTCTAAGGCGCCTCTTCAAGGCCAGGCTACCCTACCCTAGGGTACAGCATCACCTCGCCACAGGATATGCTGTGCGTGCTATGCACGCGGATGCATCCGACACATGGTTGATCTATCCAAAAGTCTAAAATCTACGCATGAAAGCTGGAGTCTCACCATATCCGGACGTCCAAAAGTCACCACTTCTGATTCTTATCACCATACTTCATCTCAGGCGAGCTCCTCCCCGGGACCTCAACCAGCCCCTTCGCAACCATGGTCCGGAACTGCAAGCCCTTCAGCAGCCCATAGACAACCCTCAGCGTCGGGACCGGCACCCCGCGCGCCTCGGCCTCCCGCAGCGGCTCCCCGACGATGTTCTCAAACTCGGTGAAGTTCCCCCGCAGGACGTCCTGCGCCATGCTCGGGACGAAGAAGCTGGCGTACAGGTCGACGGTGATGATCTTCTCGACCTCGGCGCGGGGCAGCACGACGCCCGCCGCGGCGGCGGCGGCGGCGACGATCTCCAGCATCAGCGGCCGGACCAGGTCGTCGACGACGTGCTCGCTCGCGCGCATCGTGGACACGTCCATGCGCAGCACCGCCGCGACCGTGTTGAAGCTCGCGTTGTACAGCAGCTTGCGCCACCGGCTGAACGGCACGTCGGCGTCGTAGGTGCACGTCACGGCGGGGCAGGCGCCGTACAGGTCCACAAAGGCCCGGGCTGCGGCCTGGCTTGTGGCCGGGTCGACGCCTGGGTTGTCGAAGGCGCCGATGTAGGAGATGTCGTAGTTGTCGTGCTTGATCGTGCCGCTGGGGTTCTCTGAGGCGCCGATGACTGTGATCCCTGAGAGGATGGGGTTGGTTGGGAAGGCCTTGATGAAGGGCCGCTCGATGTTGAGGCCGTTTTGGAGCAGGAGGATGTTGGTGCGCCCTGGTGTGATGGCTGGGGCGATGACCTCTGGCATTGAGGGTGGGATGTCTGCGATGTTTTTGGTGGCGATGACTACGTAGTTGTAGTGCAGATCCTCCTCTTTGACTTTCGGGATGGTGTTGCGAACTGTTTAGTTTTCAGCTGGTGCTCAAGATTCTAGTTGACAAGACAGAATACGAGCTTGACTCACCAAAACTTGGCTTCCAGCCCTTGACCTGGCCATGCTGGATGGAGTTGATCTGGAAGCCCTTCTCGTTGACGGCATTGTAGTTGGATCTCAGGACTGCCGTCACGCTCGCCTTGCCTCCTTGCTCAAGGGCGTAGGCTGCCATCGTGCCAACCCCACCGGAGCCGACCAGGAGGACATTGGCTTTTGTATCCGGAACCGAGCCCATACTGACTTGTTTTGGTGTTTTCGAGCGAACTGTGGAGTGTGATCTCAATGCGGTGGATTTTTTGTTATTGAGGCAGTGAATTCGGGAGCCCAATCTCCCGAAGGAAAGGGGCATTCTTATTGTGCCACAGAGCCATGATGCGTGAATCAGAGGGAAGAGTGACCGCATAATGTACCCCCCGAAAGTGAATATACCAGAAGCCGTGACGATCCCCAGCAGCAAGCTTTTATGAACGGACGGTGAGCCCGCCCGCCTGCCTGCCTGGCTCCGTCTGCGGTCCGTATACCAGGACCAGCCACGTCGCGGGCGAGCAAATCACACTGGGCCTGATCCCGGGGCGGCTTGGCTCGACCAGGAAATTAGAATTCACGTTTCTGCCCGAACAGAGGACAGGCAACAAGGGTCCAGGAAACAAGTGATAATGCGATGCCACAGCAGGTAGATACCGGTACGCAGTTCCGTCGCAAGTAATAAGCAAGCAGCTAGGTGACTGGATCGAGGTTGGAGAAGGTTCGCATGCCCTGCGACCTCGGAACCCGGGGATGGAGACCGCGGTGGCCAATCACATTATCCTCACTGATAAGAGCTCTTTGAAGCGCCATTCGTCAGTCCGACTGAGGCGTAGGGACTTGTCCTTGCTACCCGCGGGGATTTTGGGGTCAGAGCAACATAGACAAAATCAGGATAGAATTGATGTGCATGAGTTGGCCCGCAGTACCGCAAGCCATCAGTCCTGTTACACCCACAAAACGCTATACAATGTCATATCAAAGTCCTAAATATGACCTGACGAACTCACTTTTTAAATCTGTTGGACGCTATTCCATAGATTCTATATCTATAGGTCTTCATGAGGAGGCCATTCCCTCGGAGCCTGTCCCACGGGCAAGCTTTACCGCATGAGAATGCCCCTTGGGAGATTGTCTCATCGTGGCTTATTCTACAAGGTCGGTATATCGATGCCATGGCCATGTAGGGGACGCCAACACCCGGCTCGTTACTTCAGAATTGAGAATCTGCGTTCGTGAATGGCATGCCTAGCAATATTTGCACACGATGTTACCCACTACTTGCATCTAAGTAGTGTGTGATACCGGCCGGTGCTGAATCACGCTCAGTTCTCCGGGTGCCATGTTTGCTTGTGGCTTCAGGAAAGGTTTCCTGGATCACGGCGGACCTTTACTAGTTCATTGGGCTTTGATGAGAAAATCAACGATTTATTCGGTATCTCGGACCGCAAACTGCCAAGCGAAAAAAAAAAAGCCAAGAAGTACCAGCAAAATAGAAAACCCAGGTAGAACTGTGCTGTCCACCAGGGCATGTAACCCACTCAAACCTCACTTGTCGTAATGGTTGACAAGTCTGAGGATTTCCTCAGCGGTGGCGGTGTTTGCGATTTTCAGCTGGTTTGCGTCCAGCTCCACACGCCTTCTAAAGGCGTTGTGAATCCTCCAATCCAACCGAAGAGTCTGTCCTGTCTTCCTCGGTATTCGAAGGATAGCCATCAGCTTCTCGATTCCCTGGTCATGCACCACCTTGGTTACCCAAGGGTACATGCAGGAGTAGATATCAAAGCCCACGTGGACGCCTGCCTGTCGGAGTTCTTGGTCATTTCCAAAGGGCGTGACATGGACGAAGTAGCCAAAGTGTAGTCCAAGCTTATCCATGTTGCTCATGTCAACGTCAAAGCGCTCCAAACCCTTTACCTTGTCGGCAAGAAGAGCACAGGTGGCAGGCATGTGGTTGACGCCGAGCTGACGGTCCAGTCTGAGGACTGAGATGTCGCGAACGAGATCTAGTCTCGCGTTTGAAAATAAAAAGGTCTGAAGTTGCATGATGGACGGGAAGCAGAACGGCTGAGACCACAGGAACGGCGCGGTCTCGTTGTAGACATCCTGGCAGGTCTGCATAAGCGCAAGGTTGCGGAGACTGTGCTCCCTGATTGACAGCCTGGTGCGCTTGGAGGCGCTGGTCTCAAATCCTTCGAGGACCTTCGGGCGGGCTTCGCCAGAGCCAGGGTCGATGTTCATCGTCAGGCAGCCGTACTTCTTTGGGATTCTCTGCTCTTTTTCGAGCTTCGTGATTAGATCTTCGGGGTGACGCAGGCAGAGCTTCCAGACCATGTTGCGGATCTCAGGCGCAAGTGACCTGACGATCGATTCCAGATTAGCACGCCGTATAAGTACTACATCGCCAACGAGTGAGGGGGGTTACCAGGCGTTCTCGACTCACAACAAGGGACTCTTCTGGACGGCGGAGGCGCGTTTGAATAAAGGTGCGGATGGGCTCGCATCCTGCGAGTAGAGGATTGTGCAATCAGAAACACGTCCAGCGCCGCGTATCAGCTTCGGGTGTCTCGTAGGAGCGCTTACCTTATCGCCATCACCGTCGTTAACCTCGACCTCTTCGGCACATGCCTCCAATTGCCTCGCTATGCCATGGAGCAGGTGGCGGACCCGGACTGAAGAATGGCGGGCAGAACGATCATTGCTGGAAGCCATCGCCGGTGGCGGGCAGGATGCTTCACTTTACGTCGTCGCTAATGCCAGTATTGGGAGGAATGACGGTGAGAGGCAAGGTTCCGTCATGAGATGAAGTGTTCAGTGGTGGCAAGAAATGTTCAATGGCAGGAAGAAATGTTCAGTGGCGTGGAAAAATGCTCAGTGGTTAAAAGAAGTTGTTCAGTCGTGAGAAGAAAAGCTCAGTGGTGAGAAGAATCGTCCAGTGGAGCGAAGAAATGCTCACCTGGGCAGTGGTGAGAAGGAAGTGCCCGAAGGCTCAGGAAGGCATGGAGCTCTGAAGTACCTGCTTTGTCTCGAACTTCCAGGCACAGCTACCTTGAAACCCTCAAGCACGACTCGGAGAAGGAGCTATCAGACGATCTCCAAACGAAGAAAGGTAAACAAGTACCACACTAAATCAACAAGTTTGGCATTGAACGTATGCCGTCCCAATCATCTAATTCTAACGACAGGTGCCATAACCACCTGGGCAAGCACAGATCAAGACTTGCTCTATCTAGACCTCCCCCCTACCTCCTTCCCCTCAACTTCGCCAGACTCCCCTTGAAGGGGTTCCTGCCCCTGAACTTCAGGTAAGTAGCCAAGTACACCACCGCAAAATTGAACACGATAAACCCACACACGATCCCAAAGTTGCGCCAGATGTGCGAGTAATACACACTAAATCCCCTCCCAAACTCATCACCAGTAGCATACTGGCAGTACTCACACAGGCCCCCACCAGCCCCATCGAGCGCATCCCGCACATACCCGCCAGCCTGGGCGATATACCCGCCGGCATACTCATCACAGCTCTGCCCCGGCGGCGGCGAGAACCGCGCGAACTCGCCGTCGGCGCACCGCACGGGCTGGTCGTGCAGGGCGACGGCGAGGAACGCCTCGAGCAGGTAGTGGAACGGCGTGAGCCAGTACATCCAGCTGCGCCAGAAGTAAGGCAGCTGCTGCGCGGGGACGACGACGCCGCAGAAGCTGACGACGAAGAGGAAGAAGACCGGCACGAGCAGCGACGCGAGCAGGTCGTTGGGGCTGAAGGCCGCGATGGCCTGGCCGAAGCCGACGTAGTACAGCTCGAAGAGCAGCACGCACAGCAGCGTGAAGCCCGAGGGGAACCCCTGGTACGACGGCCGCCAGCCCATGATGCCCCACCACCAGCAGTTGAAGTAGACGGCGCCCGCGAGCAGGGACCAGGGGATCTCGACGATGACGGCGCCCGTCGTCCACGCGAGCCACGAGTAGATCTTGGCGTTGTTCTCGCGCGACTGGAAGATGTTGCGCGAGGCCAGGAACACGGGCTGCAGCTGCTGGATCAGCGGCGGCGAGATGGTCAGCGTCATGAAGATGGAGAAGAGCCGGCTCTGCATGTCGATGGTGCTGTAGCCCAGCTTGTAGAAGGTGAAGCAGTTGAATAAGCCCGTGAAGATGTGCAGGATCAGCTTGCCCATGATGTAGTTGGGCTTGCGCCAGTAGCTGACAAACGCCCGCCTCACCACCGCCCCGATCTGCGTCGCCAGCGGCATCGCGTACTCGCGGTCGTCCTGGATGTTCTTGGAGTGCTCGACCGTGCGCCGCTTCTCATTGAGCTGCTCGATCTCGCGGCTCTGTGCCTCGAACTCGGCGGACGAGGCCCACGTGTCGCCCCAGTCCTGGCCCTTGTAGTCTGGGTTGCCCGCCCCGATCACGTCCAGCATCCACTCGGCCGGGTTGGCATCTGGTGGACACTGGTTCCCGCCGTTGGACTCGAAGTACTTGATCAGCGTCTGGCTATCCTTGCCCAGATCACCGGCGTACACGACGCGGCCGCCTGACTTGAGCAGGATGAGCTCGTCAAAGTTCTCAAAGAGCACGGCGGAGGGCTGGTGTATGGTGCAGAGGATGGCCTGGCCGGCGTCGGCGAGCTTGCGCAGGAATCTGACAATGTTGAACGCGGCGCCGGAGTCGAGGCCGGATGTAGGCTCGTCGAGGAAGAGGAGGAGTTCTGGCTTGGAGGCAAGCTCAACGCCGATGGTGAGTCGCTTCCGTTGCTCGGGGTTGAGTCCTTCTCCGACTTGTCCTATCGTGGCGCCGGCAATATCGCGCATCTCGAGGAGGTCGATAATTGTTTCGCAGTAGGCATATTTCTCTTCTTTCGGGACCTCACGGGGCTGACGGAGCAGGGCTGAGAACTGCAGTGCTTCGCGGACGGTTGCAGTGGGTTCGTGGATGTCCATCTGCTCGGCAAAACCGGTGGCACGTTGGAATGATTTGGGCAGCTTTCGGCCGTCAACAAGGAAGTCACCCGTCACAACGCCGAAAGTAATTCTGCGTCGAAGTCAGTACATCGGAAAAGAGTCGAGCGGTTGGGAGCGAACTCACCTCTGGGCCAGGGTGTTGAGCAGTGTGGTCTTGCCTGCGCCAGACGCACCCATCAGCGCAGTGAGACGGCCAGGTCGAACGCAGCCAGAAACACTGTTGAGCAGCTTCCTCTCACCGCCTTGCCAAGGAATCGTGTAATTCACATTCTGGAAGGTGAACACCGTCTCGTTCTTGGCGACGTTCTGCATCGCCTTCTTGTCCTTCTCCTCCCGCTCCTTAACCACATCAACCTCAGGCCCAGAGCCGGGGCTGCCCTTGACGGCCCCTGACTCCTCATCCGACATATTTCCCTTGCGACCTCCAGTCTCGATGGACTCCTTGACCGAGTTCGGGACCTGTCCACGCTTGAACACAGTGACGGCGGCGCCTCCTGCATTCGGCTTCATGAGTTCCATCCCGACGGCGGTGATAGCAAGGAAGAGAGCAAAGAAGGCCCAGATGATACCAAAGTTGCGCCACAGGTGGCTCCGCGTGTACTGGTAGCTCTCTTGGATATAGTCCGCGCCCGAGACGACATCAGACCCAGGCCTGGATCCCTGCAGCGTACACGACTGGTACTGCGTCTGCACTCCCGGGCCCTGAGGCACAAGATACGGCGTCACACATTTCATCTCCAGCCTGTAGAACTCGTTGGACATCAGGGCCTCGAAGCCGTACTGTATCCAGTCGAGCCAGCGCAGCCAGCTGAACCACACCCGCATTGAGGACGGCGGGATCAGGTAGCCAGTGTATACGATCAAGATCTGGATAAACACTCCGGTGACCTTGGTGGCATCGTCGAGGGTCTTGAACACAGCTGATATGGAGCGGAAGAATGCGTACGTGGCCATTGTAACCGTGAAAAGGATGAGAATGGAGATAAAGAACTGGGAAGCCGTCGCGGCAAGTCCCGACATCCAGTATATTATCACGTCGAAGATGAAGACCTGTGTCAGAACCAGAGGAATGTCCACCAGAGTCTGGGCGAAAGCATAGGCAGAAGGGCGGTAGAAGGAGAAGTTCTTGTGCTTCAGTAGGATGGGTTTGGACTCGTAGGCGGCGGTCTGCTCAGCCAGTGCGAGAAGGGCATTGAACAGGAGGACGAAGAAGAGAACACCACCTCGGGTGAAGGCACCTGTAGTGTCGTTCGGCTGTTGGAAGAAGAGAGAGCCCACAATCAATCCTTGGAAGACGATTCCGCCCCACTTTCCGAATAGTGAGGCCTTGTCTCCGAGCAGAACGAGGAACTGTCGCTTGGTAAGAGCGATAACTTGCTGGTAGAAGGAGATGGTGTAGTTCTTCTTCTTGCTCGCCTTGGTCGAGTTCTGGCTGATTTGCCGCTGCTGCTCTGCAGTCTTCGCTTCGAATTCTTCCATATCTACGAGGTTGTTCTTGTAGGCCTCGCTCTTCTTGTAGACAGCCGCAAAGTCAGCAGCTGAGCGGGGGATGCGATCCTCCCAGCCGGGGCGAACACTGCGCTCGTGCGGGTCGACGACGGAGGTGAGGAAGTCCGCCGTGGTCCAGCGCGCAGGGCAGTCGAAGCCCAGGTCTTGGAAGTACTTCTTGGCGTCGTCCGAAGGGCCGAAGTACAGGCATTGGCCCTCGTCTATGACCAGGACTTTGTCGACGAGATTGTACAGGCTTTCGCCAGCTTGGTATAGAGAGACAGCAGTCGATACCTGGGCCATGTTGGTCAATGCTCGCAGCGCCTGCACGTATTCGACGGCGGTGGCCGCGTCGAGACCCTTGGACGAGTTGTCCCAGCCTTGGACGCTGGCTCGGGTTATGAGGGCCTCGGCGATACTGACACGCTTGCGCTCGCCGCCAGAGACGCCGCGGACGTACTCGTTCCCGACCTTAGTGTCCAGTGTGTGCTCGATCCAGAGCAGCTTTGTGGCCACGCGCAGGAACTCGTTCACATAGTCCTCCTTGGTCTCGCCCTCCAGCCGAGATTCCTTGCCGGGTGTCCTCGTGCGCAAGGCGAAGGTTAGGGTGCGCCGGACCGAAAGAGTCGCGTAGTGGAGGTCGTCCTCCGGGTTGTAGATGATCTCACCGCGGAAATCCTTGGCCATGGTCTTCGCATCTGTCCCGCCGTAGGTGACATCCCCGACAACATCGACATATCCGGCCCGCTGGTTGCAAAAAGTTTTCAAGAAGGTCGAGCAGCCTGAACCGGGTCGGCCAAGCACAAGCAGCATTTCACCCGGTCGCACGCAGCCGTTGAAGTCGCTGAGGATCTCGCGCACTGGGGGCTTCCCTGTGGCAGCCTTGGGTCCCTTCGTCACCAGATTCTTCACAAATCTTGGCAGCCCCATGAACAGATCACCAACGGTAGGCTGCAGGCTTGCGCCGAGCCCTGCTCCCTTGACGGTGAGATTCCGGAAGACGACGCCCGAGTGCCGTGTGTTTTCCTCCTCGCTCTGCTCCTGCCGGGCCTTGCCGAACATCCGCGACATCAGCCGTTCGATCTCGTGGTTCTCATCCTCAGTGTCGGCGGCTGAGGTGCCCGTGCGGCGGCGCGATAGAACACGGAAGAGGTCCTCTTCTGTCTGCACATTGCTCCTTCTCGACTGCAGTGGTGGCCGGGAGTCTGCACCAGTCTTCATGGGCGCAAATTGGGTCTCCTCGTCTTCAGCAATGTCGGAATCGGATGGGCTCGACATCTTCAACGACTCTTCCCGCTCTCGATCATCAACATGGTTCGATGTCCCGGCCGCGATTGCGCCCTGGTCATGAAACAGAGTCTTTTCTGACAACGGCATGCTGTCGTCGCTTGGCACCCTGTCCTTGGGCTCAAGTCTTGAGGATGAAGGGACCCGACTCCGTGCAGCGGAACTCGAGCCGTTATGATGTGTGCGAGAATCAGCACTGCCCAATGGAAAGTGACGTTGAGGTGTATTAGCAGGCGTATCATTGAGAGGCGTCTCTGGAAAGCCGCCAGGCATGTCTTTGGGCGTAGGGGTCCCGTCCATATTCGCTTATAGGACGTTGCCCGGGAATTATGATCTAGTTACATGCGGGACTGGGTTTGCTGAAACCGACAGAAAATTTAAGCTGAGCTCGGGAACCGTGTGGGTAGAAAAGGAAAACCTTCGAGTATCACAAGGGGCCCACCCAGCACGAGTGATGACGACGGAATTAGCGAGACATGGCTGCGTTCGGATCCAGCCTCGTGTGTGCAAGTGTGCCGCGCTCTCGGCGGGAAACGGCCTCGGACGGCGGATGAAAATTGGTCCATTGAGAGCTGCCATCGGGGTACACGGAAGCGCGAGGCTTTGCTGAGAACCGGTGTCCAGTTCGGGCTCAGCGTGATCTGTCCGACTTCTCGGCCTATTCCTCCGCTGGATGACTACAGAAAACGTGCGGGTGTCGCACCGGATCCACAAAAAAGACAGTTCGACGGCGCATGTCACTAGTATAGTACCGAAGTAGGTGAGAGCTGCTATCAACAGTCAGGGATGGGGGCCATTTTAGCCGAACGACAGGTGCTGATAAAGAAGTGGCATTGACTCAGCTGCAGACCGCCAGTGCTTCTGCCAAGAAGGCTGGAAGGTCGATCCGATGTCATATTGACAGTCAACGGCGTAGCCCTGGCTGGGCTGACTACTAAGGGGGCACATCGGATGTGTAGGCGTGGACAAAGGCGACCTCGTCAGATGGTTGACGTCAGTCCAGCGTTGGCGGCGATTGACGCATGCGGGCGTGGGAGCGCGGGCCGATCCACTGTCGTGTCGCTGGCCCCTTTCTGCCCACCTAAGGACCTAGGTACCTAGGTACATAGGTATAGCAGCACAGAGAAGTGACTGTTTTAAAGCTCGATTTTCAGCATTACTTACACCCCCACCCCTTTTATTAACTAATTAAAGAAAAGTTTTAAAAATAATTAGCTCTTCTATTTATACTAATTAATAATTAATAAATAATTTTTAAATTAAAAAGAATTATATATATTATTAATTAAATTTATAAATTTAATAATAATTAAATATAAATAAAATAAAATAAATATATTTATATTAATTTTATTCTATTAATAATAATATTAAATTTTTAAAATTCTTTTATAATATATATATAAAATTAAAAATTTAATAAATATTTTATTATATATATAATATTTATATAAAATTAATTATAAAAGGTTAAAATTAAGCTTTTAATAAAATTTTATATATATAAAAATAGTAGTGTGTGAGTGAGACTTAGTGAGTATTTTAATTTAAAAATTATAAAAGTAATTGAAATAGTGTATATTAATGTTAATTAAAGGTCTATTTAACTAAGTAATAAAGTGTTTAATTAGGTTAGTTAGACTTATTAATTAAACTTAATTTATATATATATATATATAAACTATTTATTACTTATTTAACTTATAATAATTAATTTATTATAGTTTATTATTCTTATAAAAATAATAATATATTTATATTATTAATATATTTAATAAGTTACTCTTATAATATTAATAATATTTTCTTATTAAAACATAGTTTATTAATAAAAAATGCTTTTAACCTCTTATACGCTTAAACCTAAGACCTTAAGAGTAGTGGTGGCTAGTAGTATGGTAGGGTGAGCTGAGCCAAAAGTCGACTTTTGAAACAGTCACCGGTGTGCGCCACCAGAATTGCCCAGCAATTTCGTAACGCTGTCTGTCATATGCAAAAATGGTTCAATGCCATTCTTGGCTTCCGCCCTTCCGCCCTGTCGGGACCGATGGAGACGGCCTGAGTCAGCGGGAGTCTTACATCAGATAAGCACCTGGGCATCGGACGAGTCTATCCGAGCCCGAACAGTTTTCGGATTTATGAGACAGCCTTGCGACACACTCTAATTCCGAGTCTTTGGGGGCGCCGTCAGCAACGTCCCAACTGAGCCTCAACCTGTGGAACGACGTGCTTGGGTACAAAAAAGGGGGGGAGTTCCTGTCCGTTGGGGGCTTGTTATCCATAATGCGTTGTTGGAATCGAAACTCACTGCTTGCTTACCTACCGGACAGCCGGCAAAAGCGTCACAGCATACCTAAGGCAGGGTAACCTCCGGAAAAAGAGGCAGGACCAGTGACATCTCTCCACACTTTGGATTGGCGCAAAAGAAAAGAGTCCAGGCCTCAAGAGCTCAGGCATCGTTCATCATGCACGTGGGAGAATATCCCCAGGTCGGCAGCGTGCGATCCGCGCACCACTGTTTGGCGCTCACAAAGGCGTTATGGTACAAGCATGACACAGACCATCAATGTCCGTTCTGGGTGCAGCCTTTCCCTGGCCAGGCCACGTATCTAGATGCAGGCGACTGTCTTCTCGAACGTGAAGGATCAATAGTCGTCAGAAAAGAGAAACATTGCCAAGGTTGATTAGGGTTGGCAAGACTTCATCCTGAGCGCCGCCGGTAGAGTCGGTCGCTCGCTCTTGGCGGAAGCAGAATGCTATCACTGTCTGAATGATTACTGTACCCCCACACCCCATGGCGCAAGTGCCCGCCTGTCATCCTCCCGTCCGAGCCGAAATGTATACCAGAGGTGGAAGGGTCTCCGTATGTACGTGACAGCACTTCCACAAATTCGCAACAGTGCCAAGTCGTGTCAACAATTGCTGCTGATGCTCCCGGGACGTCCGTCTTCCGTGGTTGGCCGAAGTCACATCTCAGTATGGCTCACTCAGCCTTCACCTTGACATCTTCCTCATCGTCATCGGATATGACGATCAACTCCGTGGCCCGCCCGCGGCGTGGCCCGCCAGCTCTCCTCCGCGAGGGGCCCGACTGCGCGTTTCGAGATGGTCCGGCAGGCGCGGCAGGCGGCGGCGGTGGAGTGGCAGAGGCCTCAGCCTCCGCCGCGCCCCCTCGAGACGCCCTGGCCCGACTCTTCCTGCCCGGCTGGAAGTCAGGGTCCTCCTGGATGACCCTCCTATGGAACACTTCTCCTGCAGTCGCCAGGGTCAATGACGGGGGGGCCATGGGAGGAGGTTGGTAAGTAGAGGAGGAAAGGGAAAGGGGGCACCAGGCCTTGGGCTGGCGGATTAATGGCCTATGAATGGGTAGAGGGGGATCTCTACCCGGCGACTTGAATCATGTCCAAAAGGCAAGCTTACCAAACTTCCTCCTGAACCCCTCGTCGTCCCTGGCGATGCGCTCGCACGCGTCGGCGTAGCGCGCGACCACCCCTCCCTCGGGGCCCCTCCCGGGCTCGCGCACGTACCTCGCCTCGCGCCAGCCGCCCGTCAGCACCCACCTCTTGATGGCGTTGTCGCCCTGGACCTGCTCGCTGACGCCGACGTTGGTCCGCGTCGGGTCCCGCGCCGCGCCCGGGTGGGTGTCGCGCAGGTGGCGGCGCAGGGACGGCTGGGTGTTGAAGGTGATGCCGCACATGGTGCCTGCGCCGTCGACCTCGACGTCGCAGACGCCCGTGTTGACCTTCGAGATGGATACTAGTATTGGAGTCTCATCGGCATTGTTACTGTTGTTGGCGGCGGCGGGCTGGTTCCGGTACGGGATGGGCCCGTGGTGGTAGCCGAAGGGGGACGGGTTGGCCACGCGCCAGGCGACGGCGTCGTTCTCGAAGTCGCTGTCTCGGAAAAACGAGTTGGCCCCCCCCCCCTACAAAATACCCCCTATTCCTCGGCTAAACTAAAACTTCACTAACAGAGTAGAAAACCCAATATTTTTAATAGAATACCATACTTAATACTACCTACACTCTAAAAAAGAAAAAAAAAAGGCTAATAATAGTAAGTTATTATCTATTAAACTATAAACTCTAATAGTTAGAGTTTTATTTATACTCTAACCTATTTCTATTAAATAAATAACTATAAATTAAGTTTTAAATTAACTATATTATAATTTAAAAATATTATTAAAAGGTTATTATTATTTATATAATTACTTTAAATATATTATTATTATTATTATTAAATATAATTAAGTTAAAGTAATAAACTTTAAAGGTTTATTAACTTATTTTTATAATAAATTTATAAAGTTTAATTAATATATAAATTATATAAATTAAAAGTTAAAAGATTTTCTATTTAATAAATTAAATTTATACTTTAATAAAATATAATACTTTTTATTAAATAATTTTAAATTAATATTATTATAAAATAATAAATAATACTTTTAAAATTTATATATAAAATAATAAATAAATATATATACTAACCTATTAATATAATAAAAGCTTTATAATTATTACTTTTAATAAATATATTAATTAAACTATATAATAAAAATATTTATTTTTATTAATAAGTTTAATTTTAATAAATAAAATAATATAAAAGAATAAATTATATATTTATTAAGTATACTTTATAAATTAAAAATCTTTTAAGTAAAAGCTTACTTTTATATTCTTTTATAATTATATTTAATAGTTTATTTATTATTATAATATATAAAAGTTATATAATAAAAAGTACTTTTATAATAATTAATAAAAATATTTTATTAAAAATAAATTTATATTTAAATTTAAAATTAATTTTATAATAAATAATACTTTATAGTATTATAATATAAAAATAATTAAAGTAATAAATATAAAAGTATAAAATATAAATATTTACTTTTATATTTCTTTAATTTTAATTTTATTAAAATATATTTTAATAATTTAAAATACTATTTATATTATTAATATTAATATAAATTATTAAATTATAATTTAAATAAAATTTTATTTAATTTTATTTTTATATTTAAAAGGTTAAATTTAAAATTAAAGTTATTTAAAAATATTTCTATTATATATAAATATTAAAAAAGTATAAAATAAAATAAATATAATAATATTAATTAAAAGTTATAAAAATTAAAATTAATAAAATTTTAATTAAATATAATTATATAAATAAAAATATTATTTATAAATTAAATAGTTAAATTAATAATTAAAATTAAAGTAAATAAATTAATTATAAATAAATTTATTTAATTAATTAGTTATTTAATACTAAATATTTAATTTACTTTATTTATTTAAAATAATTAACTTTCCTCTTTTAATTACTTCCTATTACTAACTATATTTTTCTATATACTTAATTACTACTTCCTTTATTTAAAAGTTTTTAAAATTTATTATATAATTTTCTACCTTATTAAATATAAAAACTACTTTAATAAACTTCTAACCCTTTTATTAAATAATTAACTTAATTATAAAATTTAATATTAAATAAAATTAATTAATTAATTAAATAACTTTTATAAACTTTATAAAATATATACTTTTAATATTTATTTAATAATCTATTAAATAACTATTTAATAACCCTTACTATAATAATAAATCTTCCTTATTATTATTACTATTAAAGAAATTAATAAAGTCTTTCTTTTCTTTAAATATAATTTAATTAATATTTTAATTAATAAAATAGTTCCTAAATTATACTTATTAAATTAAATATTCTTTTTTATAAAGTTTATAAAGATTAAACTTTTATACCTTATAACTCTTATAAATTACTTAAATTAAACCTCTTTAATAAATCCTTAAAATATTTCTAAAATACTTTTATAATAAACTCTTAATATAAAACTATTTTATCCCCTTTACTTATAATAGTAATAATAAAAAATAATTAACAACCTTTATCTCTATAATAGACTTTTAAATACTATTATTATTACTATTAATAATAATAAAGCCCTATTAAACCTATAAAAGAAGCTAATAATAATAATAATAATAATAACCTTATTAAAGTTACTTAATTATATTTAATTTTAAATAAATTAATATTAAATAATAAATTAATAACTATATTAATACTACTCTCCCTTTACTTCTACTTTTACTACTTTTTTAAAAAGATAAAACTAATTCTATTACTATTAGGCTCCTTTTATTAAACTTTATTTAAACTACTTAATAATTAAAAGGACTTTTAATAAATATTTAATTATAATATTATTTATTATAATTATATTAAATTAATTCCTTAAGTTTCTATTAAATAAACTAATATATATATTATTTTATTTAATAAAATATTATTATTATAAAGAATCCCTTTATTTTAATAGTAATAATTAACTTTATAATAATTATTTAAAAATATAATTATATCTTTATTAATTATTTATACTTCTTTTATATAAAGTCTATTTCTACTTTTATTTTAACTTTTATTTAATAATTATTAATATAAATTAAAAAGTCTTAAAATCTAAGTTTTTATTAAATATATTTAAATTTATTATCTACCTAACTATTAATAAACTATCTTTTAAAGTAGCTACCTATTAAATAGTTAATAATAACTAAAAGATTTTAATTAATAAATATTTAATTAAATAATTACTCTATAATATAGATATTTATAACTCTTATATTAGTAATATAACTCTATAATTATATAAAAATTAAAAAAAAGGTCTTTAAGATTTAAAAGTATATTTATAATATTATTATAATTAAATACTTTAATTTTTTATTAATATCTTTTTTATAGTTTTTAATTATAAAGTTAAAACTTTTAATTTATAAATTAATTAGCCTTAATAAAAATATTTTTAATTTAATAATTATATTTAAATAATCTTTATACTTTCTTTTAACTAAATCCTTAAATAAATTAATATAATTTAATAAAAACCTTAAATTCTTTAATCTTTATCCTTCTCTTTTAATATAATAGTTTATCTTTTAAATTATATAATAAAAGTAATATTAATTTTAAGTTATAAATTTTAATAAATAAAGTTAAAGTTAATTTATTTAAGTATATTTATATTAAAAGGTTAATTAAATAATTTTTAAAATATTTAATATTATTATTATTATTATTTATTAAAAACTTTATTTTATTAATAAAAGGGTTCTTATTATTAATACCTTTTAGAGCCTTTTTCCTTATTATTAAATATATTCTCTTTATTATTAACTTTAATAATATTCTTTTATACCTTTTAAACTACTTAATCTATTATAATAGCCTTATTTTAAATAGTCTTTAAAAATATTTATAAATATTTTTAAATAATTTATTAAACTTTAATTACTTTAATAGTTAACTTTTAAATATATAACTATTTAAATAATATAATATTTTATTAATAAATTATATAATTTAACTTTTAAGTAGATTTTATATAATAAATATTAAATAATTTAAATTTAATAGATTAATTAAAATATATTATTTATAATATTAATTAAATTAATATTACTTTATATTAAAGTAAATAAATTATATATACCTTTATAAACTAAATTTAAATTAATTATATAAAATTAATATAATATTATTTTTACTTAATTAAATAATAAAAATAACTTATTATTAATATTAATAAAGTTAATATAGGTATTTTAGTAAGAATATTAGGTTTTCTACCCTATTAGTAAAGTTTTAGTTTAGCTGAGGAATAGGGGGCATTTTGTAGGGGGGGGGCCAACTCTCGTTTTTCCGAGACAGCGGCACGTCTGAGCATGGGGGCTGCTTGATTCGGTTTGACCATGTCATTGGTTGTGCTAGACAGTGTAAGTAAATGGAGCAAATGTGGGGGCAGGCTGTCTCCAGGTGTCATGTTACTCTCAACCTTTCGCGAGAGAACAAGGTTTTTTTTTCAATCGGAATATTATTATTCCAATGAACCCCTTTTAGTTTAAAATCTAGAGTATATGGTGAGTATATGGTGAGCATATCTCATTGTGAAAAAATGTGTGATGCTGTGGTAGAATCGATGTTGGTCTGCCGTATTTGAACCTTTGACTGGGGGGCGGCTGTGGGGAGATCCACCCAAGCAGCCGTAAGCTCTCTGCAATGCTATCGGCCTTTTGAGAGACGGACCATAGTAGGTAAGGCTTGACAAAAAGGCGTACATGGTGCAAGCCTAGGGGTAGAGATCCACTGTGTCTGATAAAGGCAGGATATCGAAGAGCGCAAGTCAATCCGATCACTCAAGGCAAAAGGTAGCGAGCTTGCAACAGCCTCCCAAGGTTGCAACTAGCCCAGGTTAATCATTGCTCTGCAATTCTCAAAGAGCACCGACAAATCGGGACTCCGATCAGGGTTGGGGTCTCAGAGCAGAGCTGCAGCTGTAGGATTTAGTACCACCTGCAGGAAACCAGGCAAGAGCCGCACCATGTCCCATATCGAAGAGCAGTTGCCGCCGTCCTCCGAAGCTCCAACGATCCTAATCACAAGACGCCTCCTTTGAACACTTCGCCGCCGGACCAGACCACAGCCCGTCATCGTCGTCGTCCCCGTCCCACAGCCAACATTCTCCAGACTTCACAGTCGTCGGCATGGACAAGCAGCCCTGACCCGGCGCCGAGGACGGCAGCAACCCTCCCCCGGGGGGGTCGTCGAGTCGTCGCGGGTTGGGAGAGGCAGCTACGGCATAGTCGAGGGTAGCAGGGAGATGTACTGGTATGAACACTGATACAGAATCATTGATGTGCTGACACCTCATCCATTCAACCAACAGCTCGATAGAGGTACCGTATCATCAGAAAAGATCTGAAAAATACATGATATAATTCGTGGCTTAGGTCAACGCGATCGTGAAAAGTATTCCTGTGTCTTGGGCGTCCGACCAGCTTCATACTGCTTGAAATGACGTACAGAATAGACGCAAAGCCAGTTGACGTCTCTCAGCTCTCTCCTCCAGCGTACTGTCCATGTAGTACATATGAAGTCAGCTTCACCCCTCTCGAGCTCACCGGCTTCCACAGAGGGCCGAAACTGCACTTTACACGCCCTTGCGTGATCGGGTCGAGAACACCACGCAGGCTATGTTGAGGCTTAGACAAGCATGTGAGCCAGTTGCATTAGGCCGTCCAGCAATCAAATGGCAGATGCTTTGCACTGCCATACAGTCGCTACTCGAAGCGAGGTGGCACTGCCTGCAGGGAAATCCTCGAGCAACAGCCTCCGATCTGCCTTCACACTGCCCTCATCTACACATGATCAAATTGGATGTCGCATCTTCGTCGGTCCCGCAAACTTGATTGGTATCGCCTGCATGCGAGCCTCCCATGAGCCGGGCGCATGGCTACCTCGTTGCCGTTGTAGTGCGTCTAGTCGCGCGGTACAACACTAGACTGTACTAGTATATGTGAGTGGCCAGCAGTCCTCCGTCAGGTGATGACTTGACCATGGCTTTGGCGTTGCATTGGGTACCAATGCGGCATACCATGGTCTCCCTCAAGCGTGTGCTGTTGCTGACGGCATGTCCTACCTACGTGCAACTGGCCGAGGAGGCCTCCTCATTCCCCGCGTTTCCAAGCTATTAAATAAATGAGAGTACCTTGCCTAAGGCCTTCAGCATGCCGTTGCGCGACTGATTGAGCGCCCTCTTTATTTTGCTCGTTGAAACGCGCAGAATGAATGGATTCCCGTACAAACCTCTGAGCGGTCCTGATGAAATCAGAGCCCTCATACTCGAACCGCCTTCGGATCATACAGCCTGCTTAAGTGGGTCTCTGAAGACTATTAAACTGTCAAACATCGAGCTTAAACCTGCGGCTTATGGCCCAGTGGCCACCAGGTGGTCGTGGTGGTACACTGAAGAAAAGACAACCCAGCTAAAAGTCGCAACGTCCAAAACCGGTCAACAGCGGTATGCGCTCACAACTTGAAATAAATCACTGAGGTGCTAATGAGCGGCGTGATCAGGTTGGTCGAAACGCAGGTGTCTGTACCCGGATTCAGTTGCCAACGCGGAAAGTACGAGAAGAATGAATATGACGCATTGTCGTATACTTGGGACAGCGAAGAAAAGCCACACACGATTCAGGTTGGCAAATACACAATAAGTATAGGGGCCAACTTGAACTTGGCTTTGTTGAGACTGAGGGACGAGGCCTCCATCCGAGTGATATGGGTGGATTCAATCTGCATCAACCAGGCAGATGTTCGAGAGCGAAATCACCAGGTCCACATGATGAAACACATATACTCGAAAGCTGCATCAGTCGTTGTTTGGCTTGGACCGGAAAATGCAGCATCACAAGCGGCCATGGATCTGATCCTCCGTTATGCACGATATGCACGATGCGGGTTGACTATTACTGACAGCATCCTGGATCAGACGGAGAAATCTCTGGCAGGGCTCTCCGATATCTTCCTGTGGAGTTGGTGGAAGCGCATATGGATTGTCCAGGAGGTCGTCGCAGCCCGGGAGCTGATCATTTTCTGCGGCAGGTACATAGTGCCGTGGCTGCGCGTCCAGCACCTGTGTGCCATGATCAGAAAGGACGAGTTCTCTTCTAGAGAGAAGGCGCGTTTCTTGAGGAGCAGCGGCTATCAAAACTTCACCACCCTGGACGGGTTCCGAAGGGCTCGCGGCAGTATGGGCCTTGCGAAATACCTGCAGTGCACCAAGGACTATGAGGCGACTGATACGCGAGATAAGTTATACGCGCTCATAGGAATATCATGCGACATCAGCCCGGACGATATTGTGCCTGACTATGAGAAGTCGACGAGAACGGTCTTTCTGGACTTGGTCCGTTTTCTCGTAACCAGGAGGCGCAACCTGGACATCATATCCTCCGGGCGCCTGTCTCGGCCGGCGCTAATGTCGTCAGAGCTTCAGCTGGAGGGCCCCAAGAGCGATATTCCTTCGTGGTTACCGGATTGGCACGTGTCGAAAGGCCTTCGAGCTCTCGATAGCGAAGGTGAGGATGGCGCGTGTTACCTGGCTGGAAGCGATGCGGAGGCCGTCGTGAGGATGGATCATTTCCCTCTTGTGCTTGAGGTTGAAGGAATCGTTGTGGACAAGGTGGACCTTTTCGGTGGTTCCATTACTTCTCCTACACACAAAAGCCTCCCAACGCTACAACGCTGGAGAGCACCTATACCCAGACAGCTTCGGAAAGACAACGCCTGTTTTCTGGGACACAATTGTGGCAGGAAGAGTAGTCCGGAGAAAGCAGGGTCCCAATTATGGCTCATTCGCAACGCCCGCTGCCATGTGGAACTCGGGGCAGGGGTTACCAAAAGGCTCAGCGCAATACAAGGATGAGCTCCAAAAGTTCGTGGCTGAGGCGATGTTTCTGCCCCAAATGACCATGTGCTACATGGACGCATTGACGAGGGCCGTGATGGGACGACGATTCTTTGTCACAAAGAAAAACAAGATGGGTCTTGGGGGTCCGGAGATCCAAGTCAACGACCGAGTTGTTGTCGTCAAGGGCTGCTCGGTGCCCCTCATAATGAGGGCTGTGGGATATCACATGGTCATCATTGGCGAGTCGTACGTGTCGGGAATCATGGATGGGGAGGTTATCAAGGGTCTGGCTAGCGGTCAGTATAAGTCCAGGATGATTAAGTTACAACAGTGATGGAGCAAGGCATCTGCAATGTGGTTGAGCATGGATGTGATGTTTGTGGGAGGACAGATCTTCGTAGGCAATAATGCAAAAGAGTACCCCCGTCTTCCCACGTCCGCCCCGCCCCGCTCCTGAGCCGCATCAATCACCAATACCCACCGCCGCCGGGCACGAAGTCGATGAGCGGTGCGCGGGGCCCGCGGTGGTGGTGGTGATAGTGATGTCTTGGCGGCGAGCAAGGCGTTGGAGGCCCGTGATGGTGGTGTGGTGAGGTTTGTGGTAGACCGTTTTGGGCGGTGGTTTTTTGGGTGGAGGGGGGGGGGGTTGAGTCGTCTGTTTCGAGTGGCCTTTCTTTCGACAGCTTTTATAACGGCGGCAATGCAGCCCTTCAAGATGCTCCAGATAGGCAGGCTTGTAAACCGCCGACTGTAGACGGCCAGGTACTTAGGGAGGACAGTTACTTCCTGTGTGACGTCGTCAATACCAACCCAAGCCATTTACTTATATCCAAACCTACATCTCTTAACGGACCGCCCAAGCAGACATGACAGGCGTGCTGTGCTCCCTGTGGCGCATTAGTTGCGAAACCAAAAACGGGAACAACAGTACAGCACGTCTCCACAAGGGCACAGCCTCATTCGTAGGTGGGCGGGAGTTGGCAGGCCCTTGTTTTCTGGGGAACACCCCGGCCCAGGCTGGGTAGGCGAGTCGCTCCCATTGGGCAGCAGTCTTGTTCCTGCATCCGCTCGTGGGGCCAGGGCCACGGTGGGTCGGCAGGGCGGCCGATGGTGCCCCACAAGCCGAAGGGCAGGGGCTTAAATCCGACTTCATCTCTACGGGCAGCGTTAGGCAGGGGTGATCGGTTGCTTTTTCCTGGCGGTAAAAGCTTGTACAAATTATTAGCAACACATGGGCACGGGATTTTAATCATGGCATCTGGGTGCTACTCATTAATAAGCGTACCGTAGACGACATGCTATTTTTGTACCTATCGACGGGATCCAGCAGACTCGTCTAAACTGCGTCCGTCCCTGGCCAGACTTCTTCTTGAGGCCAAACCTTTAGAGAACCATTCAACCACAGACGCATAAAACATCTACCAGACTCACTCATGTGCTCTTGCTCGTGATCTACCACATGCTGTTGCCAGAGGAAGCGGCCCAAGCAGGGGCCTCCTCAGAGGTGGTCTCCCAAGGAGCCGGGCCCTCGGTGGTGACCAGCGCAGCAGCCTGGCTCCATCCGTCGCCAGCGTCACCAACGCCGCCCGTCACCTCCACAGCCGCAGTGTCCCAGCCGCCGCCGACGTCAGCAGCACCAGTCGCGGAGTCGAGGCCGCCGGTGAGGCCAGCAGCCTCGGCGGCGCGGGCGCGCCGCTTCTCCTCGCGCTTGCCCTCGATGTACTCCTTCTTCTTGTTGAACTGCTCGTGAATGTCCTTATCGAGCTGCGGGTACTCGACGCGCATCTGCTCGAGGAAGGACATGTACTGGTCGTACTCGGGCCCCTCGAGCTTGTAGGTCCACCACGCCTCGAAGATGGAGATGGCGGCGGCCTCGCGCAGGTCGGCGGCGAGCTCGCCGTTGGCCTCGCCGGCGTAGAGGCGCTCGACGAATCCGAGGTCGATCAGGTGCCTGCGGGCGTATCCTGGGGCGCGCTGCGTGTGGACGTGGTAAGCGAGCTGGTGGAGGCTGGCAGCGGGGTTAGGGGGGAGTTGTTACCTTCTTCAGGCCGTTCTGGAGCGAGCCCTCGGGGATCTTCAAGAGGTTCGCCACGGCGATGACCTCGAGCAGGACATGCAGCTGGTGGGGGCGCTCGTCCTCGCGCTGCTCGGGATCGGCCTCAAACTCCTCAATCTGTTGCCACGGATTAACATTCAGCGCTGTGGAAATTGTTGAAGGGGGGTGGTGGCTCACGTCAGGGAACTTGACATCATTTCCCTCGTCGATGCAGAGCTTGATCCAGTCAAGAATGAGCATGTACACATCCAGGTGCTTTCCGTCGATCACGAGGTACTCGGGGTTGGCCTCGAGCTTCTTCTTCCAGACGGGGCTGAAGATGGCCAGGGCAGCGCGAGAGAAGGCTTCCACGAAAGGGGTAAGCGGGGCCTTGTGGTCAGCTCGCTGCCAGATGGGGATCATCTTGTCCTCGCCAATCTGGTGCTTGTCGCGGAGCCTGCCGTGGTTGATGCAAACGCGCTGGTTAGACAGATATCGCGTGCTACACGAGGAACAAGCAACGGCAAGGAAAACAGCTTTCAGGCTGAGACAACTCGTGATGGCAGGACTCACTCCTCAAGATCCTTCTGGCGCAAACGCCTGGGCTTGCTGGCCTGATCGGTCGGCGGGACGTCGTCCTCCATCATGCTGGCGGCGGTGGTGTCGTGCTGGGTGGTCATGAAGTGCAACGCCCAAAAGGGTTGACGGGTGTAGACTGGAAGAAAACAGAGATGGCTGCAAGAACGAGGTGGAAGGCTACAAAGTGGGGCCCTAAAAGGCAGCCTCAAGGCGGCAGGTACGTCAGAGTGAGCTTGCCGCCTTGAAAATGGTCGAGCTGAAGGGTGGGCTTTGGAAGGCAGCAGGACCGGGCAGGGCGGGCCCACCTCAATTGACGGCTTGGGTGCAAACGGCCGTTTTGACCGGTACGGCCTTCAGGAGACGGGCTGGCACCTGCTCGGGCTGTAGATTGCAAGACACAGACAGGTTTGGAAGTTGGTATGAGCCAGCTTTATCCTCTCTTGTTTTATCCAGGCAGTCAACAAACTTCCAGACAGGATTTTGGAATGTCACATCTATCTGCGGGGCCAAATAATGCAGATTTGGTCCCCCATTTGGTTCTTATGCAAGTAGCCGCGTGATGAGTCTTGTTGTGATTGCTGCCTTGAGTTGTCATCATCCAGCATTTGGCCTCCCGCCGAGCACATTCTTTGCAGGTTTTGCAAGCTGGAGCACTTATTCCTAAATTTGGCTTCACAGAGTCAAAGCAGACAAAGCTTAAGGTTCATTTTTGATCCATCGTCTTAGGCCTCGTATGACTGTTCTCACAGCCACCGCACCTGAGCGGTGCAAAGCCCTGATTTCATTTTGATCATCTCATCAATGAGCTTGCCCCATTAGATACTTAAGTCCTGATATCGCCCCATTATATGCTGTCACATTCATGAAATGCCCTGGTTTGGAATGCACCAGCCCAGTTCTCCTCTACTTAAACTTCCCCTCCTGCATGGATGTAGCGAGAATGGCTGCTCTTGTTGCCGCAATAAGAGGAAATTCTCCTCAAGGCAGGCCGGAGCCTCCCGTGGCGGGCCGGCCCGTGGCGAGCTGCCCCCTATTTGGAAACGGCGGAAGATCATTTGAACTTGGCGGCAACTCATGGTTTTTGATCTTTGAATCCCGGCCACGCACCTCCTCCGGTGGTGTTGACCATCAAGAATGCTCAGTCCGTAGCAGCTAATACGAGACACCCACTACCAATGCCGCCAACCCAGTGGAGAAAGGCGTTGGAAAGGACAGTTTCAATACAAGACACCACACTGAGACAGGCATCATCACATGTTTCCAGGAAGCATTTTGGAGAAGCATTTCCATATAAAAGCACAGGCTACTTCAGCCTACCTACCAAAATCAAAAGCTCCTGCCACCAGCATCTAGGCCCAAAAGCGTCACACAACGCCCATTGCTCGAATTAAACACAGCCGGGGGTATCTCGGGGTACCCTGAAAGCAAAGACGCCAAAAGCAGACGACCAACAACCTGATCTCGTAAAAAAGATGTTCAGGAGGGAAGCCTGACGGAGGCCACAGTGGTTGTTGTGGATGATGAATAACAAATCCAGCCATACAAAGCCAGCAACAGAAGTGATGCGATAGATACACCTCTGAGCGGTGGGGGCGACGAGAGCACACATGTCCTCCCCGGCCGCCACCTCCACCATCCCGACTTCCATGCTGGCCAGCCCCTCGCCTGGCGTGGGACTCCACAGAGTTGCGTGGGCCTCAGTCAGGGCGAGATCTCGAAGGTTCAGCAGACGATCCGGGTGCAGAGCAGGCAGCAGCAGCAGCAGCAGCAACAACCTCCAAAGCAGGCCTGAACCTGGCGCCGCAGTCTGGGACGAGCATTAACTCGCCAGATTGTCTCTTTGGAGGCCTTGGGACTCATTAACTCTCCTGGGGGTGTTGTTGTTGTTGTTGCCGCTGCTGCCGCCGCTGCTGCTGCTGCAGGGGGCCTCCGCCGCTCGTCTGGACTCGCTTCTGGGCGCGGGCATCACCACCAGACGTGCTAGGGGCCGCGCGCTTCCTGCTAGTTAAGCCGCTGCGCTGGGTGTCGGCAGCCCCAGATGAAGACGCCGCGAAGCTGCCAGCAGAAAGGAGGGTTGCTGGCGTGGGCTGGCACGGTGGTAGAAGCAGCACCGCCCAGGCACCCTTCTGGCTTACGGAGCCCACACGGCTGGTGGGGCTCGTGTTGCGATTCACCTCGTTCCGAGATCTGAAGGCGCTCCCGGTCACACGGGCGGTTTTGGCCTTGGAGGGGGGGATGCCGCTGCCCGAGGAGGAGCCAGTGGTTGGAGCGTCGTTGTCATTGCTGCTTCTCTGGAATCTTGAGGGTGAACCCTACCTTGTACTTGTGGAAGTCTGATGGTCCTGGGGGGCGGCCCATTTGCTCTTGATTCTTACGAGTTCTTCCAAGTGGCCCTTGATCGTGATCTTGACGTGCTTGAAGCCCGTCTCGAAGCCCTTTTTGAGCATTTCCTCGGTGATTTCTGCGGGGACCTGGGGAGCTGCCGCGTGATTGAACACTATCCACCCCGTCATACTTCTGCAAGCGGCCACAATTTGTCTCTTCGCACCGCGAGGGACCTAACCAGGCATTGGGATGCGGTCATCAGCCTTGTCGCGATACTGATCGATCGCCTGCTCCATCACATCATGGCACAACATCTCACAGCCGTCTACGAGTAATTGAGCATCGATCTTGCTTAGTATTTCATTCCCTTGAGCATGTGGGGCAAGCCCAAACCGAGACCATGTTTGCTAAGAGCCTCGGCCAGGGTACATTTTCACAGGCCGTCGGCCTCGGTAACAAACTGCACCGCTGGGTTCTAAACAGCCAAGTCGGGCCTGTCAACATACGATGCTCGGGGGGCTTCGAGGGGCAGTCGTTTGCCCAGAGCTTCGAAATTGCGATTCTACTGGCTGGGGATGGTCAAAACAAGGGTGTCAATTTGCATCTGGAACTTTTCAGGGTCCCACTGTTCAAGCTTTCTCTTCGTTGTTTCGAAATGAAGCAAAAGAGTTGGTCGACCGCCTACTCCAGGCGAGGGTAGAGTATCTCCTTGGTCACCATCTTTTCCTCTTCACGCAGTCGTTGGAGGATCGGCCACTCCTACATGAATTCTTCCTTCTTGCCGACAAACGCTTAGCAGCGTACTTGGCAAAGTATTCAACGGCGAGGACACTGAACAGACAGATACGTTAGCCGTGACTGGATTTTCAGAGTGGGTTCTGTTTCTTGTTACCTTGCGCGCTACAACACGGCGGAGGCAGGGTGACGATGTGGAGATCAGAGGGGATTCGCTCTGGCGTTGTGTCCGTCGAGGTCGCGCTGAGTTTGGGTGGAGGGGGCTCAGCAGATTTTTGTTGCGACCAAGAGCCCACTTCCGAGGGGAAACAGTCCCTGTTCTGCCCTTAGCAGTAGCTTGTACCCGAGTCCGCGTGAAGTCCACGGCCTACCTGACTTCAGCTTGCGATCGATCCTCACAATATTGTTTGTTGAGTCTGTCTAGGCCACGCGTTCTGGCAGGGCAGCTCTTTACCTTCAATGCGCCTCTAGAAAGGTGGAGGCCAGGCTACTCGTCTCCGTTTCACATGTAGGCATTCCTGAAGAGTGTTGTCGAGTAGCTACCTACTTGCATACGTGCGAGACCTACAGCTACCTTGTCACATCAGCCAAGTAAAGGAAGTGAATAGTTATAGTCACCTGGGCGGTGAATGAAAACGCGTAAACACCTACTTACTGAGTAGTGTTGTTGGTCGCCTGGGGCGTGAGAGCTCCCGCTCAGAGGTCGTTTACGCATACTGCCGTTTGTTTACAAGATTGGGTGTTTGTTGAAGCTCACCAATGTGAGTTTGAGCGTCATTCACCCAACTCGCTCCATTGAATCCTTTCCCACAAATTTCGAGCTGCCACCTTCGCTCCTGAGCGACTGTCGACTTCCATCCACCCTTCCATCAACCAACCTCCATCCACCCCTCCATCAACCACCTCACCACCCACCTCACCACACCTCCACCCCCGACACATTCCACCCACCAGACTCCCCACAGACACACATCGATCAGACCACCAGCACTTCTCTGCACTCTTGTACACAAGATCAATCTTGTCGATTCTGTGTGCTGCCACAATCTGGTGCTTGGTCTTCGCACAGCGACCTTGATCAGCTGCGCCGCCTTCCAGATCTTCGAAGGTTGACAACCCAGTGTCTACCCAAGCCAGCGACCAAACCTGTCAACAATCAATTGACACCAAGGTAAATACATACCCAGCCATCATCTTCTTCTTCCTTGCCCCGTTTCCTACTCCAACCTAAGACCTCAAATCACCACCTCCATCTTGCCCAAAGACCTGTCGTCTGCGACCGCTGGCCCTTGACCGACCGACCTCAATCCCAAACATCACCAACACTCGCTGACTCTACCCCGACAGCACGTCGCAACGACTCTTCTTTGCCAGCCGGCCTAATAATCAATTGATACCAAGGTAAATAAACACCTAGCCACCACCTTCTTCCTCCTTTCGCCGTTTACTACTCCAACACGAGACCTCACACCTCTATCTTGCCCAAAGACCTGTCCTTGACCGACCTTCCTCAATCCCAAACACCACCAACGCCCACTGACTCTGCCCCGACAGGACGTCAAGACGACTCTTCTCTGCTTGACGTCTCTTGTCTGCCCAACCATCAATTGATACCAAGGTAAATAAACACCAAGCCACCACCTTCTGCCCCACTTTGCCATTCACTGCTCCAACACGAGACCTCATTCACCACCTCGTAATTTGCCCAAGACCTGTCGTCCTGCGACCGCTGGTTCTTGACAGACCCTTTTCAATCCCACACATTACCAGCACTCGCTAACTCTGCCCCGACAGCAACAGTACGCAACAGTACGTTGCGCCGACTCTTCTGTGCCTAAACATCAATTGACACCAAGGTAAATACCCACCCACCACCTTCTACCCTCCTCATCCCGTTTGATACTCCAACCCGAGACCTCAACCACCTCGTATCTTGCCCAAAGACCTGTTGTCCTGCGACCGCTACAAATGGTTCAATTGTTCTTGACCGACCTTCCTCAATCCCAAACATTGTCAGCACTCGCTGATCACTGACTCTGCCCCGACAGGACGTCGCACCGACTCTTCTCTGCCCAAAGGCCAGAAAACACTTTCAGCCTACATTGAGCTGTCAATTCACCTACTACACAATCATCCCACCCAAGCGGACAAACAATCCGCAACTACCAAATTACACAAGAGCCTCTACACCCCAACCTTCCCCCCTCGCCATACTTTTCTCCCCTAGTATCACCTCGACTCACCATCACCATGGCCGAGTCCAATCCCACAACGAGGGAGGTGTCCACCACCCACGGCAACCGCACCGGCGACAACGAGCTGGTAATTGAGAGCTATCGCGTCATGTGCTCTCGCAAGAACGAGGAGTCTGCCCTCCAGCAGCAGCAGATCGAGCTTTTGAAGCAGGCTCTGGCGGAGAAGTTTCTCCCGCTGCCAGCCGGGCTTGCGGCCCTGGACCGCCAGCTCGACGAGCTCAAGAGCCCCCGCGAGGGAGAAGCGCTCGCGCAGGCCGATATGAACAAGGGACAAGGTGCATCCCCAGGCGCCAAGTCTTCTCAGGTATGTCAGCTTCCCATGTCTGGGTTGTGTCGATTCCGTCAGTGCCTCTTACTTAGACATTTGCTAACACTTGAAAGCAGAAGTTGTCCGATGAGCCAGAGGAGAATGACTCTGAGCCAGAGGAGAAGACCCCCGAGCCAGAGGATGCTGGCGACGTCACTCTCATCACAATCCGTGACGAAGACACTCCGGTCGCCAGAATCCTGGCTAACAAGCCTATCACGGCGAACATGACCCCCACCCCCCGTCGCCACCCCGAGCCAGAAGATGCTGGAGACGTCAGTCTCATCACAATCCGCGACGAAGACACTCCGGTCGCGAGAATCCTGGCAAACAAGCCTATCACGGAGAACATGACCCCGACCCCTCGTCGCACGCCCTTGCCATCCTCGTGCAGGAGCAAGAAGGGTCTGAACCTCATTGAGCAGGCTTGGAAGGCCAGGGAGAAGGCCATGGACTTCAACAGCGGCAACGTCGGCAACGCGACCCCGGCTCCCGTTCGCCGCCACACACAGGCGTCCGGCCCCTCAGCCTCGCCCCAGCAGCCTTCCCCTCGTCCCCATGGTGACGAGGCGCACGAGAGCCCCGCTGGAGAGCAGAGCTTTTTTGACATGTACGAGTACCCGGACCCGAATGCGGATCGCTTCGGTCCCCCGCCCGAGGGAGCCGACGAGCTCGGGGCGGATGACAGCTGCATGAGTTATCAGCTGTCTTCAGATGGTGAGGACGGGGCCGATGCCAGCGCCCACAACTCACCCAACAAGCAGGCGTGGGATCTTCCTGACTACGAGGATTCCGAGGACGAGGCTCCCGTCCCCAAGAGGCGCAAGGTTGCCGATGAGGCTCCGGCTTCCGCCTCGGCCTCGGCCTCGCCCGCCGCCAAGGGCAAGGCTCCTGCTCGTACTCCTGTCTCCGCCGCCAACAAGGGCAAGGCGCCTGCTTCTGCCCGCGCGAGCTTGTCACGCAAGCGAAGCCGCGACGACATCGAGGCCGACGCCGCTGAGCAGCCGCACAAGAGGCAGCGCAAGAGGCTCAGCCAGGACGACACTCCTGCTGCTGCTACCGAGGACGAGGCTCCCGCTGCTCCCGTCGAGAGCGAGGCTCCTGTCGTTGCCTCCCAGAGTGAGGCTCCTACTGCTGCTGCCGCCCAGGGCAAGGCTTCTTCTACTGTTGCCTCTCAGAGCGAGGCTCCTGCCGCTGCTCCCGTCCAGGGTGAGGATGTCGATGCTGCTGCTTCCCAGGGCGAGGCTCCTGTTGTTGCCTCCCAGAGCGAGGCTCCCGCTTCTGCCAAGGGCAAGGCTGCAGCTGCTCCGGTCACAAACTCGTCGGGCAAGCGGTCTCGCGACGGCGGTGACGATAGTGCCAGCACCACACCCGCGCGGGCTTCGAAGAGGCAGAAGACGTCTCATGCCTTGGCTGAAGCGCCTGTTGCTGCTGAGTCTGCAGCTGCTGGGGCCAGCGAGCAACCCAGCCTGGAGGATTACCAGCGTCTTTCGGGACGGGTGGTCCAAACCCGCCTCCAGCAATTGCAAGGACAAGAGAAGCTTGAGGAACGGTGGGCCGGTCTCGCCCCCAGCCCTGTCCCCGAGCCGTTCACGCCTGAGGGATCCCCCGCGCCAGGAGCCGGGCCTTTTAAGGAGGAATCCCCTGAGCCAGGTGTCCTCTTCGAGCGGGAATCACCTGAGCAAGACGAGCCTGTGGTAGCTGGTCCGGCTCACCAGCAGGCCGCGGATAATGCGCCGCCGCGCGTGCCAGCCACCAGGAGACTCGGCCTCACCGACCAGGGCACCATCACCGTCACGCAGCTGAGCAAGATGTCCAAGTACAGGACCACCGCCAACACCAGGACCGCCTTCAACGAGAAGGGTCCCATCGCCAACCGCCCGTGGGTGTTCGCGTACACCTTTGGCGACCAGTACGCCCTGTACGTCATGCACTGCCCCACGAAGGGCTGCCCCAGGGCGAATTACGACAACAGCCCGGATGCTTTCACTGTGCACCCTCTCCGGAACATGAGTGGCACCGTCCGCCACCTGGAAGAGTGCTGTGGCGACGCTGGTGGTGGCGACACAGATGTGCTGGTGCGCAAGTACTGCAAGCAAGGTAAGTGACATACATGCTCCCCTTCCCTGCAGCCTAATAAGTACCCGTCCCCGAAATACTGACGAGAATGTCCTTCAATAGTGATCAGCGATCGCAGGAGGCCCATCACCATCGAGTGGGCTCGCAAGTGGAACAGCGACTTGGTTGACCTGTACGGCAACTTCGCCAACTTCGGGCAGGACAACGTCTTCTGAACCACTCGTCCTTTCACCGCCGACCACTACCGACTGATCGGGCCGACGGGACGGACAGAAAGACGCACACAAGACCGAAAAGAAAAAAAAAAGAAAAGAAAAAGCAACAAAAAAATGTACAAATAAAAGGCAGACGTGGTCGCCTCCGAAGCAGCTCTTGCTTGTCGACCACGCCCCGGACGGACTGCCAGAAATGCTGGCCCCCGACATCACACTGAACAGATATTTGTATCAACACATGAGAGGAAGTCAGGCTTCGTCCTGGCAGTTTGTGCAGCCGAGGAAACGCTGCCCCCATTTTAGAGGAAAACCCCACAACACTCTACATCCTCTGACGAATTCCTTACGAAGTCGAGTTCACTCCTTCGCAAGAATTCCTCGCCTACCCGCATGACACCCTACATCCTCCACCGAATTGCTTGCGAAGTCGAGTTCACTCCTTCGCAAGAATTCCTCGCCTACCCGGACCACACCCTACATCCTTCCCCGAATTCCTTGCGAAGTCGAGTTCACTCCTTCACAAGAATTCCTCGCCTGCCCGCACGACACTCGCAACTGGCTGCGAGCCGCTCCGCTGGGCACACAAGGTCCTACAACCGCTGGAATCGATTCCAATGCTCCAAGCATAAAAGAAACCCTCGCCGTGGTGCTGACATACCCTCCACTCCTTGGGGTCGAGTCAACTCCCCCTTGGATGAAAAAGTCCACCACCGGTTGAGATACTCCTTCTGCGGTTCAACACATTCTTCTGGGGGCAACAACCGGCCACATCCTCAATAACTCATATCATTATCTTCCGACCTCAAAATTTTGGGGCATTGTGGGAGACCAACAAAAGAAGAAAAAAATTGTAAACCACAAAACAGCTTGCCGAGGTGTGCTCTGTCGACTCACTTGGCCGGCTGGCCACGCAAAAAAAAAGAGAACGGAAATTCACGTACCCTCAATCGGAAGGCGCGTACCCTCCCTACTATTCGACCAATCAGAGCACAAAGCCTCAAAGTCTTCACGACTTCAACAAATAAGGCTTCTTCGCGATAAGGGACCACAAACAGGGCGGGTTGGTCCTCTGGGAACTCGGGTCGTGCCTACCGGCCCTACTCACGGCCCTCCGCTATGCTTCGCGCTCCGGGGCTCGCCCCCTTCGCCCCAGCCGGCCCTTTCGAGAAGAAGTCGTCTTGTATAGAATACTTCTTAGTCAGCAGATGGGTACGCGCCTTCCGATTGAGGGTACGCGAATTTCCGTTCTCAAAAAAAAAAAAAAACATCTAAAAAGGGGAAAGAATGGAGGTGTCCAAGGATGCAAGAGATACATATGTAGACTATGACCAATCCATAACCCATGATTAGAAAACCCTAGTTCCGTTGTGCTCTCTGTGAAATGACATTAGATCATGATTCTCATGCTACCAAGGCGATTCCACATCATATCACATCGCCTCACATGGCGCTCATCTTCCTCACCAAGCCAGAATTGACCCATCCCCTAGCAAAGTTCCTCCCGCTAACCAGCAACACGCAAATCTACCACACCCGACATAGCCATCGTACCACCTCACAAGCGACCCCTCACCCCCAGCCGCCGCGACAGCACCCCGGCGGCGGGGTGGGCGAGGCTGAAGGCTGAAGGCCGCCGTGAGGAAGGCGCCCATCGCGGCGGCGAGGAGGAGCTGCGCGGCGGTGGGGGCGACGGCGGCAGGAAGAGAAGTGCTATATAATATACTAGGGGCGGGCATATCGCCGCCTCGGTGGTCAGGGGCCTCGCCTCGTTCCCGGGATGGGATGCAGGCCTGGTCTTGGCTCGGCTGATGCGAGTCTGTCGATCAGCTCGACGAACTGCATGGCTTGGGGATTGGAGACACGCTCTCAGGAGATAGGGTTTTACAGAATGCCATGCAGGACATATGCTGCTTTGCAGCTTTGCAGCCAACAATCGTGCTATTTGCTGGTGTGTGTACAGAACTATGGCAATGGCATTGCAGACCAATGATGATGTCAGCACTGGTCGGATCTAGATCGAGATGCAGCATCTGACGCCGCAAGCGCGTGTGGTTCGCCAAGGCCCAAGGCCGAGCACTGATCAACAGGAGACCTCGACTCGTCGCACAGGCAGGCACTTTCAAGGTTGTCCAGCCCATCTGCCAGACACAACCTTGGCCGGCTCCGATGTGGTGGAGCACTGGCGTCTCCGGAGTCGACGGAGTACGAGAAAAATGACTCGGCAAAAGAGCAAACGTCGGGTACTGCGAAGAAGGCTGGGCAGCTGAGCAGCTGGGTGCGCTGTTCAAGAATGTGGTACATCTGACACGTCCGCCCGAAAAGTAAGACAGTCAGGCAGACTGGCAGAACTGGCAGACCCGCTGACGGCATGACGGCCTGACCGACTGTCCCGTCCGGCCATGGACCTCATGTTTTTTTTCTGTCGCTGATGAGTTGGCAGAGTCGTTAGGGGCCAATACCCAGCATGGCACGTTGAGATTTTGCGACCATTTATTATCATTAATCTTGGACATGTTGTTGAACAGGAGCGGTGGACGAGAGACAGGGGTATAAAGAGTTTCATCATGATGCAATTGCAGAGCATTCATTCATCGAGCCAGGGTCAAGGGTTGCAAACGGGCGGCACGCTGGGTCCTTAGCGCGACCTCCGTCCGGCCAGCCAGACGGCCCAGAACAGAAGCTGGTTAATTCTCCGTATGTGTGTACTCCGTACTGCCGTACCCGGTACGCTACTGTGGTACGGGAGGTGCTGCAGTGTGGAGTACCGAGTGACAAGCTGGAGGGAGCAGTTCCGAGCGAAACGGGCACACGTCGGGAAACGGGCAGGCGGGCGGCAGGAACGGGACCGGGGGCTGTAGCGAGCAGGGGATTGGCCTGTAGGGAGCTATGGCCCACAGAAACGCGAGCTCGACGCCGTTCGTGGCAGCATTCGCGTCTCCAAAACGGTTGCCCCGCAACTGAGCGTCACAATGTTGACGGGGCTCCATCCAACCATGCCCAGACGGGCTGGACGGTCGTGACGACCCACAGGCGCCAATCCACACCCTGGCGCTGCCCGGCACGTCCTCGCGAAACCAGGCTGACGAGAGAGAGGAGGAGGCGCCATATCAGACAAGCACAACGCACACCATGCCATGCCACACACAACCCGACCAACACACACACACACACTCTCGGAAACACACACACAACCCGACACCCTAGTACACATGCAGAGTTGACATTCTCAGCTGCAACAAACTGTGGAGGCGGCCAATCACACCCCAGCGTAATGCCTGTTGCAACGCTCTTTTCCTTTTTTTAGTCGTCCACACCCGTGGCCCATCCCACCTCTGCCTCCCATTGTTTACAGCCGGTCCACCGTCCAATCCATCCCGCGAACGCTCGCTCCCCCGGCTAAATCTTGCTTGTGTGCCTGCATCCCGAGAGGACCAGGCGCCCTCGACAGGTCAACATGTGGTCAGGCTCGCCCCTCAAGTTTGAGCATTCGCAACATCCTCCCCAGCAGCTCAACCATAACAATCATCTCCACCTACAACACCAGCAGCAGCATACCCAGGGCCAGACCCAGGGCCAGGGCCAGGACGCAGAGTTCAACAATTTCCACATGCCACCGCAGGCTATGCCTTCCACACCAACACATCACCGCCGCGGCCAGAGCCTGAGCGCAATCCCTACTCTGCCTCGGACGCCAAACCACCACCAGCTGCGCCCGCCCGTCTTCCTCCACAGCCCCATGCAGAGGACCAATTCAAATGGGTTGATTGGCGTCGGCGATGTCTTTGCCTCTAACAACTTCGAGGACAACATGGGTGCGTTCACAGCCATTGGGCGGCACCAAGGCCACACGCACGCCCCAGGTCTTTTTCACACAAGTTGCTAACCTTCGTCCAGCATACTACTCACCAGTCATGTCTCCCGGCACGGCGCTCGAGAGCCTCAACGAGGAATTGACAAACTTCGACCTCGCCGGCTTCGGCGGCCCTTTGGGCTCGGTGCCCGGCGGCTCCTTCTACGAGTCGTCTCCCATGCCCTCTCCGGGCCAGACCACCTTTCCCTTCAACAATAACAACCCCTTCAGCGGTGCTCCAGAGTCGACCATGATCCCCTCGAGGACAGCATCCCCGCTGTGCACCAGCTTCAGTCCCGGGCCCGACTCGCAACCCACCGATATGCAGTCCTTTATCCGAACACCACAGCAGTCTCCCACAAGGCAGGGCTTCCGAGAATTCGTCTCCACCCCCGAGCCCTCGCCAACGCACCACAGCAATCCCCTCAAGGACTCGCTGCTGCAGGCACGACAACCCTCGCCCACCAGGGAAGCCGTTATAGAACAGCTCATCCGAACCCCGGATCCCTCGCCAACCCGCCACAGCTTCTCCCACGCAAGCCCACATCCCCATGGCAACCTCCTGCAGGGCGCCCCCGACCTGCGCCCAATGCACACCCCGAGGGGATCCGGGAGCCCCAACCGAAACCGCCAGTCCCCGAGCCCTACCCGGCGCATGCGCGCGCATCAGCGGACACAGAGCTTACAGAGCATCAACAGCGTCGTGAGTCTGGCAGATGGTGACATGGAGCAATACCGTGTCGAGTCGACCATCAAGCCAGAGCAGATTTCTGAGCTCATTGGCGAGACCGAGTCCCCGCCTGGAGCACCCGCACCACAAGATTCCGGCGCCCCTGGTGACAAGGCCTCCACCGGGACCGACGCCAACAAGAAATACATCTGCAAATGGATCGAACAGGTTACCAACAAGGACGGGTCGAGCGAGGACAAGACATGCGGCCAATTCTTCGAGCGCAAGGAGAACTGCAAAGCGCACATCCAGACACATCTCGACGACAGGCAATACAAGTGCCCGTACGGCTTCTGCGGGAAACTCTTTGTGCGATCCCACGACCTGCGAAGACACCTGCGGACCCACGACGTGCACAAGAAGTGGGTATGCCCCTGCGGCCGCGACTTCAGCCGCGCAGACGCACTACACCGACACCAGGGCAGGGGCAACTGCATCGGGGCACCGCCAGGGACGAAGCGCAAGGAGCCCGCCAAGCGCGGCAGGCCGCCAAAGAAGAAGGACGGCGTGCCGGGGGCCTCGGACCCCAACGCGCCGCCGACCATCGTGCCGCCCGGAGACCTCAGCCAGCCGCCGCAGCCGCACCTGAGCGGGACCAACCCCATCCACAACGGGCCGAGCTTCGCGCCCATGGGCGGCAGCAGCAGGCACGACAGCGCGGCCATCCTGGCCACCACGGAGGACGACCTCAACATGGACCTGCGCATGGACGGGCTGCCGAGCCTGGACATCGTCGACATGGAGCACCACCTCGCGCCGCCGGACCTGGACCCGAGCCCCAGCCCTACGCGGGACGCCGACACGTGCCACTCGAGCGGGTTCGCGTCCAGCAGCCTCGCGCCGAGCCCGCTGGGCGACGAGCTCAGCCCGTCGCCCGTGCCGCCCGACTGCGGGGACACCATGCTGTGCGGGCCGCCCGGGGACGAGTGGCTCGAGGACCTGATCTTTATCAACGACAACTTTGTCGAGAACGGGTCTGTCTGACAGCCGTGGCAGTCCGGGGCGGCCCTCGCCCGTCATAGCCTTCGGGCTAAATAGAAATAGCAGCATACCTGCCTGGCAGCCGGGGGCGAAATCCCCCATCTGACCCTCTGTGTACGATGTTCGAGCGAAGTCTTTGGGATTTGAAACGAGCGGGATCAGCAGCGCATCCTCTTCTTGTACTCCGTCTTTGGCCTCGCCTATACCTACCTGTCTACCTCCCTCCTTGTCGGTTTCGTTTCCTATACAAGTGCGCTTGCTGCGTCTCAGCAGAGGCCGTGATCTGTCTTGCTTCGCTTGGCGGGACTGGGCAGACCTTAAAAACGCACGGAGAGAGTCAGCGCAGGGAAAGGCGGCAGGCCTTTCTTGCCGGGTGGGCGGTGAGGCGTTTCTCTTTTTTTCTTTTTTTGCTTTGGGATGTTTAATAGAACGCCAGCGGGCAGCAAGACGCGCGCAGCCTGGCCCCTTCACACAAAGGCAGGCAGGCAGGCAGGCAGGCAGGCGGCTGATTGGGCCGGATGGCTCTGGTCTGGTCTGGCTGGTATGGGGACCTGGGATCAGGGGGGCGGTGTTCACTTATTTTATCTTATTTTATTTGTTCGATCTGCTAACTTCCTTTTGTATCCCGATTTTGCCTTATTTATTCCTTTACTTGATAACTACTATGAGCGAGGCGGACATTGCATGCTAGCAACGGGTTTTCTCTTTCTTGTTATTTGTCTCCTCCCTGCTTGGTGCTGTTGTAGCTAGATGTATTTACCTACCTACCTACGTAGTTCGGTCGTGTGGACCTGCTCGACCAGGTCTGAATGTCGAAAAGGGGATTGTTTATTTGTTCGGACTTATCACTCAGGTGCCTAAATCTGTCTACCAGTACTACTACCCTAAGTTATGTACCGAGGCGTGTGTGTGGATCATCATGAATGGTCTTTGTGGACGGCACGAAACGGTGGCACAACTTGCCCAGGATACAAGTAAGTCCCGAGATCGGTACCAAAACGGGTGGTTTTTTTCTTCTCTTTTTGTCCCGTGGGATTGGAAATTTTGTTACATCGGCCCTGCGGGATGGTGAACGTGCCCGGACCGGCCCCAGAATGCCCCAGTTTTTGGTGCTATTTCGAGACTTGGTTCATGCAGTTGGTTCGCGTGGGGCCTGTTGGTAGGTAGTGTAGTTTGGTCTATTTAGGTCACCACCAGGCTTGGCTGGATATATGGCAGACGGAATGTGTGTCGGTGGTCTTGGTGACTCGGGCCAGCCTGTCTAAGTGCTCAACTACTCCTCTTTCCGACACTGCATGATGTGCGGACGGACAAATGAAAGCAGGGCGGGTGCTCGGTTGGTTGCTGCTCACTTGTATGTTCTGCTGCCCCTGTGCGGCTGGTGAGATGGATAGTAAATAGTAGATCTGTTGGTTTCTCGCCAACCAGCCGAGACAAAAGCTGTCGGAGGGGGCACTATGGTAATAGTTGGGTATGAATGCCGTACGTCCGTCAGTCCGTCCTTCCATCCCGTCGCGGGCTGGACTGCAAGATTGTATGTGTATAGTTACGGCGACCAACCAACCAACCTGGCTAGCTGCCTGCTACCTCCTGGAAAGAGCTTGGCTTCGTGTTGCCCGCGTGGTAATGTCACGGATGTGTTCTGGTGGCAGCCCGAGCCGCCGCGTTGTGTATGCCTGACTAGGTGCTTGTTGAGCCCCGCGGTATCAAAGCTCAGCATGTTTGGAACAGAAGAACTTGGGCATTGTGAGTCTGGCTAGTTCAGACTCCCTCCAGATGGCAGGAAGGAGCGTGTACAAGAATCATCACGATATTGTATCACCAACCAACTACGTAAGCAAATGTCCTACGGGCCAAGGGCTGACAATGAGAAGGCTCAGCGCGAGACAACATTGACTGATACTTGTTCCACTGACATAAAGAGACCGGCTGGTCCGGGCCTCGTGATACTTCAAGCCGTGATATGCTCGAGGACCTGGATTAGTATGGTAACTATCACGCCTAGTAATAACCAGCCAGGTCTCCCCCTATTTCTACGATTAGGACTAGCAGGTAAGGAGTGGATGTGAGCTAAAGGAAGTATGGATTCTGTTCGAGGGAGGTAACTACTACGAGACTGTAGTAGAAAAGGGCTGGGACCCTGCCTAGGAGAAACTGAGCTTGTCTTGCGCCAACACGGAACGGGAAGATCACAAGGCGGCCTCTCCCGGTTTTGCAAACCTTCGAAGTGAAAAGCGCTCGTTGGTGAGACAAGAAGGGCCAGTGTTTCCAGTGACCCGAGATACCACCCATCCTCAGAGACATCTTCCAAGTTCTCGTCAACAAAGCGAAGGCGGCGCATGCTTCATCTCTCCTGACGCATCAAGTACAGACCTCATCCATCTCAAGAGAAAAGGTGTCCCTGATCATGGCCAAGGGGGGGGGGTGGTGGTGAATCAGGCTGGCAACGGAGGGGAGTCAGCGCTTCTGTTATATACATGCATACCCCTTGCGTCGTCACAATGTGCTCGATGGTGCGGACGGTATTTGCAGCCAGCACATATTCCTTGTATTGGCGCTCGGTGCTGTTTTCAGCATGCAGTGGCGTTCTCTTGCCAGACGTGGACGACCTGCGGACCCCGGAAGCCCCTGACAACGTGTGTCTGTCACTCACAGACAGTGGAACCCACAAGGCATCAGGTCTGTCTGGCACATGTTGGTCGCATCCCCAAGGCACGGCAGATGCTGCCCTTCACAGATGTCACTTGTTTTTTTCCCATTCCTCTTGTCTATGGACGCCGACATAGGTATCACGGTAGTTGTTTTGGTCCTCTTGTTACAAGAAACAAATATGCAGCCCACAAACTTCAGCCTAGCTCAAAGTCCACCCTCTCGCTCTCGCTCTCGCCCTCGCGTCGTCCTTCTTACCGCCTGGGCATGCCCCGGCCGCGGCCCCGGAGGGCCCTCTGGGCGGCGCCGGGGGGCAGGGGCTTGCCGGGGGCCTGGGGCGCGGCGCTCTCCTCGTTGCGGATGGTCTCGTCGACGCCGAGGATGAGGCACGAGGCCTCGGTGGCGGCCTGGATGGCGTTGATCTTGACGAGGGCGGGCTCCCAGACGAAGCGCTCCATCATGTCGGCGACGCCCTCGCCGACAAAGTCGACGCCGGCCCAGGTGTTGCCCTTGCGGTGCTCGACGCGCAGCTTGTTGAGGATGTCGGTGGCGTCGAAGCCGGCGTTGTCGCACAGCTGGCGGGGCACGATCTCGAGCGCCTTGGCGAAGGACTTGATGATGGCCTGCTGCTTGTGCGGGACGTTCTTGTCGGCGAAGCGGTGCAGGTACGCCGACACCTCCATCTCGCAGGCGCCGCCGCCGCCCACGATGGTCTTGTTGCGGATCGCCCGCTTGACGATCATGATGGCGTCGTGCAGCGACCGCTCCACCTCGGCGATGAACTGCTCCGCGCCGCCGCGCAGCACCAGCGTGCACGTCTTGGCCTCGGGGCAGTCCTCGAAGAAGTTGAAGCGCTCCCCGCCGATCTGCCGCTCGTCAAACGACCCGCACGTCCCCAGGTGCTCGGCGCGGATGTCGGAGCACGTGCTCTGCACCGTGGCGCCGGTGGCCTGGACGACGCGCTCCATGTCGGCCGCGGCGACGCGGCCGGCGCAGAAGATGTCGCGGTCGGCAAAGTACTGGGTGGCCAGGTCGCCGATGGGCAGCTTGCTGAGGACGACCTTGGCGCCTGTCTTGTAGATGGCCTCGAGCTTCTGGAAGATGATCTGCCACTCGGCGTCCACGATGGCCTGGTACTCGGAAACCTGCTCGACGCGCACCTCGGCGTTGTCCTTCTCGGCCTTGAGCTCGAGCTCGACGTTGAGGCAGACGATCTTGGGCTTCTTGAACGACTTGGGTTGTTGCTCGAAGCCGGCGTAGGCGAATGTCTTCTTGAAGGCGACGCCGTTGATGAACAGCGATTCGGTCAGGGAGCCGCCGGGGATCTTCTTGACCCCTATTAAGTGCTCGTCGAGGTCGTCTTGGTCGAGGGACAGCACGGCGTCGACAACCACTGTGGTACAAGACGTGTTAGCACGGTGGGGACCAATTCTATCGATTGCACAGCAGCGTCGCCGTCGTGGATTGCCTGCTCACTCTTTGTGAAGAAGTCGGTATTCCGCTTGATCAGTTTGCTGGTCATGGCGGTGCCGGCCAGCTTGGTGAGTGTGTCTCTGCGGTTCGCCTCGTCGGTGCTGACGGCGATCTCCTTGATCTTGTTGACGGCCATCTGCGAGGCTCTCCTCAGGCCCTTGACGATGGTCTGTGAACTGACGCCCTGCTCCACGTGCTCCTTGACCTCCTTGAGGATCTCGCCGGCCAGGACGACGACCGACGTGGTGCCGTCGCCGACCTCTGCATCTTGCGACCGCGCGATGTCGACGAGGATCCTGGCGGCGGGGTGGACAATGTCCAGGAGCTTCATGACGGTTGCGCCATCGTTTGTGATCGTCTGCCTGCCGTTCTCGTCGACCATCAACAGGTCGCCGCCATAGGGCCCGAGGGTCGATTTTATCGTCGCCTGGACTGCGAGGCAGGCGTTGATGTTTGAGACGATCTGGGGCTTTCCCTGGGAGGAGTCGGTGCCTGTTGGATGGGAGTCAGCAAAGGGCCACACGGCCGTGGTGGTTCGCTGGTGGTATAATATCATATGCCTGCGTGTCCACGGTGGGAGCTCCCAGGGGTGGTGGGACAAGCGACAACGAGGGGCATTTACTGACCTTCCTTGAGGACAATAATGGTGGGGGTCTGCCCGCCGAAAGACATGTTGGGCGATTATGTGCAGCAAGGGCGAGGCAGTGGTGGAGGGCAAGGGAAGGGAAGGTTGCGAGGAGGAGGCCCAGGGTTGTTTGGGTTGGTGGTGGTGAGGTTGCTGGAAGACTGCTTGCCCAGGGCGTAGACGCGTGGGGTCGATTGGAGCTTGGTCTGTCTGTCTTCTGCCGCCAGAAAAATTGATGCAGCTGGACCAGCTCAGGGTCACCACCGCCATTGTACCCCGTACCCATGTACATTGCCGTTTCTGCTACTGCTGTTCAGAGCGTGCAGGCTTAGGTAACGCACGACGGGTCCAACCCCTGCACTAACGGTAGTTTCCCAGAGCCCCTGCACTTGGGAGCACAGTGCGGCCTGAGGACAAGCACCCAAATCTAAGACCTTTTCAACCTGCCTCCTTTCTACAACCGCCGAATATCAATTATTTCTTCCACGGCCACAGATGTTTAAATATTGAATTTTGAATGGCAAATTTGATCTTCTAAAATATGTTCAATTGATTTATCGAGAATTAAGTAATAGTTTATAAACACTAATAGACTTAGGACCATTATTCTATACAGTAATCAGCTTTTTAACATCACTGTGTACCTGCAGCCCTGGCTGTTGACTATTGTGGGCCTTGCATGCAAGAGAAAACTCGAATATTCGTTTTCTATATAATCCCCACACTAAAGGCCCACCACAACAAATACGGTTGTATAGTGTAGTTGGTTATCACATCGGATTCTGATTCATTAATCAGTATCCTTCCGGTGACCGCGGTTCGAATCCGCGTACGACCTTCCATTTTTGGACTATTCCCTCCTTTTTTTTAGAATATTTCTAAGGCTAGAATGACCGTGGAAGGGTTGTTTTATGCCTTATATAGTTGTTTTTTCTTTGAAAGAATTTACTTTAGGGACAGACCTTCCTTAGAATTATATTAATATTTTTATATTAATCTACTATGTTTAATGACCCTAAGCATATTTTTATCTTTATGTTAAAATTCTATGTAGAAGAGATATGTTACAGTTAAAATTGACTTTTATATTGGAACAATGTCCCGTTGGTGTCGCGAGGCTTTGGCTGTTGCGGAATTGTAGCCCCGACAGCGCCAGCAATAGGTGATAACAACAGAGACCCACGGGTAGAAAATAAAATTAAGCCCACTGCTTCTGTTTTAATATTGAAACAAGATCATTCTAGCCCTCATCAGCATCCTGACATTGAACATTGACATGGACCTAGACTTCTCTACTGATTAGTCCCCTTCTACTGTTTTTTGTTCTTCTTTTATCTTCCCCCCAGATCTCTTCAGGTGCTTCTGGCCTCTGTCTTCATTGGTATAAATTCTAGACCTATCGTATCTTTTTTAAGCACTGGTTCTTGAGCGTTTACTACCGTATGATGGCACCATGTATGTCCTCGGACGTATGCGGAATAGAAGCGCAACCAGTAGACACAGTATCCACCAACTGCTGGCACAGAGGACGGCCGAATGTCTGATCACCATCACAGTAAACCGCCTGGGAATTCCTCACCGTGTCCCCCGGGTCGCTATACGTATCCTCTTATAGCACAACCTCGTAGGAATAACTTTGCATGGGACAGCCTCCTACGGGGAATTGTCCAGCGCAAGGAGGCAGATCACAGTGGCTTACCTTGACATATGTGATCCCCAGGATTCTGAGTATGATCCTGTGGAGCTACACTCATTCATGCCATCTCGCTGCAAGCCATAGATTCCCTGCTGCCAAACTTTGAATGCGGGCAGCGATTCCAAGGTTGGCTAACATGTGCAGATTGTGCGCCTGCCCACTCCCCTCCCCGCCGGATGCCAGCCCGACACTTTGATGTTGCCTGTCTTTTTAATTCTCCAGGTCTATCGTAGGTCCTGTCCTTTGCTTACCTCTATTCTGCAAGTATTCCCTCATCTTCAATGATCGCCGGCACATCCAAAATTTGCCGTGTGGGCCGGAGACTTGATTCTGCTCTTGGCTTGTCTCACGAGGCCGATATCACAAGTGTGGAGGCGTGACTGGCTGCTGGGACCGTTTCTGACACAGCTATGTCTATAAGACGAACACTATGTCCGGGATGTAACGGTGGAAGAAGCACGGGAGATCAAACATCTGCCCGGTCGGCCAGATCTGCTGCTACCTCTGGGGGGATGCACTGCAGGTGTGTCCACAGCGATTGCACACTCCTCGGATTGTGTCTGTCAATCCGCCTTGATGCAATCAAGACCAGTTCTGTCCAGTAGACCTCGGGAGACGGGGTTTGTGGGACATGACTGACCATGTTCCCCGATACAGACCTTTGAAAATGCAGGCGGGCTGTCCAGCTCGGCTGCTCCGGTCAAGAGCTCCCTGTGCTCCCGTGCCTCGGCAGCTCCCGGGGAGCCTAGTTCGGATAGCGGAGGGGTGGCCTCCCACACGGTTCACCGGGTGACCTGCCCTGGGAGCTCGTTACCGTCATCGCAATTTCTCCTTGACACATTTTGGGCAACCAACCTCCTGGGGGGGCTGCTCGGTGGTCGGTTGTCGGTGGTCGGTGGTCTGTCTGCTGTGTACTGTCTGCTTTGGCAGGGCTGGCCCTGACCAATGGATTCGTATCAATGCGACGGGTGAGAAACGACCAGGGGTGGGTCGATAATAAATGAGCCTTGGAGGGCTGCTGATTTTGGGTGAGGTTTCATCCCATGCCTTGACGCTGTCTGATGCAGCTGCCGGCAACTTCCCAGTTGGCTGGCTGATGGGGCTGCCAGGGCCCGGGGCCTGATGTTGTTTATTTTCCACCGTAGATGTACGCCAAGCGCGGTGTTATTTATTGCCTATTGTCATTGGACTGCCCCTGCTGCCATGTTTTTGGCCCTTGTGACCCTGTCGAGCCTGCCTGTCCAAGGGCCCAAATGCTACATAGTACTGCCCCCCATCCCCCTGCCCCCCTAACGGCTGGGCATGTCCCTCAAGAACTGGCCCGTGCCCCGCGGAAACAAACAACAAAAAAGTCGGGATCCCACAAAGTCCCTCTCCCCTTTCGTACCCCGACATCAGTCCACTTGTGATCCCAGCTGATATCATATTACTGGAGGGGCCTGCCACTCTGCGGTCGACCACAGCCCTGGGATTTCAAGGCTCGATTCAGGCCCTGCTCTGACCTCACCTCGCGCCTCCCGCCCTCCGCCCTCGCCCTCCAACGAACCAGTCCAGCCAAATCCCAAACCACCCGATTCTCAATTATCGCTCACCCACGCCCACACCCGCCCACACCCGCCTGAACGCCACCGGCCGCTAAATCTCGCTCCCGCTCCGGCCGAGAGGAAGTTTATGCAATGTCAGGCACCATGCGAGGTACGCCCAGCCGTGGGGCCGATCGTGGCCGCATTCCCACCTTCAACCACAGCCCAGCACCTGGCGCCGGCTCTGGGCCTGGCGCCAGCTCTGCCTCTGGCATCCCCAGGCCTGTTCTCGGGGCAGACCTCGCCCACAAGGAGAGCTACGCTACTAATAGCGAGATAGGCGGGGCCAGTACGGTCAGCACCAGCAGACAGAAGCAGTCCAAGAGGGACGAGGTCAGTCACTCTCCTTTTTTGATGCCTTGCATTGCTCTCCAAATTGCCCATCTTCTCGAGAGCCGGGCTCCCCCAACATCGTCCCTGGGGCCCTGGAGGTCGAGGGTAAAAACATCACATCGCACGCCGCAGCCATGTCGCCTTCACGCCTCTCCTCTCGAGCTTCACAAGACAACATTCACGGCCTGCTGAGGCGTCCCCCTCCTCCCACCACGCCCACGCCCGCCAGGAGAACCCGCAGCCATGTCTCGAGGTATGCCTACTGACTTCTACGTCCAGGCCATCCGCCGGAAGCTGGAGAATGACCTCTCCAAGAAGAAGCACCTCAGCGGCCGCGCTAGGCACACGCGAAAGGCCCCTCCCGGCACCGTCCTCGCCCTGAAGCCCAGCCAGGCCCTCCAGATCAAGCCCCAGACCACCGTCGCCGAGGCCGCCCAGTTGATGGCCGCCAAGAGGGAGGACTGCGTGCTGGTTACCGACGACGATGACAGGATTGCCGGTATATTTACCTCCAAGGACTTGGCCTTCCGCGTCGTCGGGGCTGGCCACAAGCCCGCCAACGTCACCATCGCCGAGATCATGACCAAGAACCCCCTGTGCGCCCGCACCGACACCAGCGCCACCGATGCCCTCGACCTCATGGTCCGCAAGGGCTTCCGCCACCTGCCCGTCATGGACGAGAACCAGGACATCTCCGGTATCCTCGACATCACCAAGTGCTTCTACGACGCCATGGAGAAGCTCGAGAGGGCATACTCCTCCTCGAGGAAGCTGTACGACGCCCTCGAGGGTGTCCAGTCCGAGCTTGGTTCCAGCCAGCCCCAGCAGATCATCCAGTACGTCGAGGCCCTGCGCACCAAGATGTCCGGTCCCACCCTGGAGACCGTCCTGAACGGCGACCCGCCCGTCACGGTCAGCGTCAGGACTCCTGTCAGGGAGGCTGCTCAGATGATGAAGGAGAACCACACCACCGCGGTCCTGGTCACGGACAACGGCGCCATCACCGGTATATTCACCAGCAAGGATGTCGTCCTCCGTGTTATTGCCCCAGGCTTGGATCCGGCCACCTGCAGTGTTGTTCGTGTCATGACCCCACACCCGGACTTTGCCCCCATGGACATGAGCATCCAGGCCGCTCTCCGGAAAATGCACGGTACGTGACGGACGTCCACAGACTAGCGTTATGTTTTCCATGCAATACTAACGAAAGCCGTAGATGGCCACTACCTCAACCTTCCGGTCATGAACGATGGCGGCGAGATTGTTGGCATGGTTGACGTGCTGAAGCTGACATACGCGACCTTGGAGCAAATCAACGGCTTGTCTACCACCGACAGCGAGGGCCCGGCCTGGAACAAGTTCTGGCTGTCTCTGGACCACGAGACAGAGTCCATGGTCTCGGGCGACGGCACCCACCACGACCGCAGCCACGTCGGCTCGCGCTCGCTCATGTCCCCCGATATCAATAGGGACCGTATCCTGGACAGCGTCGCGCCTGGTGACTCGGCCTCTCACGCCGGTGTGGAATCGCCCCCGCACAGCCACCTGGCACACTCCCCAGAGCTGCCCCCCAGCGAGCTGCCCTTCCCCTTCAAGTTTAAGACGCCCAGCGGCCGCACCCACCGCCTGCAGGTCATTGCCTCGCAGGGCATGGACGCCTTCGTCGTCAACATCATCTCGAAGCTCGGCTCCGAGATCGACTCTGTCGGCGGCGCGCCTACGGTCGAGGACGGCAAGCTGTCCTTCAACGGGTTTGCGCTCAGCTACATGGACGACGAGGGCGACTCGGTGTCCATCACGACCGACCAGGACCTCCTCGAGGCGATCCTACTCGCGCGCCAGAGCCACCACGACAAGGTGGACCTGTTCGTCCACGACCCGGAGAAGCCCCCAGTTACGGCCGCCCCAACCCCCGCACCCGAAACGGTCATCCCCACACCTCCGGCGTCTAGCGTGCGGGAGCGCAGGAGGAGGAACTACGACGGCGAGGACGACAGCGAGGAGGACGACAGCGAGGACGAGTCGCCGCGGGGCGCGCGGGCCAGGAGACACCGCAGCAGGCACGCGCCCCAGGCGGAGCAGGTGATCTCGGGAGTCCCCAACGAGCTGCTCCTCCCTGGTGCCATCGCGACGCTGGCGGTTGTCATCGTGGCCACCTTCACGATCGGCCGCATGTCGAGCCGATAGACGGGGGCGCAGCGGACCTATGGCATGCCCCGGAGCGGTGTGGTTTCTAGAAACAAGAACAAAGACGATATCCCCCAGAGCAGGCGTTGTTGAAATGGGTGTTTACAAATGTGGTTTATACATATATGGCGAGAGAAGGTGCACATGTTATTTGCATGGACTGCTGTGGCACGTCCTCCCACGTGCATAGACTAATAGGCATCGCCTACTTATCGTTCTATGACATTTTAATGTGACGCTGAATTCGACTCTGCTCAAGTACTCGCCCTGGCCTGGGTGTGCCTTTAATGAAGTCCTTCCTCCGACGGACACTGTACAACAATCGGTCGTCCACATGATTTGCCTTGTGATACTTGTTTTCCCCTACCCCAATTGTTCTCCAATTCTATAAACGGTACAAATTTAAATTTACGAGGAGAGAATGGGCCATCTGGCCGAAGTACCCAGGTACCCAGATACCCAGCTACCTCCAAACAGATGTGGGTCCATCCTGAGCTTGCCGGCCAATGGGCACACCACCCAGCCCGTGCCCGGTCGGCGGCAGGCCCAAATTTCTGGGCCGAGCAGTCTGGAAAAGATGCAGCAGCTCAATCGAACCGTCCCCTGCCAGGTTCACGCGAGCTTCACACACCCAATGTGAGCCTCGCCAGTCGACATGATATTGAGGAATTCGGCTCTGCGGTACTGTACGTACACCCCAATTGCACCCTCACACCTCAAAGCAGCTTCTAACAACTGTCGTCGCCGACCCCAGGCCGACGGGCTTTTGCCGCGCCAGCAAGGCGGCCATCATCATTATGTCTCCTGCAGCAAGCAGCTGCCTTCTCGACGGGCGACAAGAGGCCGCCGCTGCGCACCACCTTTGCTGATCCGCCTCCGCCTCCTGCCCCCGAGGACTCCCACCGCCATGACCCAGCAGCAGCGGCAGCACCAGCAGCACCAGCAGCAGCTGCCCCCGCCCCATCGCAGCCCGCGCCGAAGAAGCCCGCCCCGAAGAAGAAGAAGCCCGCGCGCAAGGCCCGGCGAGCCCGAGACGACGACGACGACGACTTCGACGACGACTTCGAGAACGACCGGGAGGAGCGAGAGGCGCTCCTCAAGAAGAAGGCCACGGTGCCGGTCGACGAGTCCATAGCCCGCAACTTCCACAAGTTCACCAAGATGCAGTCGGCCATCGGCGGCGTGGGGTCCACGGTGGACAAGCGGTTCGACCCGTCCTCGCTGCTGCGCGACCCCCCAAAGCCCGAGGACGTGACCCTCGAGCTGCTGATGGCGTCGCAGACGCACATGGGCCACCACACGTCGCTGTGGAACCCGGCGAACCAGCGGTACATCTACGGCGCGCGGGCGGGGATCCACATCATCTCCCTCGAAGAGACGGCGGCGGCGCTGCGGCGCGCCGCCCGCGTCGTCGAGGAGGTCGCGTACCTGGGCGGGCTGATGCTGTTCGTGGGCAACGGCAAGGGCCAGGCCGAGGTGACGGCGCGGTCGGCCGAGCTGGCGGGCGCGTGCCACCTGTTCTCGCGCTGGGTCCCCGGCACCATCACGAACCGCGACCAGATCCTGGGGAAGGGGCCCGGCGGCGGCGGCAACGGGCTGCGCGTCGCGGACGAGCGGGACCGCACGCTGCCCGGGTTCGAGGGCCACCTCGGCGAGCGGCGGCCGCTGCTGCCCGAGCTGGTTGTCGTGCTGAACCCGCTTGCCAACTACCCCATGCTGCAGGAGTGCGCGCAGGAGAACATCCCCACCATCGGGCTGATCGATACGGATGCCGACCCGACGCAGGTCACGTATGTCATTCCGGGCAATGATGACAGGTATGTTGTGTTTTTTTCTTTTCCTTCTATCTACCATTTCCCTCATTTTTCTTTTGGGGGGGGGGGCTCCCTTTCCTTCCGTGCCCATTTCAAGAATAAGGGGCCTTATTTGCTGACTGACCACCCTCGACAGTCTCCGTTCCGTAAGCCTCATCGCCGGCGTGCTGGGGCGGGCGGGCGAGCGCGGCCAGGCGCGCCGCAAGGCGGACGCCGAGAAGGGCATCTGCACGTGGAGGAACGCGGATGACATCCAGAAGTGGATGTTTGACGAGCACCACAGGGCGGTCCAGGCGAGGGAGGAGGCCATGGAAGAGGCGCGGAAGGCGCGCGAGGCGGGATTGGGATTGGGATTGGGAGGGGAGGACGGGGACGGCCGCTTGATCATTTGAAGAGGTGGTGGTGAGCGGGGGGGTGTGGGGAATAAAGATTAGGGTGTGTTTAGATAGATACATTATTGTGTCTTCATTGTTGAAAAGGAAAAGAAGGGAGAAGAATAAAGTGTACAATTCCTGTGTGATGCTCCCTTCTGTAAAACCTTGTGCTGTGGCAGCGTTCTGCCCTGGTGCCATATCATTGTCCGTGTGTCCAGCAGTTTGCCCCCCTTCGGGCATGAGGATGAAGGTGAGGATGGGAAGGAATGTAGACTGTGTAAAAAGGACAAGAGAATGTGCAAAACTGATGCTGTCGAGCTGAAGGTTTGCGAGACCATGGGTGGCTGGACTACGTAAATACCACATGCAATGATGACAGACTACTGCAGGGCACACAGATGGGTGGACTTATTGTTCCCGGCACCCCCCTGCTGAGTAACACACGACCAAAAGGTCTGGCTGCACAATTGGTCTAGAGCTGCAACCGAGACATGCACATGGAATGAACAGGAAAGAGAAAGAAAAAAAAAGCTATCACAGGATCCAAGTTGGAGACTTGTAAAATGCAAAAATTTACTGACAACTGTGCGACTCGAACGCACGCCTCTTTCGAGACTACGAAGATGATGATCACCTGAACGTAGCGCCTTAGACCACTCGGCCAAGTTGCCTTGATTGATGGAGAGGACTGATTCGTATGACAATATATCGCTAGGTAAATCCTGCAAGATGTGGGGACCCGAAGTTGGGCCCGGGGCTTGGCAGTGCGGGCCCGGCGAAACTACGCTGACTAGCAAGACACCAGAGGTTGATAATATGGTAGCTAAGCGATCTCTAAGGGGCAGACACTGGGCTGAGGCGTGAATGGTTTTTTCTATGCCTTTAGGGATTCTTATAGCAAATCAATGGGATGGGTGTCTTTCCTGAAGAATTTGAATGTTTGCCCGGGTCCGTTGGTACACAGGACTAGACAGTGGAGCTCGGCATGGGTGAATGGACTGCAAGTGTTATTGTAGATGGAACAGATGGATGGACTAACTCTCTATTACTCTGTGTGCTTTCGTCTCAGAACAGTCTGGATGGCTGGAAGGAATCTCTGATAGGTGGATGAAAGATCCGGCCGCAACTGAGAAAGCCGGGTCTCTGCCTGCACAGAAAATGGGGTGTTCAACTCAAAATGTTGGTCATTGTCACACTTCTCTGGTCCATCAAGCTCAGGCCCAATTGTGCACCAGTTGACAGAGGGGATACCTAACTCCACGAATGTTCTCTACCCCCCCCCCCCCCAAGCTCACACGTGATGCCAAACCATGAAGCTGCTACCAGGTAGATAGTGTAGCACCTGATCCGATCTATCTGGCACATTATAAAATAGGCCTCAGTCGTATAAATTAGTTTGACAAAGACACCACTCTAAAACTTTTAAATGTCAGCTCCTCCAGGGTTACTAAATCAGAAGGAAAAAACACACCTTCTCTAGAGATCATTCTTGATAGGATCATCTCAAAATAGCAGAGGACTCACCTGCTTGTGTAACCAGGCCAGCGGCTTCGGCCACACTATATTTTTCCTTTACACTATATAACCACTCGTTTCTTCCCTTTAAAGCTCATATATAAAGTCTTTAATAACTTTATATATATCCTTATAATCCTTTTAGAAAGGAACTTTAAATCCACTTTTTTTTTATTTCTATTATACTTTTCTATATTATTAAGAAGTTAATAGTTATTAATAATAAAAATATAAATTTAAAGGAAAATAAATTTATTATACCTTTCCTTTATCTTTTTATAAATTACTTTTAAAACTCTTTTTAAGAGTTTTAATACTTTATTATAAAAGTTTTAAAGATAATATATTGTAAATTATTTCTTTATTTTAAGTTTTTTTAAAGTTAGTAGTTATATACTTAGATAGAGGTTATAGTGCTTATTTAGTAAGGGTTTTATTATAAAGTATATATATATATATATATATATATATATTTAAAGAGATAATTTTTAGCTAGACTTCTTTTAATATAATTTATTTATATAATAACTATTTTTAGTCTTATTATATAACTTCTTTATAGTATTTTAATTAATACTATTATTAAAATAATATCTTTTAACCTTATTTATATATTATAAAACTAAAATTATAAATACCTATTATATTATAACTATTATTATTAATATTATATTCCTTTTAAATACTAAGTTTTAAGTATTTATTACTATATAAAGGCGCTATATATATCCTTAGACGTATATAGAATAGAAGCGAAACTACATATAACCAGGCCAGCAGTCAGTGTGGCCATGCGCAAAAGAAGCCCATCTGCCCAGGTGATTCTGGCAGAAAGCGGTTTCTATGGTGCAGTGGCACCTGTGGCATAACACGGACTGACGATGATGAAGGACCCATAAACACCTAGTTACCAGGTGCACATGGCCAACTGATGTCGGTACCGAGACCGAGTAGACGACAAGTGTCTTATGGAGGTGCGACATGGTGGGATGATGTGCTGAGCATGGACATACAGGATAACTGGGTGATGCTGGCAAGAGAAGTCCACGGAACATACGGAAATATGAGCAAGAGGGGTTTTTGGACATTTCCTTTCCAAGCATTGAAGCAAGTCACATTCTTTCAACTCACTCTGTTTGAAACCACAACAAGGGCCTAGCCGACGGGTATTGACTTGGCATAAACAAGCACAACATTGAAGCCCCTGTCTTTGGCAGCAGAGACAACAGTAAGGCAGACAACAGATGGCTGGGCCTAGAACGTAAACTCCAACTCTGGAATTATATGGTCTGGACATGTTCTGTCTCTGCAAACTGGTATTGGTCCTGTGGAGGACCGGCCCACAGGGCGGCAAAACTTTGAGACAATATTATGCTAGATGTGAACTCCTTTGTGTCACTATGGCTTGCATACCCCACTTGTGCTGTCAACTCAAGCTTTTGTGACACATACCTAGCATCCCTCGAATGCCAATTACTCAAGCCACAAATTTTTGCTCATTCCAGCCACAATACTGGGGAGCTCACCATCGGATTTTGACTCCAGTAAATAGTGACTCAGACCTGGCTGCGCCTGGATCAATGAGGCAACTGCACATGTAATTTGCCGATAGAAGCTTGCTGGCCTTACACTCGAGTATATAATATGGAGAACGGAAATTCGCGCACCCAGAATCGGAAGGCGCGCACCCTCCCTACTATTCAGCCAATCAGAGCACAGAACCTCAAAGTCCTCACGACTTCAACAAATAAGTGTTCTTCGCGATTTTAGAGGCCACAAACAGGGCGGGTTGGTCCTCTGGGAACTCGGGTCGTGCCTACCGGCCCTACTCACGACCCTCCGCTATGCTTCGCGCTCCGGGGCTCGCCCCCTTCGCCCCAGCCGGCCCTTTCGTGGAAGAAGAAGTCTGTATAGAGTACTTCTTAGTCAGCAGATGGGTGCGCGCCTTCCGATTGAGGGTGCGCGAATTTCCGTTCTCATAATATGTGGCCAACGGCACCTTGAAGGATGGAAACTGCAATGTTTACATGGAAACTTTTGATATAAGCTTAGGATTTACTAGCCTCGCTTTACCTCTCGTGAGCTTTAACTCACTGAGCGTCTTTTCCTTTTCTCACTTAGGCTCTCCTTACCAGCCGTCCCCACATGTGGCCATTTCTTCTATGCTGAATTGGAAGGAGAATTAATTACCGGCATTTGCTTCCTATCTGCTGCTCAAAGGGACGCGGAGCTGACTTGTGCAGATGTTCTAGTCTCCATCAAAATGAAACGGCACCGCTCCATGCGCTATGTTGTCAACGGCTAAGCTTGTCCTCCTCAAACCACAGTGACCACGTCGCTTACACGCATTCTTCTCGCAGGCCAACTCAAGTACTGCTCGTTGAATGTGTGACTTCATCATCAGTACTTGAAGTCTTCAGGTGTTGTTCCTCGCAATGAACCTCTGGCCGCTGTTTAAAGCATCACGGGAGGGTCTGTCAATGTCGAGTTTTCAAATCAAGAAGACTTTGCGAGGGTATCAAGTCATCATTTTATTCAACTGGTCCAGAATCCTGTGAGCATACTAGTCGTCAAGTTCGACTCGAGGCTGAATTAATTCAGTGGAACGCTGTCAGTGATAAACTGCTGGATGTACCTAGATGGGTTGGACTGCGAGGAGGCTATAATCAACGGGAGGTTCTGGGTCATCAGCACAGGCCGGATCTATTTGGGATATTTCAAATGGGGGACAACTCTGCTAAGGAGTTACCTATTTGGCTATGAGATACCTGGAGGGTGGGCCTCATGCGGTGGTGACTGAAAAAGGGAATGCGAATATAAACCCAGGGCCGATGGACATTCACGCTGCTGTCTCATTGGTCGCCTCGACAACTTGTTCCCTCAAGTCTGCCGACTCCTTCAACCGCCCTTGCCTTTCGTATATAGCCGCCAAATGCTCCATGCTCGTCAGAGAATGATGATGGTGCATGCCTAGGACCTGCATCCTCACGGCGAGTACCTGTAAAGCGAGCTCCTCGGCCTCGGCAAGCTGCCCATCATCAACATAGATGGATGCGAGGGAGGCCATGCTGTTCAAAGTGTGGTGATTTTCCGGGCCTAAAACCTTTTTCCGCAGCCTCAGCACCTCTGTTGAGAGCCGTTTCCCCTCGCCTAGTCGTCCTTGGCTGTGGTATGTGGACGCTAAATGAGCCATGCTCGTCAAGGTGGAGAAGTGCTCAGGGCCCAGAACGACGTTGCGAGTCGCCAGGACCTGGGCCTGGAGAGCCTCTGCCACGTCCCATCGGCCCTGGTTGTGGTAGCTGACAGCAAGGTTGCTCATGCCGCTCAGAGTGTGTGGGTGGTCTTTGCCCAATATCCGTTCGCGGACTTGCACCACCTGTACCAACAGCTCTTCGGCGTCCTTGTACCGGCCTTGGTTGTTGTAGGTGTGTGCCAAGTTGCCAATGCTGAGAAGAGTATCGGGGTGCTCGACGCCGAGAACCTTCTTGCGGGCGGTGACGGTCTGTTTGCCTAGCTCCTCGGCCTGCTTCCACCAGCCCTGGCAGTTGTACAGGTACACGAGGTTGCTCATCCCGACGAGAGTGTCCGGGTGGTGACTGCCGAGGACGCGCTGTCGAATCTCCATCGTGAGAAGCTCGAGCTCCTCTGACTCCTTCCACTGGGACAAATCACTGAACGTCATGGCCAGATGGCTCATGGTAGACAGTGTCTCTGGGTCCTCTTCGCCGAGCACACGTCTTTGGGCTTCCAAAGCCTTGAGACCAAGCAGTTTTGCCTCCTCAAACCGGCTTAGTCCGTGATATGTTAAAGCCAATCGTGCCACGCTCTTCAATGTATCGGGGTGCTCATCTCCAAGCCGAACTTTCCAGCATTCCATCACTTCTCGAAAGAGAGCCTCTGCTTCGTGGAATCGACCGTCGTTGTAATAACACAAAGCAACCTTCCACTCCAATGCTACCCTGATACTCTGGTCTCTTGCAATGAGATCGGACTCCAAGAGACGGCGGGCGTGAGGTAGATAAGCCCTCCACATGACCCTGTTCCCGTGTTCGTGATTTGGAAAGACCTCTTCCAACCGTGTGACGGCTTTGTGCATCCACTCAGCAAGCGTTCCTTCTTTCCGAAGCCAGTTCCTTATGGTGAGGTGGACTAGGCGGTGCAAGTCCAACGCCGCGTCTTCTGGACGCGTGGTGATGAATGAGAAAGCGCTCAGTGTTCCAATGGCATCCACTTCCTTCTTGGGTGATGCGCCGGGCGGGAGGAGAAGCTTAGGGATGTCTTTATGGTCAATGCAAGCCATGAAATACATGTAGTCTGCAGCGAGGGGGTTGCGTTGTTGAATCATTTGAAACGAGATCAGCCAAGTCGTGGCCACTGGGTTCTTTGAGTCCGAGTACCTTGCATCGTCTTCAAATTCCTCGGTGAGAAGCTCGATCACGGTTTCCTCTTGGCAGCTCACAAGCGACAGATAATCGGAAATAGCGATCCCGGTCTCATTGATATAGGCAGCTGCCTGAGCGATCGCCAGAGGTAGATGCGTAAGCCACGCAAGTATTGCTTTCGTTTCCGCTTGTTGTGAATCGACAAGTTCTTTGCGGATGAGAGAATTTCGCAACATCTGCGCCGCTGTGCTTTCAGCCATGTTGCGCACTTCAACAATGTTTTGGTGCGCAAGCTTCACTCCGACTTTGCGGTCTCGTGTGGTGAAAATGACCCTCCCCGTTGTGCTGCGAGGTATGTATTCGAGTAGCCTTTTGGACGAGGTCTGATCCGACGCAGTATTGTCTCCAGTCCACATATCGACGTCGTCGGCATTGTCAAAGACGAGAACCCAATGACCCGCGTTCTCGTGGCTTAGAAAATCCCGTAGGATTTCCTTGATGTTCGTGTCTTTGGCCTGGGAGTCTCGAAGTCCGAACCGTCGTGCAGCCTCATGGTACCCTTGATCCAGGCTCTCCATAGTTTTAGCCTGTATCCAGATTGCCGAACACTGCTTGTGCTTCTCTCTTAGTCGGTACAAAAGTTCCAGAACAAGCTGAGTCTTTCCTACTCCTCCGAGGCCAGAGACAGCGACTTTCGTGAACTGGTCATTTGCAAGGAGCATACGTTGGAGCTGATCCAGTTCGGAGCCACGCCCTGTGAATAGAGGATTCCTTTCAAAGGGTACAATCCACTGGGAGTCTGCGTTCTGCACACTCACCCGCGTCTCCTCGGTTGCATTCCTTGCATGCATCTCGATTTCGGATCGGAGACGGCGGCGAGCATGCCCTTATCCCTCACCATATATTGTTGCTGGCGTTCCTAAGTGTTGTGCTCCAAATGCGTGCTGATGACCTACTCGATCGAAGGACAACCGCAACTTGCTGAGCATTGACGGATTATGACTGCTCTGACATAGGTGGCTTAAGGCTTGAGGTTTTCAACTCGAGAGTCAACGGGACGACCTTGAAGACTCGTAACTGCTGTGCCGTCACTTTCACTCTCCGGCCTTTGCATGTGCACCTCGGGGTTACAGGATCATCTGCTAGTAACTCGGTTCTAGGGTGGCTTGGGGGTGACAAACAGGGCGGAGGGTTAAACGCCCAGCCGTCAGGGTGCGATTGTATAGCCCGCTTGTGCAGGAAGGGCGGGGAAGCGCCCGTTGAGAGCAGGCTGTCAGTGCGGACAACCTGAATGGATGGGAGTTCCGCCAACAAAGTCTGTGCCTCCTTCCAGCAGATGATATGATTGTCCCCGCTCCTTGAAGAGGAAGCGATCGCCGCTTCGTAAACGAGAGTTAACCTAGGAGTACCTGCAAGGCAGCCAACCGTTGCATGAGAAATTGGAAGTCAAGAGAGCTCCTTCGCCTTTGCCATGCCTACATGTGCACTTGGTCAAAACGTTGTGATGTAAAAGGCGACACGCAAATGGTGTCAGAGGGCGTTCACACTGAACTAATGGCCTTTGATAACATTGAGGGCTACCCTGCTTCCAGGTTGCGTGAAATGTATGGGAATGCGTAATATCACGGGGTCACCTGAGGAAACCTTGGAAGCAGTAAATTCGGAGTGGCGCGACAACGGCGTTTTTGTTCGCCCCACTCTTGCTTTGTATGCTGCCGTGCGTGCCAATATCTCGCTGCCACCTGTAACACGAGAAGAATACTTCCGTGATCTCCATGACGCGGCCCGGTGGCCAGGCCAGCTCAGAGGACACCCTGACCCGGCTCAGAAGGTAGCTTCTTCACAATAGCATCCCTCAGTTCCTCGATGCTGTCCACCATCTTGATGCCGAAATTCTGACACACTATCTGCACGTTGCCCCGCTTCCAGTAACCCTCAGGGCAGAAGACGACAGCCTTGCCAGGCTGGCGAGCGCACAGCCCGAGCTCAAGCAGGCTGATGGGCGCCTGCGTCGCCGGGTGGAAGTACACGACCACCGTGTCGGCCTGCTCCTGCTTCTCCAGCTCCCACTCGACCTGCTGACGGTAAGGGGCGAAGTTGATGTCCTCGCGCCACGTGCTGTCCCAGTCCGGCCGGTACGGGTTGTATATCGTGATGGGGTGCTCTACAAGGAGGGCAGACAGTGTTACTCTCCAGTCCGTGGCGTCGACTTTGCTTGTGGTGCCTGCAAGGAAGACGGATTTCAAGCCTTGAGGCTGTTGGTCCGAAGGGGCATATATGATCTGACTTTTTTGTTGAGCCATGCTTGAATATGAAAAAGGGCGACTCGGTATTCTCTGTATTTTTGGACTGGAAAGAGTTATCCGTACGGCACAAGCCCGCAACATCTGAGCTGCTACTGGAACTTGATGCCCGGGTTGGTGTTGGTTGTCAAGGCGGGGAAGCCCACATGTGCAGCCAACTTGGAATGTGGCAGGTGGGGTGAGAAGTGACAGTTCAATTTCATGGTTATATGTATGTATTTATACGTAATTTATGCCACCAGTACTAAACGGAATCAGAACTAGATTGAACTGATGGTGTTTTTTATGGTGATGTCAAAGCTGTTGCTTTCATTTTTTCTTATCAAGCAGACCCAGGTAATTACATCTAAATACTGATATGTAGTAGAAAACTCCCTGAGGCTTGGATCCATGACTGGAGAGTCAGGATTAGCAAATGACTATTAAAATAGAGGAATTGTATTCCATAGACAGAAAAAAATCACAAATACTACTAGTATCTAGATGAGTAGTAGGTTACATGGACGCAGACTTTGTTCCATTGATGGGCTGAACAACTAGAAAGAAGTGGTGTGTGAGCTTCTGAGATTACATAAGTCAAGGATGTTGGCAGAGATGCTCTATATTGCTTCCTGATTTTGGTGTATCTGTCACCCGTTCCTGATGCACAGGCCCGTCGTTCCGATCCTTCTTTCAGTGTCACTCTGTGAGTCTAACTTGAAAGAGACACGCACGATAATGGGGTGGGGGTCTCACAAAGGGAAGCTTGCTAGCTCTCTATTCACAAGTGTGCTAATGAAAGGAGATGGGGTGAGTCTCGACTCACCGAGGTGAGCATTTCTAGGCACTCTGGGCTCCGTGCTGAGTTTGGCCGGGCTCGGTCCAAGTTGCCCCGCATGTACCTCTTGTAATTACCGCAGTTGTGACGTGACCGGCAGCCCAGATCCGAGGCCAGGCAGCCAGGTTGGAAGCAAACAACAAACAGTCAGCCCAATGACTGGATTTTAGTTGCAAGTTGACTCATACGCACTAACAATCTAGGTAATAATAAAGGAAGGAATGAGGGGCTTTCAGGGGCTTTCCTGTGCGAGTGGGCTGCAGGTACAGGAAGCGTGGGGCTTATCGATAAGGGAGGGGTGCTGCTGTCAGGTCCATCCACGCTAGCCATAGCCTCCAGTTGACTGCAGCCGCGTCTCATGAAAATCTTGTCCCACCAGTTGGCGTCGTCTCCTTTTCTCTTCAACCACGACAACCGTACCCACGACGACAAATCTCAATCTTGCGCCCAAAATGACCATCAACGTCATTCTCGGGGCCCAATGGGGTAAGTTGCCCTGCCTCCCTGGCCTTGGACGCGCCCATCCTCTGCGCCAGGCCTTGGCCGATATCGGTTGGCTCTCGAGATACTAACGATGACCTCATAGGCGACGAAGGCGTGAGTCCTCGATCCAAACTCAATACACCACAACATTTGGACATGGGAAATTGACGATACTGTGTGCACAGAAGGGAAAGCTGGTTGATATCCAGGCCCGGGAGGCCCAACTCTGTTGCCGAGCTGCCGTAAGTTCAACCGAGGCATTAATTCCGCCAATGGCTTCCACGATCCCTTGGACCGCCTTGCGATGAACTACATCCGGTGGAATGACTGCTGACTGTCCTGAAGGGTGGATCTAATGCAGGTCAGTCTATCTGCTGCGAGCCGAATCTCTAATGCGGCCCAAATTGGGGCCAGCTGACCGGTGTGACGGTTTCAGGTCACCAAATCAAGTTCGTCAAACGCTTTCAATCATCAATTGATATGGTCATTTTTTGCTAATGAGTCATAGGGTGGATGGCGTCTCCTACAGGTAAACATAGGCTCGGCGTCGAAGCTGCGGATGGTTGCTGACTCGTAGCAGCTTTCACCTATTGCCCTCTGGCCTCATGAACCCGAAGTGCATGAACTTCATCGGCTCCGGCGTGGTCTTTCACATGTGCGTCATCCACAAAATTCTCAGCCCATGACCCGATCGGTGACCAGACACGCATCTTATCGATGTCTGGCTCGCGCCCGTCAACCGACCGGGTCATCAATACTGACTCGGTCCCTCTAGCCCAACCTTCTTCAGCGAACTCAAGGAGCTCGAAGAGAGTATGTTGTAGGATATTCCAGTATTTTGAGCATCACCATGGCTGATATCACTCAGAGGGCCTGACCGCGGTACACGACCGAATCCTTGTTTCTGACAGGGTCAATGTGCTCTTGGACATGCACATGGCAGTGGATGGTCTCGAGGAGCAGGAGCTCGGAGGTTCGTGACATGATTCCGTTGTTCTTTTCAAAACAGCAGCTAATAAAAAACCTAGACGCGGCTATTGGAACAACAAAACGCGGTACTTGAACCCTCAGAACTTCATACTGGCTTGTCCCTTTCTGCTGCTTTTGCCCCTTCACAAGCACACCCATACACGAACAGCACGGAAAGCAGTTCTATTAAAGCAACGGGGTCTAACGTCCACCAAAGGCATTGGTCCATGCTACCAGTCCAGCAGAGCGGTAAGAAGCTTGCCTGACGAGAAATTGAACTGTGCGCTAACTTTCCCAGCGAAATGGCATCAAATTGTCCGACATCTTCTATCCTGAGCTTTTCGAGAAGAAGGTGCAGCGCTTGGCTGATGGCTATCAGAAGCGCTTTGGAGAATTGTTCAAGTACGACATCAAGGCCGAGCTTGCTTCCTTTGAGGAGTACAGGGAGACGATGAGGAAGTATGTCGTGGACGGCGTGTCCTTCATGGCATCCGCGCAGCAGAGCAACAAGAAGATTGTGGTCGAAGGCGCAAACGTAATGTGCTCGTCTCAAACGCTAAAGAATCACTACTGACTTTGATAGGCACTGATGCTCGATGTTGATTACGGCTCCTACCCAGTAAGTCTGCCTCGACTTCATTCTACATTCTTGCATCAATGCTTACAATCAATAACAGTTCGTCACTTCGTCAAGTACCACGCTTGCTGGCATCATTGGCGGTCTCACACTGAACCCGAAGAACATTACAGAGACGGTCGGAGTTGTCAAGGCTTGTATGTCAATTGCTCTCAGGCCGTCTGTCATTCACTGCTGACGGGCGATAGACACCACCCGTGTCGGCTGGGGTGCCTTCAAGACCGAAGATACGGAAGAGTGCGTCCTGAAATACATTCCCGAAGCCGCTCTAGACTAACTGAAAACCTCAGGATTGGCACCAAACTCCAGGAGATTGGACGCGAATGGGTGAGGCTACATGCCACCCAGATGATTCGAGCTCTCACCGCTGACAGGACACAGGGCACGTCGACCGGCCGCAGACGCCGTTGTGGATGGTGAGCTTAAAACACTGTTGCGTTTAGCTGCTGATCAACTTGCTAACTTCTCTCAGGCTTGGTACGCACAACTTGAAAATCCTCAGGGATTGCCGGAGCTAGGATCGCAACTAACAAGTACATATAGACCTCTTTGTTGTCAAGTACAGCAACTCAATCAACTACTACACCAGTCTGAATCTGACAAAGGTAGGCCTGGTATGCTTCTTGCATATTTGAAAATGCTCTGACACTTCATAGCTCGACGTTTTGGACACTTTCGAGACGATCAAGATCGCCATCGCCTACAAGCTCGACGGACAGGAGTTGGACTCCTACCCTGCGGATCTCCAGATCCTGGAGCGTGCTGAGGTGGTCTACCACGAGATGCCAGGCTGGCAAACGCCGACCACCAACGCGAAGACCTACGATGAGCTGCCTCAGAAGGCTCGCGACTACGTGGAGGTAAGCGCTCGAACTGGGCCCGTGAAGCGAACAAACAATGGGTGCTGACCACTAGCAGTACATCGAGAAGTTCTTGGGAGTCAAGGTATGTGGCCCCCGCTCATGCACATACGTGCTGTCCAAGCCGCGCGCAGTTGCTAACGTCCCCTGCAGGTCAAGTACATTGGCACCGGTCCCGAACGTGAGGCCATGATCGTGCGCGCCTGATTGCGCCCACGCCCAGATGGAGCAGGAGGCCACACGGGCCTGTCTTGGCTTGGATCGTGTCGCAAGGAGTGTTGTGATGCGAACTGTGCGTGAAAGCGAACACGCATCCATCCCTGTCGCCGCACGAATTCGGTTCCTGCGTTGTGGATTTTGCTGTGTGTGCCTGGTCCAGCGGTTGATCGAACGAGCTCACATATGGCTGATGCGGCATGGATGGTATCAGGGCTACGTACATACTAGTATGTACACTTAGAGAAAAGCCAAGTACATTGTTCAATTTTGAAAGGCATCGTCACCACGATCCCGGGACAGCCCTGCACATTATTTATGGCCCGTCGCGTCGTGCCCTCGCTGCTCGGCCGGCTTCATGCTCTTTGCTTTCCACGATGTTGTCTGACCACCACTGAAGAGCCATGCTCTGACCCTTGGACGGGGCTTTTTTCCTGCTGTCTTTTGCTGGTCCCCAAACTTCTGACGGGATCTCGTCTCGCTTGGCCGGAAGACTTGCGTTGATCTCTTGACGCCAAACCTGTCTTCATTGCACTACCAGCTTGGTGCCAGCTGTGGCAAGAGTTCAGCAATGGTCTGAAATGTTCCCCCTTATCATCGCATTCGTCCTTCATTAGGTACGTGAATGCTGCACTCTGCTTGCGTGAGGAAGAGTGTCGCTGCCTACTTGAGACACCACGGGCGGATCCGAGTCCGACGAGGCTGGTCGCAGGGGAAACTCGGCCCGGAGTAATTAGCTGCAGGGCTGTTGCACCATGACGTTCAGGCTATGTTAGGCCCATGGGACCAAGGTTCTCTCAATTGGAATCCGGGGTGAAGTTTAAGTCCGGCACCGTGCCAAGGGCGCAATGCAAGCATGTGGTTTTGCAGGTGCTGCGAAGGATCAGCGGCAGCCCACCGCTTCCATGGTTGAGCTGACCGGGTGACTCACCTTACACCAGCCCTACTAGGCCCGTTCATCGCTTGGCCGAAAGAGTCACAAAGTTTTAAGCATACATGAAAACAGGAGACAATAAAGAGATATTTTATGATTCGAAATGGCTCATCGCCGCTATGACCCGGTGAAGCGTGGGAGGCAGCAGCAGCATCGAACCTCTCTCCTCATGCATTTTAAATGCAGGCGTGTAGGACCAGGAATAATATAAGGTGGCACAGCGAAGTTACAAAACGCTCCAAACAATCATCCATCATCATGCAGACTACCCATGAAAGCATTATACATATCCGTTAAAACTGTCTGATCGATCCACGCAAAGCAAAAATCGATTAACATGTCATCCAACGCTCCAGCTGTCAACCCCGAAACGGCGGTCTCCTACGCAGCCCTGATCCTCGCGGACGAGGGGCTGGAGGTCACGCCGGATAAGCTCCAGACGCTCCTCAAGGCCGCCGGTGTCGAGATCGAGCCGATCTGGAGCACCCTCTTCGCCAAGGCCCTCGAGGGCAAGGACGTGAAACAGATCCTCACCTCTGTGCAGGCTGCCGGGCCAGCTGTTGCTGGCGGGAAGGACGGGAAGGGCGGGAAGGCCCAGCAGGATACAGACTCTGGGGATGATGGTGCTGAGCCCTGTATTGATGATGAGGACAGTGATAGTGGGTCGGACATTGGGATGGGCTTGTTTGACTGAGCACGGGTTGGAGATGGGCGGTGTGGTGCGCCTGTCGTTGGGTAAATGTTCATAGCCAGGTAGTTCTTATCAGCATTGGCTAAATCTGAGGGTCAGAGCCATCATGAACTCGTTGCCGAGGCTGTTCTATCTCTGATAAATCCAGGAGTTGTGATGGGGCTTGATTGTATGAAGATATGCTTCCTAAACTTAATGACAGACCCTCCCCGAGGCTTCCCAAAACGCCTTGCCGCTGCATCTAGTTATTCATGAATGATGAGAATGAAATGCATACCCGTCCTAGCATGCGTTTTCTTCTCTATGCAGAGTAGACATTCCCTGCGACAGCGAGTATATTACGCCGCTTGAACGACTCTGTTGGGCTCGAAAACTTCGTCAACCTGTGCAAGGTGAGCTCATCTCGAGTGTTTCCCATTGAGAGACGGTGCATTTCTGGCCCATTCCGGGCAAACATATGGCTCGTACGAGAGTGAAGCACCGGGGCTCTCGATGCTGTTGCCAAGTCCCCTCCTCAGACCCAGCTCCAATCGCCAATTGAAGGATGTAACTAACTCCTCGCACAGGGATGCCATTATTGCGTATTGTTCTGGATTTGTACAACCGTAGTTGCGCGGATCTTCCAGGAAGCCAGGATTCCAAGGTTGAAGTCGGAGCGAGTCCGGTACCAGAAGTACTCGCACTCATACTGGATCGATGGGCCAAGGCCCGTGCAGAAGAACGTATACAGCCTGAAGAATGGTCTCCTATACCATGTTTAGACCCAAAAAATCTTCCAAAAGAGTAGCCGGATCCGGTGGGAGTAAAAGTCAACACTCACATAGGAGTGTCGTGCCACTTCCACACGTTCACTTGTCGCAACTCGTGCGTCTGGGCTTCAGATTCCAGGACAGCATCCGTATCGGCCATGATCGTTCGGGGCTGAAGCGGCAGCTTGGCTGCATAACGCCACGGAAGCGGGCAGAGCAGTTTGATGTACGTTAGGTATGGTTGCTCCTGACTTTTGCCGAGCATGCCGATGGAGCAGCCGATTTGCAAACCCGTCCTGGGATCAGTCCACCACTGGCGGCATTTATACCACTTCCTCCAGATCCAATTTCGAAACTTCCCTTTCGGACCGACATGCGGAAGTGGCCGGCGTTCCATGCTACCGGATAGTTTGAGGCAGGCTATGGTGAAAAGATGTGTTGCGCTTCAGGAGATTAAAAACGTGATTGACACTCGAGTCACAGAAGTCTTCTGTGAATTTGTGACTGACGTGTCCCAACACGTTCGTCAACGGCTTACAGTAGTGCAGGGTACCTCTGATCCATCCACACCTCACCCGCGGTCAGTGAAGGTCAGTGTACGATTAACACCCGGCCCTACGTCTACCAAAACCAGCTCATTCTGATTCGAAGTCAATGAACTCTACAAATGCCTCGCGAGATGCCAGAAATCAGGGTTTTGACTATCACCGCCGTGCCGAAAGGCAGGGCAAGGGGCCCCGCTCCTGACAGACTGGCACAACAACTACATACTTTTCTAGGTAGGTACGTACTTAAGTAGGTTGCTGCCCTGTCGCAGAGCTGCCAGAATTCTGAAATAAGGGTACTTGCGGTGATGGTTGCTCACATTGATATGTGTAGGACGAAGCGTAAATTCTAAAATAAACGCTTTCCGGAGTGACAAGTTACATTGGGCTTGTAAAATCTACTCTGAGGTAAGAGGATCTCTTACATAACTCCTGGGCATCATGAGAAATATCAACAACTGCTTCTTACAATAGGAGGATACAATATAGGATCTTTTTACTACTTACCAGTGCAGGTAAATTCAGGGTCTACTTATGCTGCGGTACTCCGTCTAGACTATAGACTACCTAGGTACATGGTCACATTGCTGGGTCATTCATCTTTTTCGTTGCGGTTTTACTTCATGGACATTATAGTGGTTGCTCTCATATTGCACGCGCTGCAGTAAAAGGTGGTATCTATTTTCAGGCGCGGCCAACATGATCCAGCCGCACGTCGTGGCCCCCTCCTTCTGGTCAGCCGGGTCGCAAGCATTTGAAGCCAGACTCCACTTCTCGAACTAGTTAGTCTAATGCATCCCACGAGTTTCAGTACCGAGGATGCTTATCTTGCTTGCTTGACAGTTGAGCGCTCGTCGCACAGCAGCAATGTGTGTTTGCCCCCACCTTTCATTGCTGCACCGGTACCCTGGGCCTGTACTCCATATCTAGGTACCAACGGCCGCGCATCAAAAGCTTTTCACGCTGTGCCGCAGAACTGCATTGGGATCACAACAATGTGTTGGTAAATACCTCTGTCACCCCAATGAACTACTGCCGGCGCCCCTGAGGAGTTCCCATTCCCATTGTCTCATTTCACCTGCCCCGCGAACTCTCCGCTTGTTGGCCCGCAGGCCCTCTACCCACCTCACTTCTACCTGGCCTTAACATCTATTGATCTTACTGTCGTCTGAACCATGAAGCTCCTCATTGGCGGCGCAACTGGCTTTGTTGGGACAGAACTTGTCCGCCAGGCCCTGGCCAACCCGAAAATCACCGCAATCGTCGCTCTTAGCCGCCGTGAGACCGTCCTGCCTCCTTCCACTGCGGGAGCAGAGAAATTGAAGTCCGTGGTCTGCAGCAACTTTGATGAGTACCCCGACAGCGTCAAGAACGAACTTCACGATGTGGATGCCTGCATCTGGTAAGTATAAATGATAGATCCGGTGGATATCCCAGGCTCCTTCTTCTGATCAGCGCGTAGGACCATTGCTGCGACCCCGACCAGCCTGAAGTCTTTGCCATGGTCAGAGGCGGTCAAGATCACTCGGGACTGGACCACCGTTTCTCTTGAGACGCTGGGGAAAATGCCTCGCAAACAGGGCCAGATCTTGCGGTACATTTACATGAGTGGCCACTTCGCCCCTCGGGAGAGGACCGAAGCGCCAAAGGTCCTCAGCGAATACAACCTCATGGAAGCCGGATATCTGCGTGTGCGTCTTCAAAATAGAGCCCCCCGCCTGATTTAGTGCCTCGACCGACTAATGTGATATATCTTCCTTAGGGTGAGACTGAAGTTCGCGTACTGGATTATGCCAAGCAGTCGAACGGAGCAGTTCAAGCTCAGATTGCTAAGTCGGGCTACATCCTTTCTCCTGGTAAGGTGGCACCCAACGTCCCTGGACTTCCGAGTATCCAGTTGGAAGATATCTCTGCTGCCTTGCTGGATCAAGCCGTGGAAGGTCTCGAGAAGGATACCCTGCTTAGTGACGATATGACTCGCATTGGGCAGAAAGCACTGGGTAAAACAGCGCAGTGATGGTCCTAGATATATAATTATAGACTATTTATATTTTTTTAATTCCACTACTAAGCTAGAAGCGAATAGTTAGGGTTCTAAAGGGATGAGATATAATATATCTTTTAAAGATTAGCTTAGCTAAGTTTACTATATAGGACTTTTTATAGTGACTTTATAATCTATGTCTATAACGCCATCTATTATTAGAAGATACCTTCCTGTATTAGTGCGCTAAGTTGTGCCGGTTCGGGCCGGCGCCGTTAGCCCGTTAAAGGTTAAAGCCATTATAAACTATAGGCTACCTAGTCTTAACGCCATTAAGCATTATATATAAGGTTACTATATAACTTAGGTAAGTTAGCTGAAATAGGTGAAAATAAAGCTACTATTCCCCTAACTAGGAATATATATAGGTTCTAGTTCTACTTTATAAGTAAACACCTATCTATTAGCTCTATAAGTAAAACTACTTAAAAGCAATCACTTAGCTAAATTAAGAGATAATTAGATAAGGTAACTATACTTTATTATTTAGGTTTATAGTTCTAATAACTTATAAATAGAAAAAGAAATAGTTATTAATAATTAAATTTATAACTATATAAAGATAGATCTCTACTTTAAGAAGAAGTTATTAATATCTAAAATAGTTAATATATTTCTAAAAAAACTAAAAGATTATAAACTTAATTTAAAGAAAATTAAAATCTATAAGAATCTTAAACTTAAGCTTAAGGGCTCCCCTTTAAATTTAACTCCTTTAAAGAGAAAAATACTAAAAAGGCTTAAAAAAAGGCTTAAATAAGGCTAGATAAGGTTATAATAATATAATATAGTTAAATAAAAAACTAGTTATAAAATCATAATTATAAATCTTTTAGCCTTATACTTAGGAGGGGGATATATAATTATATATAAAAAGTTATTAAAGGCTTTGCATATAAGTAATAGGGGGGAGAAATAAAGAATTGAGTAGAAGAATAATTATGTAGTGTAAAGAAAAACATACTACTGTGACTGAACCTGTGGATGTGAGACAAGTGGTTTCGTTCTTAATCCGCATGTATGCTGAAGACCCCTTCACATGGAGGTAAACGCTTTTAGACCCTGCCTTTTAAAGAAACAAAATCCTAACAACGGGTGTACGAAGAATGAAATGGACCGTATGCCTTCGGGATGTATACGGACCAAGAATGAAACCGCGTAAGACAAGCCAGACACCCCTCTTGTCTCGGTAACCCAGGCGGCGCTGTGCCACCGCGGCTTGGCTGACGGACATAAGCCGGACTTTCCTTATTCGTCGCGTTGCACAGACTACTACCCTAGGGTACTTAAGAGGCAGGCAGCGAGGCTCTTCAGTTGGTAGAGGACTCGTAAAATTCAGTGGTTGATCATGTCCAGCGGCAGATGAGTAATTCTTTCCCACATCCCTCACCCGCCGTCTCACCCACTTTGACCGATTCACGCGGACGAGGCACCAAATAAATTGGCTCTATAATAGAGCCACGACGTCCAAGTCGTACAGGATATATTGGATGTGTATTATTGAGGTGATGTTCTCCACTATCAATTTCCAAGATGGCACCCGCACGTCCTTGAGCGCAGCCGGAAGTGAGGCAAAGGACACGGCCGTGCCGAGTGCGCCGAGTGCGCCTCAACCTTCGGCTGGGCGCAAACGCAGTCAGGTGCCACGCGCCTGTGAATCGTGTCGTGTACATCGTATCAAATGTGACAACCACCGGCCGTGCCAGAATTGTGCAAGCCGTGGTGCAAAGTGTAGCAACCTGGGCCGGTCTAACATTCGTACCCTACCAGAGGCTTTTCGGTAAGTACATGCATATTATATGCATCATTTATCTTCCGGCTCTCCCTTGCCCGCAGCGCCCTCTGGGGGAAGAATATTCACCTTCCCATATTCTCGACCTCTGAATTCCCCACCGCCGTGTGGAACACCTCCATCTTAGCCAACTGCCCAACCATCCAACCATCGATTTCAGGCTGATGTTTCCTGTCCAGAGAGGCCGAGCGGTTGAGAAATCTTGTTCGACGCCTCGAAGAAAGGCTAAGTGACCACGAGCCAAATTTTGACAGTCAAAACGCCTTGCAGTCCAGATGGCCAGACTTAGGCCTGGGGACTCACACCTCAACCCCAGATCAAGGTCTCCAGAACTTAGCTGAACCCCCTGCTTCTCGTGCAGCATCGAGATGCCAAGACCCAGAGCAGGCAGGCCTCGCAAGGAGCAGAGGGAATTCGGAATCTGCGAGTGAGAACTCAGTGATGCGGCAAGAGCACCACGCAAACAGTGAGATCACCGTCCTCTGGGCCGGCGTCTATTCAAACACTGCTCGCTCTCCTCAGAAGACATGGTATGGGCCATCCTCTCTGATCTACTTCATCAGCCGTATGGACCATTTCCTCAATGTCTTGTTTCGACAGCCGGGCTCGGAGGGAAGCATGCAACTCAAATCCGCCAGCAAGGTCCTTGATGGCATTCACGATGGCCCCAAGCCCATGGGGAACCAAGATGGCCGCGAGTCTGACGCGTTGCGCGAACCAAACGAGCCGAGCCGCCACGGATTCGAATCCGTGAAGGATACCCAAAGCGCAGACTCACACAACGCCGTCACTTGTACTGAGAACCTTACGCCTACACAGGAGGAATATTTTCTCAACCTTTACTGGCAGTCTTACCACACCTCCATGCCCATCCTGGACGAAACAGAGTTCTGTGCCCACTACAAATCGCTACGGATGCCTGCTAGGAAACATCGGAAACCGTCGGCTCTGGTAGACATTGTCGTTGCCCTCTGCATGCAATACGGCACTGCGATTCAGCCTGCGCAATGCGGAGAGGCGCAGGCTGCTTCCCGAGACATGGAGACGGAACTCGGAAGCGATGACTCTACCATTGCCGGCAGATGGCACTACCGACGAAGCCAGGCACTCATGGCCTCCGAGCTGGAGAGCCCGAGCCTCAGCACCCTGCAGTGCCATATCCTGACGGTCATCTACCTGTGTTGCGCATCCTTCCAAAACATGGCCGACAGTACCCTCGCCGTAGCCACTCGGACAGCGACCATGCTGGGCCTCCACCACGAGCCTGGCGCCGACCTTCCCCAGAATGAGCGGGAGCAGCGAAAGCGGGTCTGGTGGTGCCTGTGTGTCCTCGAGAGCAAGACGAGCATGAAGCTCGGCCGGCCTTTCCTCTTGGACCTTGACCGCGCGACATGCGGCCTGCCCAAGGATAGCCAAGACGTGGGCGGGTCCTCGTTCGCCTCCCCGGGAGACAGCGCAACCTGGCTCACGTTCAACCTCCTCAACATCAAGCTCGTCCTGGCTGCACGATCAGTATATACTCCTTTTTACCGGAATCAAGTTTCCTATGCCACCAGGGGCGCCGACACTCCTGCGGCGACCTTGACAGGCGAGGCAGTGAACATCACCGTTTTCGACGAACCTCAGGTGCTCGAGATACATGCCCAACTCTTTGAAACTCATATGAGGGCTTTAAAGAATTGGGTGTATGAAGTTCCCTCTGCGTTGAAGACTAAGCGCAAGAATGGCGGTGAAGCTCTTTCCACAGACTTGTCACCATTGGACATCGAGGTGTTCGCACCAACGTGGCTGAAGAGGCAGAGACTCCTGCTGGAGCTCCTATACCACAACTTGTCATTGAGTCTCTATCGACCGTTCATCTCACTACTGCCAGTGCCACCATCTCCGCCGAGTCTGCATACGCCACTATCGACATCTCAGCCCTCCAGTGCTTCTGTCCTCAGCGCAAAGCACGGTCATGCCACAGTCCATCCAACTGTGTCCGACGCCCATTCAGATAGTGCTGCGAGACATGCTATGGCCCTCACATATATTATGCACCAGGTCCTGCGCTCCACGGATCTCCTTGCAGGATGGAATGAGGCATTCCAATGGCAGTGGAACGCAGCATTGACCTTGGTGGGGTATTTATTAGCGACTCATCACCGCAGAGGAGAAGTACCCGCTGACAGTGGTCTTTCGGCGTCGGCGGCAAACCTGACCGCCAACCTTTCCCAAAATTCATCGCCGATCCCACAGGCATCATCGATGAATAAGGAGAGATCCACCACCGCTGCTTTGGCACGAGAGGCCTTGGACCTTTGCGTCGACGTGATGGATATCTTTGCCACCAACTTTGCAGTTGCCTCGAGCGCGGCACATGTCCTCCGCGAGCTGAGGTCCAAGGTGGACAGCATGAAGGAGCAACAGTGGCGGGCCGGCGCTTCGTATTCTCCGCAAAGGCAAGCAGCACATCCTTCGGCGCAGCAGCAACCGCCGTCTGATTTGCATCCGTCATTGCGTCAGGGGCCAGCGAGGATGCGGAGGGAGAATCTTCGCAGAGGCTTCCACCAGTTGGGCCCTGATGCGGTTTCCCGAGGCCATCTTGAGCACATCGAAACCTCTTCAGAAAGGGCGCTGGATTCTGAAAGCGCGACCATCTTCGTCAATACGACTGACCAAGGCCATCCCGCCGGTCCGCCCAATAATCATTCAGCAGGCAATTCTGTGTCTATCTGGGTCGACAAAGACGACGAGTTTGCTTCGGGAGACATGTGGATGCTTGGAGATGATCGCACTCAGAGCGAAATCGGAAATTCTAACATTCCATATAATGCCTCCTCTCTACAGACGCTGGGGCAACAGCAGCAGCAGCAGCCGGCTGGGGATTGTTTCCATCAGACGTCGATGGATATGGCCCTTGCTGTCGACTCTTTCCACAGTCTGGAGATGTTGCAGCCGAGAACGAATTACTCTGAATTCAATGAAGAGTGGTTCTCCATGAATCTGTGAACTCCAGTCGGCGGGCTCGGATGGGTTGGGGTGGGGCCTTTCAAGAGGGTGTCAACTAGAGAAAACCACCAGACTAATAAGCGGGCTACTATCCCACATTACATAGAGGTATCGGTAAGAACATACTTGTTTCGAAGACACTATCACAGCCTCCCGATCAATTCGGTGTGTACTGCACATGGTATAGATACTCTATCGTCCAACATACTTGGGTAGGCTCAGGTGCACAAAGGTAGAACTATATTAGACACTACTACCTCCATTGACTACTGATTTTTGTCTCACATTATGCTCAGACTATACTTAAACCCTCAACAGGGCTGGAGGATAGCGTACTGGCATTGAATAACCATGCGCATTACCTCAAATTATACCCTAGGGTATGCAGCAGCATTCGCTGCAAGCCTCAATCTACCTTAATCCATCGTTATGACTGCTCGGAAACGAACTGAGCCGCTCAACATCGCATCTAGATGAAATGGATTAGTGGGCATGTTCCTAAGCATATGCGCGAGATATTCGGTCCCGAATAAGGGGGTCAACATCCTGGTGCGTTACGTACTAAAAGCTTCATTCGCTTTGTCAAGTGGAAATTTCTCAATCATGCAGTTGATTTTCAGGAGGTCCGTGAACGCGATCGCCTCTTCCGAATCGTAGGCATGACCACACGGCCAGGATTGCACTGAGACTCCGTACTTGAGCTGAATCCTCGCGTTAGCAACGGGCATGGTTTGTGCGCATCCGAGGTCGGTGGCAATGGAGGCTTCTGGAGAAAGGGGATGGGGACAAGTACCATTACACCGGTGTTCACAGTGAGATCCCCCGGCACTGGCAGCACTGCATGTCAGCTCATCATCTCATCAGTGTCAATGTCTGTGGCTTCATCTCGCGTACCTGACAAGACCAGCAACTTGCCCAGGATACCAAGCCCGCTCAGTAAAGGGGCGATGGATTCTGCAGTTGGTGCCGTAGCCATCGCAAGACTCGCCCGACCAAACCGCTGCAGCGCCTGGCCCGGGTCCTCCTTGCCTGCATCTATGTACTCGTGGGCGCCGAGCTGACGCGCAAACCTCTCCTTGTCGGACCCCCGCGAGATGGCGACGACGCGGAAGCCCATGCGGCTGGCGTACTGGATGGCCAGGTGGCCGAGCCCGCCGAGGCCCTGGACGGCGACCGTGTCGCCCGGCGCCAGGCCCGCGTGCCGCAGCGAGTTGAAGACGGTCATGCCGGCGCAGAGGATGGGCGCGTACGCGGCGGCGTCGACGTGCTCGGGCACGCGCGCGGCCGCCTCGGCGCGCAGGGTGCAGTACTCGGCGTAGCCCCCGTCCCTGGTCTCGCCGTTGATGACCTGGTTGTCGCACATCTGCTGCCACCCCGTCCTGCAGGCCCGGCACTGGCCGTCGTGCCCGCCGTGCCACCCGGCGCCGACACGGTCGCCGACCTTGAACACCTCGACGCCGTCGCCCACCGCCGCAACACGGCCGATGATCTCGTGGCCTGGGACTATGGGGAACCCGCCGCCCATGATGTTGTTCTGGGCGAACATGTCGGAGAAGCATACGCCGCATGCCTCGACCTTTACGAGCACCTCGCCCTTGATGGGGAGCTTGAGATCTGTCGTCTCGATCGTCAGGGGCTCCCCCTGCTCTCTGAAGACAGCACGCTTATAGGTCTTCGGAAGTGTCATATTGTTGTTCTGGGCGTCGCACGATAATGCTGTCTGACGTTAGAGGATTGTGATATAAGCTGGTCTTGACAACAGTCGAAACTCGGGTAGCTGAGGCACAAGCAACGCACCGTTCAAGTCGACTAGAATTTGGGGACGGGGTTGCTCGGGAAATCAACAGATGAACGATCTACTCTATTTGTATCATCGTCCCAATTGGCAACTGACATAGCCTGGCAGTCGGTACACATGGTGAAGTGCTGGTTATTTTGGAGCCAACCCAGGGAACTCCAGAAGGAGTTCCGGAGTGTCATATATTGTGTACCAGCACACCCACTTCCGTAACGTGGGTAGACCCAATTCTAACCACCGCCCATCTCGAACACTCCCCGGCACTCACGAACAGCAGCCCTCCGGAACTCCAAAAGAGCTGTCATCCACCGCCATGGTAGTTGCATCATTCTTTACAGAAAACGTGGCGTTGTTGTGGGAATAGATGTACTAGTGGTGTGATGTTGCCTGTGCCGTGACTGTCTCAAAGGAGTTCCGGAGTGCCGGTTGCTGAAATTGGCTAACCGCTTTGGAATTGAAATGACAACTAATCGGACTATTCTTTTGTACAGCAGCTAGATGGTAACACAACATTCCTCTTCGTCCAAAAGGGGTTTCGGGGTGGCATATTGCTCCGAATTGACGGTTTCGCGAATTTTTCTTTCTCGGGCGCACGAAGGGATGTGTGCGTCTCTCTGGGTGGTGTAGACGGTCGCGCTTGATGGTTTCGTTTTTGGTCTTAGTAATGGTCAATTTAAATTGTACTATAACTACCACTACGGCCCACTCCACCATGGCCTCCTGAGAGTCAAAACTTAGGTGTGAGCCTGAAGAATTTTAGACTCCACATATTCCTACAGTCACCAAGTGAGTAACATTCTTTGAACGGAGCTATCTCTCTTTTCTCGCTGGGTTGCCCGTTTTATTCTGTGTGAGCACTGTTCGCATCAAGCCTTTTCCAACCAAAAAAAAAAGTTACAAACAGCAATGGCAACCTTCGTAGCTCCGCCGAGGCTCAGCAACACAAGGAAGGACGAATATGCGGCGGAACCTGAGAGAGCGGAAACAAACACATTGGCCAATCTCGATGGCAGCAGCCGAAATGACAACACTACAGACATTCTGGACGTCGATGCCGAAGCCATGTCCCCGATCAGCTCAGAGGAACGCAAGATAAGAGGCGTGCGCTGGCTGCTTGTCTGCTTCGCCATCTTCTCGGCCAATGTCCTGTATGGACTCGACACGACAATCGTGGCCGACATCCAAGGAACGGTGTCCGAGACCTTCGACAATGTCACCCAGCTGGGTTGGTTGGGTGTCGGCTTCACGCTCGGCTCCACGGTGGCGATCCTGCCATTGGGAAAGGCTTATGGCAATTTCGACAACAAGTGGGTGTTTACTGCCTGCTTGGTAAATTTCGCCGCAGCTAGTGCATTATGCGGTGCTGCACCAAATATGAATTCTATGGTTGTGGGAAGAGTCTGGGCTGGCGCTGGCGGTGCAGGCATGTATCTCGGGTAAGCTCTATTGAACCGCTGCATTAACTGTCCTTTCCAAACGATTTTCTTTTAGATGCTAACGACTCAATCTCAAGAACTTTGAACCTCCCCTCAGCTCTATGTACGCCGAAGGAACATCCTTTCTACGTCGGAATCACTGGATTCGTCTATGGCAGCGGCTGTATCTTGGGTCCTGTCGTTGGAGGCGCGTTGGCTGATAGTTCAGCAACTTGGAGATGGGTGAGTATCACTGGGACCATCACCTTCTTATGGTGCCTAGGTATCCCAGCGTCGAAAATGCGTGATATAACGTCCTGACTAACGTTTGTCATACTCGTTCAGGCGTTTTACCTCAACCTCGTCATTTTTGCTGCCATGTCTCCGATTTACATCTTCCTGGTTCCATCGATCCCACGTGGTGAGGCGCCCATCCTCCAAAAAACCAAAGCGATTGACTGGTTGGGGATTGTTCTTAACACGGGCGTCTATACGAGCATGACGTTGGCCCTGATATTCGGCGGCGCCATCTGGCCATGGGGCGACGGCCGCGTCATAGCGCTTTTGGTGATCTTCGGAACCCTGACAGTGGCCTTCGTGATTACACAGCGCTTCAACATCTTAACGAATCCTGAGCAGCGGCTGTTTCCATGTGACTTCCTTCATGATAAGCAGCTGATTTTGCTGTACATTATAATGGCTTGCGGAGGCGGTGGGCTCTTTGTCTCTGTCTATTACATCCCTCTCTTTTACCTCTTTATTTATGGAGACTCCGGGACAGAGGCCGCAGTTCGCCTACTCCCATTTATTTGTCTCTATGTCGTCACCATTCTGGCCTGTGGCGCAACAATGGGCCGAACAGGATATCATATCATTTGGTTCGTCGTCAGTGGCTTGTTCCTTACGGCAGGAGCGGCCTGTATGTACACGGTTCATGCAGAAACGTCCCCCTCGAATATCTATGGCTATGCAGCGCTTCTTGGCCTGGGGATGGCTACCAGTCAGGCAGGCTATGCTGTCGGTGCCCAGCGTGTGGGCTCGAGCCGGGCCGCGGAGTTGATTCAGTTCCTGAACATCTCTCAGGGGTCCAGCCAGCTCATTGGCCTTGCCATTGCCAGCGCACTGTTCCAGAATTACACTTTTAACGGGTTGAAGAGCATTCTCGCTGGCCAAGAGTATTCAGACTCTCAAATTCAAGGGGCCATCGCCGGGGCAAGGAGCGATCTCCTGGCTAGTCTGTCTCCAGACCTGCGAGCGCGGTGTCTCGGTGTTATTGTCGAAAGCATTGGGAAATGCTGGATTCTTGTCATTGCCGCAGGATCATGTTACACATTGAGTTCCTGCTTGTTGACGAGAACTCAGTCTGTTCATACGAAGAATTAGATTTCACGGCTTGGCAAAAGTTGGATAACTAGTTACTGGGGTTATTTCTTTTTATAATATTTATAGTAACTATACTATGGTGCACGATTTTCAAATAGATCTTCCTTGTGAAAATTCCTCCTCACGAAGGCTCTAAGAATCCCCCATCACAATATTTTGAAGTCTTTGCTCGAATATTTGTTCCGATCCCCGTGCGTTAGGTATCTTCCAAAGCGTCTGTAAGTGGATTAGAAACGCAACCACTTTTCACTTTCTTAGGGCCACCCCCAATCCCATCGCTTAGAGACCCAGGTCTGCTTCCAGCCATTATTGACGTAGTATGTGGTAGGCGCTGTGTTGAGAATGAATGTCGGAACTTGCTGTTTAGAGACCTCCCCCCGCTCGAAGATATCGTTACCTCAACAGAATGCCCTGCTGTATTTGTTCAACTGGTACAGATGTCTGTCTCATGGTAGTTATCTACAGCTGTTCCCTTCAAACCATTCACTAAAATTGGATAGTGTGCTCCAATTTTGTTTGTTTCTGCTGCGCCGCATGGGTAGCGTTTCTGCCTAAGGGCTTGGGGTGATCATTGGTTTTGTTGCTTGCAATGCTGTGTAACCACTCCAAGTTTGATTGATCCCACATCACGTGCATCGTCCTGCCAGCGAGGCTTAGCCGTGGCAGTGCTGACATCTATCCGTCCGCTGCTGGCATGTCGGCTGAATCTTAGAACTGGAATCATCACAGTCTGAAAGTGTCAAGATCATAGTCCTTCGGCCATCCATAATGAGCTTCGGCTTCGGCGTGGGCGATTTCATCGCCGTCCTCGAACTCTTTGAGAGAATCGCCCGAGAGATACGGCATTATCGCGGGGCACCACAACACTTTCAGGAACTACAGGCCGAACTGGGGCTGATGAAGAGCACCCTCTCGCACGTCCTTCAGCTGCAACCGCAGGCCGAGTCGCCAGAAGAGACAGCAAGCATCGAGCAAATCCGCGCAATCGCCTTGCACTGCCAGCGGCCGCTGCTGGACTTTGTTGAGAAGCTGCGCCGACGAGAGCCTTGCCTTGGCCACTTCAAGACCACAAGCACACTCGCAACCGTCGGTGCCAGACTGCACTGGACGCTGATATCCCGTGCCGACGTTGACGATCTCCGCCGCGTTCTCTTGTCTCAAATGTTGGCCTTGAATGTGCTGCTAGGGACTCATCAACTGTATGCTCAAATGCCCTTCCCAAGATTCCTGATATTAAAGGTTTAATAGAAAGTGTCTCCATTTGCTCAAGCCTGTCGTCACCAGCATAGCCGAGCGCCCCGATGGGAGCAATGAAATAAAGGCTATCTCGGAGAAGATCGACGTCTTGGGCGAGTTATCAAAAAGGGCACCTTCTGCTATAATGGATCTTAGGAACCTTATTGTTGGTCAGAATACGGTATCGACCACCCAAATCGCTACAATAGGCCGCAATTGCGACGAGATCCGTGACAATGTCACCTCGCTCTCACTCTCGGTCACTGCCGGCAAACGCTCAAATAAGAGACTATCACGTGCACTCATTCGCCTTTTCTCAGTCATTGAAGACATCAGGGCTCTTCTATTCAGGCAAGTCGCCATGCAAAATAGTTCAGATTCTTCCAGAGTCGATTCGATGCGCTCTAACACATCGCTTATTAGCCTTCTACAGTACTCTCGGGACGCACTTGAGACAATTCAAAAGAACGCGTTGGTTTCCACTTGCTCAGTCAATTTCTGGCGCCGAATTTCGCTAACCCTCACAGATCGATGCTAATGAGCATTCAGGCCACAATGCGCCGCATAGCCGAGGGAATCGAGTCAATTCCACTGCACTTATCATTACCCATTATACGCCTCGACGATGCCTTGGGGGAAAGTTGGGCACTCCCATTCCAGGCTTGCACAAATTATACGGTATGAGATCAACTCATCCAGACAACTAATTTCTGACCAGAATAGGCATTTCAAAACGTCCTCCAAGCCGTAGTCTTCCCCAACAGTCGCCCAGGCTCAAATCTGGCCCGATCAGATATGTACGCCCTCACGTTCGCTCGGTCGATCACTACCATCCACAAGGATCAATGGTCCCAAACTGTGAAGCCAGGTGCCCATATTCAACAGGCGATGATAACTGCGGACGATGGACGTTGTGAAACCGAACTGTGTTCATTTAGAGGATGTTACGGACAAATGTCTGACTCTATTGTCGGAGATGACAAAACTGAGAGAACATGGTATTGAACCTACTCCGAGCACAACCATTCAAAGAAGCTGACCAAATATGCACGCAGCGGAAGATGCGGGCGCTCTTCCATCATTGAATTGGATGATAGCATATTCGTTGCCCAAGACCGAAGCAAGCCTGGTTCATCGTCAACCAGGTTTCCAAACTCGGGTCGTCCCAGACCAAATTACGCAATAAATTCGTCCATGCCTGTAAAAGATGCAACGCAGGCACTTCCAAGAATTGAAGTAGACGAGTCAGCCAGGTTCCGTCGGACCATAACCTACAAATTTCGAGCGATGCAGACTCTGGAGGAAGCACTAGAAGCAATATCAAAGGACAAGCTTGACGCAAGAGCAAATCAATTCATGGGCTGGTGGTTTCTAACACAGGATGACGATACAGAGGGCGCTATAGATCACTTTGAAATTGCGATCAAGTCTGGTATATTTTGTCATTTCTCCACTGTCACGGCCAGAAGCTGATACTTGAGACACAGGAATCCAGGACACCGGTCAGACGTTCTACTTACTTGGCAGAGCTTTCATGAAGTATCGGGATGATCGTTATCCTCGAGCGGCAGAAAACCCCCACTTTACGGATCAAGCATTTGGGAATTACAAAAAAGCCGTTGAGACACGGCGCCTCGTATCTTCTTATTGGCTGTCAATCGCTGTCTTGTACTACGTGGTGAAGCAGTATCGTGACAGCCTGGATTCTTTGTCCCGGGCTGCAAGGCTAAATCCAATGGCCTGGGAAGTCTGGTACAATTTAGGTGTTTTGGTGAGTTCGGATATACATGGGGATGATTACGTTGAGGCGCTCTAAACTAATAAATGACTTCAAAGTACAACTATGTGGGCCAAACGATAGATGCGTTTGGGGTGTTTTTAAGGTGTGTAGAACTCAATCCGAAATGTAGCCGCGCTGTGATAAGGATGTCCAGGCTTCAAGAGCTTTAATCCGTATATATCCTAAAGATGTGCACTCCCTTTACGTAGTAGTAAAAGCTTTAAGACCCAGCCTTTTAAAGGAACACAATACTAACTTAGAACAACGAGTACACGAAGAATTGAATGAACAGTACGCCTTCGGGATGTCTACGGATCAAGAACGAAACCACATAAGACAAGCCAGCCACTCCTCTCGTCTCGGTAGCCCAGGCGGCGCGTACAAAAGTAATCATGTGCGGCCTCCCTCAGGCAGCGGAAGTGATCGACTGCCTTAGCCGATTCCTCCATGGGCTGGCCGAGCTCCTCTAGATCCGGACGTCCCTTCTCATAGACCTCCCACTTCGCGTAAGTAATAACCTCATGCTTATCTTCAGGGTTACCTACTTTTAGATGGTGTATGTAAGGGCTTGTATCGATATCGTGGTAGATGGTAGCCTCCTGATTTTCTGAGAATCCGGGGTACGGAGGCGGTCGTCTAATAACGAGGGATCCCAGGCTGTTGATACGGATGCTCACACTAGGTCACGTCTGCGTACTCTACTGGCCGGACCTCCAGCATCTTACAAATTTGGCTGTGGAAGAGAGGGGTGAAGACCGCAAACGTAGGGATTCTCATGACTGTATGCAGTGCGCAGGTTTGACGCGCTGGAAGTTCTCAAATATCACAAAGTCTGCCCAGGTTATACTCGCCGTCGGGTCACAAGTTCGGGTATTTCCATATATGCGAGCAGTACATGGTCGCCGGAAGCGTCTTTGTTCAGAATGGCCAGAAGCTTTAGTGGTATATTTCACGGACAACTCCTTAGCCCCCTGCTCTATCCTCCCATAAGTCAGCGCACCGGTCTACACACAACCCCACCAACACATACAAGTTATCTATATCCTTATAATTAAAGTTATTTAAATATATACCTACTTTATAAAGGTATCTTAAATTATATAAATATAAAAATTATACTATTTAACTTATCTCTTTCTTCTATACCTAAAAGTATATCTTTTTTTATTAAAGTTAAATTTTTAATTATTATAATTAATTATTAAGTTAATATTAATAAAAATAAAGTATATAAAATATATTATATCTCTTAATATTCTTATTAATACTATATAATAAGTTTTATAACTTATAAAGATATTAATTTTATTTATTAAAAATTATTACTAATATAGAAATATCTTTTAACTAATTAGGCTTTTATTTAAAGTTATTTTTATATTTATTTATATATAAACTTTTTAATACTTTATTAATTAAATTATTAATAATAATTAACTATTTAATACTTTTTTATTTTTATTAAAAGATATTAAATATATAATTTTAAAAAATCTTAAAATAAAATATTTAAAGTTATATAAATTAATTATAAATATATAAATAATATTATATTTAAATATATTAAAAGTTTTTTTAATTATTTAAAGATATTAAAATTATTAATATTTTTAATTAATTTTAAAATAATATAAATAAAATTAACTTTTAAAAACAATAATAATAATTCTTTAATAATTAAATTTTTAAAAATAAGTTTATTATTAAAAGTTAATTATTAATTATATTTAATTTATTATAATTAAATATTATATAATAAACAAATAATTAATTTTACTTTTAATTATTTTTATAAAAATAATTTAATAATAATAATTTTTTAAAAGAAACTTAATTAATTTAAAACTAAAACTTTATAATATTAAATATAAATTAAATTAATAATAATATTAATTTATAATAACTAAAACTATTTATAAGCTTTTACCTACTCTAATAACTTTAAATAATAATAAATATTAATTTAATAGTTATAAGTTTTATATAATTAAAGAGTTTATATAAAAGTACTTTTCTTATTAAATATAACTTATTTTCCTCTTAAAATATACTTTCTATATACTTTAATTATTTAATATTAAAATATTTTTATACTTAAAGTATTAATATTATTAAAATTAACTTAACTTATTATAATATATAATATAAAGAATTTTATAAAAATTTCTTTTATATACCTATTATAAAATATAAAAATACTTTTATAGTTATATATATTAAAAGTTAATTAAAAATTAAAATTTAATTTAAAAATTAAAATAAAGTTTTTAATTTAAAGTTAATATAAAAATAATAATATTATTACTTTTAATATTAATTAAAAAACCTATTTTTATTAATAAAAATTAATTTAATAAATTTAAAAATACTTTATTTATTCTATTAAATATAAAAATTAAGTTTAAATTATATAAATTAAAATAAACCTTTAAATTATTTATAATTTAATTTTCTTTTAAAATTAACTAAAAGGTTTAATAAATTAATTATATATATAATTATTATTAAAAGTAAAAGATATTTTTATTAATATATTAAATTATTAAAAATTTAAAAATAATAAAAGTTTTTTTAATTTAAATAAAATATTTATTAATATAGTAATAATTAAAAAATATTAATAAAATACTTTATAAAAGTTAAAATAAAATTAAAAAATAAAAATAAAATAAATAATAAAAATAAAGTTATAAAATTAAATTATATTATAATTAAAATTATAAAGCTTTAAATATTATTATTAACTTTAAAATAATATTTATAGTTATTAAGAAATTTAAGTCTAAAGTTAAGTGGTAATTTTGAGGGTATTTGAAATCCTTATACATATTAGTGGGGTTGTGTGTGGACTGGTGCGCTGACTTATAAGTAACTGCCTTTCTAACTAGCAATTAGAGTGTTCGCTATAACTAGATTGAATACTACCAGACTGGACGCAGCGCAGGCAAAGCCCGATCCTCTCGTTCAAGTTGTCCAGTTTCCAACTGCGGTTTCTCCTGTATTCTGGCTCCGAATGCTTGTATGCATAAGTACATGGGGTACTGAACAATTCCCCGGGGACCGGATCAGGCATCCTGTTTGCTGACTGAAGTGCTTTGGAGATGGCGATATCAGCTAAGCGTGACGGCCAAAGATGCTCTCTTTCCAACAGCTTCATATATGCGTATGCATGCTTGCTTGACCATCCACAATTGTGAACACACAGACCATCATTTACCCCTGCTATGAGAATTTCTGCCACCTCCAGCCTTGCAATCCCTCTCTGTTCTTCAAGCATACCTGTGCAATTTTTGGTTAGTCGTATATCCAAACCCATGACCTGGCCACTTACAGAAGACCCTCCACGTCAAAGCAGACTCAACTTCTTCGCATGAGAGAGCAAGGTAAGGGCCGTTATAGTCAAGAATCAATGCTCTCGTGATCTCTTTAAACGCTTGGGCGTTCTGGAATAGACATGCCGCGGCGGTGAGAAGCATTAGATTGCCAGGTTCGTGTGTACAGGGCCGCAGCCAGCTTTCACTGACAAATCTCAGGGCATCAACACAATCATATTTGTCCGCGGTGACGGCAACTGCGAGGATATCGCGTGGAGCGAGGGTTTGAGGTACTTCTCTGTTCCGATGGTGAATGATAGAACAGATAAGTTTCATTGCCGCAGCATCGTCTTCAGGCAGTGGCAACTCGGCAGGTCCAACCCGATGGAGTAGATCCTGGCCTTCTTTCCAGTTTGGCCCAAACATGACGGAGAAAGGCTTCGAGACTGCTCTCAACTGCATAGAATGAACAAGAAGTTTGACCTCTTCTGGCCCAACTATCAAAATAAGGTCGCCATCTGGAGCAATTTCAACAACTGTGTTGGTCTGGATATCCTTAGGAGTTTCCATGGCCTGCCGCTGCTTGAAAGCGTCACAGAAGAGACATCTGGTTGATGCTTTCGACAGGCACAGCATTTCACAAAGGCCATTTTCAACCCCTCACCCCCTCAACCCCTCAACCTCCCCCTCAACCCCTCAACCCCTCACCCCCGCACATGCCACAAACCATATCCCATAACCTTCTCAGGGTGGCCGTACACTACACTCAATACACTACATTACACCAAGTATATATAAATATTTACATTACATATACTACACTAAAGCTACTTTGAATTCCACTACTATACTTATAGTGGCATCTACAGCCCCGGGGGCTCAACTGAGCCCCCGGGGCTGTGCTTGACACCGCCGATATTGGCTGCACGTTTAGATTCCCTATTAATAAGATGTGGACCGAAGCGCGCAGATCTTTGTCCCCAAAGCCTCTGATATCGTCACTAGGTGTGTGATCGCTAATTGCTGACTGCATATTGGAACCGCAGAGCACATCGCTTAGCTGCTGTACCCATGGTGGATGCGGGAACAGCTAAGACAATTGCACTTCTGAAGCCGGATCAGGAAGCAATTTCGAAGGTCATCTACCCAAAGCTGCATCTGATAACCAATTACATTGGATCGAAGCCACACAGACAAACCAAAATTAGTCACACTAACTGCTCAAGTGTTGTGACACCCACTGCACAACCTCGGGCCATTAGCTTAGTAGGAAGAGGGCTCAGATAAGGCTGCATGTAACGACGGCCAGAAGCCCGCGAGTTTCGCGGTCATCAGTGGCCTGCTTAAAAGGGGCATGCGTTCCCATGTTTGTGTGTTTCTCAGCTGGACCTGATTCTGACATGTATTCCTCTTTCACTCTGCGGTTTTGATGACCCCCCGGGGCCCGGAAGGCATGGGATTATTTCAAAAACACGTCAAAGGTCGTGACACGGTCACAGGCACTATTCCTGCGGTGTGCTTCGATCCCTGCAGTAAGGTTTACAAAGCTGTTTGACCGAAGTTCTATCACTGATTTGAATTAGATAATGCCAATCTCGAGGCGCAGACCCGTGGGAAGGTACCCTCGTTATGCGACCGTGACAGTGATTTCAACAAATACTTGAAGCAATGTAATGATTGTTTGGACAACTATTCAGATACAACCAAAATTAATGGTCAAGATTACGTTAATGGCTCATTTCAGCAGTACATAGATTACTGCAGCGCCACCCAACCCGAGGAACCTACTATTATATCACGACCAAGCACGACAATACCTCAGTCATGGCTCAGTTACTACGAAACCTTTCTCCCTATCGCAGCTACCAATATTCAAGCTTCGGGGATCACGATTGCAGAAAGTACAACGATCTACAGGAAAACAACTTCTGCATCAACACTGCCTGCCTATTTCTTTCATACCTCAGTACAGGCCCTAGTATCCTCATATATTCCACCTGCAGTGCTTAGCGAGCTTGCAGCATCTGTTGTCTCTGTTGCGTCAAGCCTCACTACTGATCCAACAAGCTTGGTCTATGCAGCCCTCGAGGACGAGTCCCGGCCACCATGGTTCTCTTCGGCTGTTCCATCTACATACATTGCGGAAATGAAATCCTTGGAGGAGAGCATCGACAATTTGAGGGCTATCCCTATCTCAACGACGTCTCAGGCTGTTTCAACCGTGAGCGAGTCGGTGCTGCCATCGAACACATCTTCGGTACAGGGCGCGACTTCAACTGGTATATTTAATGTCCCAGGGCCCCTTTATACTACTCTGCTAAAATCTTCGCCTCTTTAGGCTTAGGCAGTAAAGCCTGGATTGCTGGCGCCGTTGTCGGCTCGGTTGCGGGCGCAGCCTTGCTACTCCTCGGTACAATTCTATTCGTGAGGCGCAAGAAGCTTGCTGTGCGGGCAAGCAAAACGCAGGGGGGTCAGGGGGATAGCTACGACACAGGACTCAAGCCCGAATTGCATGCAGAGTCGGTGGAGCCGCCCCGACCTATCTATGAGATGGACGCGACCAACTTGTCGGAACTGGCAGTGCATGAGATGCCTCAGGAATTAGATGTTCAGCAAGAGAGCAAGACAAGATGAGGACGGTCTAGTCCGGGATGGATCACTTCGGCGATACGGCTTCGATACCTCGAAGGATAGCCTGAGACGTCGATTAATCACGAACTAGACAGCAACAAGACATTGGCCGGGGTCAGCTGGCGATCTGTTCGGGCATTATACCTGCTGAATTTCCGACAAAGAAGAGTTGAGGAAAGGACAGAATATGGAAAGGATAAAGTTCACGGACGGGTGATGGGATATAAAGAGAGTCACCACATACACTTAATGCTCGCAGAATCATAAAAGTAATGAGACAACATGACATCAGCTGTTGCTCTTTGCGCCTCCCAGCCAGGGTTGCCGCTTACTACACTCAGTATAGTAGTATAGTATAGTACCTATAAATAAACCCACTATACTCTATTATATTAAAGATATTTATTTTAAATTCTATTATATTATATTAAAGAGTTTAATTTATATAATATAGTATATTTAAATATAAATCTATTAGATTTTAAAAATTGAAATAATTATATTTATATTTATAATAATTAATTATATCTTTTATTTTATACTTTATAAAATAAATATTTAAATTATTAATATATTTTATAAAATATATATTTATATATCTCTCTTTAATATAAAGTTAAAATATTTATAATTATATTTTTAATTAATCTTTTAAAGTATTTTATTATATTATAATTTAATTTATTCTTTAAAATTAAAAGTTTAAGTTTTTAAACTTAAATTTAATATTCGTATAAATTTCAATTTAATTTAAATTAAATTTATAACTTTTAACTTTTAAAAATATATAAAATATTATAAACTATTTATATTTTTTAATTCTACTATTAAATTAAAATAAATAGTTATAATTTTAAAAGATAAAATACAATATATCTTTTAAAAATTAATTTAATTAAGTTTATTATATAAAACTTTTATAATAACTTTATAATTATTTATAATATTATCTATTATTAGAAAATACCTTTTATATTAATATATTAAACTATATTTAATTAATTTAAATTAATACTATTAGTCTATTAAAAGTTAAAGTTATTATAAACTATAAACTATTTAATTTAATATTAATAAATACTATATATAAGTATTAAATTTATTATATAACTTAGATAAGTTAGTTAAAATAAATAAAAATAAAGCTATTATCTTTTAAGAGTTTTAACTTTACTTTATAAATAAATACTTATTAAGTAAGACTATTTAAAAGTAATTACTTAATCTATTATATAACCTATTAAACTAAAATATAACTACACTCTATTATTTAAATTTATAATTTTAATAGCTTTATTATATAATTAAAAATAGTTATTAATAATTAAGTTTATAATTATATAAAGGTAAATATTTACTTTAAAAGAAGTTATTAATATTTAAAATAGTTAATTTATTTTTAAAAACGTTAAAAGATTGAAAATCTAATTTAAAATATATTAAAATTTATAAGAATCTTAAATTTAAACTTAAAAGTTTTTATTAAATATTTATACTTATAGAAATAAATATTTTTATAAAACTTAAAAGAAGATTTAAATTAAGTTAAATTAAGTTATAATATAATAAAATAATTAAATTAAAATTAATTAAAAATTATAATTATAAGTTTTTATTTTTAACTTTATATTTAAAAATAATATAAAATATTATATATATTATATATATATAGAAATTAAAATAAAACTATATAAATATAATTAAAATTCTTAAAGAATTAATTTATTTTATTTATAGCTTTTAAAATTATAAAATATATTTATTTATTAAAGTTATAAAGATTTTAAAGCTTTATTCTATAATTAATAAAATAGTTAGAAAAGTATATACCTTTTAATTTTAAATATATAAATTTCTAATCTTTTTATAAGTTTAAATATATATAAAAATAGTTATATTAAAGTACTTTAAACTAATAAATAACTTTAAAATATAACTATATAGGTAAAACGGTAGATATACTTAGGGTGTTTTTAAAATATATAGAACTTAATCTGTAATGTGGCCGAGCTATAATGAGGATATCCAGGCTTTAGGAGCTTGTTGACTCTGGTGTAACCACCGGAACAATCGGAGTCGTCAATGCCGAAATGGTTGAGCCGCCGCTGGACCATGTATCTCACACAATCCCTGACTGTCGAAATAACCTGTCATTTGTACTCAACCCGATTGAGATGGACGACGCAAATGTTTTACTTGGGAATGAGCGAGAAGAGGTGAATCATCTGGAGAGAGTTCCTACTACGAAACAGACTCGGATGGGTCTGAAGACAGGGGCGACATCTGGAGGGAGATTGAATCGGTGAGGAGGAAGATGGAGATGCAGGTAGGTCTCTGATTGGCGAGTGATAGGTTCACCTGAGTATTCTGGAAGATGGGGAACTGGTATACTTTAAGTAACTTTGGGGAGAATCATAACTTAGGAAAGGGGCAATTCTTTTTGTTCCTTTCGGACTCTGAAGAGAAGATTGACACTTGCTCGTAGCCAGGAGGCGATCTATTCGGACCATGTAAGCTGTGGAACACGACCTGGGCAGTAGGGTAACCACTCGCATGTCAGTGTTTTCCCCCACAACCTGCACCCCGCACCCCGCAGCAGCACCTTGTTTCTCGGCGTCCAGCTAGTGCTGTCAAATTTCGTGGATCTTTGCTCTTCCACCCGCGTTACATTGAAAGAAGAAAAGAACCCTGTTCTTGACGTACAGAAATCGGATATTTATCCGCACCGACTGCTCCCAGGGAGCTGCGTATTTAGTCCCTCCTGGTTGTCGCCAAGCCCTCCAGGGCTCGCTACGTAGTTTGCTAGAGAGCTTTTCCGGCTGTCCGGCTGCGACCCATGCCCCCCGAATCAGTCGATGGGGCGCATGGCGAACAGCCGAGATCGCTACCCTCTCTGCCCCCCTTTAGCTTCAGTGACGATGGCTAGGGGAGGTGGAGTCACTGAGCTTGGCGACTGGGTATAAATATCTTGGCATCGTGGTATAAAGACCAAGACAGCAGCCTGAGAACCATTGACAGTTCTTGACGCCTTGGTAGAGGTTGCACTCCTAGCTCAGGTACCGGTCAAAACTGCAACATAGGACATGCCAGCAGTAGCAATCATGGCTTCCGCGAGACTCGTTACCGGCCTTGCCCTCCTCGAGGGTCTTGGCTCCTTCGCTGGAGTCCAGGCGCAGGCCGCATCCTCGGCCGAGAGACCCCTCCCAGACAAAGCCCAGATCATCGACCAAAAGAGCCTCCTTGTCCTTGACGAGGTCTTGCCTCCGTCGAAGGCTAACGCTACTACGGTACGTAACCTATGCTAGGCGATATCACAAATTATTGAGTCGGAGGAAGATAGCTAAGAATGCATGCTTGCTACAGGAATTCCTCTGGCCCGGCGTAACCCATGAGTCTCTCACGGAGAAGCCCTTCCATGTCTATGACCCAGACTTCTACGACATCATAGGCAGTGATCCGTCATTGACTCTGCTTGCCGAGTCGGAGTCAGACCCGCTATTTCATGAGGCCGTGACATGGTGCGTGTAGAGAAACTGCGCAATTGTCTGGCAATGGTGTTGGAGAAGCTGACTTCAAATGTTGGAAACAACAGGTACCCGCCCACGGATGAGGTGTTCTTCGTCCAGAATGCCGGAGCTCCCGCTGCTGGCACTGGTCTGAACAAGTCATCCATCGTTCAGAAGATCTCCCTCGCGGACGCAGAGGCACTGCGCAGTGGATCCCTTGGCGCCGAGGCAGTCACTGTCCACACCGTGCCGTCGAACCCTCAGGTCATCAACCCCAACGGTATGTAGCAAAGATACCTGAGATCCGTCTGGCTGGAAGCTGATATAGTTCAAACTAGGTGGGACAAACTACAAGGGCAACATCATCTTTGCAGGCGAGGGACAGGGAGAGAAAATCCCATCTGCGTTGTACCTGATGAATCCTGTGGAGCCCTACAACACGACTAGTGAGTGAGCCCAGCGAAATCGGATCTCCACGGGCGAGTCTAGAATCGCTCGGGGCTGACTTGCTAATTAATCGTAGTTCTCGTCAACAACTACTTTGGCAGACAGTTCAACTCCCTGAACGATGTCTCGGTGAATCCCCGCAACGGCGAGATTTACTTCACAGACACCCAGTATGGGTACTGGCAGTACTTCCGTCCTGAGCCTGGTCTGCCGAACCAGATCTACCGGCTGAACCCCGAGACCGGGGCGTTGACGGTTGTGACCGACGACCATGTTTCGCCAAATGGTATGCTTCGAAACGACATGTCCTTTCACATTTGATGCAGCTATCGCGAGCTACCTAGAACGCGAGCCGAGGACGTACTGACGAAGTGTTGTGTGCAGGTCTCACTTTCTCACCTGATGGCAGCTACGCGTATGTCACGGATACCGGAATCAGCCAAGCGCTCTTCGGTATGAACATGACCAAGCCAGCTACTGTGTACGTGCCTCACTATATGCCCTCGGTCGTCTAGGTATGCATGGCTAACAAGCATCCATAGCTATCGGTATGAAGTCCAGCCAGACGGTACCTGGGAAAACCGCAAGGTCTTTGCGCACGTCCATGCTCGCCTCCCTGACGGTAAGTCCCGCAGCACAAGCCAGAGGATTCTTTGTGTCTCCCTGCCACACCATTGGCGACTGACTAACTGAACCTCAACTTCCTAGGCATCCACTGTGACACCAAGGGCAATGTCTACGCTGGAGCCAACGACGGCGTGCACGTCTGGAACAACTCCGGGAAGCTCCTGGGCAAGATCTATACGGGCGTCGTCGCTGCCAACTTCCAGTTTGCGGGCGAGGGGCGCATGGTCATCATGGGCAAGACCAAACTCTTCTACGCGACTCTGGCAGCATCAGGTGTCGCTTTGCAATAGGCGTGCCAGAACCCGTGGGCAGGGGACGGAATACACTTGGTGACTCAGAACTGGGGTATCGGTCACGAAAACAAAATGGCTACCTAGGTACATAGTTTGGATTTCCGCGGATTCGGATTACACGTCATCCGCATGTAATACACATTTTAATGTCTAGGCTGCATTAATCCGTGGGTAATAAAAGTGTGCGTTTTGATTCAACAATCTAGCTCTCCATCCGATCTGAATTGTGCTTGTCGCGAGAATTCCCAATGATCTGACTCGCATGCAGCTAACGAGGACACCGTCATCGACGGCATTGCTCCCTGCGGAGGCGGAGGCGCACATATTTAAGCCAGTATACCTAGGGTAGCCGTCTAGAAGAACGACCTCTCCGAATACGCGGAGCCGCCACTCGTAGAAAAGCCACTGAAGGTGGATTCGGACTCATAGCCGAAGTCATGCCCTCCCGATGCGCCGAGTTTGCAAGACTCGCAAAGCCGGGTCGCCACATTATTGCTATCATTCCCACGACGAGCCAGACATTCCCCATTCCTCAGCCTCTTCTTCCTGCACTGCTCGACTCGAAGTTCCACAACTGCTCCACACCTTTGTCGATGTCCTCCCGATGATTTTGGAGGACGAATACCGGGGCACGTCAGCATAAGATACTCGCACATGTTGGAAATCGCTGAGCTCGTTTCTGTTTCTGAATTCGGATACCTTGGTACAGACAGGAAGGTTGGAGGGTGAGTGAAGCTCCTATTGGGTTTATATAATTATCTGTCGAAGCTTACTCGTACCACAGATGTGAGACTGGATGCCTCAACAGTCTCCTTGTCGGTCAAAAATGTCTCCATACACCATGAGCTGTAAACAAAGCCTCATCCAATTGTATTTGTGTCTCACGTCAGTGCCCTTGAAACTATCATGTGGTGCCAGCTCTTTGTTGACGGTTTGTTCCATGGGGTCGTTGTGTGAAACTGCGGCATTATTGACCGACCTCCGGCACAAAGCCGCGGCCTCGGTTTCGACTTGGACAGCTTGATGCTGCGAGTGCTCCTGGTTACAGAGATTTCGTGACTGGAGCGATTTTACATTTCATGTTGTACCACTATCTGCAGAGTCTTCAGGCTTGCGGGTTGCCCGGCGAAAACACTACGAGACCTGCCAGTGCTTCCCATGCTCTTTGGCCAAATTATGAAACAGCTTCAACCTTCATACCCATTCATACAATCATATAACTGATTCCGCTTCTATTCTGTTTATGTCTGAAAACATACATGTCGCCTTCATACGCTGGTGAATGTGGTTTCGATTCTAATCCCCATACATGTGAAATGTATGTGGCGCCATCATATAGTGGTAAACGCTCAAGAGCCAATGTTTTTTTTTAAAAAAAAAATAGAAATACAGTGCCAATAACAGTGCAGAGAGAATACAGTACGTGGGCACGTGGCCTCAGCATCGTGCCGCACACATGGGCAGACAAGGCTGGAAGGCATCGCTCCCGACGGCGCCGCCCGGGCGCTCACTAGAATTGTCGACACAAGTAGCCCGAGGACTAGTCTGCCACGGTGCTAGAGTCGAAGCCGGGCGGCGCTTTCTTACACTAGTAAATTCTCAATATCCAGCTGTCAAAAAAAAAACACAACGCTAATGAAAGTGAAGAGAACAGCCGGCGGATCTCCAGGGCGAAACTAGTGCATGGCGCACCATCTTCACACGGGGTTGGGCAGCCGCTCATCACCCAATTGCGGCGGATGCCCAGAATGGGACAGCTGCTGCGTTGTCTGCCAAAGCGACGGTGGCTGAGGCTGCGGTGGATGGGGCGAAGTGTATGGCTGCTGGGATGCAGACTGTGCAGCAGTCTGATAACTCTGGATGCACGGCTATCTTGGTTGAGAGTGACTGCATGGTTTGCTGCATGGGCTCTCAGAAAACAGCTCTGATTACCTAGACAGCTGGTTAATCCGCAGAAGATGCCGATGGATGCGTAATATCTTTCGGTATTTGTTGAAAGTAGGTGGGTCGGGTAGTGTGTTTGGATGGGGCCGACAACGAAAGCGCGATAACCCATTATTCCATATCGGGGCGTGTCGCGTTGTTTGTCTTTCCAATAGCTTCGTGAATTGATCTGTCAAAAACATTCGGATGTTTCTCTCGTGTGAACAAGCCAACCCCTTTTTGATCGGAGTTCTTGCGGCCTACAACGGCGAGATCGGAGAACGTGACGTCGAGGAAGGGAGCCTTTCTCATTACAGGATCGATAGGGCTTGAGAGGTACTATTGCTTGAATCCGCAGTGTGTGGTCTTTCATGCAACGTTTTACCCCTTGATGTGTAGTTCCAAGAAAATTGTTGATATAATTTTGTGAATTGTAGTGAACTGTGGTTTGGGTATGATGGGTATTCTCCAGAATTGCTTGACTTTCGCATCCACTAATCCTCCAACCAAGTTGCTCTTCAGCCTGATTCATGAAAACTCGCATTCTTCCACTGGCCCTCCGGATTCTTGCTCGTTCACGCGTCAGAACTAACCACCACTTCCCCGTCTGGATCAGCTGTCTGTCCATCCTGCTCCGTCCTCCTCGACGTCACTCTTCCCATCCTCACTGCGCCTTTACCTGACTTCTTCTCAGCCTTGATCTTTTTCTCCAGTCTCTCCGCGCTCTGGGCTAGAACATTCTTGAATTTCCTCGGTATTTTCACACGCGCTGAAACTCTCGCAGAGGAACGCGGTCGTATTTCCGATAGCATATTTCGCGTCCTCCCCAGCGACATGGTCGTTACTCCCCACAGTGGCATTGTTTAAATTCTCTTCAGGGCCTGAGATCATGAGCTTCGTGATGTGAAGCTGCACCTCCAACTGGTTGATGATGCTCTTCGAAGATCCCGCCTATGCACTTCACGATCTTCGCGGCCGCGTTCTGGATGATACTCTCGATTTTGTCCTGCGTGAAATCGCCGAGGCCCGTCGTGGTGGCCCTGTTGAGCGGCTGCATCAAGCACGTGCCGTCGGAAACTGTCTCCAAGAAATCAGCGACCGGCGTGTCGTAATGGCGCGCCCTGTGTGCAAAAAACACTTTTGCCACATTTGAGATCAGATAAATCGGTCGCCGCGTGCTCCCTTCCATCCTGTCGCGGGCCGCGCGACTGCAATTCTCCAGAAAGATGTCATAGCAGATGTAAGAGTGGTATCTCTGCTCGGCAATCCTGTATCCTCTCACTTCAACGGTGAAAGTCGCCGTCTCAGCCCCCAGGCCAGCGCCTTGCAACAGGTTCCGGCTGACCTCGGTGGCTGCTCTTTCGGCCCATGGTATGTGTGCCCCACATGCATGTCTTCCGTCATACTGAGTGCATCTGGTCCGCAGCACACGGCGTACAGTGCCTTCGTTCTGTAAGGCCTCAGTCGTTTCGGGATACACTTTGACCTCCATTTCTGATATGTCGTACCGGGGCATGCTGAGGTTCCAAAATTCGTGCCGCTTCCTCGTCGAAGTTTTCAACGTCCGATCTAAGTTTCTACCGAGACTGCTTGTGCAGAAACTTAATGATGCGGCTGTGTTTCGAAGTTGAGGCACTTGGGGGTGTAGGTAGATAAACAGCTCGGGGAACAGAGCTGCGAGGTAAATTAGTGAAATACCTGCTCACTCTATTAATTTTCCACGGAATGTTTCTGGTGTGTGTTGACGAAAGGGTCAAGTTGCGGTGGCTCTGGGGAAGCAACGAAAAGTTATATTGCAGTAACATCAGCATTTTGGTGTCCTTGATAAATTGAAATGTTCGGTTGACGCCAACGCTGCGAGACATAGTGCAGAGCGGTGGCCTCTTAGCGAACACTAGTCTGCAGAATGTTGGGAAGCCACCATCAATACTACCTAGGTAGGTAGATACCTAGGTAGGTAGCCTTGAATCCCGTGAATTTATCTACCCTAGGGTAGGTAGTAAGCGTGTGGTGTGTGACTTAGAACGAACCCCGGGGCAGTAGTTATCTCAACTACTGCCCGCTCGCAGCCAGGTGTAAGCGTGCTTTTAGGTGAAGCCCCAGAAGCTAATTTTCGTAATTTCTGCTTAGCCTCTTTGCGCACGGCGCTATAGATCTCAGTATCGAGTGCGTCTTCGAGCGTGTGTATATCCATCTCCGCTATTAATAGCTCCAGTCCGAGTGCAGTATAAGAGCTGGCCATTTCCGTGAGAACTAGGAGTGATGCCTTCTAGTCTTTTCTACACAGCATGAGGCTAACGCTACCTACCCGCAGTCCTATTATACACTAGCATCTATCTACCTAGAACTTTTTATTTACCTACTTAGTATAAGATCTTAAGTATAAAGTTTATATAAAACTATATATTTAATAAAGAATTTTTAAATTCTAAATATTTAAAGTAAAAAGTATAATAATATAAACTTATAAACTATTAAAAATAATTAATTAATAAATTAATTATTATAATTTTTTAATTAAAGTATTTATTATATTAATAGTTAATAAATTTATTTTAAAAAGTTTATTTAATATTTATTTTAACTTTTAAGCTTTTTAATAACTCTTTTAATATTCTTATTAATATTATTATAAGTATTCACTAATAATATAAATATTAATTAAATATTTAAAGGTTAAAAAGTAAAGGTGAAAGGGTGTTAGAAGGGGTTTAAACTCTTAGGGCCTTAGCCTGTTTACTAGTAGGACTAACTAGTAGGTCCATGTACTCTACTTAGCTAATTAGTCTAAGTAGCCTCTATACCTCTTACAACATAGGATTGCAGCTTCACTACTTCCTCATCTGGATTACATGGAGGGGAGGAACTACTTTCCGAGAAGCCCTTGGATGGGTTTATAAGAGGATATGGGAATCGCTGAACCCTTCGACTATTGATGTTGTGCTTGGATAGTAAAGATTTTAAGAATGGATTAATCCCGGTGGCTTGGTGTTTGATTTGTCTAATCGTGCTGAAGCGCTATTGAAAGAGAATGGACAGCAGGACGTGAACATAGTACTGCCTGACGTTCGACTTCAGTATGAAAGACAGTGTCCGAATTGAGGGGAGGGGCGCATACGATGGAATGCTCGTGCAAGGCTGACGACAACGGCAAGGCAGATTCTGTTAACCTGATGGAAGACTTTTTCTTCGAGTCTGGCTATCAACCAGACCTACAGACATAACACCAGTTGACCGAAACTGTGTCTTGGATGCCTGAAATGACATATCTATATTGAATCTTCTTCCCTTAATTTCATCATGGCTCGGTGCCAAGAGCCGCGTTGTCTCGGTTCTCGAAGCTGCACACCTCAGTGGCTGAATGTGCCGCAGCGCATTCTTGCAGTTCAAAAGCAAGCCTGCGAAGGCACGTGCATCTTCAAACAAAATTAGCAGGCAGCACCATCTCCACTCGGAGGAATCTCACCACTACGATGTTCTCACAAGAAGATGTGATGACAGCCATGCCTCCGACCTTGGGTATCGTGACGCCCCATGTTAGCGGCTTTTGTCTCCTTCAAATGCAGTGCTTTGCAATCACAAAACAAAAATGCCTCGGCTATGGTTCAATCTTCAGCGCGACGACGATCTCGAGGGCGAGGCGGCCATTCCGCCCCCCATGTGTGCCCATGGCCCACATACGCTTTGCCTCCAGTGACAAAGAGGAATGGTACGATTGGTACAAAAGACTTGGCGCACATCCCGAGGCATCAGAGAAGGAACTCAAGAAGGCATATTACAAGAGAGCCAAAGTTGAGCATTCTGATATTGATAAGACACCAGGCGCCAAGGCTAGGTTCCAAAATGTGTGTAGAATGATGCATTTGATATAGCCATCGCTTGTAAAAGACTGACCACTTTTCCCCAGCTTCGAGATACTTACGAGAATCTGTGCGATCCATCGAAAAGAAAGACACATGACCAAGAGAGGCTTGACAGGCACAAGGCTGCAGCAGCAGAGACTGCACGCATGATGGCTTCCCGGCCCTCGGTTGCGGACGCCTTAAAGGCTAAGTGGGAGGCTGAGGAGGAATATCTGCGAAAACTTGAAGAGTTCCGAAAAAGAGAGACCAGAAAGGACACCCAGCCAGCATCGCCACAAACTTCTCCTCACAGACAGTACGTATGCCTTTCCGACCCCCTTTGGGTCCATATCTGGGTGAACTGTGGCGTTTGTCCTCCACAATGCATTGAAACGACTCGGAGATCAGTGTTTTTGCGGAACAACTGATCACGTCCAAATAAAAAGAGACTCGGGAGAATAGAGGGTAGCATTTAGACAGCCATTGAAAAGCATAGTCTGACGATACCAAAGACAGAAGCAAGACGCAAATAAGCCAAGAGAAAGCCCACAAAAACCTCAAGATACGAAAACACAGCGCTCTAAAGAAGCTGCCCCGAAAGGGAGGCAGCGGCAGGCAGAGCCAGAGAGGACGGAGGAGAGCCGAAGGAGGGAGCAGAAGATGGCAGAGGAGGAACTCGCGAAAAGAAAAGCCGTTGCTAAGCAGAAGAGACTCAAAGAAGACGCAGCTAGGAAAAAGGCTGAGGAAAACGAGCGCCTGCAGGAGCGAATACTAGTCATCCGGTCCCTCCCTCCAGGGACAAAGCTGGAAGATGTCTTTGACCCTCTCATCAAGTTGGCTCCCGGTCCAGTCTTCCGCGCAACTCTGTGGTCAAACAACATGGTCGAGATCGAGTTTTGCACAGAAGCCGCAGCCAGAGTCATTTTTTATCTGGCTAAGAAGGACCAGCTTTACATAAGAGACAGGTCTGTCATCAATTTTGAGCTCACCCGGTCAAAGAACGAGCTGCCGGTCATCAGCAACAAGTCGCGTGTTTTGGTCCTGCGCAAGAAAGGGTTCGAGGGCATAACTTTGAAGAATGAGAGTCTTCGGAGCTTCTTCACGAGATTCAATTTGCAAGTAGAACGGATCGTGGAACACCCGCCGGCTGCCTGGAGTTCCGTCACAGTTCGCTTGGCCTCGTGGGCAGACGCTGAGAGAGCGATGAGGCTGCTTGCTAAATCTCAGCCACACGTCAATGTCCAATACGGACCGGATCCATGCGGAATGAAGGACAATATGGCGAGGTCGAAGGTCAAATTGTCTGGCTCGGAGGATACGGAGCAAGAGGAGACAAAGTCATTAGATTCGGTCGGTGACCTGGTCTCTAATCTTTTCTTCATAGGCCTGCTCCTTTTGATGGTTGCCTTCTTCTGAACGGTAGTCTACAGAACCCAAAGCGATGAAGGAGAGAAACTCTCCGGGTCTGGCCTACAGTGGGCAAATTATAAGATGGGTGGGTTTATGGACCATCGAAGAAGGGATGTAGAACCCAAAAGCTAAGGCAACATGTTTCGGCGGGGATAGAAGTTGTTGGCTGTGGAAAATAATGGCACCATTATGAGCATCATCATGGTTTTTCTGTGTGCGGTTAGATATAGCAGTGGTCTTAATATACTATTTTATTCTAATAGTTTCATTTTTAATCCCTATATATATAAAATATATATAATACCTTTATATAATAGTAAATACTTAAGACTTAATATTTAAAGAAATATAGTATTAATAATAATAGAAAGAGAATATAATATATAAATATATAATTAAGCTTTATACTATATAAATAAAGTTAAAAGTATTACTCTTAATAACACTATATTAAAAGTTAATAAAATAGTTATATAATAAAATTAAAATAGTCTCTTAAAATAACCTCTATAAAAAAGAATTCTATAATATAAAACTTAATAAATTAACTCTTCTTTATTAATATACTTATTATATAACTACTTAAATCTACTTTTATTAAATAAATTAAATATATTATAATCTTTATTTTAAATATATAACTATTAATAAAATAATAATAATATAATAATAAATTTATTTAAAAACCTTTTATATAAATTTTATAAAAGATTAAAAAAATTTAAAAGTTAAATAAAGTTTATTTACTATATATTAAATAAACACTATATAAGAAAAATAAAAATCTAAGTATTTAAAAATTAAATCTTCCTTCTTTAAATATATTACTTTATTATTAAGGATTTATCTACTTTTATATAATATATAAGGAATATAGTAGAAAAAGAAGCCCTATAAAGGAAGTTAATAACTTTATATATAAATAAGTTTAAAGGTATATTTTAAGTAATTATTAACTTTATACTTAAAATATAAACTAATAGTTAGTTTAAAAGTTAAGAAGATAATAAATAGATAAATATATAGTTAAATAAAAAATATAATATAGCTGAAGCCCTATTTTATTCTAATTTCACGAATTCTTTCTCATACCCACACTTTGCTGCCTGGGGGTCTTGGGGGACCTATTGAGGGTATTTTAGGCTATAGGCTCTGTTTCTGTTTTATAGATCTTTTAAAACGAACTCGACTCCAAAATTCTTTATGTTTATGATTGCATGTATGTGACAAAACAGCTGCGGCTACTTGATACTTCATTGATTCGGGTGACACCCTACAACCTATCCTGTCGACACCACAACCCCCTCGCTCTCACTGGACCCGGAAGACTTGACACCCTGAATCTCGTACAGGGTATCATACTTGGCGAAAACCAACCAAAATGGCACAGAACTCACGGCCATAATGCCCGCAAGACTTGCATACATGACCACTAGTTTTGGGTCACGGGACACAGGCCCCAGCGTCATACCCAACGCAGCCGCGACAGCGGCCGCTAACTGCTGAAGGGCCTGCACGACGGCCTTAATGTTGGCGGGGGCCTCAGTGTAGGTGTACTCACTGAGAGAGACCAGGTCTAATATCTCACCGATGGCAAGCAGGAAATGAAGCGGTGTCTGGAACCACACGCTGATCTCGTTGGGGCGAGCCCGAGAGCCGCCGTCGCCATCTTGCTGGTCGACTACAATAGCGGTGGAGCATTCCAGCGGGTGGTCGAAACAGGGAGGCCGCGAATATATCAGACTTTGGAGGCCGACCGCGTAGGCGAGGCCAGCCGCGACGAAGAGGAAGCCCAGTGTCATCCGCATCATGGGTCCACAAGTGAAGCCGCGGCGGCGAAGGCGCGGGAACATACCTTGGATCAGGGGCGCCATTACTATGCAAGCGATCGGATTCAGGGCTTGTATCGTATCGTTGGAAATACCGTTTTGCTCCATCTGACCAGCCTGTGAGACGAAGTTGTTCGACGTCTGGTTGTAGCAGAGCCAAAACACGACAAAGCACGCGATTATTCGGCAAGCTTTGAGGCCACGTCGGATCTCTCCAACGAAGGCTCCCGTCCAGGGGACTTTACGACGGTGGTGTGTGGCCTGGAAATCCGGCTCGGCGGCAGATAGACGAAAGCCTGAACTACAGGCAATGAGCAGAACGCGACATGCCTGTGGCAGGACATTGTTATGTGGTGGGATTTTGACTGCAAAGTATATAGGTATTAGAAGCGGTGTTTATCGCTTCGGTTAGGGATTTTGACTGGGCTCACCAAGCCGCCCATTCCAAATGACAACTGGAACGACAGCTACTATGAGTAAGAATGTGGGTAAAAGGTAGGCCGCCCAGAAATCCACATGTTTTTCTAGTAACGTTGTTGGAATTGAAGAAAGTGAAGCGATGTTGACCATCCTAAAATATGTGTGTGAGCCTCAGCTTTCACAAAACTGTCAACTCCTTGTGTCTTGTGTAGCTCACCAATAATATCCATTGAAAACGAATTGGATTGACAGTTTTCGATCTGTGACGACCAGATCCCCTCTTTTATTCCTCTTCAGCTTTGGATGTGTTTCCGGTATTTGATCCGCTGGTGTCATGGGATGTTAGGCCCTGACTGACTTCAAGTCGTGAGCTAGTTACAATCAGCTCACCTATGAATGGATACATGACTGCGGACAACGCCCCGTGACCTAAGCCGGAAAAGATCATTGTAACGATAATGCCACCAAGTCCGGCACCCTTGTCCAAGCAGGCCGGCAGGGAGGTGAGGGATTGCACGATGTACGCAACACTCAAGAGCCTAGCTGATGTTAGCCCATCGATATCAAGCGCTTAGGGGCCGCATGTTGGAACTTGCCCGATGCCCAGCAACAGCGTTTTGTACCGGCCAATCCATGAGTCTGAAATGAGTGCGAATGGAAGTGGAGTCAGGTATCCAAAAAAGAGGAAGCCATTCTGAATAGTCGTTGCTCGGGCCTGTCCGAGGCCAAGAACTCCGGGAAGCACGCTGTCTCCTCGTGGGTTTTGGAGATAATTCTCTGTTATGAAGGCATTAGAACGAGACTCTTGGTATTCGTGCTAGGGAGAATTGGACGCACGCCAGACTGCTTGTACTCCATATCGGGCGAGATTAGCTGCGGCTCCGGTGAAGGCCAGCAGCCACGCCGAGATGGGGATCTCATCGAGCTCATGAGTCAGAGTTTGAATCTCCTCGTCGGTTGCGTCCCTCGGAAGAGAAATCTGATCCTGGTCCTGGCATTCCATGGCGGTCGTCTGAACTCAGCGTCCAATTGCTGCACGTTTGCTATGGGTCAAAAGCGGTTGTGACCCTTGACGGGCGGGTGAACAGCGTGGATGCGTGTCTAGGTCTTCGCAGGCGCTCTCGAATAGTTATTGGCAATCTAGTGACAGTTGCTAGGCAAGTCCATGTGGCAATTTGAATCGGTCATAATACCTGTGAATGAAAGTTATGTTGGTCTGCGGGCCATGAAGCCAAGAGCAACGACGTGCATAAAAAGACCAACAGGCACAGACTTGCAATGTGGTTCAGTGACAGCTCAGACTTGGCGGGCTTCCCAGATGCCAACACTGCCAAAGGACCGGAAGTGGCATCCGGTACCCCGGCCCCAGTTACTCACACGGGCTGATAAGCCCCTAAGGTGTGACATGTTGGTTATTTCGTCCAACTACTGTCTTGTAGCTTATATCTGATAGTGGGAGCCAAAGTCAACTGTCCGCACGAAGGAAGCCATACTCCCAACTCGCAAGGGGTGCCCAGATGGTTCTGAAATGGATTGCTTGCACACCACGGATGCTCAGACGAAAGTGATGTGGACTTCCATTGAATCGAAGTCGCTGCGTAGCCGAAACGACACTGGAATGACGATGGGTTGGTATTGCAATGCATGTGACACCCTGAGAGGCTGGGTACCCAGGTATGGATCGAAGGAACATACTAAGTACAGTATACTGGGACGACATCAGAGGGCTCCTATAACCACCAGTCGCTTAGCCTGTAGAATTTATTGTATCAATATGATCACACTTGGCACCTGGGAAAGGTCATCAATACTATGTCTGTCAAGATATTAATCGATGCCCATGAAGGTCTGGGCTGCCCTCTGGAGAGGACTTTAGCATCAATATGTCAAATGGCTCTTACTGGAGCTAGCACACACGTCAATACCCGTCTCGTCGATTACGATCCATCTTTCCGGACCAGGGCACTGGAACCCTGTAGATATTGCGTCGTTGTCCCGCCACTGGCGTCATGGTATGGACCCCTGTAGGTCATGGAGCAGAGCAGCCTCGATGATACCTATTTAGGTAGCAAATGCAGTTATGTTGAGGAATTTTCCACCATACAAACCCAAAAGCGGCACGTTTGAGTACCTAGGTACCTATGTAATGACTGATGATTGGGTGTGGTACAAAGCTCTGTCTTTGAGAGACACATCAATATTTTCCTTGCCATTGCCGACACTGGACGACCTCGGGACATCTCGGCCGGCGGGACTCAACACACTTGATATTTGACCGACACAAAAAGCCTCGCAATTGTTGCCAAATACGCTGGAACTTATATCCATACCGGTAAGGGAGATACCGATGATGAGATAGAAGATATTGGCGCGAGTGAAACGTAAAGCAAGCGCCTTTTTGGCGACAAAGCTCGTGGGACTGGAAGAATGAAAAGAACGAGGAAAAGCTTAGAAGAGATTTGGACCGCTGGCGCTATGTTATCATCATCCACACGTGGTCTTCTCCCCCTGATGCCGGCTGCCACTGACTGTCACATCCTGACGCCTTGATGCAGGCTATGTCTTTATTTACGCTCTATTTAAGTGGGTAAGCAGTAGCTTCAATTGGAAGGTGTCTACAGCACCTGAAACGGCTGAGAGACGGCGATCCAGGGAAAGCAGCGTATTGGGTAAGAGAGTGCCATGGTGAAGACATGCGCTTCGCTCTAAAATGCAGGGTATAGGCTACGGGCTTCCATCTAGAACAATCCTTCGGAGCCTCGCCTGACAGCTGACAGCCTGTCTAGCAATTCTTTGCAGTGTTCACGACTAGCCAGGTCGGCTAGCGGCGCAACGTACTCTAGCTTGCAGCCAATCTAACCGGGTAAAGAGCAGCCTTGTCTTCCCCCCCTCACGATGTAAGACTTTTGGTTCCTTCCAGTTAGACTAGACTGTTGGTTCCGTCGATCACCAGCCTCAATCCCAAATAGCATCTCCGAGGACATGCATTACAGCTATTGTCTTGGCAGGCGAACGACAACATGGCCACCGGGAATCATTGGAGGCTCGGGCTCAAGTTTCAGGAAGAGTCCATGCTGTGACTCAGGTCTGGTGTGGAGATCTCTGGGCTTTGAAAGTATAAAGACCTCGAGTAACGGCGGACTGGGAAGGATGATCTCGAGGCCATTTCGATCACCACGGTCATTCTTCTCACACTCATTGGATTCTCTCCGCCATACGACCCAAGATTTCAAGATGCAGATCTCCAAGTTCATCGTTGCTTGTATGCCCTTGGCCGTCCTGGCCTCGCCTATTGAGCAGCATAGCGCTGAGCTCGTCGGCCGTGAGGCTGCTCCTGAAGGCTGGGTGGAGGTCGCCCCATTCACGGAGAAGCGTGATGACCCCACGGAACTCTTCCGCCGTAAGTGCTATCAGTGCACCCAGTGAGAGACATATGTGTCTAACACATCGGATCCGCCTAGGCAACATCGATTGCAATATTATCGGAGGAAGCAGCACTGTCAATTGCCGCAAGTGCCCCAACACCTCCAAGGACTGCCCCGTGATCACCACCTTCAAGGTGGGCTCTTCACACAGCTTCAAATGTGCACAAAAGGGGGAATGCGTGACAATTAATGGTGTGACCAACTGGTAAGATTTGTTCCTACCCATCAACGTGACTTTCTTTCCTAGTTGTTGGCTTAGCTGCTAACCCCTGCCGTCCCAAAGCTCGTGGGATAAAGCGGACCGAACACTGGCCAAGGACTGCTGGGTCAACGGTTACTATACTGATAGCAGGTGCACTCTTGGTAGGTGCAATTGTCCCCTCTCGTGTCTGCAATAGGTTCCAAAACAGCACTGACCGTTGTTGCGCGTATCATATAGCGGCTCTAGGCAATTGCTAGATCGCCTTGCCCAATGACAATTCTCTATGCCTTGCAATTACAATGTAAAATCTCTCAGGATCAGTGTGAAGAGGGTGAGAACAAGGGAAGGCCTTTGAACCCCCGCGGTGTTCGGATGGGACTGCTACTTGCGAACTCTGTGCTTGAACTTAGTTATGGGTACAAGAGAACAAAAGCTCTCTCCTGGTGATTCATTCATTTGTATGCACATGTGGTCTTTTTACACATGGCCCAGCCCGTAGATAAATACAGCTGCTCTCTCAACAGTGCCTTACGTTCAATGCTAGTAGATTATCCCAGATGGACGTCAACGCCGCGCATATTGCCGCCGCCGTCTTGTTTTTGACCACAGGGGTGCTCCAGTAGTAGATGCAGCTAGATGTGAGGGCTTGATTCGGAGGTAAGGGCCACAGTACACTATGCAGCCTGATTGTAGTTTGAGTGACCAGTTAACGCTACGCCGTACACATTCGGCCCCTGTTCGGCACAGTCAGTGCCCAGGTGGCCCCATTTATATCCCTTGATTCGGGATTGGGTGTCTACACGACAGCAGCTGTCTCTGGGATGTCTCAGACTGATTATAACGTCTGACACCCCAGGGCCACTCAATTGAGATGCCTTCAGATGAGAGACCAAGCTCTTGGATTAGGACGATTGGATATATGACGCTGAGGGACAGTGCGAAATATACAGATCGCAGGGAAGCAACTGAGGGAATGAGGTTCGACCGGAGTAAGATGCAGGGCTGATTGAAGGCTACGCCTTGATGTACTCCACCGTGGTCAGACGGCAGCCTGTTCGGGTTACATAGCGTATCATCTGATTGATTGCTGAAATAAATGGCCTAGCTGCTCATGGCCGCCCAACCCTCACCCCAAACCTTTTCATTCTTCTGCACTGATACTTTCGTGCCGAAAATGAATTACTCTTCATTGAGACTATCCGATGAGTCCGAGTGCTCGAATTGGACCTATCTGTACGGGCAAGATCTGCAGTCTTATGCCGACATAGATGGACTAGGGGTTAGCAATGATGCCCATGTGGCGTGTCGGATCTCTCAGAAGGTGCTGCTGACAAAAGCCGCAGGTTCTTATCAGCTTCATTGGCACAGGAATCCTTGTCTTTATTGTTCTTTTGTGCAATTACATGATTGCCCACGATCCTGAAGCGTATCCGTTTGCCACGGACAATGATGCGGAACAGAGATGTGGACCTCCGGACTGGTGGAAGCCTAATCCCATCGACATGAGATTTCTACAGTGGGCTCGAAGGCTTGGTAAAAGACTCCCATCGCTTTTTCGCATTGAGAAACCGAAGAGGGTGGAGGCATCATTTAATCGAGTACGTTCGGCACCATATCTACTCTGTGTCAAATAGTGAACGTGTGTATGTATCGTACTGATTACATTGTGCCGCAGGCCATTCTGATCATGTGCGACATTCAGATTTTCAGTGGTATCGGTGTGCTATTCAGTGGATTTGTCCTGTTGCCCAACGGAATACAGACATACCATTGGCAGCTCATTGTCTATATTGCATGGTTCTCCAGTGTCACACACCTATCCGCCATGACTGCCTTGAGATCTTTACTCTGTACACGCCGTGTCGAGACGTACGTCAGGCTCAGCTTAATGACTTGCCTCCTCATAATGCTGATCACCGCTTTACTACCAACCATGTTCTTTGACTGGAGCGTTGGATGGGGGGAGGTTTGCTCTGCAGCAGCAACATATTCACCCACAATTTGCTATTTCAATATTGCGAATGCAAGAATGCTGGTGCGGAATTTGAATCTGCTGTGCGGATTTGTGGTGGAGCCATTCAACCCAGCTCCATTCAACAACCCAGCTACTCAGGCTATGGCAGTGTCGTCGTGTCTGCTTGTCTTTGGGTGCCTTACAAGATCCGTCAAACTATTCAAGCCTGTTTCTAAGGCTTGCCACGTGTACTTCCGCCAACCTTTTGAAAACTTCGCGCAAACAATTGATGTGTGGTTTTCAAAGTTTTCCAAAACTAGCACAACCTCGGGCCTCATGAGGCACACATCGATCTCGGGCTGCAATCCCTATGTCATGGTTATTCGTCAGCCTTGTACCGCCGTTCTCCTCTCTTTGCAAATCACCGCGGACCTGGCATCGTCGATGTTGGCAGAGGTGAAAGCCCTTCATAATCAATGTTTACATTTGGAATATGGACTGACTATATATTCAATGTTATCTTCTTGCGCAGATATACTGGCTACTTGTGTTAGTAGTGTGGGGGACCAGCAAACTTCTCGTAACACGGTCGTTCGGCCCCTACCACGCTACCGAACAAGAGTCTGCCTTGTCTTTCGGTCAAGTGTTGCCAATCCTATTGCTTGCTGCTCCTATTTGGTCACTCATTGGTGCTTTTGCATTCGGCGACCGCAGCGAGAGACGACCACATGCAAGCCAGGCCCGGGGGAACTTTCTGATGTCAGGTTCAACAGCCATCCATCCTTCCTCAACATACCGAGGTACAGACTTCACATCACCAGGAACAGAAGATTCCAGAAGCTTTAGAGACCGCTATCAATCGTGTCATTGGATGGGCCCTTGCCTTACTTTTCCCTGTCTGCTCGTCATTACCGTCACAGCCATGCAATTAATTGACGTGGTAACCTTTTGGTTTTCGCTGATGGAGATTTGGATCACTGAACTGGGAGTGATATATGTTTTCTTATTGGCCTACCCTTGCGCCTTGCAGTTTACTATCCTCATAGGTATCATCTATCTGTGCGGTACGAGGCTCAGCCACGTGCCCACGTACTGTATTCTCTTTCCACTGTTATTGGCACTGTATTTCTTCAGACGCTGGGTCTTGAGCGTTTACCACTGTATGAAGGCGCCACGTACATTTTACATGTATGGGGATTAAAAACGAAACCACCAGGTATCATCTACGAAGAAGGGCTTTTGGAAGACCAGACTGCCCCATCACGCACAAAAGCAGGCCGAGCGCTGCTCTGGCTTGCTGTTGTCATTGTTTGGACTTTCTTTATCTGTTTGTGGCTTCTTTTCTTGTCTGGGTCTGGAGCCTTTCCGCCGCTATTGGGGTATTTGGTATCAAAGTCTCTCCTCAACCTCCGATATGGAGTCATGTTTGCTGGTAGTTCGGTTCTACATTTGTTATACGCATCGGGGTACTTCTTGCAGGTATTCAGAAAACGGTCAAGAACATTGTAACGGTTAGAAGATGAGGAAAGATGAACAGAATGCAAACAATGTAACCGGGTGCATGTTGTCCGCGTGGACGTCACAACTTCCCAAGGGTCAGGTGCCAAAGATCATAGTGTTTTCTGAGCGCTGGGTAGTTATTTGGGCATTTACTATTATTGTGTGAAATATACACTTCGTAACTATGTATGCAAATTGAGAATGAAGTGCAGCGCAACTAAATGTGATGACCTTTGCCTTTCCCAACATGCCCAAAAAAAAAGAGAGAAAAAGAAGAACGATGATTGATGGAGCGGATGCAGACAATACAGTTCTTACGTAAAGGACCTTCGAAGTCGCTACCGAGAGCAAGGGAGCATTTAGTGTTTGAAGAACATGGCCTGTGTTCAGTGGGTTATAGCACAGCACTTGAGCCTGATGGACACAGGCGGGCTGGGCGCCGACGCGGCAATTGATGCGCAGATGCGCGCTGGACGGTTGGGTGCGGATGAGCAGCAACAATGTCTCCCGTAGGATGAATCTTTACCCGCCAACAGTCCAAATAGGCTCGCGAATATATACATGTATATATTCCATGCCCTCCCTTTTTCATCCAGACCAAAGCAAAGTCTTTGTTTGTCTTGAAGGGAACTCTGGATTATTTATTCCCTGTACAGCCGGCACTAACTAAGAAGGTTTCTGGTCCGGGATCGGAAGGCGGCAAGTTTTGGTGAGTAACAGTAACAGCTGTGACGACAGCAGTGGTAGTGGGAGTGGTCAGGCGCAAGCGGCCGTGCAAAAAGGCCCGTTTTGCCCGAGGCTTCCCAGGTCGGGTCTCACTGCAGTATTCAAAGGGCAGCCCCGCGCGCACTTCTCTTCCTCAAGCACATCTCATCATCGCTCCGCTCACAGCTCACACATGCACTCCCCATCAAGAATAGTGCAACGCTGACCCCATTGGCTGCCGCACTGAGTCGACAAGCACTCTGGACACAGGCTCACACAGGCTCACACCACTCTGGGAGAGCTGGTCGAGCCTAACCGGCAGCAGAGAAAAAAAGGTACGGCGCCCGTACTCGAGCTGCAGCCCAGACATTCCCCTCCTCCCCAGACATTCTGGTGCCGGGAACATGACCTGGCTGACATGCAAAAGGGCACGCACGACACGGCACGGCACAACCCAACCCACGGGTTTGTGTGACCTCGGGCCAAGATGCCGGCCATGATGGATGATCCCGCCTCTCCCACCATCTACCGCGTGACGGGAGAACCGCCATACCCGGATCCCAATCACCCATCACTGCCGGCCACCATCGTCCCCCGTCAGGTGACCCTGCGGGACAGGCAGACCGTCGCCACCATTGTGCCATTTGTGTCTCGCCATCAGGTGCCCCACTCGCTCCTCAAGTACATGAGCGACCAGTTCGCCAAGGAGGTCAACAATGGGGACACGTATCCCATGATCGAGCCCATGCCCTTTGACAAGTTTGCGTCGTACTGGTTCCAGAACTTTGGTGCAATCATGCTGCTGGGCAAGATCGAGAGGCCAGAGGACGTGGTCGACGAGAAGGACTGGTCCAAGGAGTGTCTCGGCAGCTTCTACATCAAGCCCAACTACCCAGGCCGCAGCTCCCATGTCTGCAACGCCGGCTTCCTGGTGACGGATGCTGCGAGGAACCGTGGTGTGGGCCGGCTGATGGGCGAGGCCTACCTTGACTATGCGCCGAAGCTGGGCTACACGTACTCGGTCTTCAACCTCGTCTACGAGACCAACGTGGCATCGTGCAAGATCTGGGACGCCCTCGGCTTCAAGCGCATCGGCAGGGTCAAGGGCTGCGGCAACCTCAAGAGCTACCCGGGGCGGCTCATCGACGCCATCATCTACGGACGAGACCTCTCGGTCGACGAAAACAGCGAGGAACTTGTGAGTGAAGAACGATTCGACAAGATCAAGTTCTATCTCAAATACGGTAAATACCCCAACGGCGCTGACCGGGCCGAGAAAAGCAGGCTCCGGAGCGCCGCGACACACTACAAGCTGCTTGAAGACGACAAGCTCATGCTCAAGGACAAGGAGGTCATCTCGGACCCCCAGCGGCAGTACGACATCTCCCGCCAGGTCCACTCGCTGCACCACGGCGGCATCAACAAGACCACCGCCTCCATTGCTGAAAAGTACCACTGGAGCCGCATTAAAGAAACCGTCTCCGATGTAATTAGGGCCTGTGCCGAATGCAAAGACTCGTCAAAGTCGCTTCCTGGCTTGGCCCACGGCAGCTCTGTCCACCAGAAGAAGCCGCCCACGCCAAGCCGGAAACAAAGTGATGCCAGTACCCCCCCGGCTGCTCCTGCGCCGGCTGCCACCGTGTCATCTGCGCCCGTGATCCCGGCCATCGCCAATATTGTCACGTCGTCGACTGTGCCAGCCCGGACAGGTAGAGAAGAGCCCGGACACGCCAACTCCCACGCCCACCTGCCCGGCTTCTCCCCGGTCTCCCCGGCTCCATACCACCCGGTCCATCATGATGACATGTCCGTGAGTTATCCGGCACAGACCTTGCACACGCCGACAGACTCGCCTGTGCCGCAGCATGCCCCCCTGCCGCATCATAACCAGCAACACCACAATGTGATGATCCGGCACCCACACATCGCGTCACTTCAGCAGCACCATACCCTGCACAGGCACTCCCCCGTCTCGCACTCGCTCTCCCTCGTGCACCCCCCTCCCTACCAGCCCATAGACCCACAGATCATCAACCAGCACCCCCCAAGCCACCCTTCGCCGTCCTCCTATGCGCACCACCACCCGGTCCCGGTCCCGGTCCCGGTCTCCGTCCACCACCAGCACCAGCACCAGCACCACCACCACGACCCGTACCACGCGTACCACCCGGACGCGGAAGCAAACAGCTTCCAGGACCTGCTCGCCGTCGGGCACCACAGCCACGCCGACGGCGCCGAGGATGATGCGGTAGATCGTGACCTAGACATGATACTCATGGAGCAGACTGACGACGACGGCCCGGACGAGGCAAGTGCCCGGATGGACGTCGACGGCCTCGACGTGGACGTGGACGTGGGGGTCGGCGTCGGCGTCGGCGTCGGCGTTGAGCTGGCCGGCGGCGGGGTGGAGCATGACGACCTCTCCAAGATGAGCGTCGGCCATGTCCTCGCGACGCCCGAGCCCGACGACCAGGTCGGCGTGGACGTCGAGGACGGCAGGCCGGGATCAGGCCACAAGGACAAGGAGGACGCTGGTGTTTTTGGAATTGGTTACACTGCTGCTGGGTGATGCATGTGGATGATGGATGATATCTGCATCTACAAGATCTGGCACAGAAAAAAGGAGGGCAGATGTTGCTTCATACATGCAGGCGTAAGCAATTTGTCGATGGACAAGCAAGTGCCTGATAAAGCATGGCTGCAGGAACGGGAGGTAATCACATGCATGGAAATTGAGATACCCAATAGAATATTTCAAAAGTTCAAAAATGTTCGAAAAAAAAGAGACTTCGAATCCTATGTTGCATGATGTGTGGAAGAAGGCTCCCTACTTTAAATATTCCTATTCCAGATCACTTATTAGACTGCTCGAGTACTATGTACTAGTAGATACCTAGGTACCTGGGTACTTGGCTGGGCCTGACGTTGGAGGGCATGCAACCAAACCCCTGACAGGGGCGGCGAGCAACACTTAAAGAAAAAGTGGCCCAAGCGTCCACCGCCTGTCAGAACAGCTTGGCCAACGTCGCGGTTCTGCCCCTCGACCGACCCTCGACACCCGAACCCCAGCGACCGGGCCACCTACAACTCTACGGGCCAAGGCGACAACTTGCCCAAGCCAGCCAGCCTGCAACGACCTCCCGGACCACCTGTCTCGAACCGCATGCTGTGGCTCTGCACCACGGGCTGAACAGCTGCCAACCCTTGCCTCTCCGAGCCCCGTGTCCTTCGAAGGAGAGAGAGAGAGAGAGACAGAGAGAGAGAGAGCTCCGTGCCGGACGGGCATCTCGAACCGCTCACTCCCTCTCAACCCACTCCAGCCCTGCAGCTGCGGCGCACAACACCACCAACTACAACAACAATAGCCCCTCGACGATGGCGGTCAACCGGATAAAGGGCGCGTTCGCGGTCCCCCGCAAGGGTGAGACCTTCGAGCTGCGTGCCGGGCTCGTCTCGCAGTATGCCTACGAGAGGAAGGAGTCGATCCAGAAGACCATCATGGCCATGACCCTGGGCAAGGACGTGTCTGCCCTGTTCCCCGACGTGCTCAAGAACATCGCCACCGGCGACCTGGACCAGAAGAAGCTCGTCTATCTATACCTCATGTGAGCAGCAACTGCAACTGGCGCCCCCATCTCCGGTGGCATATATGTGTATCTTGCTAATACACCCTCCCTCCCCCCAAACAGGAACTACGCGAAATCACATCCCGACCTCTGCATCCTCGCCGTCAACACCTTCGTCCAGGACTCGGAAGACCCGAACCCGCTGATCAGGGCCCTGGCCATACGGACCATGGGCTGCATCCGGGTCGACAAGATGGTCGACTACATGGAGGAGCCCCTGCGCAAGACGCTGCGCGACGAGAGCCCCTACGTGCGCAAGACGGCCGCCATCTGCGTCGCCAAGCTGTTCGACCTCAACCCCACCATGTGCATCGAGAACGGCTTCCTCGAGATCCTGCAGGAGCTCATTGGCGACCCCAACCCCATGGTCGTCGCCAACTCGGTCCAGGCCCTGTCCGAGATCAACGAGACCGCCCCCGAGACAAAGGCCCTCGTCGTCACCCCCGCCATGCTCAAGAAGCTGCTCATGGCCATCGCCGAGTGCACCGAGTGGGGGAGGGTCACCATCCTGTCCACCCTGGCCGACTACCCGCCCGCCGACGTTAAGGAGTCGGAGCACATCTGCGAGAGGGTGGCGCCCCAGTTCCAGCACGTCAACCCCAGCGTGGTCTTGGCCGCCGTCAAGGTCGTCTTCATCCACATGAGGATCATCAGCCCGGAGCTGGTACGGCAGTACCTCAAGAAGATGGCTCCTCCTCTAGGTGCGACGTCTTCCCCCCTCCCCCCAGGTGTCCAGCGTAGAACGAACGTATCCTGGCCTATGCTAACAGCTCGTCTCGGCAGTAACCCTCGTCGCATCCGCCCCAGAAGTCCAATACGTCGCCCTGAGGAATATCGATCTCCTCCTGCAGGCCAAGCCCGACATCCTCAGCAAAGAGCTCCGCGTGTTCTTTTGCAAGTACAACGACCCCCCTTACGTCAAGATGCAGAAGCTCGAGATCATGGTGCGGATATCAAACGACAAGAACTTCGACCACCTGCTCGCCGAGCTGAAGGAGTACGCCCTCGAGGTCGACATGGACTTTGTGCGCCGCGCCATCAAGGCCATCGGGCAGGTGGCAATCAAGATCGAGAGCGCGGCGGAGAAGTGCGTCAACGCGCTGCTGGACCTGATAGCGACCAAGGTCAACTACGTGGTGCAGGAGGTCATCGTGGTGATCAAGGACATTTTGCGCAAGTACCCGGGCTACGAGGGCGTCATCCCCACGCTGTGCAACCACATCGACGAGCTCGACGAGCCAAACGCAAGAGGGTCGCTGATATGGATCGTGGGGGAGTACGCCGAGAAGATCAACAACGCGGACGAGATATTATCTGGGTTCGTGGATGAATTCATGGAGGAGTTCACACAGGTAAGCAGTTCTGGCCCGGACTTGGACCCTGCCTCTTTCTTGTAAACAGACGCACTCACACAAAACCCCCGTAGACGCAACTACAGATCCTCACAGCAGTTGTAAAACTGTTCCTCAAGAAGCCGAGCAACAACCAAGGCCTCGTCCAGAAAGTGCTGCAACAAGCAACGGCGGATAACGACAACCCGGACATCAGGGATCGAGCCTATGTCTACTGGCGGCTTTTGTCAGGGGACCTCGACGTCGCCAAGGTATGTTCCTCCCAGCTTGCTCCCCGCCCGTCGCCCACCTACCTACCTATTGCCCGGCCGCTTTCAGCTGACCAAACCCCACCACAACCACAGAACATCATCCTCTCCCAGAAGCCCGCAATCTCCACCACAATCTCCAGCCTCCCGACCGCCCTGCTGGAGCAGCTCCTCAGCGAGCTGTCGACCCTCGCGTCCGTGTACCACAAGCCGCCCGAGTCCTTCGTCGGCAAGGGCCGCTTCGGCGCCGACGAGATCCAGCGCGCCGCCATCCAGGAGCAGCGCCGCGAGGCCGCCGACAACCCCATCGCCGCGTCCGTCGCGGCCGCCACCACGGGCCAGCCCCAGAACAACGTCGAGAACCTGCTCGACATCGACTTTGACGGCGCCGCGCCCGCGTCGCAGGAGCAGGAGCAGGCCAGCGCGGCCGCCACGCCGGACCGGGTCGCGAGCCCTGCTGTCGGCGGTGGCGCTTCCGGTGGAATGGCGGACATGATGGGGCTGTTTGACGTCAGCTCGCCCGCTGCGCCGCCGGGTGGTGGTGGCGGTGGGGGTGGGGGCGCCATGGGCGACATGATGAACGGGTTCGCGGGCATGGACCTCAGCGGGGCGAGCGCGCCGCCCCCGCCCGGGCAGCAGCTGCACCCGCAGGGGACGGGGGGCCAGGCGCCGGCGCAGGGGCAGCAGAGCGGGAGTGATGACCTGTTGGGGCTGTTTTAGGGCGGATGTTGTTGTGAAGGGATAGCGATAGGAGGGGGGGGGAGAGGCATATCTCGGGGATGAGACCTAACCGAAACGAAACGAAACGGGAAGCAGTGTGTATGTATGGAGGTGGGCGGGTGGGTGGAATGGGTAAGTGGGTAGCTACTGATGGTCAGCATGAGGGGAATGGGGTTCTTCTCAGCGGTCATTCGGGCAATGCAATGAACTAGTGGGCTGGCTGGCTGGTTGGCTGTTTTGGGGGGCGTGGCCGGCGGGTCGAAAAGCACAACGTCAAAACGTATAGAGGTCATCAAAGGAATCCAGAGGCGTCTGTAATGTGAATGGGGGGTTCTTTGATGTGCTCCGTGTTTCTCGCTGTGGGATTTCGGCCGGTGTACCACGTCCATCCCCCCCCCCCCAATGATGAGATTTTGCCCCGAGGGCCAGGCCTATCTATCTATGCCTTCGGTCGAGACAGCTCAAGAAGAGGAAGACGACGCAATGCGCATGTCAGATCACGGGCCTTTAGTCTGCGCGTTGCGGGTCTTGGTAATTGCTCATTATGTATGTATGTATTCTCCTGATCCATCTATACACAGCGCCCCGGCCGACCCAGCAGCCAGCCAGCCACCGCCCTACTCTACTCCTCCCCCTCGCCGTCGGAATCATCATGCACCATCCCGGCCAGCCCGTCAACCTCCCCGCCCAGGAGCGGCGCCCGCTCCCCGGCCCGCCTGCCGAGCGACGCGGCGACGCTTATGGCCAGGCCGCTCAGGCCGTGGACGACGGTGCTGCCCAGCACGACGAAGCAGACCACGGGCCAGATGAGCTCGGCGGCGACGGTCCTGTCGTCCCAGGGCTGGCCGGGGGGCGGCGGGCGCAGCGGCGGGCGCGGCCCCGGCAGGGGCAGCGAGGTGCCCGTCTCGAGGTGGGCGCGGGCCTCGACGGCCAGGAACAGGGCGCCGACGCCCATGGGGCCAAAGTGCCCGCAGAACAGGGCCTCTTTATACGTCCTGACGTCCGGGACGAGCCCGCCGGCCGCGTGCAGCGCCAGCAGGGCGGGGAGGCGCCGCAGGAGCAGGACGAGCGCGAGGAAGAGGAGCAGCGCGGGCGGGCTGACGTGGCCGTCGAGGACGTCGCCGGCGCGGGGCACGAAGGAGCGCCAGGGGACCATGGACCCGAAGTAGACGAAGACGCCCGAGTCCAGCACGAGGTCGACGACGGCCCTGAACGGGGCGCCGCCGCCGCCCTGCGCCTCCCCGTCCGCCTTGCTCGAGAACCAGCCGTCGTGCGCGAACCCAACGCCCGCGCCGAACGCCACGAGGAAGTCGTCGAGCCCCAGCGTCGACCCGACGCCGACGCACAGCACCGCCAGCAGGAGGTAGAAGGCCACGAGGCCGGGGCGCGACGCGTAACCCCTCGCCTCGGAGGAGCGCAGGAGGCGGTTGGCGGCCCACCCCAGCGCGCAGCCGATGGCGAGCCCCAGGGCGCACTGGTACAGCACGGTGACGAGGAGCCAGTCGGCGGCGGCCTCGCGCGCGGAGCGGGCCTCGAAGGCGTACAGCCCGGCGTAGAGGAAGGGGAAGCTGGCGCCGTCGTTGCAGGCGCTCTCGGCGGAGAGCAGGTGCCTCAGCCTCCTCGGGACGCGGGCGCTGAAGCGGGAACCCCCCAGCACGGCGGCGGCGAGGACGGGGTCGGTGGGGCTCAGGCAGGCGCCGATGACCGCTGCGGCGGCGGGGCCGGCGCCGAGGACGAGGTGGGCGAGGAGCGAGGCGCTGGCCCACGAGTAGGTCATGACGGGCCCCAGGAGCCAGAGGACCGAGGACCGGTGCGGGCGCGACGCGAGCCAGCGGGCGGGCAGCTCTATGCCGACGGCGAAGCACTGCACGCCCAGGACGACGCGCGTCAGCTCCTGGGTGAGGCCGTCGCCGAGGCCCCAGCCGCCGTGCGGGGAGAAGACGTCGAGGACCGCGGGGCCCAGGAGCACGCCGAAGGCGAGGGCGAGGGGGGGCGCCGAGAGGTGCAGGCGGTCGCGGATCAGCAGGCTGGAGAGGGAGAAGGCGATCAGGAAGACGGAGAGGGCCAGGTAGGTTATGTGCGGCGGCGTGGGCTCGAGCTGGGACCACATGGTTGGTGTTGTTGTTGTAGGTGGGACTGAGTGATGCTCATCCTGTCTAGGAATCTGGTAGGTTTCGTGTGCGTGAGTGATGCATGCCGCTCATGACGATGAAGACGGATGACTTTGGCAACGAACGGGTACCAGCTCATTATCTATTTTCCCAGGTGCTCCTTCCACCTAGGTGTGCAACGCTGAGTCCATGCATGACGTGGGTGGGTGGGATAATCCGGGGTAGCTGCGCAAGTACCTAGGTACCTAGGTAGCTTGTCGAAGCCATGTTGAAGCTATGTCGAAGCTAGCTAGATTGGTGCCGGCATATACAACGATGATTCATTTCCCTGCCCGTTCAGTCATCTGTACCTGCAGGCTAGCATGGGATGTCCGGGGTTGTCTGAGCATCCATGGCTGATGAGGAGTAGGTACCCTGGGCACAACTGGGTGCAAGGGAAACCAAGGCTCGCTCCTCTTGTGGAATTTATTTATGCGACCTCGACGTTGAAGTGGATCCGACGACTGGGGCTGTATAAGTGGTAGACTTGGCAAGAACATGGGAAGCACCACTCCTTGGGCACGGGCTTAGTCATCACACCGACTTCAGTCCGTCGATTATGAGCCAGCAGCCTTGATTTCACCCACCCCATCCAAAGACCTCGACAAAATCCACCACCTTCGCTTGTCCAGAATCTACCTTCCAGTGTCTCTGGAAATGGTCATGAGGTAGGCCACCACCCAATCAGTAGCCAAAAACCACAGGCCAAGGCAGGCAGGCAGGCAGGCAGACCATGGTGAGCATCTCCTGAGGTCCTTCACGCACCAATAAACGACTTATCAGAGACAGCTAGCTGACGCAACGGACCCCCCCCCCCACAGGCCAACTTCCCCAACCTGCGCAGGTTGTTCATAGAAGCCAGGAGCGAGGACGAGGAGAGGGAGGTCTCAAGGAAGGCAGTGAGTTCTGAGTTCTGCCCTGCCCTGCCCTGCCCGTCTCATCCCCGCCCGGCCCCCCCCCCCCCCGAACCAAGCCAATCACACCTTTTGATCATTGTTTCGTTTCGGGAACCTACCTGCCTCTGCAACCAAACCAGTCCAAGAATAATGGCCGACATGACTGACATGTGACGTGGCTCGCTCGCCCCAGTTCTACAACGCCGTGCTGTTCATGGGCTCCGTCGCCGTCTTCAGCCTGATAGCGCAGCGCATGAACGCGGGCAGGTAAACGTGCCTGTGGCTGGCGACGGGGTGAGTGGTGGGGTGTGGGGTGTGGGAGGGAGGGAGGGGGGGAGGGAGGGAGGACCAGGCTAGTCGGGGCGATAGAGTCCAAAGAGAAGAGGCTTCCATTTTATCGTGAAGGGCATGCATGCATGTCTGCGGTGCGAGGCCAGAGGAAGGAAAGCTGGGGGAGGGGGAGGGGCAGGGGGAGGGGGAGGGATAGAAACTGACGCTCACCGTCCTGGGTACCTACCTGGAAAGCTTGCCTGCTACAGACCGTAGACTCACTCAGCCAGTCGGGCACATGACGTAGGGTGGGTGGGAGACAGGGAGACGAACGGGAGGAAAACAAACCAAAGAAAAAGGAAAAAGGAAAAAAAAAGGCCGAGCAGAAGTTGCAATGTCCGGGGGGTGAACAAGGCGCCTTCGAAGAAGTTGCAATGCCCGGGGGTTGAACAAGGCACCTTCGAGGAACTGGCACACCCAGAAAACCTGACAGAACAGGGAGCGATTAAGCTTGAACCAGTTGCGCCACCAGCCCCTCGCTCGGTGGTTGGAAATCAGATGGGTTTCCCCCCTTAAGAAGGCCGGGCAAATCGACCGCGGCGTTGGTTCAGGCAGTGTTTGTTGGTTGATTCATCGATTGAAAGCAATAGAGCTGTCCGTCCTGCGCTGCGCTGGCTCGGTCCCATGCATGCATTCCATCCGCCCGCTCCAACACGGCCGTCGTAATCATACATGAGCTGCCCCCAAGCCCATAAAACTACCTACCTACCTACCTACCAAACTCCATGGGCACTCACTGGCTGGCTGACTTATGAATATCAATACCTGCGAAGACAAGCTCCCCCCTCCCCAAATGAACAAGACCATGCGTCTCGGGAACCTCCACGCCATACTCCGGGCGGCAGCGCCGGTCAGAATAGCAAAAGCAGAAACCCCGTTTTCATGTCCAGTGGGCCGGCCTCACACACACAAACCCCGTAGGGTACAAGCCAGAGGTGGGCGGGCCATCTTTCACTCAGTCTTCATCGCTATCGTCATCCCCCAGGAACGCCAGCTCGGGCCTGACCTTCCTGCTCCGCCCGCTGACCCTCGGGGGCGCGTCGCTGTCCTCGTCCTCGTCGCTCGCGCCCCGGGCCGCAGCGCCCTTGAGACCCGACCCGTCCCCGCCGCCGCCCTTGCCACCACCGCCGTCCTCCTTCTCCTCCTCCTCATCGTCGTGATCATCATCATCACCGCTGTCCTCCGCAAGCCGGCCCCTGGGCGCCGCGGCCCGCCGGCTCCGGCGCCCCGTCGCGCCGCCCCAGAGGTCATTCATCTCGTTGACCGCCTCCAGCTCCTTGGCCAGCTCGCGCTGCTCCTTGATCTCGCGGGCCCTGGCCTCGGAGAACCGCCCGTCCATGCCCACGTCGCGCAGCAATCCCCGCAGGTGCCGGACCTTGGCCCCGGCGTCGCCCCCGCACCCCCTCAGCTCGACGCCCCACACCTTGCGCACGCCGCACTTGACCAGCTGGCCCTGCAGCTTCTTGACCTCGGCCTCGAGCGGGTCCGCCGCCTCCGCCGCGCCGGCGCCCGCGCTGCTCGTCTTGCGCGCCTTGCTGGTGCTGCTGCCGCCTTTCTTGCCGCCTGATGCCGGCTCCTTCGGCTTCTGCTGCTTCTTTTTCTTCTTGCCTGCTGGCTCGTCGTCGTCTACCACCGAGGACAGCTCGCTGCTGTCGTCGCTGTCGTCGTTCGCCGCCGCCGCCGCCGCCTTGGCCTTCTTCGCCGCCGCCGCTTTTGTCTTGCGCTGCTTTTTGGGCGGCGGGGGCTCGTCGTCGATCACAGAGGACAGCTCGCTGCTGTCATCCCCCGCCCCGGCGGCCGCCGCGGGGGGCTTCGCCTCTTCCTTTTCGCTCTTTGGGGCGTCGGACAGGGGTGAGTCCTCCTTGGTGTCCGCCTCCTGCTTCTTGGCGCCCGTGGTCGAGACCTCGATGCCGTCGGCCACGACGGATGACTTTTCGTCGTCCTCTTCGTCGTCTGTCTCGGCGGCCTTGCGCTTGCGGCCACGCGCCGGTGCCTTGGCTTTCTTGGGTTGCTTCTTCTTGGGTTTTGGCTTCTCTTCCTCGTAGTCATCCGATTCCTCGTCCTCATCCTGCTCGTCGTCTTCGCCCTCGTCCTCGTCCTCGTCGGGCGGGTCGCTAAGCTCGGATCCCGACTCCACTGGGGCCTTGGGCGCGGGCTTGGTCTGTCGCTTCTTGGGCGCGGCCTTGGCTGCCTTGGGCTGTGCCTTCTTAGTGCCATTCTTCTGAGCCGCCTTGCCCTTAGACTTTGGCGCGTTTGACACCGGCGTGGCAGGGAGCTCGCCTCTCTCTTCCCTCTCCATGAGCTCGTTCTGTTCGGGGTTGTGTCAGCTCTTTGTGGGCGGCAGGCGGGGATGGAAAAGACGCACCACCTGTGTTTTGATTATGTCTTTAGACTTTGCCTTCCAGTCTCCCTGGAGGAAGAATCCTTCCTCGAGGCCATTGTCCTTCTCGCACCTGGTACGCACGGTGTTGACGGAGAGGTCCTCGCGGCCGGGGCCGAAGAAGAGGTCCTTGACAATGGCGACGAGAGAGGCGTTGAGCTCTTTTTCCTCCATGGTTTGAGCGTGTGTCGTGTTCTCTGCCCAATCGCAATTGCCGTGCCGGAGGTGCAGGTAGGTAAGTGGTAGTGGGTAAGTACTTGCAAGACTGTTGGTTGGCGCGGTGCTGGCAGAACTCGGGGCCCAAGACAAAGCCGAGGCACCACTGGGGTGGGAGCTAACAAAGGCGCTACAGCGCTGACAAGGGACAAGTAATGCAGCTGCAGTAGGTGCCAAGGATATGTGATGTCGTTAATGTACAACCAAGGAATAATCGCCTCCCAAAATCCAAGTTCGAAAAGACTCAATTGAGCGTGTCGCGTCAAGCATGTTGTGGGGGGAGCTGGGTGACGCGACGGGGACTGATCGACAACTCAAGTGGGGCTTTGTCCTCGGACCCGGCAGCTGCTAGGTGCATTGGTTGATTGGAGACAAGGGCAATGTGGCCCGTGCGGGCTTACATGGGCAGGGGCAGGGGCAGGGGTACCTGGCTTCCAATATGCGGGTAACCAGAGTGCACCACCTTAAATGTTAGTCGCACAAATGTTCTTTGAAGCAAGATCAACCTCCTCTTTGACTTCTGCAGAGCTCCTCATAAGAAGCCTACATGTAAAGTCAACTCTATGAGCTACATCGGCACGGTCTCAAGAGATTAGAAACAGCCCGGCCCGGGTAAAGCTGACTGAACGACACAGAAAGCAACATTGAAGTTTCAAAGCAAGATTAACAATTGACAGGACCCTGAGCTGGAAATCAAATCACTTGCTGCTTTTATTGCAATGGCCTACACTATGATATCAAATTTTTGATGCCTGTCACACGGCACACAATCAATACAATCAACCCAATCAACCCCTAATGTGTGCTTTTTAACCCTGCAACTCTACACGGGATCCCACATGCGCAACCTCACGTGCAGGTATTTCCAAGCAATATTACGCGGGAAACACCCAGCATCCTTTCACCTGCTATGAGTTGAAACTGTAGCGTCCAGCCGCCCGCGGGCTGGTCAGGTGGTTTCGTTTTTAATCGCCATACATGTAAAATGTACGTGGCGCCTTCATACAGTGGTAAACGCTCAAGACCCAGCATTTAAAGAAATACACTGCCAATACCAAAAGAAAAGGAGGGGATCGTTGCATCGGAGGGTATTTTTTTTTTTCAATACATCAAGGAGGAAGAATGATGAGCCTTCTATAACTAACAATTGTTCTGGGGAGCTGGCACCTTTAAAGCTTATAGCTTGAGAATATTAGAGAGGTGGTTTCGTTTTTAATCCCCATACATATAAAATGTATGTGGCGCCTCCATACAGCGGAGAATATTAGAGAAAAAGTAGTCTTCAAGACCAGCCGTTGCCTCTTTCGACACCCTCGATGCTAGGCCTTCTGGGGTATGGCAACCGCTAGGGTATCTGATCTGGCTAGCATCAATGAAGCATGGACCGCACAAAGCGGGAGACTAACGGCTTGGCCGCCCACTCGCTCAAGACTCCCAGGCAAAATGAGTCCCGTGAGCCTTGCCTACCTCGGCCGCAATGGCATCCGCTGCTCAGGGATTTTATCATATCGATAGCAGGCTGCCCTGAACCGCCTCACCCAAACACCTCGCATGTGTCACATCGGTCTCTCATTTCCATGGATGGCATTTTCCAACAGCCTGAGGCGTCTCTGAAGATTTGAGATGGCTCGTTTCCACCCCCCAAATTATTATGGGTTCTTCCGTTGTCTTTGGGGTTCGCACAATTGAATACTTCCAAGGTTGTCATGGACCTTATGACCTTTCCAAGAAGTCGAATCATTCACTCGTAGCTGCAACTTATTATCGGCCAATGCAGATGGCTCACTGACGCAGCCAACCAATCCCACGTGACTTCAGATATAAGCTAACATTCTTTTTTAGTACGGCTGCTCACGCACCACCACTTTCAATGTTGCGAGTTCAGCTTATACTCACTCACACCTCGGCCCCAGGTGTCATGCCTCCCCGCAAACCGCTCGGCCGCCGCCGTGCTTGTGCCCACGTCAACACTGACAGCTATACCTGCCACGCATTGGCATGTCGATGATGAGCAGTTGGGGCAAGGGCATGGGGCATTCCGACCCGCGCTCGGGATCCTTCCACCGCGGAAGCACTTGGAAAAGGGGTCCAGCCCTACGACTAAACTGCTAGGTTCTCAAGCCATCGCTCTCGAGCCGTCAACGCGCCTCGGACCCTACGACGACAGCTGCGGCGGCCTGCCATGCTAGCTCCTCCTGCTTGCACCGACGCAGTATAGCGGCGCCGTGCCGGTAGTCAGCTGGGGGTGTGCGCGGGAAGCTTGACGGGGCCCAGAACCCGTGGGCGATCGACAAGGCCGTTGGGCGGAGCGGCACGGATACACCGTTAGTCCCATCTTCTAGCTTCAATAGAGCGTGTCGTGGACGTCAGCTAACCCGTCCGTCGGCGTCAACCGGCCGTCTGTGGTCCTCCCCATCGGTATCCCAGCTGGGTCTCGGCCTCGTCTCCTCCAACAGCGCCGAGCCGAGGCCTCTTTGTCCCTCGCACCCACCATCTGTGTGGCTGTATCTCGACTGTCGCCCTCTGGTGCCGCCAAGACGCCGTACCCGTTTACCGCTCACCTCCGGGCCCAGGCTCACGGAATCATGTGCCTGGGCCCTGGATCTAGAACTACCAGCTGATGAGCGCCCTGTCCAGCCCTACCATTAGCTTGCCCGGGAGGGGACCAGCCCGGGGGAGGATGAGGAATCACGATCCGCAAGACCCAACGATCTGGCTCGTCGATGTGCAATGTCCCAAGATCCCGGGCTATACCCTAGGGTAGTCAAGGCCATGAGGTTCCCTATATTAAGGTCGTGATGTTCCCTCCTTCTCGACCATGCTCTCTCTCTCAACATCAACAACTAGTAGTTCACACTCGTTCTGAACTACCCCAGTCTCTCTCTTTTCGAGCCTCTACTTTCCTTCTTTTTTAATCTGCTACCATCTTTCACTCATTAGAAAGACCTCACCAGGAAGCTCTCATCAAAAAAACAAGTCATCAGACAGAAAGAAAAAGCAGTCATTAGAAAGCCAGATTACAAACATGAAGTTCTTCCCTTCCCTGGCGGGCATGGCAGCCATTGCCTCCGCCGCCACTATCCCCAGCAACAGCACGGCCTCTGGCAACAGCACGGCCCCAGTCTTCGCCACGACCAATGGCACCGCCGCCGGTAACTCCACGGGGCCCGTCTCCAAGATCGACAACAAGGTCCTGATCCTAGCCCGTGACAGCGACGGGGCTAACTCGGCCTCTGCTGGGCTGTTGGGATACGGCATCCCCTTCGAGGCGGTGCTCATCCCCAAGGAGGGCGGCGCTATCCCCACGCTCAACACCTCCACGTCCGAGGGCAAGTACTCGGGCATCATCGTCATCGACGCCCTCGCATACGACTACGGTGCTACTGGCTGGCGCTCGGCCGTGACCGACGCCCAGTGGAGCACCATCTGGGCATACCAGGCCGGCTTCAAGGTCCGCATGGTCCGCATCAACGAGTTCCCCGGGCCGCTCTACGGCGTGGGCCTCGCCGGTGCCGGCGGGTGCTGTGATGCCGGCGTCGAGCAGCTCATCAGCTTCACCAACACGAGCCTCTTCCCTACCGCCAACCTCAAGGCGTGAGTCCCTGCTCCCCTTTTGTCTTACTTCAGGCCCCGGCTCTTCTTGTCTTCTTGTCTTCTACTAACACGTCAGCAGCAACGCCGGCATCACCAGCCAAGGTCTGTATCACTACCCGGCCGTCATCACCGACCCCTCGACGACGACACAGGCTGCCAAGTTCGGCCCCGGCGGCAGCTACTCCACCGACACGGTCGCCGCCGTCGTGAACAAGTTCCCCGGCGGCCGCGAGCAGTTCGTCTGGTTCACCAGCTGGGCCCCCTCCTGGTCGGCCACGTCCAACTACCTCCAGCACGCCCACATCCACTGGATGACGCGCGGCATCTTCCTGGGCAAGCGCAAGACACACCTGAGCGCGCAGGTCGACGACGTCCAGCTCGCCACCGACATGTACTATCCCAACGGGAGCACGTACAAGACCACGACGGCCGACCTCGACAGCCACATCACCTGGATGGCCGACCTCAACACCCGGCTGCCGGCCGGCTCCAGCTTCAAGCTCGAGCTCGGCCACAACGGCAACGGCGACATCGAGAACGCCACCGCCTCCGGGGACGCCTCGTGCAAGCCCGCCTACGCCGTCGAGTACAACGAGGTCCCCGACACGCCGCTCGAGTTCCAGAAGCCCCTGGGCACCGGCGTCGACCGCTGGCCCGCCGAGTTCACCACCTACCCGTGGTCGCTGGCCTGCGCGCAGCGCGACACCTTCGCCAGGTGGTTCGGCACGCCCGACAAGCTCAACGCCTACATGCACATGTCGCACACCTTCTCGCACATGGAGCTCAACAACGCCACGTACAAGGACGCCAAGCGCGAGATCGAGTTCAACCAGGCCTGGATGAAGCAGAACGGTATTGCTAATGCCACCTCCTTCTCGGCCAAGGGCCTCATCCCCCCGGCCATCACGGGCACGCACAACGGCGACGTCATCAGGGCGTGGATGGACGCGGGCCTGACCAGCATCGTCGGCGACAACACGCGCCCCGTCCTGCGCAACCCGAACAACAAGTACTGGCCCCTGACCTCGACCGTCGCGGGCAACGGGCACGCCGGCCTGACCATCGTGCCGCGGTACTCGACGGCCATCTACTACAACTGCGACACGCCCGAGTGCAACACCAAGGAGTGGATCGACACCTCGGGCGGCAAGGGCACCTTCGCCGACATCCTGGCGCTCAGCAAGGCCGACAACACCCGGTACCTGTTCGGCCTGCAGAGCGACCCCTACATGTTCCACCAGGCCAACATGAGGCTGACCAACATGCCGCCCATGACCGTCGGCTCCAAGACGATGCCCATGTCCATCCTCATGGCCTGGACCGAGACCGTCGCCCAGGAGATGGCCCGCCTGACCAACTGGCCCGTCATCTCGCTCAAGCACGACGACATCGCCCAGTACTTCCTCGACCGCCAGGCCCTCGACGGCTGCCAGCCCTCGCTGTCCTACGGCTTCAGCCCCGACGGCTCCTCCGTCACCTCCGTCACCGTCGCCGCGAACGGCAACTCGTGCCCCGTGCCCGTCCCCGTGACCATCCCCGGCGGCAGCACCACCGCCACCGGCGGCTCCGTCACCAGCGACCAGGTCGGCTCTGAGCCCCCCATCCAGTGGGTCAAGCTCTCGGGCCAGCCCGTCACGCTGAAGCTGTCGGCCGGCGTCACTGTCTAGGTGGGTGTTTGGGATGTTGCCTGCCTGTTTGCATTTGGGATATTTATGGATAGCGTTTTGCATTAGTATTAGCATCAGACGTGTAAACGAGTCTGTTCTTTCTCATTCCTTTTTGGCTTTCTTCGGAGTAGGCTCGAAAAAGGGCGGCGCTGATATCACTCTCTCTGAATAATTAGAAAACTATTCTCCTTCTTGGATATAGTGGTACTAAAAGTTGAAGCAATTTATTGCGATTACCAAAACCCTCGAGACCCCTAGCAACCAGTGACATTATGAATGTGAAAATACAAGGTGAACCGATCAACTCAAGAATTGCTCAACTCGATCGAACCTCGTTAGCAACGATCCGAAGATCACATGGCACATAACTGTTGATATAGATAGCACTTGCAGGCATGGGGACTTACAATCTGAACTTTACACGTGGAGGATAAGGAGCAAATGCTTGCGGTTATCAAATGATAGAAAGAAAGAAAAACACCAAGAACAAGAAGAGCAGCGACGAACCGCAGGGCAAGTTCCCATCCACGTGTCCAGCTGGATCGACCAAGTCGCAGGCTCCATTCATTCATTACAGTCATATGGGTGGTTTCATCCATTATACTAGTAGTCATGTGGGCGGATTCATTCATTAAAGTCATACTCCAATTAAACATGGATCCAAGGCCCGGGAATTCCCACGGACCTGTGTCGGGGGCTCTTTCTTATATGCACAACACCGTGCTCAACTTGAACTCCCCTTGGTTGTCCCGAGAACCACCCCAGCATCCCTTTCCCAAGGAACATCAAACCAAGCACCTCAGGCTGGGGATCCGGCACCCGCCCACCCACACCTCAACCGCCCAGCCCCTTCTCAACATCCGCGCCCAAGCCAACCGCACGCGTCTCCCCGCTCAAAGCCTTGGGTTCCGCCGCCGCCGCCGCCGCCGGCACAACATCCCCACCACCAACCACCTCAGGAGAGGAGGCATCATCAACAACAACAACAACAGCCGCCGCCGCACCCCCACCCCCACCGTCCCCCTGGCCTTGCTGCTGCCGCCGCCGACCCCCCCTGGCCCTCCTCCGCTCATCACTGGCCTGCTCCTCCCGCATCTTCCGTATGACCCGGCTGCCCGCGCGGATCCGCTCCCCCCGGCGGTAAAACACCCACGGGATGGGGACGAGCAGGACCTCCAGCAGGCCCAGGAACATGCCCGCGTAGCGCGGCGTCATGGCCTCGTACATGCGCGCGCCCGCGAGCGGCAGCGTCGCGCCAAAGATGCTGCGCATGACCGCGTTGCCCGCGAGCGCCGACGCCGCGAAGTAGCCGTACGCGCCCGCGAGGTAGTTAGACCCGTAGATGAAGCAGAGGGTGTTCTGAAAAGTTTGCGTTCGATATCGTTAGCCGGTGGATGTGTGTGTGTGTGTGTGTTGTGGCATGGTTAGAGGATGGTGGGTGGGTAGGTAAACTCACTCCGCAGCCAAAGGGGATCCCAAAGGCGATGGGGATGGCGTAGTGGATGCTCGTCGGCAGGCACGTGAACGAGAAGACGAGCTGGCCCAGGGGCGTCAGCACCGCGCCGATGCACATGATGCTGGCCGAGGCCTCCGGGGCGACGCGGCCCGTCTCCGGGTCCTTGGCGTGCGAGTTGATGATCCTCCGCCAGAGGGGCTCGAGGAATATCGCGATCAGGGTCCCGATGCCGATGCCGATGAACGACAGGCCCGTCTGGCCCGGGCCCCAGCCTCGTTGTTGCGTGAACACGATTGGGTAGGCCACGAAGCACTTTGGAGGAGGGGGTGTGGTCAGCTTTGCATACTAGGTACATATGTACTTGCGCAAGAGGGGGGAGAATGTCGGGAATGTGACGTGGTGCAGTGCTTACCAGATACAGGATTCCATATATGACACTTATCCTATAGGACCAGCCAAGGTTAGCACAACATATCCAGACGCCACCAAGACACAGGGAACAACACGCACCAGATATTGAAGAACCACAGTATCGGCTCCGTAAAGCTCAGCACAAAAGGCCGGCTCAGGTTGACCCTCATAAGCTCCGCCGTCGACTTCCTAGAGTCGTGCTGGCACCAGTACCTCTCGTCGCCCTCCTCCCGCCTCCGCCGCGCGGCCTTCTGCTTCAGTATCCGCGGCCCGTACGTCTCCCTCACGGTAAACATGGTGACCACCGCGGCCCCCGTGAGGATGAGCACAAGCCAGTTGTCCCACCTCCACCCGAGGTACTGCGCGACATAACCCCCGATCAGGGGGCCCGTCACCGGCCCGTTGAGCGGCGCGATGCTCCACCAGCTCATGTAGCGGGCGCGGTTCTCCTCGGTCGAGATGTCCGAGATGGTGCCCGCGCCGTTGCAGATCATGACGGACCCGAAGACGGCGCCCAGGAAGCGCACGGCGACGATGGTGGCCAGGTCGTGGGCCAGCGCGCAGGGGAGCACCAGCAGCGCCGAGACGGACAGGCACAGCAGGTAGACGGGCCGCCGCCCGAACAGCTCGCTCATGGGCGCCACCACCAGGCTGCCGCACGCGAGGCCCAGGAGGTACGTGGTCACCCCGAGCGTGGCGATCGTGGGGTCCCCGCCGAACTCGGCCACCAGCCCGGGGATCGTCGCCGTGTACGAGGTCGAGTACAGCACCACCACCCACGTCGAGTAGCTGACGGCGAAGATCACCCACCCTTTGTACCAGTCGGGCCAGTCGCGCGGGTTGGACGGGTCGGGGGCGTCGCTGTTAAAGGTCACCTCGAAGTCGGGCGGGCGCGACAGTGCGCTGGCGGCAGTGGAGGCGCCCGTCCGCACGCGCGATACGTGCTCCTGATAGTCGGCGTTGTGGTCCGGGCGGGAGAGGGCGTTCTCTAGCGGTGAGAGGGGGTCGGTGTTATTTGTGTAGAGAGAAGACCTGTCGTCGCCGTTGGTGCTGCTGGCGGCGGCTGGGTTCTTGGAGGCGCGGGATCCGGAGCGCCTGGTCTTACTCGCCCGGCTCCGGGGCCGGGACATGGACCGGGGAGGTGCTAGGGTCCTTCCTGTCCCCGTGGCCGGTGTGACCTCCAAGGGGTCCTTCTCGTCCACGATCGATGAGCTTTCAGTCCGATCGTGGTCCTGGGAGGCTTCCTCGCCCCGTCCATCCTGCCCTGGTGTCTTCTCTGTGGCGAAGTCGCGAGACTCCATCGTCGGCATTGATGTGTGCTGTGCGGGCGCTTGGCCCGATGGTCAGCCCGGCCGGCTGCGGCCGCTCGGCACGGGTGCTGGAGAAGTCCAAGTGAGAGAGGGCGTGTGTGGACTCGTGGATGTGATTATTATTATCCTAGAGCTGATAGCAAACAAGACTCGGGGAAGAGTGGCGATGTATCAAATATCTATGATGTATCCATGCAAGCAGGCTTCGTGAACAATGCCGGTATGATGTGTGAGTCGCCGGCGGTAAGGTGAGTCGATGATGATGCCAAAAGAAACTGCTCGGGGTATATCCAAGGTAGCATTCAGTAGAAATGTGGCGGGTGCTACTTCCCGGCATTGCCTGTGGAGGAGTCAGAGGGGAGGAAGGACTGCGATAAGCACCAACAATTTTGATCCATATTTTCCAATCTTTTCCCCTGACCAACAAGTCTTAGCCACAGCAGCAGGCGCAATCGCGCATGGACGGGAGGCGGCAAGTGGGAATGGGAAGAGTGGAGCCCGGAGATAGCCCACAGCATGCGCAAGGCGGGAGGGCGAGCGACGTTCTGGCCGTGACCGCTGCTGTGCCGTAGTCGCAACGGGAGGGGCGCTTCTTCACTTGCCCCTTGCCGGCTCCTCATGCATGCATGCACGCCCGTCTGCTGGGTGGCAGGAAACATGACTGACTGTGTTAGTGTAGTCTGGATGCGGGACGGCGCTGATCGCTGCGGGCTCCTCTCGCGAGCCTCCTGGGCATACGCGGGGCCCCTCGTCCTGTCCTCGTGGCAGAGAACACAAGGCCGGAAGGGGCGTTAGCGTACGGATAGATGTCGTGGGTGATGGGCATGTGAGCCGGGGGATACCCCGCAAGAGAGAGAGAGAGAGCGTTGCCCTGCCAGAATTGTGTCTTGTCTGGCACATTGCATGAGGCTCTCTCTCAGGACCTCCATAGACTTGACCGCCGGTTACACGGCATGGGAGCACGAGTACGTACACGAGAGACCACACACAGTAGCCGCGTCGCAGATGCATCTGATAGCTCCAGCACCATAATAACAACCGCCGGGATCGGGAGGGCCAGAAGCGAGCATACTATGTAGTAGATGGCTCTTTCGTCCCAGGGCAGATCCTCCCTTTCTCACTTTTCGCACCATTTTAGGGCGTCGTTGGCAAGAAAAAAAAAAAGGGACCGGTGTGGCACCATGGACCCGGTTTGGGATCGCCTCTCCCTGGGGCCCGTCGTGCAGAAGACAAATGCCGAGCCGAGTTCTGCTCAAATCTTATTCTTGCTTGTATGACAAGGAATTGGACCAAGCCGGCGTTCGCTTCCTGTCTGTTGAGCGCACTCGTCTCTCGTGGGCGAGTTATATGATGTCAAAATAGACACTCAGCCCGGATGGCCCTTGGCAGGCCAGATCAAAACCCAATCGGCGGGGGTCCCACGGCGGGATGGCTGCTTGCATGGGGCAGAGTCTAGAGAGCTCGCATGGAGCTGCCGTTTTCCTGGGGCACTCCAAGGACCGGGGGCCGGGGTTGGTTGTCCATCTGGCTATCCCCACCCTCGGCCCTTCGCGCTTTCGGCCGTGGGCGGCGAGGGCCTTGGCAAGAGTGTTCTTCTTGTGTGGCTGCTTGATCGGAGTCACCCTTTCAGGGACTCGTCCGGTGCGGCACTGGGATGTGGTATCCACCAAAGGTCCCTCCGGGTCTGCCGGTCGCCGGCACTGCTCTCCACCGTTGACGGGATGCTCTGTTCCGGAGGATCAAGAATAGTAGAATATCATTCAAAAAAAAATTCAACCCAGCAGTGTCGTGTTCCCAACCGCCCCCAACGCCGTGTGTATATTACAGCCACAAAGATCAACGCCATCACCCTCAACCGACCACGACGATGCCGACGATGGCGGTGACACCGACGAGGACACCACCAGCCCCAGCCCCAGCCCTCCTCCCGCGTAAAACTGCTGCTGCTGCTGCTGGCGGGCGTGCACGTACCCCGAGGCAGACAGGCCCGCCAGGAACCCGGCGAGGAGCAGCGCCGCGGCCGACAGCGCCGTGAGGAAGAACTGCCCGCGCATAAAGGCCCGCTCGTCGACCCAGGTGCGCCGGAAGCGCAGCCTGCCGACCCGCATGTAGAACAGCTCCGTCGTGACGTGCCCGCCCTCCCTGGGCATCTTCACCTCGGCGCTCGCGCGGTCCGAGTACTTTTCCTCGACCCTGTATTTTTTTGAACGAGGGGGCATCGTCTCAGTTATTGATTTCTTTTTTCAGCGGCACGGGTTTCCCAGTCAGCTGCTGCTACGTCCACTCGACACTCTTTTTTTGCCCGACGGATAGGTGCACCCGGACGAGGGAGGGTGAAGGGGGAGGCAAGGGAGTACAAGAGGGGCAGGACTCACACCAGGCTCAGGCACAGATCCCCCTTGAGGTGCGCCTTCAGCTCCAGGTTCGCCTCGAGGTTCAGGTCGATCTTGAGCTTGGGCGTCTTGCCGTCCCCGCTGCCCGCCGGCTTCGGGACCATGGGCCCGATCCCGGACGACCCGCCCCCGTTCCCGTTCAGCCCGAGGAGGGAGTGGGCGCCCCCGGGGCCGGTCAGGTTCGTCGTGTTCCCGCTGGCGGCCTGCCTGGCGAGGGCGTTCTTGTTGCGCCGGCGCCGCCTGCGCCCGCTGCTGCTGGTGGTCGACTGGCCCGAGGCCACGGACGCCGTGTCGCCGCTCCCGCTGCCGCTGGGCCCCTCGCCGTCCTTGAGCTGCTTCTGCAGGTGGTCCATCAGCTGGTTCGCCGTCGCGCCGGGCCCGCCTGGGGAGGGTTTTGGGATGGTGCCTCGTGAGGTTGGCGGGCTTGGTGGGTGGTCTGGGGCGGACATTGTGTGTTGTTGTTTTGTTGTGGTGTTTGGGGTGTTTTGCTTTGTTGATTACAAGTATTTGGCCGCGGATCTTGCTAAGGCAGGCCTGTGTTGGGCGCGCACAGGTTGTATGCGGGTGTTGACTCGGCGTCGAGTTCTTATTCGAGACGGCGAGTCGGGTCCCAAAACTTAGATGTCCAAGGTGGCGAGGCGGGGATGCTGGTTGGGCTCGAAGCCTATTCTGTCACAGGACAACTGCAGGTGACGTGAGGTGCCACGATGAGCTCCCGCCTGCTGGGCAACAAGCATTATTTACATTATCCATCCCTCCCAACTCTTCCAAGTGGCAAGGCTTGGAAGCAGGGGCCGTTGCTCTTCAGCCATCGTATTCTCTGACAACACACTGTCAGAGCACTTGAGAGCCGGGGGAAGGGGAACGAAACAAAAAATGATCCCCCCCCAGTGGACGTGCCGCCTGCCTGCATGGTGGCGAGTGTGCAGCATCGTGCTATCTGCCGGGGTCCTGCGACAGTGGGTGGTGGTGGTGGCATGATGAGGGTTGTTTCTGAAACGTGGGCTCGAGTGCCCAGTCCACAGCTGTGGTTTCGAGTCCCCTGCTGCAGGCTGGCAGGCTGGCAGGTCCAGGGATCCAGAATGTCGCCCCGCGGGTAGGCCCGCCCCACCCCTACCACTCTTGCCGTCTACACGTGTAAGTGCGTCTAACTGCGATGGCCTGGTCCATGTTTTCTTGACGTCTAGACCACCACAGAAGGTTGCCTCTGGGTGGCAAACAACCCGAATTCTCTGATCAACATGGGCGCAATTTCTTCTTTGTCGGCAATTCCATTTTTGCAGCCGACACAAGCCAGGTCGAATATTCCAAATCCTACAGCCTCAGGGCTCAAGACTTCCTTCATTCCACCTTGAACCCCCAACCTGACTCGCCTACTATGGGATATCACCTGGGCAGTGGCATCCGATCGACAGCTTGACATCAAGTGCTTGCCTGTTTCTTGCGGGGGAGGTATAGATCTCCTCATCATGTCATGTGAAACGTCCAGGCCCGTTCAACCCAGGGGGGCCACCATCCTTGTAGTTACAGCTCCATCGTATTCTGGCGAGGCCAGGGACTGTAATGTATAGAAACTGACTGCCGTGAAACCCCATGGTCTGGGGAAGCTTGGGTATGTAGCCACGCGATCTAGAAGGACCCCGGGGTCAGACAAACCCTCCGGCTTCTTTGGATTTGATCTACATCGGGGGATGGTGCTGGCTGCGCTCTCTTATGGGATGAACTATATTATCACCCGTTTACCACCTCTGTCTGTCCCCAGCCCTATTGCACATTTGACAGGGGACTACCAATGAGAATTCCACGCCTTGTGCATCAAGTGCCATAGACGCAGTCTCGTGCTGACTGTTGTCATCATGATAATGTTGCATCGCTCCCCATCAGACTGTGCCCAGTATCTGACAACATACCCCTTTGGAAATTATTCACTTCTTGCCCTTGGTATCAGCGTGTCCGAAGGAATTCGAAAGTCGGTCTGAGGCACTCAGCATGTCTGGCGGTGAAAATGCAGTCGTACATGTTGGATATTATTAATTCTCCCGCCATCAGAGCCAATGAACTGCTTCAAGCAACCTTGAAACTGCTAGGCCAGGGCCCTGGAGCTCTTTGTTAGAGATGTTGGAAAGCCAGCGTTCCTCTTGTATTCCCTGATTTGCTGATGAATGTGTACATGTCGAATCATTTCCCCGCGTCTTGAGATATCAACATCCCCATCAAATTACCGGTAACCCACGCAGACTCATACGGTAATAGCAAATTTTGTGGGGACCTGACCCCGGACGGAGGATTCCTCTAGGCACCTGCAACAACTGGTGGGGCACCTAGCTGCCTTGCACTTCCACATAGCGACATCTCGTCTCCAGTATCAGCCTACCCAAACAGTCGCATCCTTCCCTTCTACCAGCAAGGCACTCTGTGCTCATCCTACCTGGCATACGAGCTGCACGATTCCACCCTTGAGCGAGAGTCGCCAAGCATGGACCACGGAGGGAGGTTCCACCACGAAGAGCCATTCGGCCACGAGTCGCGCAACTCCTTTTTCGACCAGGAAGGCCTGGTCCCTTATAGACCCGGTGGCTACCATCCCGTGTCTCTAGGAGATTGTTTCAAAGAAGGCCGATATCAGGTTCACCACAAGCTTGGGTGGGGCGGCTTCTCCACGGTCTGGCTGGCCAAAGATAAAATGTATGTATTTACCCCGAGCCATGTTCTCTCTTCTCACCCATGCCGACCTTGTAACATGTTTTCTTTCAAAGCTAACTGACCCCGTGCTTCCACCAGCCGTGACGAATGGGTTGCCCTCAAAGTCTTGGCGGCGCGGGTCGATCAAGAAAAGTCGTCCAGGGAAATAAGCATACTACGAGAACTGTCCAACAGCCCTGATGCCGCCCAGACATGTATCGTGCGCTTGTTGGATGATTTCCATCATACCGGGCCTAACGGACGCCACCAATGCCTGGTGCTTGAATTACTCGGTCCAAGTCTGATCAACGTCATCGACGGCGCCAATCCCATGCCTGGCCAGCCTCGTGGTGAAGATGATGGCATGATTGCTGAAGATATATTCCGTGTGGCGAGGCAATTACTAAGTGCACTAGCGGTCCTGCACGAGAATGGAATTGCCCATGGCGGTAAGATTGCCCAACGTCCACTCCAGCCCTCCCTTCCAGCTTATTTTCAGATTGGGAAGAGTGCCAAATGGCTAACCCGACATGCCGACGTCCAGATATCAGCTCACATAACGTTGCCTTCTGTGCGAGCAATATACGCCACGCATCCGAGGAGGACGTCTTGGGCGTAGTTGGGACTCCGGTCGTCGAGGATCTCATCCGAGAAGACGGACAGCCGGTTGAGCCGAGATTCCCCAAGCACCTCGTGAGGCGGGCCGAGTGGTTTGGGTGGGTCGGCGAAGGAGTGGAAGACATTCGGCTAGCGGACTGGGGCGAGTCCTTCCGTTTAGGAGAAGAGCCTCCACGCCTGGCCCAGCCCGCTGATTGCAAGGCTCCAGAAACCATATTCACCGAGCGTCTTGACTATCGCGTCGACTTGTGGAGAGCGGGGCTTGTTGTACGTCTATTTGTTCTATTCCCGCTTTTTTTGTTTCACATCATGGTCTGCTAATTGTCTTCAGATATATCACATGGCGATCGGCTATAAGCCCTTTGGGGCATATCGAGAGGATGCGTTCCTCGTCTCGCAGATGATCGGCTTTATAGAAGACCTACCGGACGAGTGGAAGGGAAAATGGCGCAAAATGAAAGAAGAGTCTGAAGAATCATATGATGATGTTGACCCAGGTGAGTAAATCTCCACACACTCACGGTATTGGTTTCTCTGTACGTCATGAGAGTGAGCTAGCTGACATCATGGCCCCGGCCGAGAATACAGATTCCCACTGGCTCGAGAAAAGATTCGATGAGCTTGTCCAAGACCCCCGTGATCCATCTCTACGGCCACTGCTGCCGGTGATCAAGGGCCTGATGAGATTCCGCCCGTCCGACAGACTGTCCGCTGCGCAAGCTCTGGAGCTAGTTCCCGAGATTGATCCCGAGCCCCTGACAGAAGTTAAGTCACGGATGTATTATAAATCAACGGTAATACTGTGATAAGCGCGAGAACTTACATTCACAAGATTCAAAGCCGTCACTTCTTGACAACTGCCCAGCAAACCTATTCACAACAGTCTGCCCGTACTCTTGGGTGATTCATGGCAGTTGTTTCAGAATCCAATGTCGTGCTCAACCTTGTTTATAATGCAATTGGGTTGTCTAGCAACTTTGCTTCAAGTGCTGTGATTCTTGCACAAGAAAATTACAGGCTCCCTCTAATCATATCTACAATGACGGATTCTGTACAACGGAAATTATAAAAAGGAGCTTTTGGAATGCACTGCCAATCTTTGCAGGCCTTACAAAGGTTCTGGCATGGGTATTTCAGCTGAGACCAGTTGATATCCCCGTTTAAAAACAGCAAGAGGCTCCATTAGAAGCACAAATCTGCCTGGGCTGGATGGAGCAAACAGTGAATGACTAAAGGGTAATAGCTCCTTTTGCACATTATTATGGACAGATGATATGGCCTCAGCCTACTTGGCTCCTCAAGCACCCAAGACTGTGCGGAAGCTTCTTACTTATCTTTACTGTGTCATTTGGGTCGAAAAATGAAATGTATGGAGGGTGATGGGCCAGGCATTGGACTTGGCAGATATTTTCATAGTTCCAGATGGCAGTGGTGAGTTTTCTGGACAGCCAGTTTGAAGTTTAGTCCCGAGCTCGGCTCAGCCAAAGTCTGCACAACTACGTTCATAAGTGATTGTAGGAAACAACACGCACTGTTTGACGATTTTCACCAGCAATCTCATCAATTGTCATTCACTCAAGTTTCTCCTAGCTGCCTCTGCTGTTCCGCAGCCCCACAGCAAAACCGTTACCCTTTCTCTGCTTGCCAAACCTGAACCTGCTTCAGTGTCTGGAACCCCCAGACGGCATCATCGCATTTCCTCTCTTCTATTTCCTCCTTCGAAGATTTGCTCGTCAAGGATCTTAAAACAGCTACTTGTAGCACCCTAGCTCTGACCAAATCTGCCCTCGTCAAGAAGCAACCATGCCCGTGACCACCAGGTCCGTCAACAACCCCTCCCAACCGGCCGTGTATTATGGTCCCGTCATCAGTGGTCGCGTTGAGAAGCCCAAGAGCAGCCCCATGGTGGCTCGCAAGAGCACACCCAAGAAAATCACCATCAAGAAAACCACCAAGACCAAGGCCAAGGGGGACCCGTCAGCTGAAGACAGCGAGGCCGAGACCCAGCTCATGAGGCAAATCAGTCTCGGCGAGGTACGTCTGCAGGAGCATCGCCGCCCCACAGAAATCAACCACAAGGAAGGCTGATCTTTGTATGCAACCAACCCAGATCATCTTCTCCAACCGCTTCGAGCCTCCCTGGGAGGAGCCCAAACCAACGACCCTTCTCGGCCTGCCCAGCCACCTCCGGGACAAGATCATCAACCTCGTCTTCCCCGTCCTCAAGCAGGGTCAAAAGGAGGAGACCGGACAGGGAGACCTGGACGATGCGGCGGCGGAGAAGTTCCAGGGACAGTTCCTCGAGTGCAACTACGTCCACCCGGTCCTGTGGACCTGTCGCCAGCTGCGCTACGAGTATGGCAAGCTCTTCTGTACGTACGCAACCAGCCAGCAGCACCTGGCTGGCGCCCAGTCAAGCCACAACAGATGCCTCCCCCCTTCCCCCCCCCCCCCGCCCCTCGCTCATCAGACCAGACCAGACCAAGACCTCGAGACAAACGCTGACGGCAGACACACACAAACCCACAACAGTGACGAACAACCACTTCATCTGGGACGTCCCCCCCAACTGGAACCCAAGCGGCATCACCCGCTTCGCGCAGCACGCAGCCTCGGTGGGCGCCCCGGACTTCCCGCTCCTCATGGACATGCACAACCGCGCCGACGGGCCGGCCTACAAGCAGTACCCCCGCGCGCCGCTCGACGGGCCGGCGTGCCGCGCGCACCTCGGCCGCTGGGTCAAGATGGTCTACTACGGCGTCGAGACGAGGGTGCTGGCCAACGACCACCCGCTCGAGAGGGACGACGGCCTGATTGCGCACTGCCTCCGCCAGGCGAAGCAGGTGAGCCAAGCCGATTTTTTTTAAAAAATTCAATTTCACCTTTTTCTTTGCCTCCGTTCCCAAACAGACCTTTCAGTAACTAGCTGACTCGTGACATTTGTGATCCAGTACCGGGAGCACGGCAAGAGCTGGGTCCAGCTCCGGGACAGCCTGGAGGAGGCGTGGGCGGCGTTTCTGGAGCGGCGGTCCCTGGCTGAGGTGAGCCTGGGCAGGGGCGTCGCCACCATCACGGCCCTGTACAAGGCGAGCAACGAGAGGCTGGAGAGGGCCCGGGCTTCGTCTCTGGGCGGGGGACCGGCCTCTTGACTTGTCGAACAGGGCAGGGTTGGTTGGTACAAGCAGGGCGGCACCGAGGTCGAAACAGGACGATATGGGCCGAAGTGGCAGCCAAATGGCACGGCGCTGAACGGCTCGGGGCAGCACGATACCAGCCAGTACCACTGAAGAATGAAGGCTTGCGGGAGGCCGGCTGTTTGAGTCTAGGCTGTACATTTTCTTGGGGAAGTCTGCGACATATTTGTGTTGGTAGAGTTGATTGTTTTGTCGAGATGCCCTCAGCTTCCACAAAGGACCAGGCAGAGAAATGAACAAGACATGATAGAATATCCCCCGCGGTTACGCAGCTGTTGACTTAGCAAGCCAATGAACCGAGAAATTGGCACCAACCTCAGGTTCATCACCATCAGCCCCAGTCTCAAACCCGAGTTGGAAATGATAATCAGGGCAGTGGCTGACCCATTAAGCAGAGTCTGACAGCCACACAACTGTAAAGCGAGTGATCACTAATGATCTATGTACCAAAGTTGACAAAAAGAAACAAGCATCACCCGCACCATCGTCTGCCTACATGCTCAGACAGCCAGCCAGCCACGACACTCAACGCACGCCTACACACAAGTCCTTAGATTAAACGTCAAAAGCCCACCCCACACGTACCGAGGGAAAGCCTCCCTAAGAACGACCTTGAACCGCGGTAGAAAGCCCCCCGGGCCCGGAAAGTAACGCCGACAAGAGCACCCTGCCTATCTACCTACCACCCGACCCTACAAGGCGCCCCCCCGTACGGAGTAAATATAGAGGCGGGATTGATCGGGGTGCAACGCCGGCCAGGGGGGGGGGCTGACGGGGGATGATCATTTACCCACCTTTCCACCCCGCCGGGGAACAGGTCTTTCTATCTCTCACTCCCGATCCGATGACGCGGCCGGCGTGCCGCGCGGCTGAAGGCGTGGATCTGCTACATGTCTGTCATCGATATGTTGCAGGCGAGGCGAGCCTCGGGATGTGTATGTACGACATTGAACTGCATGGAAGGGAGTCCCCACTCCTAGGCCAGCATCAGGGGGCCCAGAAACAACGGCAGGGGGGAGGGAGGCGGGAGGCCCTGTTCTCGAGACGGCAGTGCCAGTACCTGTGTTGTAGGCCTGTAGCTTATAGAGTACATGGCATGGAATCGTCTAGGAAGGTGTGCCAAGCGGGCATGAACACACACACACACACACGGATACACATTCACATACACGTTACACCCGTGGTGCCCTTGTCCCCCGGGCCACGGGAAGCGAATGCAAGGAAGCACGGCATTCCATGTTCTGTCCCCAGCCAACTCGTAATAAATAATGACGTGGCGTGGCATGGCATGGCAGCAGGCACGCGAACAAGAAGCAACATCAAAAAGAAGGAGGCAAACAAAAAAAAAAACAAAAAAAAACCAGAAACAGTAAAGGGCAGACAAACCTTCCAGAAAAAGTCCTCGGTAGCCCCCGACCGAGCCGCATCAAGCCCCTCGCCCGCGGCCGCGGGACCAGGAGGGACCCCTCCCCTCGCCCGGGCCGGCCAGGACCCGGTCGCAGGGTGCCCTTCGCGGGCGTGTCCTCCGGGCCACACACACCCCTCCCTCCCTCCATCCCCTCCCGCAGCGGCCCCCAAATTGCGAGCTGGTACGCAGGAGCTCCCTGTTGCTATATATTGTTACCGACCGACCAACTACACATATGCCTGCTCCACTACACCATGTGCAGTCGTGTTTTCAATATTACGCGGTCCGGGGTTAGGCCTTTGCCCGTAAGTGAGAACAGATCACTCGGCTGCCCGGATTTAAGCAGGAATCGGGAGCGAGGGTGAGGGGGGGGGCCGTGGGCGGTGCAAGGGTTCGTTCGATCCAACCTCTCGCACATTTACACAGTAACAAGGAAGGGGGGGAGGGTTGGGTTGGGTGGATCTCCCCCGCCGGTCCCCACGGGTTGATGCCGATCGCTCGGGGGGGCGAACGCCTTAAACTTGCTTGCCTTGCTTTGCCTAGGGGAGACAAACACAGTAGTGTTTAAGAAAAAGAAGAGGACCCCACCCGTTGCGACTGTGGACGGGGGTATCGCAAAGTTAAAAGAACGCCAGGGGTGGCGGTGGCGGCGGTGGTGGTGGTGGTGGTGGTGTTCACTTGATGATGGTCGTCGATTCGGGTCCTGCCAGGCCAGGCGAACCAGGTACGAAGGCCCCAGCCCATCCCGGATCCGGAGAAAAAGTTCCTGCATTGGTCTTGATGTAGTGTACGCTCTTGCGCAATCACATATCAGAAATCGTCGGAGAGAAGGGTGGGGGGTTCTCGTAGAAGGAGCGGGAGCGAAGGGGGCCCGGAATTAGCTGGGAAGGCCTTGTCGACCATGGAAGAAGCCAAGCCCGCAGATATGGTCCGTTCGTGAGGCGCAGAGCAAGCCAAACCGATGGATGGTTTGGTTCGCATGCACTGATGTGATATTCACTTCTCCAACAAACCCTCAAGTGCTCCCTCGCCTGTCAGCCCCGGCATCAGGCCCCCATGCCCCCGTGCCTGTCGTGCTGGCGCGTACAGTAGTACTACATAGTATCTCCCCTGATCGCCGTTGACGGAATGGGATCGACCAATCGCCTTGGGAGGGCGGGAGGCTTGTTGGACGTCTTCCTGCCAAGCTCATCGGGTCATGTGTAGGTGTAAAATTGAGTTGCGCAAAGAGGGACAAAGAGAGACAGACAAAAGACCCTGAAACTTGGCTCTGGGCGTGGGGCAGACCACGCACCCACCCACACGCTCTGATGACGGGGTGGGGGAGGGCTTGGCAGTAAAATTAAGATTGGATTGTTTGCTGCTTGTCTGTTAATTTTTCTGCTTTTGACCAGAAAGAAAAGAAGCGGGTCCGCGCTTGCGTCCTTGCGTCCTTGCGCCCGCGGGAACGGGCAACGGGGGAAAAGCAAAAATAGTGTAGTGTGCTGTTGTTAGTTAGCTGGACGCAGGTACCAGCAAACCAGCTGCCAGGGCCCAGCTGCCCAGGTGGGAATATGCCCGGCCGCAAGAGGAAGTCGATGGGGGCGCGCGCGTTGCCGCGCTGGGAAAATGCTTCGAGTTGCCTTTTTTTGCTTCTTCGGTTGTGCGTCTGTGTACACTTGCATATAGACAGGCAGACTGACAGGATGTCTTGACAAAGGAAAAGAGAGGCAAAGCGTCAGTGCTTCACATACTCCGTACCGGTCAGTTGTTCTGCATCGGCAGATCTGTTGTTTCGAGTCTGTGCTCCCCAACCCATCATCCCTGTGGGGCTCAATGGTGCCCAGGTGGTGACGTACTGGAGCAGTGTCGTACCGTACCACCGCAGTTCTGCTCCGGTTGGCGGCAACAACAGACCTGCCACACCAGACTAGACAGACAGACGCCATCGTGAGGCTCAGGCTCGGCATGGAAGCCTCGGAGGGACTATTGACAGAGGAGACGTCAGCTCCAGGTCCGTGAGTACCGAGGCAGCGTTGCATTTTCTGCCCGTAGTCCCGAGTCTAAGGGAAAAGGCTACCCGTCACGAGGGCCTGTGGCCATCTCGACGGATGGTTCGCCGGTGGTGATAATGAGAGGCAGGTGGTCGTGAGGTAAGAAAAACGTCCACGTGCGCAGCAGAGGCGTTCCTGGCATCTGGCACTTGCCCCTTGTAGCTAGCCGACAGGTAGCACGGCTTCCAACCCCTGACTAAAACCTGCGCGGTTGCGAGTTTGTCTTTGGTGTGGCAGATCTCTATTTTTAACAGGGGCCGTTCGGTTTCCGGCTGGTCTTAGCAATAGACAAAAGTCCGCACAATTTGCACAAGGGGAACCAGTGGCTTGCCGCTCTGAGGTTTAGTTATGCTTCGCTGTCTCAAGTTATTCGAAAATTCTTCCAAAAGGACCGCCGGCATGCCGAGGCTCCTGCTTCCTGCCAGGCACACAAACGCTGGGGTTAAACGTCAAACGGACCGACCGCCACAGCCTGCCAGTTGGGTGAGGTCATTCCCGATGCTCCTCGACAACGATAGACCCGGGCTCACCAGGTAACTCCACAGCCACCTACTGTGGTATGCTGAACTCTCCATTCCCCGGGGCCGAATTGAAGAATCTGCCTCACCCGTCCGGCGCCCTATCAGCCCGAGTGTGAGCCTCTGATCCTTATACTTCAACGAGCCAGAACTGGAACTACAGCCTGCCATTTTCGTCTTCGATCATCTTGTCCATCTTCTTGCGGAGCAGCTTGAGTCTGGCAAGGTAAGGTATCGGCTCCTTGTCTTTCTGCTTCTCAATTTGTGGCATCCACATGACGCGGCAGAGATCCTCCGATGTGGAGCGGAATGTGACCTCGAAGCGCAATTCGTCCTTCGATCGGCACTCTCTCTCCGAAGGACGCGCCATTATGGTCTTGATGATGTCGAGGGCCTGAGACAAGGCCTCGATCTCGGCGCGGGAGGTCGTCTGTGGGAACCCGGGGTCGAGCCGTTCGGCAGCGTTGAATCGAGAGCCTACCCCGAAGCGTACAGCCCATGCCGCCACAGCCCCCGGCTTCCCGCTGTTGTCACAGTGCCCGGCGATGGCGACCACCATCGAGCGCTTGTTGACCATGATGAACGGTTCAATGAACGGTTCAATGGGACAAGTATATTGCAGCTGGCAGTATTCTTTCTCTGGGTTGTATTTTAACAACTTGTCCCATGGCATACACTGATAATTCCATTCTTCAGCGGGGTTGAATCGCCGATTCTGGTGGTTTGTGATGCTGAATGGAGTGCTGCCGGTCCCAGGAGGAGGCGCGGAGCCCTCCATGATCAACAAGCCGGATACTGATCTCGTAGCGTCTAATGGATGCAGAATGGTATGTGTAGTGAAATGCAGGCTCACTCTCGTGTTGTGATAATTGTGGGGTGTGATGCTGGGCTGTGATGCCGTGCTATGATGGATATCCGACTGTTTTGATGCAGGCCAAGAGAAATGTGACCAAGGTTCAGGGCAGACGGACGGGATGGGATGTCTGTGATTCAAACCTTTGAACAGCCTGAAGCGAGCCTATTTGCCCTTTCCCATGAATCCCAATGTTGCCCTCGACCAAGGAGGCAGGCTCGACCACATCAGAGGAGTAGCTACCAGAGGAGCAGGAGGCAACTGTCACTCGACAAGCTGTTGGCCGATCCCGACCCAGGTAGATCCCGAGATCCAACACAATCTCAGCATTCACCTACCCAAAGCATACATGAGCAAGCTCGATGGAGATCTGTGGTCACACAAGCAAGGGGTTTGCAAGTGCGTGTATGGAAGGCCAGTTTGTGCGTGGAATGTTCGGCGGCGCAACCTGCAACTTGTGCAAGATATCAGGTGGGTCACATCCAAGGACAGTCCAAACCTTGGAGGGCTGAGGGGCCCTGGGCCCCGGCGTAGGCGTAAAACATCGACCCAGAGTGTAAAATAAAGTGCCCCGGCGTTGGGCCCATGGACGTTGTTGATGAACCTTAATTGTTGTTTCTCAAGATCAGGCTAGTGGTATCGCAGAGTGGTTCGTGCAGTTGCAGGCAGAGCTTACCGAAAAGCTAGCGGCAGGTTGCGGTGGTTGTGGTTGCGGTTGACCCTGTCGGAGAGTTTCTTTTGCGCCCAAGTCCAAAACGGCTTTACCAAAGGCAGGCTGGTCCTTGCTGCGGGCCAAGCAAGACCCGTCTGGGCCAGTCAGAGACAAGAGCCCCTCACCACCTCGGTGTAGCCCCCTGCAGCATCCTCAAACACGCCTGTCTTGACAGTCAACCCAATCTGAAGATGGGCTCGAGTACCCGACCAGCCGACCTATTACCCCAAGGGATATCGAGGCACACGCGACCAGAGACAAGGACAACCGAGATTCCCGGGAAAGACGCTGCACGAACGTACGGTACGTGGGGGTTCCTCCTTCCGACAGTCCGAGTGCAGGATGGGAGCGAGGGTTATTCCTCGGCGGGACCGTGAGGGACGTCATCAACGACATGCCCCAGTGCCCAAGACAATGTGTGCAGCCCTGGCAGGCCTGGCAGCCATGGCTTTGCAGACCAGGGCCAGATGGCGGCCCGATGTTCTACAGTCAGATGTGGCTTTTTTCGTTCCATCTGGCCGGGCCCTGCGGTCGTCATCTTTGGGGCTTTGCCTCCTCCGACCGGCCAGCAATCAGCTCACACTACGTATGCCGTACGTGTGTGTGGGTGTGTGTGTGTGTGTGGCCGTGATGTGATGTGATGGATGCCGAGTGTGGGCGAGTGAGTGCCTGAGTGGGTGTGAGCCGACAGGTCTGGTCTGTCCGTTAATCATGATCGATCGTCAGGGCAGAGAGGCGACAAGCGTGCATATGCCTGCTGCCTGCCACATGTACTCCGTACCGCTGCCCCGCCAAATAGGTGAGGGAGTGACTTCCTCTCCAGGCCCTCCCTCTCTTGGTCCGAACTTGGACAGAGATGGTCAGATGCACTGGGCCCAGCGCCAAACGGAACATTTGATGGGAGGGGGGCCCACTCTGAAGCGGTTGCGCCTGCGTGCCCCTGGTCGATGCATCAAGCAGCTCTGCAGCACGGGGAGCACTGCAGCATTGCGGGTTCTGTCTCCATTCCTGCCACGTCGGTTCTTCTTTCGAGCATGAACCTGAAATGAGGACGAGAACGAGGCATAATACTTGACCCGACCACCAGGGGGAGACCAAGGGGCGGACCGCGACGGGCTGAGCAGGACAACACACGTGTTGCAGAACCAGAGCAAAGAGTCGAGTCTTCCTTGTTCGATCATGCCGCACCGTTGTGTTGGGAGGGAGGGCCGAGGTCGAATCTCGAGGGACCCTGAGGAGGGATCGATCCCAAGGAATGAACGCTCCGTCCTCGAGCAATTCTGACAGATTTGCACTGTGGTGGGTGCAGCACGTGCCTGCCAGCCTGCCTATTTAAGTACGTATTCGTTTTCTTTTAGAGCGGCAGTGTTGACACATGCCTGTCTACAGTCCAACGACAGCCAGACAGCAAGGCGGTGACAAGTCGTGCAGATGTGCATACACAACTGTACTGTAGTATGTGTTATCGTGCGGCTTGGGCAGTGATATAATATAGTGTGCACCATACAGTTATAGCCTCCTCTTTCTCAAGTGCTCGCAGCAACCAGACAGCCAGACAGCCACGCCTACCCCCCAAGGGCCCCCTACCTTCCCCAAATCCCCCCTCTCCTCCCACCCTCCAACCCCCCTTCACAGATACTCTGAAACAGCTCACAATTTTGCACACGAGCCCTGCTACACGCTAGCCCTTCTCAGCCACGCCACCATCCAATCCCTCCTTCCCGTTCCAGCACCGCAGAGTCACAGTCTCCCAAGCGCATTGGTAGCGGGAGACCGCAGCCCGCAGCAGCCAGGCACGGCCACGGGCCAGAAGCAGGCGTGCAGGCGTGCAGGCGGGCAGGCGTGGCAGGCGGTGCAGGGTCAGCAGCGGCAGGGCTTGGGCGGTGCATTCGCGGGTGCATTCGCGGGTGCCGTTGCAGGCGGGCAGGTTGCAGAAAGTTGCAGATGCGGTTGCAGGTGCAGCAGGTACGGAGTACAACGCAAATGCTAGTTCCAAGCTGTACTGTAGACTGCCTATTAGCTAGCGCAGACAGGACCAGGGCCGGAGCAGGAGCAAGAGCAGGAGCAGGAGCAAAGAGCAAGAACCCTGGGCAGGAAAGACCCCAGAGCAAGAACCAACCCAGTTAGCTGCCCTGCAGAAGTCGAGAGGGGCAACAAGTGTGACCGACCGAGTGACAACCAGCCAGCCTGCCAGCCAGGTCAAGGTTGAAAGTGAAAGTGGGCTTGTCCACTCATCTCCGTCTGGTGCCTGTCTGTGCCTGTGCCTGGCTCCTCCCAAGTCCCAAGTCACCAAGTCCCCAAGTCCCCAAGTCACCAATCCAAGGGCCCAAAGCCTCCCTCCCTCCGTCAATAACCCTCTCCGTCGCCACCATCAACGAGCCCCCCTCCCTATCTACTGCCGCCTGCCCGCCCGCCCTTGCACACACGCACATTCACACTCACACTCCCATCCATCTATCGCATCGTCCTCTGGCCGTCTCGTCGCCCACCTTTCCTCGGCACTCCTCTTAGACTTCATCCACATGCTGCACCTACATACGCATCCATCGCGCAAGCAATTGACTCTTCCCTCCCGCCTTTATCGTCCCCTCCTCGCCGCTCGATGCGAATCGCGGCAGACCAGACCTGAGTAGCAGCAGCTGCAGACGACCGACCAGAGGCGATCCGACGCCGCATACCCACGCCCACGCCCACCCACTACCACCACTCTTAATCAATCGCCAGCTACAGCCCGCCCAAATCCTGTCTGTTCGTTCCCCACTGCGCCGCTGAATCGAGCAACCATACGCCGACAGACGACATTTCGTCCACCCTGCTTGCTACCGTATCCAGATCGGCAAGGCCCTGTTCCTGTTCTGATAACGTCCCGCTTTTCCTCTTTGTTAGGGCGCTCGCTGGTCGACAATCAATCGCGCTGATCACTGAACGCATGCGCCTTTGAGGGTCCCCCCCCAAGGAGCCACCACCCAAACTACGCATCTCGTTCCGCTTTCACTGCCTTTGCCCTTTCTCGTCCCGACCGCCCGCCCACCAAGGTCCCGTCCTAACATCCTCGAGCCGACTTCTTTTTTTGGAGAGTCAGTCCGGCGACTCGCCCAACCACCCGATCAAGACGCCGTCACACATTTGCGATCGGTCCCCCATCCCGTCCTCGACTCCCTGTCTACCTCCCGCCGTTCCAATTGTCGGCGCGCGCCCCCAAAGCCTGAACGACCAGCGGTGGAGGCACGCGCACGCACGCACGCACGTACACACACAGGCAGCCGACACACTACCACCGCCACCACCTCCCCCCCTCCGCCCAGCCGCCGAATCCTCGACGACACACTCGACCCTATTGTCTTGCGAGACATTGTCCAATCTCCGCCGCGATCCGAGTGAAGACGCCTTCACAGTGCCTTGTAGCATCCTGCTACACACATTCCAGAGGCTTCGGGTGCTCTCGCGCCCGCCCCCCCTGAGATTGACCTGTGTACACGGCGTCCAAACTCCATCGTGAGCATGTCTGTAATGCTGCAAACTCCTTCCCGGGCGTCGACCGCATCCTCATCCTCCTACCAGGCCCTCTCCCGCCAGAACACCATGTCTTCGTACGATGGCTCGCGTTCAGCCCGCCAGTCGAAACGGTACTCCATGTCGGCACTGTACATGTCAATGTCCGCACAGGAGACCGACTTGGAGATAGAAGATGATCTCGCCAAAGGTTTGTTTGCCCCTTAGCCTGGCTCGGTACGGACCCAAAGTTGGAAAGTCCCATTGCTAACCAACTATCTGCAGCCCAAAAGATCCTCCGCGACCTCAAGTCCAAGATTTCCTCCCAGTCCAAGAAGAACTTCGTGCTCGAGAAGGATGTCCGGTACCTCGACTCTCGCATTGCCTTGCTGATTCAGAATCGCATGGCCCTGGAGGAGCAGAACGAAGTCGCCAGCCACCTAGAAGACGCGACAGACATCCAGGAGGGTGTCTTTCCAAATGACGACAAGACGCAGAGATATGGCAACCTCATGTTCCTGCTGCAATCGGAGCCCAGGCACATTGCGCACCTCTGCCGCCTTGTGTCCATGTCAGAGATTGACTCGCTGCTGCAGACAGTCATGTTCACCATCTATGGAAACCAGTACGAGAGTCGAGAAGAGCATCTGCTCCTCACTATGTTTCAGGTTCGCTCCCCCTCGGTGTGAAACTGGGTAGTCGTACTCATACTAACCTGCACCCCAGTCCGTATTGACATACCAGTTCGATAACACCCCTGAATACTCGTCCCTACTCCGCGCCAACACACCAGTCTCCCGGATGATGACGACGTATACGAGGAGAGGCCCGGGTCAGAGCTTCCTGAGATCGGTGCTTGCGCACAGGATTAATGGCCTCATCGAGCTGCACGACTTGGATCTCGAGATCAACCCCCTCAAGGTTTACGAGCGCATGTGTGAACAAATCGAGCAGGACACCGGCACCCTCCCGCCGTCCCTGCCAAAGGGCATAACTGCTGAACAGGCCGCGGAGAATGCGCAGGTCCAGGCCATTATCGAACCCAGACTCACCATGCTCACCGAAATTGCGAATGGTTTCCTGTCGACCATCATCGACGGCCTCGACGAAGCGCCATACGGAATTAGGTGGATCTGCAAGCAGATTCGCAGCTTGACGAAGCGGAAGTACCCCGATGCCAACGACCAGGTCATTTGCACACTAATCGGAGGTTTCTTCTTCCTGCGCTTCATCAACCCCGCAATCGTCACGCCAAAGTCGTACATGCTCATAGATGGAACACCGGCGGACAAGCCAAGAAGGACCTTGACGTTGATCGCGAAAATGTTGCAAAACCTTGCAAACAAGCCTTCCTATGCGAAGGAGCCCTACATGGCCAAGCTGCAGCCATTCATCCAGTCGAACAAGGAGCGGATCAACAAGTTCATGCTTGATCTCTGCGATGTGCAAGACTTCTACGAAAGCCTGGAGATGGACAACTACGTGGCCCTCTCCAAGAAGGACCTGGAGCTGTCTATCACGCTGAACGAGATCTACGCCATGCATGGCCTTATTGACAAGCACCGGAACGAACTGTGCAAGGACGAGAACTCGCACCTGCACATCATCATGTCCGAGCTTGGCCCCTCTCCCCCACAGGTCCCCAGGAAGGAGAACCGGGTGATCAACTTACCACTATTCAGTAGGTGGGAGTCGGCCATGGATGACTTGACCGCCGCGCTGGATATCACTCAGGAGGAGATCTACTTCATGGAGGCCAAGAACGTCTTCGTACAGATCATGCGTTCAATCCCGTCGAACAACGCCGTCCAGCGGAGGCCTCTCCGTCTCGAGCGCATCGCCGATGCAGCAGCGACATCCCGGAACGACGCGGTTATGGTCCGCAAGGGTATCCGCGCTATGGAGTTGCTGAGTCAATTGCAGGAGCTGCGGGTCATAGACAAGTCCGACCAGTTCAGCCTGTTGCGAGATGAGGTTGAGCAAGAACTACAGCATCTTGGATCTCTCAAGGACGCGGTCCTGGTGGAGACCTCCAAGCTTGACGAGGTCTACAAGACGATCCGCGACCACAACACCTACCTGGTCGGTCAGCTGGAGACGTACAAGAGCTATCTACACAACGTCCGCAGCCAGAGTGAGGGCACACGGCGGAAACAGCAGAAGCAACAGGTTCTCGGCCCATACAAATTCACCCACCAGCAATTGGAGAAAGAAGGCGTCATCCAGAAGAGCAACGTGCCAGATAACAGGCGGGCGAACATATACTTCAACTTCACGAGCCCCTTACCGGGGACTTTTGTCATTTCTTTGCACTACAAGGGCAAGTTTAGCAGCTCCAGGGCTGAGGATCCTTCACTATTGTCTGTGAGCTCATGACTGACATCAATCACAGGGCGTAACCGCGGCCTCTTGGAGCTCGATCTCAAGCTCGATGATCTTTTGGAAATGCAGAAGGACGGACAGGACGAGCTGGACCTCGAGTACGTCCAGTTCAACGTGCCAAAGGTCCTTGCCCTTCTGAACAAGCGGTTTGCTCGGAAGAAGGGCTGGTAAATAATAGATTGTCACACGTGCATTCAGCGTTGTGTGCATTCTTAGAGAGCGGAGGCGAGCGTTGGGTCACCGGCAGTGGCCTACTTCCTCTTCACAACACCATCTCACGATCGATCATTCTGCCTTCTCAACATACATCATGTATCGCCTAAGGGACTGTCGGCGTTTTGGAGCCGGCGTGCACGTTTATACTCCTTGATACCACCGCCTATTTGCGCAACACCGTCTTTCAGGTCGCCCACCTACCTACTACACACCTCTTCACCTCTGCCGTCTATATATCCCCAGCCGACACAATCGGTTCACACTCTGCCTGCTCCCCCCATCCTGGGGGCGTCACATTGACGGGCACATCCTCTATCAATATCTAATTCTCTTGGTGCGGCGTCCTTTTCGTCCGTGGCGATATTTTGAAACCCACATGTTTCTGTCATGCGTTTCCATTCGGCTCTGTTGTTATAGGACACACATTAATGGTGGCTGGCTATGCTTCGGCTGGACCGGCGGCTTTTTGGCTTGGCTACACCGGAGGGGGATGGATGGGGTGGAAGGAAGGGGCGTCTTTATTTGCTGTTACTCCTCCTGAGTGGTTACGCTTTGCGAGACATGGAGGAAGAAGGGATAGGCGAGGGATATTTTGGTCAACCTCTGCTTTTTTTGTTATCATTCATGGGTGGAATATTTTCTCCTCAGGGGATGGAAAGTTCCGGGGAGGGGCGTGAAGGGTTATTTTTGACTGGGAAAAACGCCTGGCCATGGATGGGCGGGCACAAGGACACGAGAATGATTTGTGCTTCTCTTTTTTTTTTTATTATCCATGCCTGTTGCTTTGCACACTTTTTTTTGGTTCCCACACCTGTTTTCTGCGTCTTGTTGTTTTTTCTCCCCCTTCTCTTGGAATGGAGGACAGAGACGGACAGAGACGGACGAATTTTTTGGCTCACGTTTTTCTTCTTCTTTGCTACCACTCTACTTCATGTGTATGCTGCCCATGGTATAGATGAGACAAACATGGAATTTGATGCTGTGAAATCACCTTTTTTGCTCCTCTCTCTCTCGGCCCTTGATAGGTTTTTGGGCGAGTGAGTTTCCTCTTGGGGTGTGGGAATGAATGATCCGCTTGATGAGCATTTCCGGGCTGGCTGGCCTGCTGCCTGGCTAAGTAGGTGCTCTGTCACTTTGGTGGGAGGACTCATGGAACGGACGCGTGAGGAGATTATTGTCGTGGGTTATGGTGATGGGATTCTATGTGACATGTGTGTAACTGTCTGGGACTTGCTTGCTTGCCTCGTATTAGAGCTCTGGATGACGTCCCGGATATGCTAGGTGTGAGTGAAGTGTGTGATTATGATGTAGTGAGTGAGTGAGTGAGTGAGACCCTCGCTCGGCCGTGGCTATCGGTCGGTCCAGGCACACAACACACACACAAACACACACGCCCCGCCCCGTCTTGTCCATCTGCCTTGAAGACTCATCAACTCATTGGGAACGGGTTGGGTAGGCAGGTGGGCAGGCAGGCAGGTAGGTAGGTTGAATCCACTCCTCCCCTCACTTCTTCGAAAAGACTGGCTGCTGTATCGTATCGTAGCTCCCGTCGTGTACTTGCGTCCCCCCCCCCCCCGGTGTGCTTGGGGGGGGGGGGGCAGGCGGTTCGGCTTGTTTCCTGCTCTGTTTTCTGCCTTGCCTCCCCGGAGATGAGGGTGGTGGAGGTGTTGGTTTTTCTTGTATCTTCCTGCCCCTTTGCCCCAAGTTTCCAGTCTCCAGTCTCCAGCCCCCGCCCCGCCCGCTTTCCAGTGTTGTATACCTCTCTATATATCTATATAGAGAGAGGGTTTTATGAGCGGGCTGGCGGAATGGTTGTCCCCCCGGGGTGGGGGGGGGGACAGGGACGTCCTCGTTTATCTGCCGCTCTAAATGATGGAATTCTTGATTCTGGTAAGATCAGGGGAGAGAAGGGAAGGGGGATGTGCTGGAGCGACTTTTGTTTTCTTCCTCGCCTGCAGCGGGGCAGGCGGCGCGAGACGGCTTGGGGACGGAGTGGGTGAGTTGGGCCCGTTGGGTGAGTGAGTGAGATTTGGAAGGGGGCCAGGTGTGTCTCTCTGTCTGGTCCCTTCGCAGCATCGCGGGCATCGGGACAGATTGGGGGGAGGGGGGTTCCAACGGGTGCCATTTATTGCGGCAGGTGGTCGATATCGGGTCAACGTTGCTGAATGGACAGTCCGGACAGACGGTGGCTGAGATCAGGCGGGCACAGAGGCAGGTTAGGTCTGCAGCTGTGATCTATCTGTCTCTGGAGTGTGGTTCATCATCCATTCATTACATTCATTCCCGCCTCCTTCCTGCCCTTCCCTTTGTAAACAAACCAACAAGGGCACGCCCGTCGACTGGTTCGCAACCATGTGGCAGGGTGTGGTGTGCCAGATAGATAGATCCCCGGGTTGCTTTTGGGTGATGTAGTTCAAGCTGTCCTGGAAAAGTCCGTGTGCGTGCCGTAACAACCCAGGGCTTGATGCTCTCCCCAGGCGATACATGTACTTGTGTTCTTCTTCTCCCTCCGTCTCCCTTCCCGTACTGCCTCATTATCCCCGCAAATGGAATTCTATCCATACCTGCTGCGCCACAACACCCACCCCCCGGGCCGAGAGGAGGTGCCGTTGGAGCTGGGTGAGATCCTAACACCGGCTTTGTGTTTCCCCCATGTTTTCTGGTGCCTTTTGCTTCCGAGATGTTTTCACCCAATTGCCTTCTTTGGCTCTCACCCCAAGGCTCATCCTGACGGCAAATACAGTGCCGTGGTGCCGCGGTGGTCGTCGTGCTGGAGGAGCCACTCCCCCGATCTCTTGGCCGGCAGCCACTCTGAAGGCCCTCTTTCCGAGCTGCCCGACTGATTGGGGGTCTTACTTAACACACGGGGCTGAGTGGAGCACCCCCGTGTCGTCCATCACCCGACTTTCTCGTTGAAATCGACCGTCTTGATTGGTAGGGCCAGGAGTCCAGACTCGATTACCACTTCTGATCAGGTGAGTGGTCCTCAGGCCAACCCACACCGGCCTCAGCCATGATTTCCGGTGACCATGATCCCTTTTCAAGAGGCGCGGGCTCAAGCGTCGTAACCGACCAGACACGCACCACGGGGCAGAGTTCCAGCAAGGTTTCATCCAAACCCCATAACGTCCCAGCCGCACCCGCTCACCTCCCCTGGAACTTCTCCTTCCACCCGCCCTTCTCGAACAACCACAGCGCCTCGATGGCATACGACCTGCTGCCCCTGTGGCCCTGGCCCTCGGGGACCTCGGCGGCCTCGAGCAGGCTCTCGACGACCTTGGCCTCCTGGCAGGTCCGCCAGATGCCCCTTGCCAGGTCCGCCGCACCAGCATCCCCGCCACCGCCGCCCCACTCCCCGAGCCCCAGCCGGAACAGGATCCTCCCCAGCGCCTGGAAGGCGACGCACCGCTGCGCGGGGACGGCGCTGCGCGCCAGGATCCCGAGCTCGCCGACCGTGTAGCCGGCGGCCTCGGGGGCCAGGCCGTGGTGGTGGAGGCCCTTGGTGACGGGGATGCGGCGCGACTCCGAGGGCGGCAGGAGGCGGCCCTTGAAGTCGAAGCGCAGGGCGTCGACGGCCAGCGTCGCCTGGCCCGGGTAGTAGGGGGACTCCTGGTCGGCGGCGGAACCCGGGGTCGGGATCGGCGCCATCCAGGCGAGCCGGGTCGGGTCGGCGGGCAGGTTGGGGAAGTATTTTGAGTGCAGCGTCTCGAGGAAGTCCGGGTCGGATGGGTCGAGGTCGGGGAGGGGCTTTGGGTGGGGGAAGTGCGTCGTGTTCGCGGCCAGGGAGTCGGCGGGTCCTGCTGGTGTGGTTCGCGATGGCGGTGGGGGAGGCTCGGAGCTCGGGTCGAAGAGGAGGGCGGCTGGTGGCTCTGGGGGCGGGGCGTCCTCGTCGAAGTGGACTGTCTTCTTGATCTGCTTCTCCGTCTTCTCCTTGGGCGCGGGGGCAGGCGCAGTCGTGTCGTCTACGGCGATCGCTGGGGCGCCCTCGGGTTTCGCGGCCTTGCGGTTGTCGTCGTCGTCTGTGGGGGGTTCGTCAAACGGCGAGGGCGCGGCGGGCTCGTCGAGGTTGGCCCTCCTGAGGAGCATCTGGACGATGCTCGGGTCGAGGCGGCCCAGGAGCTCCTGGCGCTCCTCTGCTATCTGCTCGGGCGACATGGACGCCAGCAGCTCCCGGTTCTCGCGGTCGATGGCGGCCTGCTCCGTGCTCGCCGCGCCCTGTGGGCGGGCCGGCCGTGTCGACCCTGTCGGGGCATCCTGGGGGCCGGGGGCACCGGCGTCGGGGGCCTGGCGCTGTTTCTTGAAGGCTGATACTCGTGTGCGCTTCTTGTGCTCGGGGAAGCCGGTGGTTGTGGACTTGGGCTGGGGGAAGCTGGGCGGCTTGACTGAGCCGACCTCCTTCTCTTTGATGTCGAGTGAGAAGTCCATGTTGAAAGTTGAGGGGGGCCCAGTCAAATAATCATGAGGAGAGAGAAACCTGTGGCTTGTACCACCTGCGAGGAGGCGTGTCGGTTCGTTTGTATGTAGGCATCTGCAGGTACTTGGAGATGGATTAGATAGCCATGATTTTTTTTTACGCAGTGTCTATTTGGAGCTCGCCGACCCTGCAACCCCATCCCGCCCTCGCTCCGGTCGGCCCCCCTGCAACTGCTGGCGCCAAGCCCCTTTGGGCACCTCCCCCTTCCCTGAGCCTAACTTTGTTTGGGAGGTTTAAGGTTTCTGTGAACGTGTCAGTGGGACAAGCCGGGACAGGCCACTTGCATTAGCGTCGATCACTCTCTCGTCTTGCTCTCAAAAAAAGGTCCGGAAGGGGAGGATAAGGACACCCATCACCTTAACCGGTCTGATGCCATCAGGTCACCGGCCACCGGCCACCGGCCACCCGCCATGCAGATCATAGCCATGCCTCCTGCACGACCGTTTCAATCGGCTCTGTTGGTTGTTAGTCTGGTCTGAAACCTGCCGTCTTGCTCTGCTGTTCGTCAACGTCTCGAAGGGCATCTATCTGTCTGTGTGCACAGCCGTGACTGCGAGGTCAACCTGAAGAGGACCAAGACGTTTCCACCGTTGCACTGAGCAAGTCGGTTGCAGCTTGTGCGACTGTGCCTACCGATCACCGATGCACGCCGGAAGTGCAGAGTCTGAGGGAGGCGATGATACCAAGCCAAACCGAGCCAAAGCTGCATTCCAACCCGGGGCTCCAGGGCTCTCAGACTCCAAAATGTCGGTCTGTCACACCTTCGGATATTCCATCACCTCCGTCACCTGTCGGGCCACCAGTCAGAGCCGCTCTTGTCCGAGAGGGCCGCCGTGCTTTGTGTTTCAGACCGTTAGTTGGTCATCTTACCTTGGCAATATGCACAACTGAGGAACGAGCAACGGGAGAGTCACTCTGTCGCAAGGTGATTGAGTGCATCCTGCATGCAATGAGACAGTGCAGTCTGATGTACAAGACGCTTTTCGGATGCATTCAATCAATGTACTGCAGTGCGGATGCAGGATCGAATCTGTCGTGTCACACGGCGTGGGACGAAAAAAGAGAAAAAGAAGAAGGAAAAAAAGATGCGAGCTTTGAATGAATCATGCCACGCTCGTGTAACGGTCACGGAAGCGCCCTAACTGTCGACTGCTGCTGCTGATTACTACTGAAAGTAGCTATGCCCCCACGGAATCTGGTGTGCACACATCATTGGCGTGCTTGGCTGTCGATGGCTGTCGATGGTGCTGGACACGCACAATATCTTAGCAAAGGGGCTTTTAATGAGATGTCATGCTGCTTGCTGCACTCGCAACCGAACACTTCCGAGGGAGGTCATCTGAGATTTAGGCCCGTAACCATATGTCGCATCGGTTCGTCGGCTCTCTCGTTCTACTGCGGTATAGCATGCGCTCAATCATACCGACCTTGGAAGGTCAGATGGCCCATGAGCATGAGCCCCACGAGGGCCCCTCAGACCAGATGTCAGGGGGTTCAAGATCAGATGGAGTATGTAATCAAACATGGTCGATTCTTTCTCGGGAAATCCGGCCGAGATGGGAAACAACCCTCGACAAAAAAGCAAGAGTAGAGTAGATCAGTGGGAAGACAGTCAGTCAGACGAGAGGGAGAAATACGGAGCCTTTTTCTCCTCACACACTCCACACACCACCGCTACAGCCACTGCGGAACTTGGCGCGGGCCTGACGTCGACTGTTGTGTGATGTTGCTGTGCTGGGTGCTGTGTGCTGGATGCCCCGTACCGCCGTACCGCCGTACCACCGTATATACCCAGGCCCCAGGCACCGTATGCGCAGCGCCTTCTGTGTCACTGTAGGACACAGGCTCCACTGTTGGACCAGCTGGGTGGTACGGCACCACAGCAGGGGGGTGTCAGTCAGCTGGGCCTCTGGGCAGCTCCTTCCTTCTGTCTGCTGCAGCCGCCAAACGTGTTGAAAAAAGGCGCCGAGGGCACCGTACCCGGCCTTGAGTACCAAAGTACCAAAGTACCAAGGTATCACCTGAAATGCAAATGCAGGTGCACAGGTGTAACCCCAAACCCGCAGGCAGGCAAGACAAGGCAGGCAAGGCACAAGACGCACACACTTTACTTCAACGCTCGCAAGCAACAAGGGCCCCACATGAGACCAGGGGTCCTGCCCAGACAGGGATCTGCCACAGCCGCCTCGATTGTCTTTTTCCGATTATCGACTTGTCCTTCCCTAGGCCGGCCGCCAATCCCAGATCAAACCCACCACGGTACTGTGTACCTGGGTACACGTGTACATCACACCTCCGTTCCTCCTGCCCTGAGAACTATTCTGCGCGGGTGCACCCCCTTCCAGAAGCAAAAATACTCCATGTACCCCACCCCCTTGTCATACCACACTAACAATACACACCAGCACATACTGGCACATAAGACCAAGGTACCTAGGTACCCTTGCAGGCAAGCCACAGTACGGATACATAGCCCGTCGAGGGCCAGCAAATGCCAGCACCCTAGTTCAAGCTGGCTCCCGTTCCCGTCCAGGTTTCTCAATCATGTGCCCACATGCATCCACGCCTGCCATGCCTCGCATTCCCTCGCCCACACCCCCTGCCCATGATGATGACCACCCACCCCGTCCTGCCAGCCTGCCCATCCACCCCCCTCCTGTCGGAAGCTGGATCTGGCATCTTGCTCTGCTGTGTTGGTCCTTGGACTGTGCTCGACCGGACCGGGGGTGTTTTGCTTTGCCGGCTGGCAATGCAACCTCGCCGCCCAAACCAAACAGCTGTTCGCGCACACATCAGACGAATGGTCGCCCAGAATTGGGGCCTGCAGGGCCTGCACTGGCGATGGCGGATGATGGAGGCGAGCGGGTGATGGTCCGTCCCATTGTCGGTGGTGGTCGGCCGGTGGCCCATGCGCAGTGCAGTGTGTGCATCAATCTGCATCTGGCTGCATCTTGACCCTCAATCAGACTCGGAGCCATGCGGTCTCTTGGTCGCATCTCGGTGCTGGGCCTGGTGTTTTATTCCTCTCTCTCACCTTGCCGCCTCCCTCCCGTCTCCCGCCCTACCTATGTCTGGTCTGTCTGTCTGTCTGCCACTTGAAGCTGCCTTGCTCCCTGAGTCCCTACACAGTTCGCTTACCGTACCTGGCCCTTGGTGGTTTTGGGTGTGACTGTGATGGGTCCTCTCCCCCATACTGTCTGGACTGTGGTACGGAGTAGTCCAGTCCCAGGTCCAATCCGTTGCTGTTGCTATCCTGACCGTCCCATCCCATCCCATCCTCTCCTTGCCTTGGTGGTTTGCCTTGCTCATGTGCTGGCCTGGCTTGTCCCCATCCCCATCCTTCTTCCCTCCTCCCTGCCCCTTCTTTTGGCCCCTTCTCCCGAGCAGCTGGACTGACTGACTGACCGTCCCCATTCCCACTCTCCTCGTTCCTGTCCTGGCCTGTCCCGTCCCGTTCTGTTCTTGTCTTGATCCTCCCACCCCCACCCACCTGCCCTTGCTTGCCCTCTGGGGTCGTCGTGTGCTTGGTGTCGTATCTCGTAGCTGGGTCTCACCCCCCCCCACACCCCCCCCCAAGTCCCGTCACTCTCTTCCTCGTGCCTCTCTCTCTTGCCGTCTAGCCACTCTCTAGTCTTGTCGGCCCTGGTGGTTTGGTTTTGGTTCTGGTTTGGTCTTGTCCGGTCCGGCCTGGCTTCGCATCGCCCTTCTTGCCTTGCCTCGCCTTGCCTTGCCATGCCTTGCCTTCTCTCCTTGCCCGTCCCTGCCCGTCCCTGCCCTGCTGGTCTGGTGGTCTGGTGGTCTTGTCCGGTACGCTGGTTTGGCTTTAACTCGCGTTTAATAACATTTTCTCGTTCGTTGCCTCTATCCCGACTCTGTCTGATGGTGGCCAGGGCCCCGATTTTCCCCTGCCCTTTTGATCCCTCCCAAAAATCCAATTTGATGTTCCCGACCAAAACGTAACCATCTCCAATCTCGTACCAACACCCTCTGCCCGCCCGCATTCCCAGTTTCCTCATCCTCTCCCGCTTTCTACACACAACACCTCACCACCGCCCTCTGGTGTTGAACACACAAATCCATCCAAAACCACCCTGCGCCATCCCGTTCGCCATTCAAAAACATAATCATTTTGTGCTCCTCAATTTGCCCGTTTCTTTTCTGGCCCTCAATCTGGCCTTTCACCCCTGTCTTGCACCTTTTTTGCCGCTGCAAGAGTCGTGCATCCGCCCCAGGAACGTGTCCATAATCCGGGCGGCTGTGGTTTTGTGAGGGTATTCAGAACTGCCCCCTTCTCCACCGCCCGCTAGCCAAGGCCTAGCCGACAACCGCGCGACACCACACCCTTTCCCGCTCCCCAACTCGGGCCTGGTCACCGCCTAACACCCCGCCCCCGCCAGCCACACCCTGTAACACCGCCATCGCTGTTAGTGATTGTACTCGCGACACCGTTTCGTGGTTTCCCTTTCCCATTGTGGGCAGCTCTTTGGCCAAAAGGGAAACACACTCATTGATTGTCGCCATTCACCACTTCTGCGACACACCATTTCAGTCCTCTTACTATTATCAGGCAGCAGGCAGCAGACAGCAAAGTTAAGGGTCTTGTTCGACAATCAGCATCCCTCCCTGTCTTTGCATCGGCCTCTCCTTGTGCTGTCCTCAGAAAAAAGAAAGAGACAACCACAACCACCACCACCCGAGGTTCTTTTCTGGCATCTGGCAGGCAGACACACAATACAGAGAAGCCACACCACCAGTCTATCAGACAGACACCTGGCCGGGAGAAGACCTGCAGCCCTTGCAGCCCCAGCCAACTCTCCTCCATTGACGGCGGCTGCTCAGACCCTTGCAAGGCCCCACCTATGGCACTGCCAGGCCGCGGTGCGATGAGCTCCTCGCCCACTTCCCTCTCGTCACCACCAGCCACCTCCATCAGCAACCCCTCCTCGCCTTCCCGCCTCAACGTGGGCAGGGCCAACATCGAGATGGACGAGATCGTCGTCGACACAGCATCCGGGCCCCGGTTTGGAGTCGTGGCACCCCCCGCCCCTCCCCCGCCCGACGTGCCACTGACAGCTGCCGGCCTGCCGAGGAAGAAGCCCGGTCGGAAGCCCGGCAGCACCGTCAAGCCAAAGCTCAACCCGGATGGCACCCCAATCGTCCCAGAGCCAAAGGTGCGGAAGCCTAGGAAGCCCAGAGATCCCAATGCCCCGCCCATCCAGCGGAAGCGCAAGATCGCCGCCACTCAGGAGCCCGCCGAGCCCGAGCTGCCTGCTGCCGCCGCCCCCCTCGCAAGCAGTGCCGCGGCTCACCAGGCCCAGCAGCAGCAGCAGGCGGCCGAGCCCAGCCCGATGCGCATGGATCTGGACCCTCGCCCTGCAGCCGTGGCCACGCCCAACAGCAGCAGCAACACGCCCAACCCGCCGTCCAACCCGGCAAAGGTCCCCAAGCGAGAAGGCCCCTCGTTCATGTCGGAGCTGCTGAACCGCGACTCTCCCCCACCTCCCCCGGCCCCTCCCGCCCCGGTGCGCATGGCCTTTGACCCTGTGCGGTCCTCGAGCTATGACCCTGTCAGGGAGACCATGGTTACCCGCGACCCTTACGGCACCTCTGCCCTGGCTTCGCCCCGCGGCCCTTCGCAGATGCCAAACCGTGCCAGCGCATCGCCCTCAATCTCGAGCCTGATTGACGCACCAGCCCCTTCGTCCACCTCCAAGGTCCTCTCGCCAACACAGGCACATTCCTCCTTCCACTCTGCGCAGGGCCGCTTCCAGGACCCCTCCTCCCTGCCGCCCTCCCCGTCCAATCAAGTGCGCAAGGAGCCGCCCCCATTGTCTGGGCCAGCGCCAAAGTCGAGCACGGTTGAGATCAAAAAGCCTGGCCCGCCTCCTATGCCCCAGCCTCCTGCCAAGTCAACGGAGCCATCAAAGCCTGCCGCGCCCGCCAGCTCGGGAATGCCAGCCCCCAGCACCATGCCCGCCCCGTCCAAGAAGGTCACCACCGTCGTCGGCCAGGCTCGCAAGGAGAAGAAGCCTGTGTCTTCGACGTCTTCGTCCCCCAAGATGGGCAGCCTCAAGAATGCCCTTCCCGACGTCGCCCCGCCCGCCGGTGCCTCAAACGACCGGTCCATCCTCGATTTTGGTAAGGTAGCTCCGGGCGAGGAGAAGGAAGCCCCCTCCATCGTCTTGCACATCCCCCTCAACGGCGAGGGCAACAAGTACGTCAACTTCATGCGCCTGGCCGAGAGCAAGTACGGCTGGGACGCCCTGCACCCCCGCGAGGCAGCCAACCGCGACCGCAAGGCTCGCATCGCCGCCGCCTCTGCTGCCCTCGAGAGACAGCAGTCCGGCCGCGACTCTGCCGAGGAGGAGGACCCAGAGTTCAACGCGAGCGAGGACGAGAACAGCAACGTCGAGATGGGCGGCATGGGCAACAACGGCGGCCTGACGAGCGGTGCCGACGCCGCCGCGCCAGAGAAGCCCAAGCGCAAGAAGCGCAACTGGCGCGAGGACGAGTACGACCGCGGCGATGACTTTGTCGACGATTCGGAGCTTTTGTGGGAGGAGCAGGCCGCGGCCGTCCAGGATGGGTTCTTCGTGTACAGCGGTCCTTTGGTCCAAGAAGCTCCAAAGGCCCCTGAGCGGTATGTTAATATTTGCAGCCTCTCTTTTTCTCACTGATTCTCCCGCACCTTCCCCTATCCATATACCAGGTTTACTGATTTTCTCCGTCACACAGTGAGGGACCAGCCAAGAGAGGCCGCGGACGCGGCGGCGGCCCTGGATCCCGCGGCGGACGAGTACGTGGCGAGGGCGGCAGGGGACGCGGTGGCGGGCCAGGCTCCCGCGGCGGCACGACGACGCGCAAGCCGCGCATCACCAAGGCCGAGAAGCAGCAGCTGGACCGCGAGAAGGCGGAGCGCGAGCAGAAGGCGCAGCAGCTGGCGGCGTCCAAGTCATCATCGTCTTCCGGCGGCGGCGCCGTTGGCAGCAGCTCGGCCGGGTCCTACGGCTTGTTGGCTGGCCTGGTCGGCCCCAACGCCACCGTGCCCTCTCTTTCTGCCGGGCTTGGCGCGGGCATCATGAACTCGTAGGACGGGGGTCATGAGAGACTTGCGCCGGTTTAGGAACGGCGAGAGATGGAGGAGAGGGAGGAGCAGCACCGGCTAGAGACGAGCCGGTGGGCCATGGAGAGGTTGGAACAGCAACGGAGAGAACTGCATCAGCAAGTGCAACGGGGACTGCTAGAATTCGAGAGGCGGGATCAGCAAGGGCGGGAACAGCGAAACGCGACCATACCGCTGCTCCAGCTTCGCAGGCACAACGAGAGAGGGAGTCGTGGGAACCAACCGTGGCAGCGGGCGGCGCGGGAAGAGGAATAGCGGAGGAGACGAAACTGAAGCTCCGGGCAGGCACGAGGAGAGTTTTCCGATCGGCCGTCGTCACTCATCGAGAGCGCAAGACGGAAATCTCATCACGAGCAACATCCTGGGAGCCGGCAACAGCAACCCACTCCTCCCTGTTCCCACATGTTCGGATCTCCCGAGCAACCTCTCTCTACCGCCACATCCACGGAGAATTCCAGCGGGGACTTTTGTTTCGATAATGATCGGACACAACAAACAGACGGACAACGGACATTATACAGGAACACACACACACACACACAATTAGATACGGAAAGGCGTTTCAGTCATTCAGCGGACGGACGCGCAACGGCTATTGTTATTTTCCCGGGGGGGGGGGGGGGCGGACAGGACAGGACAGGACAATAAATCGGCAAGGGGGGGAGGGAAGTCCGTGTGCGTTGCGTTGCGTTGCGTTGCATTTTTCGGAAAGGGAGTGGGGGGGGAATACATCCATCACTCGTCTGTCTGCATCCATCGGTCGGTTGGAAGGGCTTGATTTTTGGCCGGCGTTTCTGGAATGGAATCTGTCTGTCTGTCTGGAGGCAGGCATGCATGGCACCTCTTTTTGTTTTTTCCCCCTCCCCTAGGGGTGCAATTCCGCCTTTGCAACAAATCAAACAACAAGGGGAGAAAGAAGGAAGGGGAAGGGCGGTGGGGAGTTGGTGTTGGTGTGCGCGCGTGCCTTTGTTACACCGAGCGAGACTAACTACTACACTGCCGGTAACAAGTTTGTTTTTCTGTTTCGGTGGGTTTTGCCTGCCTGCGTCCCCTTATTTGTGTTTTGTTGCCCCCTCCACTACTAGTACAGTTGTATCTACTGTCGCACCTGCCCTCTGCGCATCAACTAGAGCGGGGAGGCGTGGATGGATGGATGGCCATGGATGGGTATCTTAAACTTTGCTGGTCTGTCTTGTCTGCCTTGCTGCTGTGGCTTTTTTTGGGGCGGGGCGAGGTCGCTTCGTGCGTACATAGAATCAATCAATCAATCCAACATCCTTGAAATCTGTTCTTGGGGGGGTTCTTTTGGGTGGTGGCTGGCTGGCTGGCTGGTAGGTAGTTGATGGTTTCGATGTGAGGGGTGTATGTGACATGACCACCCACCCACTCACTCACTTGTATGAAGACTCCCGCGTATTGCTTTGTACGCATTCGGAATCGAAAGGAGGCCAGCGGGTGCGGGTGTGTGTGACATGACATGGCATGACATGACATGGATGGCAGCTGTGGTTCTGGGTGTGTAGTTGCTTCGGGGCTGTGTGCGTGTGTGTGTGCTGGCCCCCTCTCCCCGAAGCTCTTCTCCTCCCGGATGTCCTCGATCGTCGGCCGCCGCGGGAGGCTGCAAGCGTCAGCTGCAAGGTGCGTGTTGTCCACCCCCCACGGGCCGGAAAGAAACCTCCCAGGGGTCTTCCGGTCGGCTTGGGGCCGGGCCCGGCCCTGGCTCTGGCTCCCCCGCGTGCGCCGCCCGGGCGGAGCCGGCTGAGGAGGATCATCTCTGGTGTCGCCGGGTCGTGCAGGCGAGGCAAGCCAGGAGGGGAAGGCGTCTGTCTATCTGGTGCCGCGGGCGGTGTCGAATAGCCAGCCAGCCAGCCAGCCAGCCAGCCGCCTGAGAAGTCCGTTGATCTTGGCGCTGATGGCCCAGAGATGGCCGGTACTGTCTTTGAGCACGATCAAGGCGTCCAAGAATTGTTGACCAGAGGCTGGAAAGGCTGGGGGGCATGGCCTTTATCTGCTTCGAGGGATTATTGTTGCTTTTGTCGTCCATCTTCTGTTGAATGCAGTCGGTGGTCATAAAGCTTCTAAAGAAATGTGAAAGTGTTCTTGTTAGCGTAATTGCGATAGAGATGTGTGGTTTCGCTTCTATTCCGTATATGTCCGAGGACATACATGGCGCCTTCATACGGTGGTAAGCACTCAAGACCCAGCGCTTGGAAAGAACACGATGCCGATAACAATAGTTATAATACGATAGGTGCTTGTGGCCTCAGCCTTGCGACGCACAGACAAGGCTAAGGGGCACCGTCTTGACTGCGATAGAGATATTGGATACAAATAATAGCACCAATACTCTGCTCACCTACAGTAGAAGCCCTGTGTATGATGAATTGGTGAACATCCGACCTTTCAGACATCTGGACTCTGAGAAGTGTGGGAAGTGCAAGCCAACTGGAATGCATTGTCCAGAGCTGCATCCAGATCGAGATCGTCCATTTATATAACTTCCAACGTTGTTTCAAATGTTGCACTGACATTTTCGATTCATCCGCCCGGCAAGACAGACAGCCCCTGGGAGCATGGGACTGCTTTTCCTGAAGTACAGCAAGAGTGGGGAGATCTCGGACCATCCCTTCTGATTGCAATACCCATCCAACACCACAAAGTTCCGCTCCTTGGAGCTGTTAAAAAAAGGACTGATTGTTAGTTTTCGATCACCTTTCGATCGAAGATCGTCGGGGGTAACCAGCAGCGCCCGAACGCGCTCAAGAACATGACGGAGGCCGAGCTGCTGGCAGAGCTGTGAAATTATATCCAGCAGTAATTCTTTGACCCAGTCGGTTCCGCTGGTGATGGCGCTTGAGGAAAAATAGTAGACCACAAGTGAATGGGATCAATTGTGTTCTAGTCGGGTTTACAGGAAGATCAGAAAAAAGCTGTTAGAGTAAGTTTGTATTTGACCAGTTGCTGGCCGGCCCTTTTGTTCTAGGTGGCCCAAGATCGGAATTATTGCTTCACAGCGGTAATTTTTCACACCTCTGTTTGATAGATAGCGTAGGGGTTAATGACGAAGTAGGACGAGAAAAAAGATGGACAGAGCTGCGCGGGGTTCACGTTGATATCAAGCATGTCAAGTGCCAAGGTTGTGTAACGATATGGCTGAGGTTTATGCAGACCGTGACTACCCTAGGGTACCATTGAACGAATGTTATGAAAGTCAATTGCCCAAGCTGGAATGCTGTTGTTCTTGATTGTCATGCATTGTCCCTCATACTTCCATAATCTTGGGATTCAAGCTCTCCAGTTTCAAGTGATGCCATTTTCGTACTCAAGCCTGAATACTTTGAAACTATTCTCTTCCTCTCGAATTGCATCTGCCAAACGCTGATTCTCCATATCGCTGATTATTCACGTCCACTTGAAGTAAAAATTCACCAATGCACCCACGGCAAAGTGGCCTGCGAGCTACTCCATTCTCACACATCTCATGCCCAGATCGAAGCCAATGCTCAACGAGTTATGACAGCGGTCGTGCAATCATTATTAATATTTGTACACATTACTATCCAATACTATGGACACAAGTCGGTGCTGTCTGCCCTCTTCCACGAGGCTACGCATCCACATCGTGCGCTGCTCCGCCCCGCTCCTTGGGCAAATACAGAAAGCCGTTCAAGAAGCCAACTCGTACCTATTCGTGTCCGGCAATTCTGCATGCGGCGACGACCCCGAGACTTCCGACCTCGGCGGCGCCTGCCCCGGCATCTCAGCATGCGGCACCTGGCTGTAGTACACGCCCGAGGAAGGACCACCTCCGCTGTAGAACGTCTTCTCCCCCGCGCCAGCGCCGGCGCCCTCGATGTTCTGCTGCAGCGCCGCCCGCTTTGCCTTCCTCCGCCTGAGGAGGAAGAACACGGCAGCGGCGACCAGAGCAACGCCTACCACACCGCCCACGACCCCGCCGGCTATGGCACCTGTGTTGCTGCTCGGGGCTGCGGACCCCGGGTTGTCGCCGGGATTCGATGAGCCCGAGGACGAGCCGGACGCGCCCCCGGAGTTTCCTGTTCCTGACGAGCTCTCCCCCGACCCGGTGTCGTCGGTCGCTGCGGCGGAGAAGTTCTGAACGGCGAAGAGATCCTTCAGGCCCGTGTAGGCGAAATCGGCCATGCGGTCGCTAAGAGAAAGCCGAGTTAGCCAGTAGCTATGCACGGCATGATCCGCCCCTGAGAGGGCCAGAGGAAGGACTTACTGGTCATTGTAATAATTCTGCACGTCTGTCGCCAGATTATACACCGTCTGGTTGCTCCTGTACCCAGTCGTAAACAACAGGCTGCTCATATCAAATACCGCCAGCCCCTGGTCGTGGGTGTCCCGCGTGTTAAACACGTCGTCGTAAAGGCTGACCGGCCCATTCTGGGTCGTGTCGACACCGCCGATCGCCAGGACCTGGCCCCCGCCGATGTGCTCACATGTGAGGCCGTGGCGTGGGCGGAGGGCCTGGAAGTCGGCCTTGAACCAGTGGAAGGACGGCAGGGACAGCACGTACGCCTCGTCCCACGGGATCGAGCTCGAGCCCAGGTTCCCGTCCCAGCCCGCGTACACCAGGATCTCGTACGTGTCGTTGGACGACGCGGCGCCGGCCATGCAGTACTCCTTGCGGCCCTCGGGGATGTTGCCGGTCGTGGTCTGTTCGTACCAGGTGTCTGTCGCGGGGTCGAAGACCTGGACCGAGTTGAACGACAGCAGGTATTTCTCGGACGACCCTTTTTGCAGCTGATGGCCCCCGGCGGCGATGATCACGCCGGCGGGCCCAAAGTTGGGCACATATTGCATCATGCCGCGCTGCAGGTATCCAGAGGTGGATATTCCAGAGACCGTGGAGTTGGCCGCGGTCTTCGTAGCAAAGTCGTACTTGAGGAGACCACTGACGGGCACTTCGGTTCCATTGTCCAATATTTGCCCTGAGGACATGGCCAGAAATCAGCAAAGGCTCCTCATGTTCAGTCGGGCAAAGGCCTGGGATCTGGCTGTCCGTTGACCACACAAAGTTGGCGCACAAGAGAGAGCGATCGACTCACCACCTAGGAAGTATCCAGTCCCATTCCCACTGGCGACCGGTCCGGCGTAGTGCCGCGGCTGTGTTGTGAAGTATGCATCTGCCGTGTCGTTGAGATTCGTCCACGACCCCGTTGCTCCATCAGCGCTGGGCTCGAACGACCACAAGCCCTGCGCTACCGTTGGCGCGTCGCCGAAATCCGATGTGAGACCAGCAAAGCCCGTGTAAAGCAGGCCCGACGTCTGATCAACCCATATGCCAGCCCTGTTCAGATCCGGAACGCCCGCTGGCTTGGCTATCGATGTGAAGCTCACGGTGTCTGGCTCGAAATCTGCCGACAGATCGATTGATAGTAATGTCGACGCTAGCAACAGGTTAGAGATGCGTGCCGTGGATAGGAGTCTGCAAGGCCAGAACTTGGAGGAGATGGGGCCAGGACGATAGCATTGACTTACAGTATTGATATGTCGGCCCACTGCTACTCGAATATGAGAATTCTCCACCATCAATGTAGACTCTGCCGTTGAGGACCGCAGCTGTTCCGACCAGGTGTCAGTCGTACGTGAAGTTGATGCCAATCCGAGCACATGTACTGACAAGAGTGATATGCTCTCCGCAGGAAGACGTTCTCTGCGACTGCGCCATCGACTTGTCTCGATAGTAGTTCTGATCGAGAAGCCATGGGGTTAGCCATTGCTACGCCCACCGCCCAACACCAGAGCAGTTTCTGCTCCATCATCGACACGAGTTTGAGCCAACACGTGATCCGAGATCCGCAGCGCGACGATCTCTACGGCCGTGGCGACTCTGCGTATCTGAGAGAAGAAGTACACGGTAGGTTGAGAGGGAAATGACGCACAGGGCTGACCAAACCTCAAGACCACGAGGAAAAGACTAGTCTCAGGAACGCCCGGAGATCTTCGAGGAGAGACGACATCTTTTTGGTCGAGCCTGGCGGCCCCGACCTGGACCACGAATGCTTGTGCTGATACTCGAAGGATTCGGACCGGCAGGGGGCTTAGTCCCTTGGGGCGTGGGGAGCTGAAGGATCGGCGCCCCTTACAGAACGGAATCGGCGCCTGCGGGTCCAACCAGGCCAATCCGGGACCTGCATTTCGGGATGCCACGGCAATCTAGATTGCATTGCCAGGGACGAGCCTCCCACGCTCACAGCGAGGCAGATGAGCCACGCTTAGTTATTGTGGGCCCCATTCTAGGCAGCCCAGATTGTAGCCCCAAAACTCGGGCCACTGCGGCCGATAGTGATGCCTGCTTCGAACCAGGCGGTGTTCTTAAAAGCTTAAATTTGGCGCGCAACCATTTTGAATGGGCGATGTTGTTGTTATCTTTTTCCGGCCAGTCTCGTCTACGTCCGGGATCCGGGACGCCGGATACAATGGCGGCAGGAAGGGTGGTCCGTAGGTCAATGCTGCAACGGCAAATGAAGTGGAGCCATGGATGTGAGAATCTTGAACCTTCCCTTGTAGATGCACATTATCCTTGCCTTTTCAGTGGGAGAGTAAGTAGATCTGCGGCAATTCCGCAGAAGCCCACCTTTCTGTCAGCATCAGAAACTTCCGCCGAACCGTCTGAACTCAGCGCTGCGATCCGTCCTAACCAATTGATTGATATTCGCTGAGACTATTCCCGTGCCACGGCCACATTCTCAAAAGAAAGAAAACGCGTCATGGGGTGGCTTTACACGACCACACGCACTTGTGCACAATAGACAAGTCTCGATGATACCGATTGATTAATTGTGTTGTTGTCGTGGGGTCGTGTGGCCGGCCCTGTGGCCAGATTGATTCAGTACATAGTGTAGATTGGTGGAAGCCAGTATCGCATAAGCTTACCCTAGATAGAAAACATCACCGTGTCCAAGTGGGTCTCAAAACATGCTTACCCCGGGGTATTCACTACACAGTACGCCTATTAGTATGTTTTTTCTCTCTGTCGCTTGAGCGTTACCACTGTATGAAGGCGCCACATACGTTTTGTATGCATGGGCATTAGAAGCAAAACCACACTTATATTAGTAATTTATACCTAAGTACCCAGGTAGTTGAAAGTTTGCCATAGTGGTTGAAGTTGTTACAGTCTTCAAGATATCCCCGTTCTCAAAAGGGTTCCCCTGTCACCGACAACAATTTCTCCCACACTTCCAATGATTCAGACATCGTCCCAGAACGGCAAAACCTCACACGCCCGCTCCTGAAGTTCTCTTGTCGACTAATAAGACCATCCAACGCCATACGATATACTTGATGATATCATTAGCACTCTCAGGGTCACCAGTGTAGTCAGGAAACCACTCCCGGAACAGGTGTCTCCCCAGCCTATCCGGCGTCAGCTTGTCCTCCTTTGTGAGCAAGACGGCAATCCTCGCGCGCGAGAACCATCTCGAATTCACGACGGAACCCCACAGCGTGAACTGTTCTTCCATCCGATTCGTGCCCGGGTCCTCGTTCAGCATTTGATGGTAACAAGACAAGTCCACGGTGAATATGACCATGCTGACGTCCTCGAACGCAGTAACCCACTTCCTGCGTTCTGACCTCGCCCCGCCGACGTCGAAGAGCTCATACGGGTCGCCGTTGACGAGGAATTTGGACTCCCACGTCCCCGTAGTCCTGGTTTGGGTCCAGAGGACGTCTTCGAGAGAAGGCATATAGTCTTCCTGAACGATTCGGTCGATTGAGTTGAAGAAGCTGCGGGTGTTCTTATTAGCATCATGGCGCATTCCCTTGCGCCGCTCGCTCTGGGACTTCACACTCACTATTCCGCACAATCTGGGAGATACACCCCGCGTAGCTCCGCCGTGCCCAAATGTTCAAACACTGCGCGTATGTGATGGTTACTCCATAGACACCGTGTGGCCGCCCCAAGCCGTGCAAGGGATGGGGCTGGCAGGAGTGCAGTGTCGTCACCTAGTCCCTCGATGAACCGGACGCTGGCAGCAAACGTGTTGGCGTCCTCCACGCTCTCGAATCCCCAGAGGTCTCTGTCGTCGGATGTGTCGCCAGCCATCTCGAGCAGCCATCTCAGACTCTGGATAACGTTGTCGAGGATCAGGGAGCGGTATTCCCCCAGCCACGACTTGCTCATGCCGCCGTAGGCCGCCCTTATGGTCTTGGCCAATGTGCTCTTGCCGCTTTCCGATATTCCCAGGATCAGTATCCTGAGCGGCTCGGGAGACTTGATTGGCCTAACTGTCATTGGTGGTGGGTTCGGTTTCTTTGATCGAAGTCGAAGTGGTCGCCTCGAAGGCAGCTCGGGCAGCTCGGGCAGCTCGGGCAGCCCGCCGAGAGGAGGCGAAGTCGCAAGTTCGAGAGCAAGCCTACCTAGAGCTTCTGGTGTATGTATCGTGAAGTCGGGTAGTTGAGGGTCGGAATCACTTGTCATCACTGAACCACTCCGAATTGTTGTTGCCTCAGCTCTGGTATCTTGTGACCGGAAAGACTCAGTCACAGACTCATGAACACTGTCAAAGTCCATAGTTGAACTTATCGCAATGTGTGTAGGAGCCGCCTGATCGGATTCAATGGGACTGGAAGCGTAACCTCTTGATAGGCCGCCTCTGGCTTGACAGCCGCCTGTAATCTCCGTGCTTTGGGAGATTCCATTCCGCCTGGAGCCATATGCGGCGTTGATCATGTTGGTCCGCGAGGCCACCATGTATGCCCTCGACGTAAACAGATCAGAGTCGAAGTCAAAGCGTGCGTGTACTGTATCCAGGTCCTGGGTCCTGAGACTCTCCAGCGTTCCTGCTATAGAATTTGACTCGGTACCGGTATCTGTAAGCCATCTCATTGAAGATGTTTCATCTCTTGCGATCTGGAGGATGTGGCGGGACTCTCTAGTGCTGAGAATGTCACTTTGCTCCAGGATCGTTCGACTGGAAAGATTGGCAGTTAATGTTAGTCTGACTTGACTCGAGGCAGGAATACAGCTCATACGAACCATTGCAACACCGATAAAAGAAGCCCAAGAGCGTTGACCTGGTGATCCAGCAGACTGAGGTAGTCACGCATAGTCTGCTCATCCCAGACAAAGTTGAATTTACCCCAGCCAGACAACCCATTCTCAGAATTTCGTTTCAGCTGGGACAATCGATTATCTAACGCGCTGACTATCGTCTCCAAAGAGGCCAGGGAAGTAGACAGAGCGCTGACGAGTTGCACTTCCCTGGGCGCATGGGTAAAATCCTCTACAAGGAGTCCAATCTGGACCAGGGCGGCTTTGAGAGTTGATAACTGCCCGACGAGAAGGCTGACTTTGATATCGACAGTCTTGTATCTCGACTGCAAGTCTGAGAGTGAAACGAGACCTTTTGCAATAAGGTCCACGATCCCCGCAATGGCACTGACAAAGCTAATTGCTGATATTGGATCCATGCTGAAGACAGAGAGAGGTTGTTGGGTGATGTGTCGTTCCACGATTTTGCATGGAGCAAACCTTGGAAGCTGGCTCGAGAATTAGGCAGCGAAAAGTGCACATTTCAGCGCCTGACTCTACCTCTATTGAGTGCATAAAAAGCCCCGTGGACAGCCTGATGGATGCTGAGATAGATGACTGCATATGCAAGATAATGTGAGGCGAAGCGCGCGCGACCTCGGGATAGGTCAACGGCCCCCAAACTTGGATAGAGTGGGCAGCCAAGACTGCATGCACATTGGGTGCCTGGTGACAACAGTTGTTTCCGTACCAGCTTCAGCTATATTATTTATTTAACTATTAATCTATTCATTAGCTTATTTTCTAAGTTTAAAATTAATAATTATTTAATATATCTCTTTAAACTTATATATATAAAGACTTATAGCTTTAACTATACTATATTTTTCCTTTATACTATATAACTATTTATTTCTTTTTAATTTAAAGTTTATATATAAAGTCTTTAATAGCTTTATATATATCTTTATAATCTTTTTATAAAAAAACTTTAAATCTCTTTTTCTTTATTTTTATTATATTTTTATATTATTAAAAGTTAATAATTATTAATAATAAAAGTATAAATTTAAAGAAAAATAAACTTATTATATTCTTTCTTTATTATTTTATAAATTACTTTTAAAACTTTTTAAAAGTTTTAATATTTTATTATAAAAACTTTAAAGATAATATATTATAAATTATTTTTTATTTTAAGTTTTTAAAGTTAATTATATATTTAAATAAAAGTTATAATATTAATTTTATAAACTTATTTAATAAAAGTTTTATTAATATATATATATATATATATATATATATATATTTAAAGAGATAATTTTAATTAAACTTCTTTTAATATAATTTATTTATATAATAATTATTTTTAAACTTAATTTTATTATATAACTCTTTTATAATATTTTAATTAATATTATTATTATAATACTTTTAATTTTATTTATATATTATAAAATTAAAATTATAAATATATATTATATTATAATTATTATTATTAATATTATATTCTTTTAAATATTAAAACTTGAAATATTTATTATCTTTTATAAAATTATAAAAGATTTCTTTAAATTAGTTTTTATTATAATATTTTTTAATTATTTAATATAAATAATTTTAAAAATAAAAATATATAATAATAAAAAAATAATAATATTAATAATATTATAAAATATATTTTATAATATTATTAATATTATTATCTTTTTTAAATACTAGATCTTAAATATATACTATTATATAAAGGTAATATATATGCTGTATGTATATAGGGATTAGAAATAAAACTACTTTAATTAATACCACCGTTCTCCATAACTGCAAAGCAAGACATTTCGCAAGTCTCCATGGCAGACCTCAGGAAGCATCATCAAAACCCAGATCCCGCCACATCAACCCCACACGCCGGCCAACCCACCTGCTACCGCCAATCCCCAAGCACAGTCTCCCCCTCCCGCAGCCCAGCCAGCCGGACGCTCTCCCTCCAGACCAGAGCCCTCTTCCCGGCATCCCTCGCCTCCTCCGAGGTCCCACACGGCCTCCGCCCGTCAAGGTACAGGTCCCGGGGCAGGCCGTCCGCCTCCCCCCGGCCGCCCACGGCAGGGTACCCAAGCGCGGCCTCGAGCACGTCGCCCGCCGAGCGCGCGGGGGACCGGACCGTGTCGCCGCCCGGGCTGAAGAACAGGATGATGGGGAAGATGATCTGGTAGAGCAGCACGCGGATGTAGAAGGGGGCGAGGCGCACGAGCCCCGTCGGCATGGCGCCCGCCCGGGTCGACGCCGAGGACGCAGATGCGGCTGGTGCTGTCCGACCTGAGCAGCCGCGCCTGCAGCTCGTGCTGCATCATCAGCAGGAACAGCTTTGAGGCCCCGTACCGGCGGTACCCGCCGGCGAAGGTGGCGTCCTCGGCCGCGGGGCTCCACTGGCCCCTGGCGATGGCGTTGAAGCCCTCGGCGGCGGCGGCGTCGTCGTCGCTATCGGGGAGGACGGTCTTGTATTTTGGGTCGTCGAAGGCGTGGGTGACTTCGTTTCGGGTGTCTTTGGTGCTGGGGGAGGGGGACCGTGTGTAAGTATGATGAAGCCATGACACGCCCAGGGGGCTTCTACTTTCCCAGGAGTAAAGCGATGGGTCATGCTGCACTTACTCATGGCTCTGACTCCCAAGTACGACTATCCGGCCGGACTCCATGTCCATGCTCCCCAGCAACAGGAGCGTCAGAAGCCAGTGGCCGAGATAGTTGGAGGCAAAGACGGTGTCGAAGCCATCGTCGGTCCACGACTGGTTGCCAAAGTCCTGGAAGGCGGCATTCAGAATGAGGGCACGGATGGGCGGGATCTCGCCAGTGGAGACCCGTCTCTGTTAGAGTGCAAGTCTCAACACCAGGCATTGCTGACTGATATCTGTCCGGCGTGGTGACACCACGACCAGGGCACTGCCCAGACTGCCGTTGTCGCCGGTGACGAGGATGGTTCCCTTGGTAGCCATATTTTTGCAATTGATGCCCAGATACCTGGCCAAACGGCTGGGTGGGTGTCACGGTATATGTCGAGACCAGAAGAGGCTATCCAGCAAAGGGCGTATTGTGACATGGCGCACTGTCGATCGGCTGCCTGGTGGGATTCCTGTTAGTCCTGTTAGTCCTTCTAGTTTGTGCGTAGTCTATCATTCCCGGGTCCAAGGCACGAAGGATTACACGCAAACAGCGGTACTTGATGCTAGAGGTGAAGCATCAATGCCTACCGAGTACGTGTAAGTCGGACCCGGCGACAAGCATTCTCTCTAGCGGGCTAATAACGGAGGTTAATGCAAGGCCCGATCACGCGGCGGCGCATGCATGCACAACCCCCCCCGTCCCGTTTCCCGGTTTTCATAAATGCGGAATATGCACACCCGGCCGGGACCTTGTCTGCCGCAGCGGCAGCTGACGCTGTGCCCGGGGCTGGCGGATCCGAAGTGCACGTCACGGTCTCTCAGGATGCTACCACTCAGTACACTAAATCAAGACGAAGTCAGCCGACTGCCGCTGCCGCCGCCGCCGCCGAAAGCCACCACCACCTTACGCGCCGTGAGTGTGTGGTTGTTGTGTGTGTGCAGGTGGGGTCGCCGGTAAAAATAATCAATGATATATCACAGCCGGAGATGAGCCGCCGACCGGGCGGGCTGGCGGCAGGAGGTGATCAGTGATGGGTGAAAAGGAGGGCGGGAGGGGTCAGAGATGGACCCCTAAACTAAAATAAAATGCTGTGGAGCCCACGGGGGCGGCGGGCAGGGTTGTGGGTTGTGGGTTGTGGGTGCGGGTGCGAGTGGAACGGGCTGAACGGGCAGCGGGCTGACGGGCTGCTCGGTAACAGTTAGTCTCGTCGACTCTCTGGCCCTGTGACAATTTGCCAAGCATGGGGATATCGTACTGTCAGGACTGTGTACTGTGCACCATGGTGTGTTTATGGTTCGGTGACGGTCCGGGCGTCAGTGTCTGCAAATACGAGACGATTCGGTGCTGAACGTGGAGAGCAGAGCAATTGGAATGAGGACGTGTTTGAGTTTGGCGAAATAGCCGAGGTTGAGGTGGAAGTCAGGTCGAGTCGAGTCGAGGTCGAGGTCGAGGTCGGCAGAGAAAAGACGGAAGGTGGCATCCGAGGGTGGTCATCAATCAATCAGTCACACTCCAAAATGCAATATTCTTCTTGTTCGGATTATCATGCTGCGTAATTGACGATATGGTGCGAATGCCCGAATGAGGATTGATTGACCCTGCGCGTTGAGCCAAATTACAAGCTTAAACAGTGGAGGGCCGCAGCTTCTCCTGTCGCTCATCAGGGTCCGATGTCGAAAAACAAAAAATGTCCGTGTGCTCCTTCCTGGTTGTTTGCATCTGCTGTTTCGACTTGCCATTTCGGGGTGTGGCCGTGGTCCAGAACGGGCTAGACCGCGACAAACAAAACGGTTCGTGCTTCCACAGTCTGTCTGTACCTTCCTCATATATGCCCATGTGTATGCACGCAAACATGCAGTCGTCGCAAGCAGTCCACTAGTCGCTCCCGGCTCACAAGGTCGCGTGCCTCCCAGACTGCTAGTCAATGCTTGGTCTCGTCCAAGCCAGGTGTGTCCAGAGTGCGTCCAGAGTGCGTCCACCCCAGCTCTTTCCCCTTGTGAGACGGTGCCAAGACCAGCACGGAGCCCATCCACCCCGGGCTCTGTCTCTGTCTGGCTGGTCCCGCCGGTCTAGATACATTGATACAGTGCCGGGACCATGCAGGTGCAGGCGTCGTTGTCTTGGCTCCATCCTCGACCCGAATCCATCCATCCACCCAATCAACCCAATGCCAGCCATTAGCCAGCCAGCCTTAGCACCGTGGCCGCCGCCCATCCGTCCATCTCATCATGCTTTGCTGCTGCTCCCTTGTCTCGCGACTGCTCCTATCGCATTCGACATGCCTCGGCCTCTCCTTCTCCTCAAGTCCCCCGAGTCCCTTCCTCCCCTCTCCTAGACCGACGACAACATCCCACCCGTGACTTCCAAGCTTGCGACTCGCCATCAGCACATTGTTGTTGTTTTTCCTGGCGCCATCAACATGATCGTCGGCCTCTTCCAACCCCTCCCTCTCGAATAAACCACACCCCCCAGCGCAACCTTCACACAGCTCCCTGCGCATCAACTCTGGACACGCCTCTGCTCCAGCCACACTCCCTCCTGATATGTCAATCTGTATATTTTGATCTCAAGCTTGCGCGACACCTGTCGCGACACCTCTGAGCGCCCTCAAACGGCCTCCCCCACTTGCCCTGGTCACCATAGCCAGCCCCTGTCAAGATGCTCCGTCTTAGGAGGTACCGCGTCTTTGTCGCGTGCGCCTTTGTCTTTGTCTTCCTGCTCTACCGGGTCTCTGTCAACTCGGCCTGGGACAGCAATAACTTCGACTATCAGCAGCAACCTGCCGTCAAACCTAACCCCCAGCCGCAGGCCGCCGAGCGGGACGAGGCACAGAAGCCACTTGCTGGAAAACCCCATCCAGCCTTCGTCGACACTTATGCTCAGGATGCTGAGGAGGACAAGGTCAAGATACCCGAGCTCAAGAGCACCACCGAGGTGAAAGATGGCTTTGCCTTGCCACCTGCTCCCACCCTGGCCGATCCCCTCGCGCCCCTCGACGACGAGAGGCGCCCGCCAGAGGATGCGCCCGCCCCCACCGAGCCGCCTATTCCTCTCATTCCCGACCCACGACCTGGCAACGTTGCCGACGCCTACCCACACGCGGTCGACGAGCCATTGCACATCCAAGACCCGCCGGGTAGGTACCAAGACAGCCCCCTGGCAACTCCCACCTCGACCACCATCTACTGGGAGAAACAACCGGAGCGGTTCCCTGTCCCCGAAGATTCCATCATCCCTCTGCCCACCGGCAAGCCAAAGTCCGTACCCAGGGTCCAGCACAACTTCGGTTCTGAGAGCCCCGAAGCCAAGGCCAAGCGGGAAGACCGCTTGGCCGAGGTCAAGGCCGAGATGAAGCACGCATGGGACGGCTACGAGAAGTACGCTTTTGGCCACGACGAGCTCGTTCCTGTTCAAAATTCCTTCAAGGACCCCTTCTGCGGCTGGGCGGCCACTCTTGTTGACGCCATGGACACCCTCTGGATCATGGGCCTGAAGGACGAATTTGACTCGGCCTACAAGGGCCTCAAGGATATCGACTTTACCACAACTCCGCATCGTAACGAGATCCCGGTTTTCGAGACCACAATCCGATACTTGGGCGGCCTTCTGGCTGCATACGACGTGAGCGGTGGCCACAAGGGCGACTATCCACTCTTGCTCAAGAAGGCCGTTGAGCTTGCCGAGGTCTTGATGGGCATCTTCGACACGCCAAACAGGATGCCCGTGCTGTACTACAAGTGGAAGCCCGCCTTCGCCTCTCAGCCAAAACGCGCCAGCACACGCGCCGGCATAGCGGAGCTCGGCACGTTGTCCATGGAGTTCACGAGGCTGGCACAGCTGACTGGGAAGGACAAGTACTACGACGCTATTGCCCGTATTACAGATGCCCTGGAAGAGTGGCAAAACCGAGACGATGAGACGGCCCCATCGATTCCAGGAATCTTCCCGGAGAATGTCGACGCGTCTGGGTGCAACGCATCGGCCACATCAGCCCTCAGAGAGGCCAGCCTCCAAGCTCAGCTGCAGGCTCAGACTGCGGAGCTCGAGGATCCCCAGGGATACGTGCCACCTGCGGCTGGAAACACAGGCGCGCTCGACGTGTCGACCCAGGGGAGGCCCAGCGTAGAGTTCCAGGTCAAGCCAAGCGCCGAGGGAAGCCCGGACGTTGGTGCCTTCAAGGCCGTTGAGAAGCGTCAAGTTGGCGATTACGGATACACCCCAGAGAGCGGGGTCCCTCCTAGGAACCAAGCTCAGGTACCAGACATTGGCACTCCATACAGGGCTGCTTCCAGTTCTCGTTTCCAAAGCATTGAGGGGTCCGAGCCCCTTGCAGCGAATGGGCTACCTGCTGATTGGGACTGTGTGGCTTCGAATTTGACCGCAGCCCCCGGAATGGAGACGTTCTCTATGGGAGGATCACAGGATTCCGCCTACGAATATTTCCCAAAGCAGTATCTTCTCCTGGGTGGCCTCGAGCCCAAGTACCGCACCTTGCACGAAAAGACGGTGGCGGCAGTCAAGAAGTGGTTGCTTTTCCGGCCCATGGCCCCGGACGACCCGGACGTCCTGTTCTCCGCCAAGGTCAGGGTTGCTAGCGGCGTCGACAGGCCACTTTCAGAAAGGATGAATTACGAATATGAGGTCACACATCTTACCTGTTTCCTCGGCGGCATGTTCGGCCTGGGTGCAAAGATCTTTGATTTACCCGAGGATTTGGAAGTCGCCAAGCGCCTCACAGATGGATGTGTCTGGGCATACTCCGCGATGCCGACCGGGATTATGCCCGAGTACTCTCTTGTTGTTCCTTGCAGCGACGCTGAGAAATGTGAATGGAACGAGACCTTGTGGGCTGACCAGTACTTGGACCCTAATCCCGAATGGAGGCTCCAGCAAATGGAGAATTACGAGGAGCGCCTGAAACTCTGGGAGGCTGATAAACAGCAGTTTATCCGCAACGAAGCCATTAGACTCCAAGCAGCGGAGGAAAAGGCCCGCCAGACTCCTTACCCTTACCCTGGCGAGGCTGGGTCCAAAGCGGGCGTTGCTCAGGAGGGGGCAGTACCAGCTGGGTATGGCGGAGCAAGCCGTGGCGATGAGAGGAAGCCAGCAAGCGGGAATCCAGTCAGCGACACACCAGCCAGCGTGAAGCCAGCAAGCGAGAAGCCGGCAAGCGAGAAGCCGGCCAGCGACGAAGATGGCTATCCGAGACGCAAAGGCAGCAGCATCCCTTCAAACAACGCCGATGGCTCTCCAAGGCGGGATGACGACGTCGTCGCCCCTCGCCCTGCGGTCAACAAGCGTGATGTTGACGGAGAAGCATCTCTTCTGCCAACGCCGGACCCGTCTGAGGACGTGCCACCCACTCCGGCCGTGGATCCAGCAACGCTGGACCAGCAGGCCATCAGAGACAAGATGAAGAAGCTCGAGGCGGAACTCGACCGCTACGACGCAACCATAGGCCATGCTTCCTCGTCTTCGTCTTCATCATCTTCAGGGGCCTTCGGCGGGACAGTGGGTCAGGTGCCCATCGAGCAGGCTGCCATAAGCCTGCCACCGCGACCAGTCAGGCCTGACACACATGAAGAATACGTGCAGCACCTCATCGTTAATGAGCAGCTCCCGCCGGGTTTCACGCGTATTGGCGACAAGAGGTACATATTAAGGTAAGTTTGCAAGCCCCCAAGAGAACCATGGCCATTTCTCTACGACCAGTCCCACTGACAGTCTTATTTTCCCATCAGGCCTGAGGCGATCGAGTCTGTTTGGTACATGTACCGCATCACAGGCGACCCCATCTGGCAGGAGAAGGGGTGGAAGATGTGGAAAGCGGTGGCCAAACACACCCGGAGCCGTGTCGCCCACACAGCCGTGGATGGGGTGAACAACAAGGACGGCACGACCTCGCCCATCGACTCGATGGAGAGCTTCTGGCTGGCCGAGACGCTCAAGTACTACTACCTCCTGTATTCGGCGCCCGACCTCATCAGCCTCGACGACTGGGTGCTGAACACGGAGGCGCACCCGTTCCCACGGCCCCGGTGAGGGTGATCCCCTGGTGTTGTAACCCGATTGCAGGAGCTAGTTGTTTTCACGTTGTGAGCTTTGTTGTTGTGGTGAGCGAGCATGGGATGGAGTTTGGGCGTATCAGTAGCCGGGGAAAAAAAGGCATTGATTGCATTGCATATTGTGGAGAGGTGGCGGTACCTACTTTCATACATACCCATACATGCCCTTTGTTGCTCGGGTCGGGGGCGGAGAGCACTGCATGCATGCACCAGCATAACAGCATGGTGTACAGTACCTAGAATCAACACTACATGGAGTATAACTAACTAACTAACTAACTAACTACACCATAAATGAGAATCTGTCGTCCTCGCTTCTTGTGCTGAATTACATGTGCGCAAAATCGTGACTGGGCGAGTGTGGGGTGGTCGGGGGTGAGTCTGGGTTGGTTGGTGATGATGCTCAATGGAGGTTTTTTTTTTCATTGCAAGCCTGAGTACTTAGGTGTCTGCTCGCCAACGGGGCCTACCCATTACCCATCCGCCCCTTCGACAGCAGCCGTATTATGAGGCAGAAACATCCTTTATGTTTCTGCACCTTGCTTACCCTAGGGTACTGACCAACGGCTGCGTGCAGCCCCACACGAGTTGATTGTGTCGCGGAGGTGCGTTCGTGGGCCCACCTTGTACGGATGCACGCATGTACATGGTTGCAAGATAGCAAAAGATGTCTCACAAAAGCAAGAACAACTGTGGTGCCCACCAATCTCCGGACAGAGACTTACACCTACTATGTACTCTACACATGTAGGTAGTGCCACGTCGGCGACTCACTCGCGATGAAAATAAAGGCAGCCAGCCACCCTTTCACATGGGATGCTTTAACTCTCGTGATGACCCCGCTTCGATATCTTGCAGCGCGACACAGCGATCACCGAGGTGATATAGCCCATCCCGGGGCCTCAGATCCATCTCGTTGGATCCCCATTTCTACATCTCCATCTAGTATTCATTGCTAGTCCCGTGGTAGCTTCGCGCAGCACCCTCGAACAGTCCAAACGTGGTTTCCCGTACCCCATAACTATGAGTCTTTTTGCGCTACGCATTTTCTCTTGCTTTCCGTCACGACGATGGAGGCTTCCTTGCCCCGGGCTACTCGGACGGCGAGAACTCGGGCGGCGAGAACGCAGACGGCGAGAACGCAGACCGTGCGACATCAGACGGAGCGGTGTTGCTGTCTTTTGTGTCGCGGTCTTTCGTCAAGATACTCGACATGGACCTTGATGGGGGTAGCGGACGCTTAAAACTGGTCCAAGAGCTCGAAAATCCTGCCATCGCAGAGCGAGTGACTACCCAGCCTCAGCCTAACCCCAACGACAACACTGAGGGCACGAAGAGCGCGTTCCCCAGCCGTCGGCATAGCAGCGTCAGAATTTACATAGAATACGGTCTCAGTAAGGGCAGGAAACATCGTGATAATCTGGTCGATGGCAACTTCAGTGAAGTGTATCACGAACACTTCAAAAGAGACGTCTTTGGGGATCAGAAGGATCGTCCAAGGCCGACGATTGGGGGGTGTGAAGGATTGTCGAGGCAGTGGGAGATGATCCCGAACTCCTGGCTCGAAGTTCCTTCATTTGCTTTCATCAATCCCAAGGACAACCCAATATAGTATCGCTTTTGGGGTTTCAAGAAATTCGTCGCTAACATGAAAAAAGTTGCCGAGAAGATCTACATATTAGAGCACGAAGATGGTAGCCTCTATACTATATATTAGTAAGTACTCTAGAGGTTTATAATAATTAACTACTAAATAGTAGACTACCTCTTTATAAAATTCACTTTAAATAATATTTTTTTTAAAAAATACCTGAATTTTTAAGAGATTAAATAGCTTTTTAGTAACTTTTTAATAATAATAAACTTATAAAGAAGAAATAGAGTTATAAAGAGAAGAGGGTTATTAGAAAGAAAGGGTAGGTACCCCCTATATTAGGGAGAGGTACCTCCCTTCCTCCCTTCCTCCCTTCCTCCCTTCCTCCCTTCCTCCCTTCCTCCCTTCCCCCCTTCCCCCCTTCCTCCCTTCCTTCCTTTAACACTAAGTCCTCTACCTTCCACTATCAAACTAGTTAGTTAAACCGACCTAAAAACTTAGAAGTAGACCCTTTAAAAGTAGACCCTTTAGAAGTAGACCCTTTAGAAGTAGAGCTAATAGAAGTATTTAACTTAAGGAGACCTAATAGGAAGAGAAAGGAAGGGACTCTCTTTTAGCTAGCTAATATTATCAGATATAGAGACTAAGGTTTACTATAAAAGTATAATAAATAACTAATTTATAATAAATTTACTATTAAATAATAGTTTACTATAAGTTTATAATAGATTTATAAATTACTATAATAAATATTTAAAATATTTACTCTTTAATATAATAAAATTAACCTTTATAATATAAAAAGTTTATAAAATAGAATAAATAATATAATATTATTAAGAATTATAATTTTATTATTAAATTACTTATAATATAATATTAAATCTAATAATTAAAAGTTTTATTATTTTAAACTAATTAATATAATAAATAAAATTAATAAAAAAACTTAAAATATAATATTTATAAAAATAAAAGAATAAAATAATTAAAATTATAAATTCCTCCTTTAAATTAAAACTTATAAACTTAAAAACTATATTAATTATTAAATAAACCTCCTTTTAAAGCTATAAAACTTAATCTTTAATTATAAAAATATATAAAGATTATTATAATTATAAGAGGTATTATTTCCTAAACTATTAATAGATTTAATAATAATATTAAAAAGTTAAAATTATTTAAAAAATAATAAAACTAATAGTAGATATTTAACTTTATTAATACTAACTTTAAACTCTATAATTTAAACTTATAAAGGTATAAATAACTTAAATTAAAATATAAAAAAGTAAACTATAATTTAAAAACTTTAAAAATAAATAATATAAATTATTAATCTAATATATAAGTTAATATATTATATTTTAAAAACTTTTAAAATTCATATAAAAACTTATAATAAAAATATAAATAATTATAATTAAATAATATATTAAAAATAAAAATATATATAAAACTATTTTTAAACTATTATAAAGTTTAAAGAATATTATATTTTAAATAAATTAATAAAAACTATTATAATAAAAACTATTTAATAAAAGATTATAGAGATAAAATAATCTATTACTTAAATTTATAATCTATTATAAACTCTATAAAGAATATTATTAATATAAATAACTATATTTAAGTAAATATAAGAGTAAAAATTATAAATAAAAACCTTATATATTATAATCTTAAAACCTTCTTTAAAAGGAATTATATACTTTAAATATATAAAATAAATCTATAAAAACTATAAAAAAGTATAAATAATTACTTATAATAACTTAAAAGATTATAATAATAAAAAGTATTTATATTATTAAAAAGGAATTCTAATTAATAAAGTATAAATAAATTATATAAATCCTATATAAGTTAAAAATATAGTTAATTTAAAATAAAAGAACCTACTAATTTATATAAAATATATACTAAAAACTATACCTTTATAAATTAATAAACTATATAAATTCTATATAAGTTAAAAATATAATTAATTTAAAATAAAAACTTATTAATTTATATAAAGTATATATTAAAATTATATTTTTATAAATTATTATTATATCTTCTTTAAAAAGCTTTTAAAAGTTTTAAAAAATAAAATTATTAAAAAAGGTATATAAAGTCTTTAAAAATAATATAAACTTATAAATAAAGATTTAAACTATAAAAACTTAAGATTAAAATTTAAATTAAAAATATTATAACTTTTAAAAAAATTAATTAAAGAGATTAAAAATAACTTTTAAAGTACTATATAATTAATATAAAAATAAAAAGCTTTTATTATAAATATAAAAATACCCTTTAAAATACTTAATTATATTAAACTTAATAAATATAATATTAATTATAAATAATTATAAAAACTATTTAATTTAAAATTAATTATATATAATAATTATTTATAAATAAATAATTAATAACTTTTATTATAATATATAATATAATATTAATTTATATTAAAAATTTATTTTATAAATAAAAATATTACTTTATACTTAAAGATTTTAATTATATTAATATCTTTAAAATAACTTTAAAAGATATTTTTAAAATAATAAAGTAAATTTAACTATATTAAAAATAAAATAAAATAATCCTTTATAAACTTATAAATATTTATAAATAATATATTATTAAATATTTAAGTTATAAACTAAAGACTATATTTAATATTTAAAAGAAATATATAATATTTATTAAAAAACTATTAATAAATAAAGCCTTTTATAATATAAATAATTTAAATACTTTAAATTTAAAGTATTAAAATATTTAATAAATACTTCTTAAAGGGTATAAATTTATAAACTAATAATAGTTAAATATAAAATATATACTTTAATTAAAATTATAAAGTAAGTTTATTATTTATTAAAAGAGATTTTAAATAAAAATAAAAAATAATATTAAATTTTATAACTATAAGTTAAAAATTTATAATTATAATTATAATTATTATTTATATATAGAGTTTTAGATATATATAAAACTATTATATAATAAATTAAAATAATAAAATAATATTTAAAATATTTAAATCTTTTTTAAAATAATAAAATTTTAATATAATATAAAAATTAAAATTATTAAATATAATAATAAAATATTTAATTAAAAATAAAATATTAAAAACTATTTTAAATTAAAATATATTAAAATTAAGCCTTTTATATTTAATATATAAATATAAAATAGTAAAGTAAAGTATTTAAAAGGTATAATTAAATAGAAAATATAGACTTTATAAATAAATTTAAAACTCTTAACTTCCTTTTAATTAAAAATTAAATAAATAACTATTTATTTTAATAATTAAATACTATTTTATAATTTAAATTAATAAATATTATATTATTAATTCTTCTTTATTATTATTAAAAGATAAGGAATTTTAAAACTAAATTTAAGATTTAATTAGATTTACTTAAAAGTATTTAACTATAAAGCCTATATAATAACTATAAATACTTAACTTAAAAAATATTAATATTTAAAATTATAAATTTAAATTAACTATTTTATAGGATATTAATTATTAAATATTTATTAGATATAAATTTCTTTTATTAAAAATAGTTAATATATAAAATATAATCTTTAATAAATATTAAGTATTTAATAGTAATTAAAAGGTTTTACTAATAAGCTTTTATTATAAATATTAAATAACTAATAAAGTAAATAAAAAAATATACTTTTAAATAATAATAAAAT